ATAAGCTGATTGACATTGAACTGCGTCGGAGACACAGAAGCGGTAGACGGTGGAGTGGGAAAGAAGTTGATACCAGACGGCGCACTGGCAAACGCGGTGGAATTATCGGAAAGTCCAGTTAGGATCCCCGCAGGAACATAGTTCGAATTCATCTGAAGTTGTTGAGGTCCCATTGGACCAAGATTTGGATTCATTCCAAATTGCTGCTGGCATCCCATCGAGGTTGTATCCCAATTCATCCCATACAGCTGCGCCGGGTCAGCCTGGGTAAAGGTCTGATTCATTCCTGACGGTTGCAGAAAGTTCATCTGGGCAGGGGTCTGATTCATCCCAGATGACTGCAAGAAGTCGGTGTTGTTGAGAGTCTGGTTCATCCCCAACGGCTGCAAAAGATTCGCCGGGCTCGGACTCTGAATCGGTCCAAAAGATGGCAAAAAGTTCATTGTGTTGTTGTTGATTGGATTCTGATTCTGATAGCCGGGCAGAGCAAAAGGCTGGCCCGGTCCAGGTGTCTGCAAAACGCTCGTTGGAGGAGTAGTCTGGTTTGCCCCATGCAGCTGCAAATGGTTCTCAAGGCCAACCTGATTCATCCCTGGTACAATACCAAGGCCTCCGAGGTCAAAAGTCGGATTGGTTACGCCCTGTTGCAAATTGGCGGTTGAAGTGGGAGTCTGTCCTGTCGGCTGGATCTGGTATATACGGTTAGCAAAGTGCATCTTCAACGATCTCAGGGAAAGGGGTCAGAAGCATACCAAGCCCTTCTTATCGGGCGTAGGATCCATTGTCGTTGAATTGCAAAGGTGATTCTCAAGAGCTCAATTGCAACGTAAGAGATAAAAGATGGAAGAATACTGGAATACTGGTATGCTGGAATACTGGTATGCTGGTATGCTGGTATGATGTCGATCAAGCTTGGAGGTTGTTGAATTGCTCACGGAACAAGATAACAAAGGTTTGGAGAGAGAAAATAAACAGATTCGGAAGAAGCAGAAGGAAAACTGAATAGTAAAACCTTGTGAACGAAGAGATTCATGTTGCCATGGCAAAAGTGAGTGGCGGGTGAGTAGATTTTCTGTATTCTGAGTGGGTTTCATCCGATGTCGAAGTAAAAGTGAACTCTAACTGAGAAACCTCACACCCGAAGTTTTCCTCCCATCTACTAGATACAAAGACACACACCAATAAAATAATTCATATAAACAGTATCTCGCCATCTTGGGCTTCAAAATAAATGTTGTATGAGCGCAATTGCTGCGTAAATGTGCAAATATCTTGTGTCGTAAAAAGGGGTGGGAGTGGCCTTTGCAGGCCAACCAGAGTGTTCGCGATTGCTCGACGATAATACACACATTGTAGTTTCTTGTCACTCCGAGTAATTATCTCTACAGTACCGTACATATACTTGCTACTATTAGAGCTGGGTGTAGAGTACGGGATGCAGGGCGCAAAATTGACCTTCTACAAACGGCTTCAGTTCAAGGTTGACATTCACTTCACTTTTGCGGCTTCACTTCACTTTGACAGCTACCCACATCAAAGGGCGCCACATTACAAGTACTTCTTATAATTATGGTACTTTATGCACAGTAAAACAAACATCCGAACAAATTATCTTTGATTACTCAGGGGGTGACTCGTTATCATCAAATATCCATAAACCCATTATCATCAAACACGTCCAATGCCCATTCCAAGGTTGATCCAAGCCCGTGCAGCTTCAGCCAGCATTACATCCTTTGCTCCATATCCTCTCGTCCAATTTTCTGTCCCAGTATTTCTGCTTCTAGCACTTTGTAATGTACAATCCAATAGGCGACGGGTTATAATCCTGGAAGTACCTAAACGAAGTACCCCCACCGTTTGCATCCGAAATCTCAAACGCAACAGTCTGTCCAGCCGGGCAATCAAACGTAGAAATCACGTAGCTGTTTCCAGGCGAAACCGTCGTCGTTCCAAAGTCCTGCTTCTTGCCCGGCTGGTTGTTCCACGTGGTGCCTTGACTAGCAGGGCCATTCAGCCAGGCAAAGTCCAAGGCTCCGGAACCCGAAAAGGTAAAAGACGATGTCTGGAGATCCTTCTGCTGGGGGAAGAGGAACACAAGGCTGCACTTCTTGCCTTTGTCGCCGCTGGGGACGTCAAAGTTGAAGATGGAAGAGACGCTGTCGGAGATCTCGCCGAAGTAGGATGTTCCAGGGGCATTGCCAGGCTTGGTCTTGTCCACGGGGATAATGAGGTGAGGGAACTCATAAGCTCCGTCGAGATTTGCCGGGCAAGTCTTTGGAGGAGTAGGAGGAGCCGTGGGTTGCGGTGGAGGAGGAGGAGGAGGACATCCAGAGTGGCAGCTATCAGCATAGAGGCTAATCTTGTTACAGTTGATGCCTTGTCCGCCGTTGAGATAGACATTATACTGCCCACTCTCGCCGGTCTGGCACTCCCAGAACTCCGTCTGTCCGTTGTACGAGACACGGCCATCGCAGCCAACCTTGAATCCATTGTCTGGCGTCTGATTCTTGTCACATTGGAGGACATGAGTTGGGGCTGTCTCACATCCATTCGTCAGCACGTAAACCACGATTCCGAGACATCTTCAGTCACACGTGCATATGCATGTCTCTGATATGATCACCACTATCGTGGCAAAGGATAAAAAGACTTACGAGTCCACCAGCACCCATAACCCTTGTCATCCCACAGCTGCTCTCCCTGCAGAGTGAACGTGGTCGAGCTCACACCGCCACCAGCTCGCACCTGGCCAGACGCAATCTCGCCAACAGGACCAGAGATGGCTCCTGAAGCTGTGAAGTGTAACTGGCACCCAGAAGCCCGCGCGACAGCAGCTTCAGTAACGGCCGCACCGAGGCCAAGGGCAAGGAGAGGGTATAACATGTCGAACAGGTGGGTTGCTCCTGGTTGTGTGAGGTTGAGAATATGGCGTAGCCTTGTAAGGCAGATGATGCTATTCACAAAGATGAATTGCCACCTTTGAGAAGAGGTTGACTTAGTTCTTTATAGACCAAGATATCTTCCAAGGGGAAAAGACAAACATGAGAATGAAGGAAAGAAGCCATCATTATATACACCACGAGAAGAGTCCCATGCCAAGTCTCCATCTACATCCAGCCTTCCGAGATCTCACCAAGCCACCAACTCCACGATGCCTCTTACCTCACTCGAGGCCGGACACACGCACACCAGAAAGAATATTTTCCCCAAAGCAGCTTGAAAGATCTCCGGGAATCCACTCATTGACCTCACCACTTTGTCGGAATACGAGAAACGTGCCAACGCACCACATCATCGTCGTCCGGGATGAGGGGTGTGGGAGAGCAGCCAGCCAGCCAGAATCCTCTCGCCCCCCAAAAAAGAAAAGAGAAGCCTAACTTGACCGAAAGATTGCATATAGAACTAGGCCAATCCTGGTGGCCGACGACAAAATGGCCTGAGGGCTCGAAGGTGGCAACAATGTCTTACACGTCTGTGACAACACAGCCGCAGAATCCAGGCATATAAAACATTTCATGTACTTCGTATGCACTATGATAACAAGCTTCAAATCCACACAGGAGAATAGAACGTCGTTTTGCCAGCATCACAACGCCGTTATCCAAATGCCCAGCATGTACTTCAGCTTCTCCGAATATCACATAGGAGGCAAAGTCCAACATCCAGTACAAAGCTGGCAACTTAACATCCGAGTTACCGAATGCCAACTCTCGGTGTACCAACTAAACACTCTGCCCAAAACAAACAGCCGAAGCTTCAACACTTCTTAACAGGCAAATCCCTGTTCAAGAAACCCATTAGGGCCCTCACTAACCTCAGCTTCGACCAACCGCCGTCATCCTAGCCAGCTGACCGGCGATCCGCTCCAGCTAGCAGAAAAGAGGAGTCATGTCTGGTCTGGTTGCACGAGGAGGAATCTTGGGGTAGGAAAAAACTCGTATCTGGGCTCATCCGGGAAAGTCGAACAAGGTTTCGTTCAACCTTGATTTACCTCGCTACGACAGCTCTGTAGCCGCAAACACAGAGTACAAAGCTGTCATGGTAACTCGTGAGCGGGTTTATTGATCGATTCCTTTTCTGCAGTGCGAGACATAGTCAATTCGCACTGCAGGTGGAACAAGAAGCCCCCTACATACAGGCAGAAGCTTGGAAGAAATGATTCAAGAGTTGAGACAGGAGAGGCTAAAAAACACAGTCACAATGATTCCGTTTAAAATAGTAGCACGAATTAATTAGGGGGTATCAATTCAAATGGTCCAGGTCTAATTCATATCAGACAACGTAGTCCCAGGTCTAAAAGAAGTGTTTACTTTCCAGTCCATCCGAGCAAAGTCTCGATCATGGTGGATCGACATGTCCCTGCGGGGTTGCCCCAACTTCGACGATTCTTTCATGGCAGGTTGCCCATTTGGACGAGAGGGTGTGCTTGTGAATCGGCCGACTTCCTAGAGTGGACCGCGATACACAATAGCCACGATCTAAGCGTCCTCGCAAAGACAGCTAGAGGTTGTTCGACAGAGCTTGGCACCTCCCAATGACGTCTTTGGGGAACACACATCGCCTAAATCCCTGCGCTCCGGCAGCTACAGCTTTCCCTTTCTGTGCAATCCTATTTAATTCCACATGGCAGGGCTACTCAAAGCCCACCTGAAAAGCATTGTGCCCGTGAGATTGATGTGGGATCGAGATTCGTGGCTGGCCAATGCCTATATGCTTGGGGTATTTGCCAGTCCGGATACCGCGGGTCTTTTTGTGCTGCACTAGGCAGTCTATCCTAAGATACGTTGATCTTAGCTAACAGCTTGTCTCAGCTGGTAGTGCCTTGACGCCAAGCTACCAAATCTTTCTCTATCAAGCTCCCTGCTGGTGGAAGGGGACAAGACAATCGCACAGAGCCGACTTCCAAAACAGCATGCATACTGGATTGTTCAAGCTTGTTTGAGAGCAGGGCTGCCATTCAATGACGTGGGTTATTATAATCCCGCCCCATTGCTTCTTCAGCGTCGCTGTCTCTTGTTGGGTCGGCCAGCTTTGGCTGAGATTTGGGCTACGGGAGCCGCCTCTTGGCCCTCGTCACCGCTTGATTCGCCAATAGACAAAACGTCGTCCGAGTTGCCGTCAGCATCGCTTTGTGCTCCACTAGTGGCACCAAACGAAGGCTTTCTTGACAGAGCTTCATCGGTGCCGCTGCCGAACCCCTCAAAGTCTTCGTTGTCAGATGACTCATCGCCTTCGACTTTGTCTACAGGGGCATCGACATCGGCTTCAGCGGTATCCAATGTCTCGGAAGCAGGTCGCTTCCGAGGCATCTCACCCAGCCTGCCGCCGCGGCCATTGACGTTGCTGCTGCCCTCTTCGCCCTCTTCACTGGACTTGGGAGCTGGAGTGTACCAGGGGATTCTGCCCCTCATGAAATCATTCAGCATCATCTTTGCCACACCATCCAGGTCAGGCTCTCCTCCGCGAAGAAGACGGCCTGCTTTGCGGGCAAGGACCTCGAGAAGCTCAGTTCCGGTTTCCCATCCCCTGACGTCATACGTCTTTTCCATGTGGTGCTTCTTGACTCGGCTCAGCAGGGCGTCAATGTATTGTTCAGGATGCTCCACCTTCTCAACTCGCACAACGCCTCGTAAGACGAGATCGGTTGGCGTGTCTGTGCCTGAGGGAGGTACAATACCAGGGCAATCGATGAGATAGATGCGCTTCATTAAGCTCACGTATTGCCACACCTTGGTTTCTCCAGGAATTGGCGCCACAGTGCACACCTTCTTCTTTGACAGAGTGTTGATAATGGAAGACTTTCCAGTGTTGGGGCCACCAATCAAGCCGACAGAAATCTGCTTCCTGTCTGTATGAAGAGCAGAAAATTGTCGCAGCAGCTGGATCAGGGATCCCTTGCCAAACGAGTTGTTGATGCTTGCATGGAATGCAAGTGTTGGGTATTCTTTGGAAAGAACTCGTACCCAGGCAGCCTATTCTCAAGTTAGACGAGAACATATATAAACAAGGTTTGAAGCCAAAAAAAATTGAATCATCAATGAAAAAATGTGTGTGTCATCACTACGAAGCTCCTTTGGATGCCGGTAAAGGCGAGGGATGGCTTCAACTCATCAGACGCACAGCCTTCTCTTGATAAGTAACCAAAACGGCACCTATCAGCCTGCAGCCGAAGCTGAGACAGTCGAGATGGCAATGGATCTCCCAATGTTGTAACAGACGGTCCTCCACGGAGAGTATGCGAGGTGTCCTGACAGGATTCATTGGGGGCGCGAAGCCAGGAAGGGGAAATAGGGATGAAAAGGAATGGAAAAGATAGAGCCAATTACTTACACAAACACTGGTAGGTACCAAGTCACACTTGTTGAGGACAAAGATCAAGTGCTTGTGAGGTGCCTCGTCTTTCAGATACTTCTCGACGCTTCGGCATCGAGTTCCGACGGGATCTCTAGCATCGAGCACGTGGATGATGACATCTGAGGAGTCGATGACCTTGTAAAGCTCGTTCCAGATACGCTTGCTCTGGCCCTTGTCAAACACAGGCTCAATGGCCATGGTGAGCGCCTTTTCAGTCTCGCCGTCATTGCCATAGTTTCCGCTCAAGAGCTTGTTATGCTCCATGCGTTCTTCATAGGTATCCATGCTCTTCTCAGTGTCGTCAGCGAGATCAGCCACGGTGCTGACCCCGAGCTTGACACGCTTGCGCTGAGCCTTGGGTCCAAAGACACCAGCAAACGGCGAGGTCTCAATTGTCATCTTGGCCTTGTGCTGCTTGACGCCGTTGGTGGTGTCCTTTCCTCCGTCGTGGATAAGGCTCATGGGGAGCTTGTTTGTCTTGAGGAGAACCTGGTAAGGATCCTTGGCCTTTTCAGCCATGGCCTCACGGAAGGCTGTGAGGGTATCCTGAGAGACAACACGAGTATTGGTAAACCACTTGCGGTTTGGCTCGATTCGGGCATTGGGGATCTCTCTTGACTGAAAGCTGGCAGCCTTTGTGATTTTCCCGTCCGCGTCTCTCTGGGCCTTGCCATCCTTGTACATGTTCACGAGCTTTACCTTTTTCGCATCGCTTCACGCATCTTTGTTAGCATGCTTCGACCAGAAAAAAAAACTTCATCCAGAGCACAGGCTGCACATACCGATAAAAGTTCTCGCCTTTGACACGCACATTTCCCATGCCATCGCCGGTTTTGCCCTGGCGCGTACGCCGGGCTGCTTCCTTCTTCCCGGTACCCATGGTGAAGTTTTGGGCTTGCTAGCAAGCACAAAGATCTTGGGAAGAAGTAAAGAGAGCAGAAAAAGATTAAAATTGCAGCAGCAGCTTTTCTTATCACCAACTTTTTTTTTTTTTTTCGAAGGACCCCACTAGCCCACATCTCTGCAGACGGTGGCTGGTCGACTTATTTAAGCAGGACAGGGGCTGCACGGAACATCGGGGTTAGATAATCCGGGTCGCTCTGCGGGTTTGGCAATTTTCTGTAAGTCGATATCACACAACCACCTTTGCGGACAAGCAACAAGAGCCAATTGCCAGCTCACTTCAAGTCAGGATGTCGCTCCATTCTGCAAGCAACTGCCTCAGGCCAGCAGTTCGGCAATTGTCGTCTGCTTCACGAAGCTTCTCATCAACTCCGGCCATTCTCTCCAACGCCGTCCCGCCTCAATCCCCCTCCTACATCCGACTTCCTTCCCCTCCTCAGTCCCAAACCGATGAAGCCAAGCCCCCGCGAGTAAGAGGTTCACTGCCAGTGCCTCGTCAAGTTTTCCCTCGGTCAGAGGGCGACCGCAAAATCCTGCCCGAGTACATCCAGAAGACTGCCCCCAGATCTGCCGACGAGCGAGAGCCTTCAAACGAGTCCCAACGATGGAAGCGGGAAATGGCCGAGACCCGAAGGACCAATCTGGAACAAGGTCTTAAGGCCCTCTACACACGGCGCGAAAAGAGCGACGCAGCCAGAAATGCCCGTGTCGGCCGTAAATTCAAGGAGAACAACGAGGCTGCTGCCGCGTCAGAGCGAGAGGACGACCGACTCACACGAAGCACCGTTCTGGATGCCATTCTGGACACCAAAGTATATCCGGACCCTGAGCGCTTCGCCCGAGCGCAACGCAGCAAGTTCAAGGTCCAAGCCAAGGAAAAGGCCAAATACGAAGCCCGACGAGATGCCCTGATGGAGCTATACATCAATGCCTCCAACTTCATCGTCCAGGAGAGCGAGCTCAAGGCCGAGATTGATGAGATCTTCAGCGAGGACTATTTCAGGAAACAAAGCCAATTCTTCCAGCGCTACGGTACAACCGAGAACTCTTGGGGCATCTATGGCAAGCCTCCTTCCATTGCCAACATGCTGGAGACCACCACTGGCAAATCAACCAAGCTTATGGATTACTACGAGTCTGAATATGACCGCTCTGTTAAGCGGCAAAAGAGGATTGCTGAGGAGTTTACGGGAGGTAAAATGGAGTAGCGGCATGGGGCCTTTGTTTTTGTAAAACTGTAGAGTATCACGCGCTCGTACTGCGCACTACATGTATTATATCAGTATCACTTGGAAAAATCATATTCACGCTTCACGAATTCAAGCCACATCAATCAAAAGATTTCTCCGACTTCTAAATTCGGGCGACAAGAAATATTGGTGTTTATTGAGACCAACCATATTACTACACCAAATGCCCAAAACTATAGCCATAAAATACCACATGAAACAGTGAAGAGGGTCAAATAGATGTGCTCCATAAACGCCAATTGTGCAAATGTCCAGGGAGTTTGCCCGATATGAGTATGTACATGTCGCAACCTGCACAGAAATGTTTCTTCGAGTTGGGGATAAATTCTAGGTGGCTAGTCTATCGCTTCTCGACGAGCAAGATATGCATCGCGGCGTAGGCGAGAACGATGAAAGCGGCAGCGAAAATACCCAGGTTTCGGATATCAGACCAAAGAGCAGCATTTTGAAATCCAAATGAGCTGAGAATGGCCGCTCCGGGAACGGTGATATCGAGACCATACTTCTTGTCTACCAGGGTGAGCTCTATTACTTCGTTGACGATGAGTGACTCAAAGCCGTAGTGGAAGATGGACAATGTTTGGAGCCACAAAGCACCCTTTGGCGTGGCATCATGATTGAGGAGGAAGCCAGCGAAAAGGAGACTGAATAGCATCACCAAACTACCGATTAAGTTGGCCACGCCACCGTCTTTACAAACGATGCCAATGAACAAGCAAATGGCAGCAGCTGCAAGGTTGAACAAAACCAAAACTAGCATAAACTTGAAGAAGTGCGCAGCATCAGGTACCAGACCTGTCATCGGGTAGATGATAGACCCCATGAGGATTGGAGGGATGATTCTTAGAGGAATAATGTCGAACAGAACCTTGGCCGCGAAGTAAGTAGCTGGGGAATAGTAGCCATTGGCTCTTTCTCGAGTGAAGAGAAGTCTCTCGCTGGCAAACACATTGAGACTGGTAAGGGTACTGAAGCCAAAGAGGGCCAGAAGGAAAAAGAACAAGCCAAGTCGGTTTTGGAAACCGGGGATATCATCGGTGAGGCCGTAGAAGAGGTATCCAGAGAACACGGCCAAGATGATGGCAATCGCATAGTGTGTGAGCATGAGCATCGGGTTCCGGTACAGGTTCTTCCATGTTCTTCCAGAGATGATGATGAACTGGCGCAAATATCCAATTCGAGCATATCCCTTTCCAACGGCGCTTGTATAAATGTTCGGCCCGTCTGCAGCATATCCATTGGTATTAGATCTAGTTCCGTTTGCAATTTCGGCTTCTGTGATTGCTTGCTGGATGTCTTCGCGAATGGAAGTCGCAATGTATGACTTGCTGAAAGATCGAGTGATAATGTCGAGATCGGTTCCTGTCAGGGCTGGAGGGGGTAGATCATGAGGGTCTTCCAGTTGGCTAGGTAGGGAGCTTGAAGGGTTGTTCTGCAGCCGATAGCCACTTTGGTTGTCGCCACCAGCATCTGAAGATGCGGCAGTGTCGGTCTGTTTTCTACGTGTGAAGAGCTCCCGTTCTTGTCGTACTTTGACCGAATCGCGACGTCGGTTCTTGGGCCGTAATGATGGTTCAGCGCTCGCTTCGCCAGCACTTACAAGAGAGGCGCTCGCAATAGACTTGACAGCCCGGGTGCTGCTCGGACCAATGCTTCCAGCGTCAGGAACAATGCCTCCATCATCCAAAGTCTGCGTGCTGCCCGCGTGCATGGTGAGATCTACAAGGTAATCGGCAATATTGAAGCCTGGAGGACATTCATAACCAATATCATCGAAATAAGTCTGGCACTGCGCGAAGAGACCGGAATAAACCAATTTGCCCTGGGCCAACAAGATGAGCCTGTCGAAAAGAGCGACAATGTTGGAGCGAGGCTGGTGGATGGTGAAGATGACGGTTCGCTTGTAGTTTTTGGCCATCGTCACAAGGCATTCGACAACATTGTACGCATTGTAGGCATCCAGTCCGCTAGTGGGCTCGTCGAGGAAGAGGATAGAGGGACTGGTGACCAGCTCGCAAGCAATTCCGACACGTCGCTTCTCACCACCGGAGATTCCACGGCCATTTCCTTCTTCAGAGCCAATCAGGGAGTCTCGAATATGATAGATGCCCAACTCTTTCTCGACTTCAGTAACTCTCTGTTCCTTGGCGGCACGGCCCATATCGCGGGGCAGTCTGAGGAGAGCGCTGTTGAGAATAGTCTCATGAACAGTAAGAGTAGGCAGCATGGTGTCCTCTTGATCAACAAATCCAACCACGTTCTTGTACTCGGTATCGCTGACTTTTTCGCCATTGACGTAGAAGTCTCCGCTAACATGACCGCGCTTATTCTTTCGAGCAAGAATATCCAGGAACGTCGTCTTGCCAGCACCGGAAGATCCCATGATGGCAGTTACTTCGCCGGGTTGGCAAATACCTTGGATTCCGGTCAGAATGTTCTTCCCGTTGAGGGAGTAAGCGACATTTTGAAAGTATAGAGCAGCTGGCTTGTGATCGACCATGAGCTTGGTGTTTTCGTCGTCAGAATCCTCCAAACGAATCGCTCCATAATGCAATCTACGGCGAGACAAATACCACGTTGCGATGATGACGGCAGCCAGGAAGAGTGCACAGCCGCCAATCACACCGGCGATGAGAGGAGTGTTGATTTGCTTAACCGGGCGGTGATAGCCCGGTACTTCGGTCTCATACAAGCATTCGCCTGCTTGGCAGTCCAGCAGGATACTGGAGTCACCGATTAAACTGACGATGAGGTTATCCATTTCCGGCTCTTTAAAGGCACAGTCATGGGCACCACCGCCCTTTTGCGAACATTCGAATCGGCCAGGGCCTTTGATTGCCTGGTCCAAGAAGTCGGTAAGATCCAGCGAGCCATCTTTACCGCACATCATACGGCCGGGAATGCAGCTGCAGCTGATGTGGTCGCATTTGTAGGCAGTGGTGTTCTTCGCATCGGAATACTGAGCACCAGACGTGCAATCCGACAAATGGCAGTAAAAGGACTCAACTTGATCGATCCAGACTAGAGAGAGGAGTCAGTATGTAGAGTGAGTAGGAATTGAGAAGAGACGGAACCAACACTGGAAATCGCAAGTCGCATCATCCTCCTTGCATGTGAACGTTACTTCTGGTTTCTGGCTTCCGAGCAGATCGCCAATCTTCTTGTTGGTGACTTTGCAGATTTGGTTGTTGTATTTAACAAGCTCGCCATTCTGGTAGCAGACGCCGCCGCTTCCAGTTTCCATGAGAGCATTGCAGGCATTGTTTGATGTGCAGACATTGCAGTTGATACCGGTCCAGCCCTCGTCGCATTCACAACTCGCGTTTGAGCGCATGGGCCGGTCTCTGCCACGTCCAAGGGAGCCGCACACTGGAGAAGAGAAGAATCGAATGTTAGCATAACTTGATTGCGCGAATTATTACGGCGGTGCCAGATGCCTTGGTAGCATCAAGCTGACGATGGAGACGTACGTGGTTCGAGACAGTCGTCACCGCCGAAACCGTCGGGACAGTCGCATTTTCCGTTGTACTCGTTGCATCCTGCGTACTGGGCGCAGGTGTGTGCAGGCAGGAGGCAGTTGAAGCTAATAGAAGATGCGTCAGCAGCGATGTCGCCGCGATGGGGAGCCGGCTTGCGATGCGTCTCTTACCATGGCGGACAGTCCTTGGGGCGGTCGTCCATAAGCGCGAACTGGGCTCGCAGAAGGTCGACGTTGTAGCTGGTGTTTGCATAGGCGGCTGCCAGCGAGGGCAAGACAGCCACGATGCCCACAAGCAGGCCTCGGCAGCTGAGGGGCGCCATGGCGATGGGCTGCAGAGGTTGCGATGGAGAGGATTCGAGCTGGTGTTGAAGAGGGAAGAAGTAGAAGCCGCACAGGCTGAACTCTCAAGGTTGGAGGCACCAGCCAGCACCAGCCAGGTACGTACCGCGGCTCGGTTCCTGGCGCGAAACAAGGTCGTCATCGAATCCGCCGGTGGTCTGGGGCAACCTTGGAACCCCCAAGTCCCCCAACAACCCCCAACCCCGCCTTGCTGTCTGATTGGTACAGCGGCCCATCAGCTCTGGACTTGCTGGAACACAGCGCGTTACAAAACACGTGGTGACGATCAGTGTGTGAGAGCTTGTACAGATGCGGCATGCCGGCCGTACCTTGCTTGTACTGCAGAGACAGCTGGAAGAGCTTTTTCTTTTTACGCGTATTGCAGTGACATGATTCTCAGGCCATGATAACAGGGAGCGTGCATATAGGCTGTATTCTCCGCAGGTGCTATTGAAGGTCTTCTGAAGCTCTAGTGCTGGGTCACGGATATCGGCTTTTTCTCTTCATTCCCATTTCAAGCTAGGAAACGATGGCTGGCGTCGTCTGTACGACCAGCGTGGCAATGAGACAAAAGTGCCCTTTGAGCTCGAGGGTCGATTTTCATTGTTAGTACTTGGGTCGCACAGATGTGATATCTAGATCCCCGAGCCACTCATCTTGTAATCCGTTGTTGGTATTCTTCGTACAGGTGAACTTCTATTGGCCGCCATGTTGATACGAAATTTGACGTCAAAACGCGGCCTCTGATGCCTCTATAGAAGGAATTCTGCCATTGGAAGAATGCTGAAGATTGAGTTAATATATCTACCCAGCTATGCCACATCCCACTCTTCAACGTCAAGACAAACGCTCCAAGCATACCCAGGTGAAGAGTATACATGATATATCATTCGAGGGTTTTACCAGGAAAATATACCCCATCATTCTTCGCTTTCTACAGCTCTATATAGTTCATTCAATGGCAGTAATACAACAGCTAGAAAAGATTCATCCATCCTCCTCGGTATTGGAAATTAATAGCAGACCTTGAAGTTGTCAATATTCATGATCTCTGCAGTAAAGGCGCTCCTCCTTTATAGGTAAAATTAGTTCATCACAGTGCCAATTCACCAGTCTAAGCCATAGTAATATAGTGGTAGTATATCAGTTTGTGGACTAAGCGAAGCACTGACGGCCGAGGTTCGATTCCTCGCTATGGCATCATTTTTTGCCTTTTTTTGCTGTTGCTTGTGACGATGGCTGTGCAGACGAGCTTTGTGGGCCCTCGTGGGTAATGGAGCAATATGTGCGTCACATAAGTGTGGTATCAATCGCTCAACATGATGACATTCATTCCCTGCGATGCTTCACTCGTGATCCAACCAGTGGATGATGTCAGCCATCACCAGAATAGCTACTGTGATTCCTCTTTGGCCTGGGCTATTCGCTGTCGAATTGCCGTGCTGCTAATCTTTGTTGCAAATCCATTGGTCTGCGTTGCGCTGTCTTCCTTCAAGATATCGCTTGGATCGAGCACGTCAATCTCAAACACCTCGAGCGGCTTCCACCCTTTTTCGGTTCTTTTATCATTGATAGCCTGTCCGCCGCTCCTTGTCTCTCCTGAAACCACAATAACATCCATGATTTCCTCCGAAATGGTTGGGCCAAAGGGGTCGTGGATGTTCACACACCGAACCAGCACTGTGCCGTCACGGAAAGTAGCATGAAGCTCATCCGGTGCGGGTGTAGTTGTAGGCGGCAAGGTGTTTGTGTTGGACGAAGAAGCCGAGTTGAATATGGTAGAGAGAAACTGCAGAACATTGTTTGCGCGCACATCCCAAGGCTGTAACACTTCGGCGTACTTTTTATTCTTCAGCAGCTCATCTCCTGAAATCCCGACGATGAGAACGGAGTGCTTCCCGGTATGTTTCTCGGGGATACCCATAAGTAAAGCAGTGGCGTGAAGAAGCAGCTTGTGTCCCGCATGAAGATGGTCAAACGTGCCACCCAGACAAACAGTATCGTAGCCATTGGTGAGATCCTCCGGAGCAACAGGCGGGACTTCGCCGGTGGACATGCCGAGGCCGCCTTCAACAGCAACTATTTGGCTTTGCAGTAGAGTTTGTTTCCCCTGTGAGTACTCCAAGAAAGCTTTGAGGAGTTCATAGCCTGCCTCGGAACTGGGATGGAACACCGTCCTCCAAGGATGCACCGTCGAGGCAAAGGCGGCCAGATCCAACACGGGCGTGCAATTTGCTTCATATTCTCCATCAAAGTTGCGCTGATACGTCCTGTTTCGCTCATGATCGACTAATACAACGCGTGGATCGACGCTGCCACTGCCCGGCTCCCCTGATGTGTCAATGTTTTGCTCATCGCAAATGGCCGCGATGAGAGTGTAAATGCGGGCAAGAAGAGACTGCGCAGCCTTCCAGTGTATGGACTTGCGCCTTGGTGAGGGCCCGGTAAGAATAGGGCAGGCGACGGCGATGACGAGAACATGATTTGTGCCAGTGCTGGAGTTGGTATTGGAGTTGTTGGTGCTACTATTGCCGTTGATGCCAGTAGTGATGCGCTTCAGAGCCACCGTTACAGGCGCCCAGTAGGCGGCGGCCAGAGAATGAGGGTGTAGCGGGTGAGGAGGGGCTGGTAGTAGGAGCAGCGAAGGCGCGTTGCTGCTTGTCGGAGCCATGATGAGCTCAATTAAAATGATGATGATAATTCAAGAATGAAGCTCAAAGGGCGTTGAATGAAAGTGGTGTCATTGAGCATTCGATTGTGACCTGAGGCTAAATGATGGCATCCGTGGGATCAATGTGGGGTTACGTAGGAGTGGTAGGTGATAGCACTCGTAGGGCGTCTTCATCCCTACAGTCACATGGCCCAAGAAGATTGACTTCAGATCTCCCCTAAGCATCTGCAAATCATAGTTTTGAAAAGTCAAGGCCTCGCTAATTTATGCAGCTAAATGACTGTGGCTTGAATGAGTAGAATGGTTGTGGTTTCAATAAACTTTGTCCCGTAAGTCAGAGACTGCATGGGCTTGATTTATCTTTGCGTGCTCTTACACGCAACACTAATACAACGCCTAACCTAGAGCTGATCGTAACTTCAATGGCGCGCTCGACAGTAATAATAGAAATGGCTTGATTCTAGTGAAGAACTCAAGCCTGGATCTTTTCAAGTCTCTTCTATGCGTCGGCTTCTTCATCAAAAATTGCCGCTGTGCCATTCTGCTAGTTATGCAGCTGATATCTTCAATTGCACCTCTAAAGGGGGAAACCTGAGATCGACATTCTAACTACCCGTCACCAGATAGCGGCTTCGAATTGCAGATGGACTAGCATCAAGTCCGATTCTGGTGCTGGTGTCCATTGGAAGTACCCGATAGGTCGGTTGAAAGTACCCGATAGGTTGTGAACGTGGAGCTTGAAACCAATTGTTGGAGTAAGATCATCAACAAGGCGCGCCTCGCCAAATTCTCCGACAAATCGCCCTCATGAGGTTACACAAATTGAGACATATAAGGTCCCAGTCTTACCCCGCTTGGGCCTAATTCTAAAAGCTATTCTGACCATTGCGGCTAGTATTTGATGAGAGAGACTGAAACAGATCAACCGAGACAAAGCAGAAATATACTGTAACGTTATCTGTAAGAGTTTCAGGACCCTTGCATTAGATTCACCCAACATGGTGCGCTTCCAACATTTTGAGGTTGAGCGGTGGATGGAGGCTTATGAATTTACTCCTGGGGTTCTAAACATTGCTGAGACATGCGTTGAATCCGTCTCCATCGACCAGCTGGCCCAGCTATCCGGAGACAAGGGTGAGCTTCCCCCACGAACCAGCACTGTGCTCATATATGGAGCCATTCGCGGGTCATCGACGTTGAGGGAAACCATCTCGACTCTCTACGAAGGGGAGCAGATAGCACCCGAGAATGTTATCATCACTCAGGGCGCCATAGCGGCCAACTTTCTGGCATTCTATAGCTTGATCGAACCCGAAGACCATGTCATTTGCGTGTACCCGACGTATCAGCAGCTCTACTCAGTGCCCGAGAGCCTTGGAGCAGAGGTTTCGCTTTGGCGCTTGAAGCCTGAGCAGGGCTTTGTACCTGACATGGATGAGCTGGAGAAGCTCGCCAAAGCAAACACAAAGGTCTGTACTGCATGTAACACACAGTTGGGCGGCATTCATTTGGTTTCATTAGACTCTTCGTCGCTAACCCCACAACTCAAGATGATTGTCATTAACAACCCCAACAATCCTACCGGGGTGCCCATCCCCAGAGATGTCGTTTATAAAATTGTGGACTTTGCCAAGGCCAGGGGGATCATGATCCTGTCTGACGAGGTCTATCGCCCGTTATTTCACGATGGATTGGAAGACAACGCAGACATGCCTCCATCGGTGGCAGACCTGGGCTATGACAAGGCCATTGTCACCGGGTCTCTGTCCAAAGCATACTCTCTAGGCGGCATCCGGGTGGGCTGGATTGCGTCAGGCGACAAGGCCATTGTCGAGAGACTGGTTGAGGCGCGGCACTACGTGACAATCAGCGTGTCGCAGCTAGACGACCAGGTGGCAAGCTATGCGCTTTCCCCGGCCGTGCGCGGCGCGCTGATGAAGCGGAACATCCAGCAGGCAAAGCACAACGCCGACATGCTCAAGGCGTTTGTGGAGGCGCATTCTTCGGTCTGCTCGTGGGTGGCGCCAACCGCGGGAACGACGGCATTCATCCAGTTCCATGTGGGCGGCAAGCCGGTGGATGATGTCGCCTTTTGCCGCGACGTCCTGGACAAGACCAAAGTGCTCCTCGTGCCCGGATCTCGCTGCTTTGGACATGATCAGGACTTTGCAGGCTACGTTCGAGTCGGCTTTGTTGGATCTACGGCCGTGTTGGAAGAAGCGCTGCAGAAGCTGGGGGTTTATGTCCGGCAGCATCTGGGCCAATGAGCGGGAGGCGAGATTTGTCACTGGGCCCTTGTTCCGCATTAGGCAACATTGGAAGCATGGAATCAGCACAGAGCCTCAGCCACAGACGGCCTTCTATTTTTACCGCCCAGTTGAGTGTCTCGGACCAGTTGGAGGCTGTATGTATGTGGATTAGGTAACATTGGGGATCCGAGTTTTGGACTTTTGGCGGCCCAGTTCCTGACATATGCATGTGCCGTATCGTATTGCAGTTGGGTCAGTCAGCCCTCGGTAATAATCCTTGGTAGTTCTATAGTAGAACCCTTAATTCCATCTGTTGGATTGATGTGTATTCAATACCCAAGGGGGCTGTGAAGATGTGAAGACTGTGGGTACTGCGGAGGCGGACAGAAGCACAAGCCGGCGGCCAAAAAGAATCTGCATCAAAAACTGAACACCAAAAGATGGAATCGAAAAAAAAAGAGCTTTTTTCTTTTTGAGGCTGTCGTCGTCATTCTCCTCTGACAACTCAGCGCCCGTTATATCCGCTGGAGCAACAACGCGCGTTTCCCTGCCACACTCGGCGACTCGGCATCGGCATCAGCAATACAATCCAAATCCCCGTGTGCCGGCAGTCCCCACCGCTTGGGCGCTAATGACGACGCCTGTCAGTGCAGCTTCTCCTGTTTCAGCAGTGCGTCTCATTTCACAGCCACGCCGCATCCGTTCTGTGACAATTTATAACAATGGCCCGGGACCCTGCGAGACATGGCGAGCCTGGTTTGATCTGATTTTCTACTCTGTTGATTATATTCGAGTGTCCTTTTTTCTTGTCTTGACCGTCTATACCCTGGAGTTTTGTGCGAGACATCCTATTGGCATCACACGTGTGTGTTTTTGTTGCGTACCTGATCGACATACTATTACCAGAGCCTCACGGCATCAGCTTTTCACAACCTCTTCTACGGAGACGCGCAGACGACCCATCCCTGACTCAGAAAACCCTACGAGGTCGTCGACACTGTAGTATTGCTACAAAGTAGATATCTCTACCTATCAGTATATTCTTATCCATTGTATATTATCCAGTAGCCTTGTCGCCATGAAGGCCTCACCCCTGGCCGTTGCAGGCGTCGTCCTCGCATCAACAGCCCACGCCCAAGTCGTCCAGTTCGACATTGAGAAACGTCACGACGCACCGAGTCTTTGCAAACGAGACGCGACCATCGACGGCACTCTGTCCAACCAAAAGGTTCAGGGAGGATACTTTATCAACGTCGAGGTCGGAACCCCGGGCCAGAACATCACGCTGCAGCTCGACACAGGTAGTAGTGATGTCTGGGTCCCTGCTTCGACAGCTGCCATCTGCACGCAAACTTCACAAAGAAACCCCGGCTGCACTTTTGGAAGCTGTAAGTTAAAAGACCCTTTATTTTATTTTTTATATCTGCAGCTCACCTAATTCCTCCTTTCCCAGTCAACTCCGATGATTCCAGCACCTTTCAGGTTGTTGGAGAAAACCTCTTCGACATCACCTATGTCGATGGCTCCTCGTCCAAGGGCGACTACATTGAAGACACCTTCCGCATCAACGGCATAAACATCCAGAATCTCACCATGGGCCTTGGTCTGGACACATCCATCGCCAACGGCCTGGTGGGAGTGGGATACATCAACGATGAAGCGTCACTCGGCACAACCCGACAGACCTACCCGAACCTTCCCGTTGTCTTGCAGCAGCAGAAGCTCATCAACACCGTAGCCTTTAGTCTGTGGCTCAACGACCTGGATGCCAGCACGGGCTCCATCCTATTCGGCGGCATCGACACCGAAAAGTACCACGGCGATTTGACCAGGATCAACATCATTTCCCCCGACGGCGGCAAAACCTTCACCGAGTTTGCTGTTAACCTGTACCAAGTCCAGGCTTCAAGCCCCAGTGGTACTGACACCCTCAGCACAAGTCAGCAGACTCTGACAGCTGTTTTGGATTCGGGAACCACCCTGACCTATCTGCCTCAAGACATGGCTGAGCAGGCGTGGAACGAAGTTGGAGCTAGTTTCAGCGACGAGCTCGGCATCGCAGTTGTTCCTTGCTCTGTCGGCAACATCAACGGCCACTTCGCCTTTACCTTTGCCGGAGCCGATGGTCCTACAATCAATGTCACCTTGTCTGAGCTCGTCCTCGACCTCTTCAGCGGCGGCCCCCCTCCCCAGTTCTCGTCTGGCCCCAACAAGGGCCAGTCCATCTGCGAGTTTGGCATCCAGAACACCACCGACGCTCCTTACCTGCTGGGCGACACGTTCCTCCGATCTGCATTCGTTACCTACGACCTGGTCAACAACGAGATTGGAATTGCCCCTACCAACTTCAACTCTACCCAGACCAACGTTGTTGCTTTCGCCAGCAGCGGCGCTCCTATTCCATCCTCCACCAGCGCACCAAACCAGAGCAACACTGGCCATTCTTCATCGACACAGTCCGGCATGTCTGCTGCCAGTGGCTTCCATGATGGCGATGATGACAACGCTGCTTCCTTGACCGGCGCCTTTTCCGGCCCTGGAATGATTGTTGTCGGCTTGACTATCTGCTACACTCTTCTCGGAAGCGCCGTATTCGGCGTTGGGTGGCTGTAAATTTTGCACATCCGTCCAAATTCGTCAACCCATTGCTCGTGGGTGTTTATGAAATGTTGAATTAAAATGATATTGGGGCGCAATGGTATATAACATGGGATTCTGTTTCTTTTTTTCTTACTTGTTTTTGCATACAAAGCAAGCATTCATTGGAGTTGAGGCTGGCTTCCGAGACATTCGCTACAAAAGAAGCGTTCAGATACCTAAGTACATAAGTACATACACATAGACATGTAACTTGAAAGATTACACATAGTCAAAATCATCATTATCTGCATTCTTAAACCTGCTCCTTGTGATTATTACTTAAAACTGCCAGTAAATTGAGGCTATTTCCAATGCACACTGTGGCGGTGGTCCGATTTGCGACCGCACGTGAGAGGTTGAGCCAATTGGAGGGACCCTGACGGACTAAAAAAAAAAAAAGTTTCAAGCGGCCATTTTAAGCCGATGGCCGATCTCTGAGTGCCTTCAACCCACCTTTGCCCAGTGGACAAGCTCGCAATATGAGGGCATTTGGGACTGCCAGATGGCTTAATTGCCATCTGTTTGCGGATGCCCAGAAGGCAACTTCTGGAGCTCGCAATTTCCAGGCTGCCATTCTTCCCTTGGCTTATCAAGGCCAGCTGCGAGCTTTCAGCGGATCAGCCCCGCGGCTCAATGCTGCGCAGGAAGCGTAAGGACCACCACCAACCATGTCTTGGATTTCCAGTTATGAAGCTTGCGAGCGAGTTGGATGCAAGGCGAAACAATGAGGCTGACATTTAGAAAACGAATAGTTTGAAGAAGGCTCAGAATGATGCTGCCAGCCTCACTGCCGAGTCTGTTGCCGCCAACCTTGCTCCCGAAGAGGTTCAGCGTCTCTCTTCAGTCCGGAACATCGGTATCGCGGTACGAAACCACCTTTGCTGTTAATGGCGCATATATGGAACTCGAGAATAGAGAGGAAGAGACAAAAAAGGAGACAACAAACTAACAAGATATAAACAAACAATAGGCACACATTGACAGTGGCAAAACTACGGTAACGGAACGAGTTCTCTTCTACACTGGTCGAATCAAGGCAATCCACGAGGTCCGAGGCAAAGATGCCGTCGGCGCCAAGATGGACTCTATGGAACTGGAACGAGAAAAGGGTATCACTATTCAGTCTGCGGCTACATTCTGCGACTGGAAGAAAACGGTAAACGGAAAGGATGAAGAGTATCACATCAACTTGATCGACACTCCCGGCCACATTGACTTCACCATCGAGGTCGAGCGTGCTTTGCGCGTGCTCGATGGTGCCGTCATGATTCTCTGCGCTGTCTCCGCTGTTCAGTCCCAAACGATTACGGTCGATCGCCAAATGAAGCGCTACGATGTTCCTAGGATTTCTTTCATCAACAAGATGGACCGCATGGGTGCCAACCCCTGGAAGGCCGTCGAACAGATCAACTCCAAGCTCAAGATCCCCGCGGCCGCCATCCAGATCCCCATTGGCGCCGAGGACGAGTTCGAGGGTGTTGTCGACATTATCGAGATGAAGGCCATGTACTTTGAGGGCCCCCGTGGCACCAAGGTCCGAGTCACCGACCAGGTCCCGGCCAATCTGCAAGAGTTTGCCGCCGAGAAGCGACAATTCTTGATTGAGAAGCTGGCCGACGTTGACGACGAAATCGCCGAGCTGTATCTCGATGAGCAGGAACCCACCAATGCCCAGATCAAGGCTGCTATTCGCCGCGCCACCATTGCCCGCAAGTTTACTCCTGTCATGATGGGCTCTGCCCTGGCCGATAAGGGTATTCAGCCCATGCTGGATGCTGTCTGCGACTACCTCCCCAACCCCGGTCAGATTGAAAACACCGCTCTGGACAAGTCCAAGGGAGAGGAGACCGTGTCACTGGTCCCCTACAACTCGCTTCCCTTTGTCGGTCTTGCGTTCAAGCTCGAGGAGAACAACTATGGCCAACTTACCTACATCCGTGTCTACCAGGGAACCCTGAGCAAGGGTACCTACCTGTACAACTCCCGAACCGACAAGAAGGTCCGCATTCCCCGCATTGTTCGCATGCACTCCAACGAGATGGAGGACGTCAACGAGGTCGGTGCCGGTGAGATTTGCGCCGTGTTCGGCGTTGACTGTGCTTCTGGCGATACCTTTACCGATGGCGGTCTCCCCTATACCATGTCTTCCATGTTCGTCCCCGATGCCGTCATGTCATTGTCCATCAAGCCGAAGCGCACTGGCGACGCCGACAACTTCAGTAAGGCGATGAACCGATTCCAGCGCGAGGACCCGACCTTCCGTGTCCACGTCGATGCCGAGAGTGAAGAGACCATCATTTCCGGCATGGGTGAATTGCATCTCGAAGTCTACGTCGAGCGCCTCAAGCGAGAGTACAAGACGGAGTGTGTCACCGGCCAGCCCCGCGTCGCCTACCGTGAGACCATCTCTCGCCGTGCCGATTTCGATTACCTCCTCAAGCGACAGAGCGGTGGTCCCGGTGACTTTGCCCGCGTCGCCGGCTACATTGAGCCCAACGACAAGCCAGAGGAGAACCACTACGAGAGCCAGGTCGTCGGCGGCCACATCCCTGACAAGTTCCTGTCCGCCTGTTCCAAGGGTTTCGAGCTTGCCTGTGAAAAGGGCCCCCTGCTGGGCCACCGCGTCATCGGCTCCAAGATGATTATCAACGACGGTCAGACCCACGTTACCGATTCCTCCGACTATGCCTTCAACCTGGCGACCCAGATGGCCTTCCGCAAGGCCTTCCCCGAAGCCGGCGGCCAGGTCCTCGAGCCGCTGATGAAGACGACCATTACCGCCCCGAACGAGTTCCAAGGAAACATCCTCATGCTGATGAACAAGCGCAACGCCACCATCCACGACACGGAGATTGGCAGCGAGGACTTTACGCTCATCTGTGACTGCAGCTTGAACGCCATGTTTGGCTTCAGCTCGCAGCTGCGTGCGGCGACTCAGGGCAAGGGTGAATTCAGCATGGAGTTCAGCCACTATGCCCCTGCTCCTCCTCACTTGCAGTAAGTTTTACTTCCACCTTCTTTTAACTTCTCTCTCTTGCCAAACATTTTATTATGAGGCATCGTTGTTGTTTCATATTGTCATTGTGACTAATACCGTTTATAGAAAGGAGCTGGTCGCCAAGTACGAGGCCGAGCTCGAGGCGAAGCGAACCAAATAAAAGGCTCGCAGCTAGCTGATGAAAGAACGCAGCCCCCCCGGACAAGAGTGATATCATAAAACGCTTACTGATGGGGCGGGCTGTCTTGTACGAATACCCCTGTGAAACAAATGTCTTGTGTACATGTATGGAGTGCGGGAAGAGAGAAACATGCGATGTGACTGGTTCAATACCGATTTCTAGAAAGCGAAAGAAGCCTTTCACGTGCCCAATGAAGAGAGAATAAAAAAAGGGTTCAGGGATATAAAAAAGCAAAAAAGTTCACTGTTTGTACTAGGGACTATTAGCAGGATTAGATGCAAGATGGATAGAACTTTGGTCATGCATGCATGTACGAGTACACTTTAAAACACAAATGAACTTGACTCTCCCTCAAACAACATGCAAGCAAAGCAGTGAAGTTGCCTTCATTTCGTGTAAGCCATTATCGACATCAGGGCAGCGAAACAAAGATCCATCATCTCATATAACCAAGGAACGTCATCTCATATATGATCAGGGAACGCCTCGGTACGCCAGGCCCAGGCCAGCCTTGCCAAAATGAAAACTGCCTATACCGTACCGGGGAGCGGCTGGGGACGAAAAGAGATGTGGAAACCACCTGCGTTTTCGTATTTGGCCCCCAGAAAGAGAACCGAGAAAAGTGCTCCATCTCGCGTGTTGCCGGGACTACATTCCACAAGCATCTAAATTGTTAGTCTGGTACTTTTCTAGATGCGTATGGCAGCCTAATGATTATCAGTACCAAGCTAACATTTCAAATGCCTGTAGGAGGTATTTTCTTTTTCGCTTGTCTGGGACAGGCACAGGATCCCCCCCGTACGAAGACGGGAAGATGCTAGAACGCGTCTAGGCTGGGCTGGGGGCTAGCCTCATTAAAGTGAGAAAGCGATCAATGAAAATAAAGGACGGGCACTTCCGAGCAAGCTGTCGTTCCCGCCTAACCCTGCCATGGACATCATATCATGGATAAAAAGCATCCGTGCGTTCCGTCGTGACACGGTGTCAACTCTGTGTTTCTGTTTCTACCAGCAGTACAGTAGCCCATCTTGGAGGTCTTTGAAGAGATGATGCTTATGCCGGCATGGAAATAAGACTAGTTAATGGTGCTCCGGATGGAGAAGCTGTCTGTCTGGGAAAGTTTGAAGGAAGAGAGAAGGGATCGGTATGGGGAACGTGCTCTGGCTGGGACCCCCTTAACAGGTCTTTTGCTGACTATGCAGGTGATGCGTCCCGTATAAGTGCATGCGAGAAAGAAAGAGAGTTATCCACTCGGGCGATGGCTAAAGATGCGGATGATACGGTGTATTATTACGGAGTAGTATTCTAGACTGTGATCTGTATAACAAATGGTCGAAATGGCATTTCTCGTGAACTTCATTGTGGCTGTTGTCACGTTGAATACTCGTACTAATGAATACTCGTACTAGGCTCTAATTCTAATGCAAGGGGTAGACGTCAAAACTCGTATTAGTGTTCGGTTCGGAAGGGGATCTCGCAGAATCAATTGTGACGAGATGGCCAGCTGGAAAGCACCAGACGGGCTAGTACGGGGATCGAGTACTTGTGTAATACCCCGAAACAGGGTACCTGGGTTGTATATTGCACTTTCTCAGAGAGAGAGAGAGTGTGTGTGAGTGTGTGTGGCGTCATGGAACGCCTAAAAGCCGAAATGAAGCTGTCGATATTAATTGCTCTTGTTTCGCTGCTCCTGACATAAAACCGCCAGCGAGGGAGATTACAAGCCTGGCTAGAGGTTTGTTGTGGTTGCGTGGCTGGACCAATCACGGCGTGTGTGTAAGCTGGAGTGAGTGAGTGGCCACATTGGGAAGATGCCACGACCAGACTTAGACTTGCATCCATTGGATTATTATTGTTTATTACGAATTGAATTGAATGCAGACCTTTCGTGCTCCGTACTAAATTGTACACTACTGCTGCCCGTTGCTGCATCCAGTTCTACTGCAGTCAAGTACATGTACGAGTATGTACTCATAGATGCGGTGAGCGCTGCAGATGCAAGAAAAGAATCCAATCCGTCAGCAGCGCATGATCGGTGTCGGTCAGAGATGCCTGGCATCGAAAAATCCCATATAAAAAATGCCGGGGTTCGGGAAGCAAGTACCAGCTCTACGGCAGTACCTGTAGACGGCAGCACAGGGCGCTCGTTGGGGAAGGTACTGCACTACGGGCCACTGGTGCCTTTTTTGTCCGCCTGGGGGAAACTGCCCAGTCTTTAGCACCAGCACCAAAGAGTCCCCCAAAGAGCGGCGTGGCGGATCGGCCCATCCGAACCTCATTTCTCACAAACGCGCCTTGTGACGGTTGTTAGTGGCGGATTCGCATGTTGATGGCGCGCTCACGCAGGCGCAATGTCGCGTTTTTGGAGGTGGTGGGTTGGCTGATGACTGACTGATGATTGTCGAATCAAGCAATTGGATCGGATTGGGGAGTGGGTGAGTGAGAAGGCGGTGCGGTAAACAGTTGCTGCTGCATGAACCTATTACGAGTGGATGCGTGTACTCTACTTTACTGTAGAATCTACAGTACGGGCGGGCTGTCTGTTTAAGTGCACGGATACCTGGACGGGTACCTGGTCCTGGAAGTACCACATGTACTCCTGTCACTGAAGCTGCGAGGGCCATACAGGTCAATAACATGACGGCTCTCTCTCTCTCTGTCTGTCAACAGTGACAACAGCCAAGCACGCGAGTATAACCTGTGCATCTAGAACAATTGACAGAAGAGGCCACTTTCACTTTATCCCTGGCCTAGCACAAAAAAGTGCCACCACTAATACTGTACTGTACTGTACTGTACGAGTCTGCAGTACTGCATCGCAACCCCTGAACTGATCCCAATTGACCCGTGTCGCGCCATGTATGGAGATGGAGCATGGAGAACGGAGCACGGAGGTACTTGTGTCGCATGTACTCCCCGAGGTACTTGCTGCTGGGAGGGTCTCGGTCTCGGTCCCTTTCCCTCCCTTTCTCCTCTAGCTCTAGTATTTCGTTCGTCAATCTCCCCTACTTCTACTTGGCGAAGCTATTAGTATACTTTTCCTCTTCTCCTGAATCTTCATACGGATGGTTTTTTCCAAAGAACCTCCAGCATATCGATTGCGCGCAAATCATTCCCTAGAGCCTCCGCGGACGCGGCCCGTCTTTCACCATGAGCGCGGTCAAGAACCTGCGAGCCATGTTCGAGAACAAAGGGGACGCGAGCCCAGCGGACGATGATAGAGGTAGATCCCTTGGTGTCTCAACTCCATCTCCAACCCCAGGAGGTAATGCCCTCAGTGTGTGCTGATGATTTGCCATTTGCTTGCTTCTTCTTCCTGCTCTCCAGCCTTCCATTATGTGCCCTTCAAGAAGCCTGTTTGTTACTGTCCATCCCAGACGCTGCTGGGCTGCTCCTGTAGCTGTTAGTTCCGCTAAAGGCTGGAGGGCTGCTCTAAGACCTGGATGCATACCTTATGCTTGACTGCTGCCATGCCACCACAAAGAGCTTAACTTCCGTCCAGAAAGCTAACCCGCTCTTCTTTCCGCCACTAGCTCGAAGCGGTTCCCCCAAGCCGCTCGTCAATAAGGTGCGAAGCAGCTTTGTTGCCGTCGAACGAAACGGCGTCATCGGCCTGGTCAGGGAAGACAGCCTTTCTCGAACCTCGACTCCGCGAGGCAGCCTCGACATCGACCGCGAAGCCATCTCAAAGGCCAAGATCGATAAACCCCCCAAGTCGCCCAAGTCGCCCATGTCCCCTGCGTTCCTGGCTAGCCTCAACTCCGCCATGAGCCAGATATCTGTGCGATCCGCCCGAGCTTCCCTCGAGTTCCAGCAGGAACAGGAGGGACTGCCGGGAGCTGTTACCGACAAGCCAAGTCACAACCCGGACAAGGTTGTCGACGAAGAGACTCCCACCGGTGTGCTGTCGCCAGCAGACCCAACCACCGCAACGGCTGAGCCTGCGGTCAAGTCTGCCCCCGAATCTGTCGCTGAATCTGCACCTGAATCCGCAACAGAGTCAGCTCCCGAATCAGCTCCCGCGAAGAAATCCGAGCCTGAGCAGCCGGCATCCAAGGAAACTGCCGCCCCTGCGAGCAGCACCGACAGTGTCTCACAAAAGTCAGACAAGTCGACCAAGCCAGCTGCCGCCACCAAGGCTGTCGCGAAGCCTGCCGCAACCAAGACTACGGCCACAAAGACTGCGGCCACGAAGACTACAGCTACTAAGACTGCTGCTACAAAGACTGCTGCAGCTCCCGCTCCCAAGGCGGCAGCCGCCAAAGCCACTCCCAAACCTGCTGCAGCAACTGCTACCAAAGCCGCTACCGACTCCTCCAGGCGAGCGAACGCCAGACCATTGCAAAAGACAGTAGAAGCCACTGCCAGAAGATCCACTTCGGCTGTCCGGTCGAGCTCTGCTGCCCGGTCAACTTCGGCTGTCAGATCCTCTTCTGCCGTCAGACCCGGTTCTGCAGCCAGACCAGGCTCTGCAGCCAGGCCAGCTTCTGCCGCAAAGACTGGAGCTGCAACTGGTGCTGCTAAGAAGCCTCACCCCATCAAGATTGACAGCGGTGCTGCTGTCCCGAAGCCAAAGACCAGATCGCCCACCAAGCCGGTTGGCCTCCCTGCTTCCCTCACCGCTCCCACCGCCTCTTCCGTCTCCAAGACTGGTGCGGGTGCGGCATCTGGAGCAACTCAGTCCAGACCGACCAATTCAAGGCAATCTCTCGGCCCCCTGGGCGGGCAGGTTCCTGGCCATGTTGTACATGGTGCTAAGACAGCCAAACAAGAGTCTGCTCTGCGGGCCGCCAAAGAAAGGTCTGCTGCGCGATCTCGACCCAGCATTGGGCCACCGCCCGCCAAGCCTACCAAAGAGGCGCCTAAGAAGACGAAGGACGTTGACGAGGGCTTCTTGGCCCGCATGATGCGACCTACGCAGGCGTCATCCAGCAAGACGGCAGGGGAGCCAACTACACCTCCTAAGAAATGTGGATCCCGACCCTCTACTGCTGGAACGGCAGCATCTGGATCAGATCGCAGCCACTATGAGGGCAGCCCAACCCGAAAGTCTTCTCCTAGGAAGTCGATCGGCAAGAAATCCCCTTCTCCCTCATTGAGCGAGAAATCCGTCACCAAGCCCAAGGAGGAGGCTGTTGAGGAGCCCGTCAAAGATGTGGCTCAGGAGGAGGCTGCTCCTGTGAAGGCTGAGGAACCCGAGCCTCTCCCAGTGGAGGAGGCGGCTGCTGAAACTGCCAATGTCGAGACTGCTGAGGAGGTTGTTGCTATTGCTGAGGATGCCGAGCTCACCCAGGCCGCCCCTGAGCCCGTTGCTGAGGTTGCTGAGGTTGCTGAGACCAAGGTTGAGGAGACTCCCGCTGCCGAGCCTGTTGTCGAGTCTGAGCCCGTTGCTGAGCCCGAGGCTGCCGTCGCCGTTGAGGAAGCTCCTGTTGAGCCGGCTACTGAAGCCACCGAGGAGCCCAAGGCGGAGGAGGTTGCCGAGCCCGTCGCCGAGCCAGTTGTCCTGGAGACTTCTGAGAAGGCTGACGAGACCGCTGTTCAGGCTTCCTCATAATCAACAAATTATAAATCAATGGCAAAAATAATAATAGCAGTTTGGTGTTTTGTTGGTCAGGGACGGCGTTTGTCAAGTTTTGACATTGGTGGAGATGTGTTTTTTCTGGTCCTTTTTGTTTGATATCGAACCCCCCTTGTCTATGTAATATTGGACAGGCCTCCGCGGCCCTCTGTCGAAAAGGAGAGATGTAGTTATTAAGATACCTTAGATACCTGTTTATAGCGACCACTGGTGATACTTTCTTTTTCTTTGGGACCTTGGGAGTATATGCATAAATTGCATTTTTATTTTGCCAAAGCCATCATCAACGAGCAACAGGATTCCTCGTCCATTTTGATCATGCATACTTGTTTGTAATTGATTCTATTCATACAGTGAGATGTACTTTCTCTCTCCCTCTCCCTCTCTTTTGTGAGACAATACATGTTAATATATATACACAACCATAATCATTGAAGCCATCTCCACGCCTTTTCTTCTTTTTCAGTCTATTTTCTCCTTTTTTCGTTTTTCGTATTCGTCGTTGTCCCATTTGAGCGAGACTATGATACTCGGCACATGAGCACACCACCAACCTTCTTCGCCAACGCCTCCCTAACCTCAAGCACACCCCTCGACGTAGACACAAACATACACTCCCCCACCCCCAAACCACTAACAACCCCTCCCTTGAGCTTCGTCGGGAACCCCCTCGTAAGGCGAGCCAGCTCCTGAACATCTACAGTAAGCTGCCTCGAGGGCTTGCTAATAACAGTAGCTTTCGACAGGACGGGCCGTCCGTCCCAGTACTTGAGGCCGAGCCAGATGCGCATCTTTGCGACGGTGGCGTTTGTGACGGGCTCGGGGACCTGGGCGACCATCTGCTCCGGGGTAGGGGGGTGCGGGCCGGCGCGGTAGACGGAGGAGAAGAAGCCGGAGCGGTGGAGGGCGAGGGCGAGGTGCAGGTTGTACTTGTTGGAGGGGATGGAGGTGAGGCCCAGGCGGGCTTTGGATGCGTTTTGGAGGTGGGAGCACATGTGTGCTATGTTGAGGATGGAGGGCATGGTGGGCGATTTGGTTCTTGGTTTGTCTTATGTGTTTGTTGGGCTAGGAGGAGAATGATAGTTGTGTCGTCGAGATTTTCTTTTCCTCTAAATCGTGAAAGTTAGAATAGATGTTGGAATTGTCGTTTGCAGGCCTTGGGGGTACTCACAGCGCATCGTCTAGAAACGCTCCCTGACCGGCCAATTCGCCCAACTACAGCTGAATTACCAACCGCAATTCGTCCTGCAAGAGATGCGCTCTGCAGGGATTTGCAAAACGAAGGTGGAATGGCGGAGGGTGATTGTATTTGGTTGATTATCGCGATTGGTTTCGATATGGTGGTGCTACAGGAAAGCGGCCTGTCAAAAATTTGGAGGTGGGTGACTAAGCAGAAATGTGGCACAACTTTCTTTGGCCTCTAGCAGATAGAGCATCATGATATGGAGCAGAGTGAAAGAAGCACAGAATTTAGTATACAATATGATGTGTGAATTGGATTTTTTTCCCTCAATTGATGTTATTTGCTATTTGATTGGAGTTTGTTTATCCAGATATCCGCTTGTATTAGACCATACCGCCCATATTGTTCACATTTCTACATGCCCATGTTAGAATCCTAACCGCTGCTACAAAGTGCCAATCCCTGCAAATATTCATGTACATATTTGACATTTGCCTCCGTTATCGCCTTTTTTTGAACTGTTCATGCATCTGCCAACCCATCAAGACATGAATTGTCGTACTTCAGACCCATACCACGCCAAGATTGAAGGAAAAAAGGAGCGACAGTGACCCCCCTCGCCTGAGCTCTAATATCGGTATCATTTCCAACCGAAAAGCCCTCCAACAAAGGATGCAAGAGATCCACGACGCTTATACGCCAGTACAAGGGCCGTCAAGACAACAGGGCTCGAGACCAGCGCAATGAAGCTCTGCACCAGTATCTGACCCTGGCGATCGCTCTTGCGCACCACGTCTGCGTATCCCTCGTTGCCGAAGCTGACGCGGGAGTACTTGGTCTGCCAGCCAAAGGACGGGAAGTGCACGCTCATGAATTCCTCGAGGTACTTGCGCAGTCTGTACCGCCTGGAGAGGACCGAGGATCTCATTTCGACGTAGTTTTGCAGAGCTAGGTTGTTGATGGCGTAGGCGTCTTTTGCTCGGACAGCAGAGTACTCTGCCAGAGCGAGGGAGCGTTGGAAGGAGGATGTCTCGGTGGAGTGGATGAGTTCTCCGTCGGGGTTGTTGGTCTCTCCGAGGTTCACGTGCTTGTCGAGGATGGAAAAGAGAATGCGGACATCTTCCATGCCAGCGTTCATGCCCTGGCCATAGAAAGGCACCATGGCGTGGGCTGCGTCGCCGATGATGACTCCAGAAGAGCCATGGTGATAGGGCTTGCACTTGAGGCTAATCAACGGCAGGTGAGGGTTTGTCTCAAACGACTTGATAAGATCCGGCCCTGGTATCAAGGCGGTAACTCCGGGGAAGTGCTTGTCAAAGAACGCCGGGACCGTGGAAGGGTCCCTCTCCAGCTCCGAAATCTCACCGCTGGGAATGAAGAGGGTGCAGGTGAATGATCCGTCCTGCCAAGGTATTAGTAATTGTCATGATTTCAAAAGTCGAATTTGTAAGCGGTTCAAGTCCTACCTCACTGGGAATGGCAATGAACATAAAGTCCTTGCCCGGCCAGATGTGCAAGTGGTTCGGCGAGATTCGGAACTTGGCGTTGGGGTCTTTCTCATTCTCATCCACGGGACGAGGGGGAAGATGGAATTCGCACCACAGGGTGTCGATGTACTCTTGTTGGTAATCCATTCTGGTAAACTTCATCAGGTGATAGCGAACGGCAGAGTGTGCACCGTCCGCTCCAATCATGAGATCGAAAGTGATTTCGATTTCTCTAGGACGGCCATTAGGAACGTAGTCTCTGTCGCGGGCTTCAAACCAAGCCTTGTTCTTCTTAAAGTCGGCTCCAGTAAGCTTGTGGTTGAAGAACAACTTGACGTTGGGCATGGCTTCCAGGATGTCTAGCAGCCGCGAGTTGAGGGCTCCTCGGTCAATAGCATTGATGGCCTGTTTGCTGGTTAACAAAATTGTTTTATCTTAAAAGTAGGAATGAAAATAATTCGGGAGACACAAGCGAGTTTGAGCGCGATGACTCCTTACCTGTCCGTCTATGCCGTAGTTTTGAGAGTGCTCATAAAGACTTCCATCCGGCGACTGTCCGTGAATCATCCGTCCGCGCATCGGAATAGTCGCAGACATGACATGGTCAACCAGCTTCGGCTCACCAGACAGCTGCATAGCATGGAGCCCTCGTTCAGACAAAGCCAAGTTGATGGACTTTGTGAAGTTGAGTGGCACGATGCTGGGATCGCGAAGATCTGAGGCCGGTTAGCGGAGCGGTTTCACAACCCATGGCACTGAGACAAGGAGAGCTCTGGTTCTGAATAAAGCAGAAACAACAACACAGTATCGTTGAAAACTGGAAAACCGTTGCAAAGATAATATCCAACGCCATAGATGAAGAAAAAATATGAATAATTAGAGTATGAGTCCAACAACACCATGAGACCGAGTTCGGAGGCGTCGGGCTCACCATACAACGAGAGAAAAAATTATAGCTTCACTTACCCGGCCGCAACTCATAGACTTCGACTTGGTATCCTCTCTTGGCGGCATATAGCGCCGCCAAAGATCCGACAGGACCAGCGCCAACAACGACAATCTTAGTGTCCGCCATGGCTTCCCGAGACGAGTCAGAATCTCCGAGTTTCCAGCTCCAGAGAAGAAGATCTTATTATGAGAGAGGAAGAAGAGGATCGGGAGCTCTGGAGCTATAAGAAGCCCTGGCTTGACCTCGGACCAAGGGGCGAACCATGTTGACTCAACCCGCGTCTGAGAATTAATAAAGGCAAGGCACATACGAGCAATAGCCGTTCTGATCACATCATGCTAAGCAACAACCTAAGCCACACGTGCGGTCATGTATTATTGGTGTAACGCTTAACATCCTTAGCACTCTGTTTAGTCTTAGTGGCTTTTTCCCAGCGAGTTTCGAGAGAATATGGCCTGTTGCATTAGCATTGGTACCTTCTACTAGAGAGGCATATATAAGAGCCTTGGAAAAGAAGCGCAGAGAAGAGAAAAAAAAAAATGTTGGTGCAGCCGAAGCGTATCCGCCACACTCCGCCACGCCCGGCTTTTCACATGTACCGGCGCAGGCTGTGGCTCCCACATGAAAAAAAGGTGAAGAGCACAGGTACCGGATACTTTCTGTAGCGTTAGTAGCGTAGCGTGTCAGTGCTGCAAAGCCTCTAAGCGCAGCAGCCATTAGAATTTCGAGCCCTTCCCGTATTAGTCCTATCGCAAGTATTTTTATGCCGATCCACCTCTAGATATCTGTAATCCCTCCACGGCATCATCTCTCGAGCCCTTGTAATTCCTTGTCCATATACTCTCTACCCGTCATTAATCTTTCGCCATGACCTCCGAACCCCCCGCGAAGAAGAAGTGCCTGGGCGCAGACTGCGATAACGACGCTGGAGCTCTGCAGTGCCCGACATGCTTGAAGCTAGGCATCAAGGACAGCTTCTTCTGCGCCCAGGACTGCTTTAAGAGAAACTGGGTATGTATAGAGAGCCTTGTCGCGGGCACAATGCTTCATCATGGAGAAATGGAGAGAAAATAGAAGAGAAAAGATACCAGAGGGTGGGAAACAAGATACACTGGCTGACCCCGCGTGAGTAGAGCAACCACAAGAGCATGCACAAGACGCAAAGTAATATCCTCCATCACTTGATTCCCCCGAAACCACTCTTACCAGATCCAGTCACCGGCTACTACAATCCCTTCCCGAGCTTCCCCTTCGCCGGCCCGCTGCGTCCCGTCTATCCTCTGTCCGAGCATCGCACCATCCCCAAGTCAATTCCTCATCCCACCTGGTGGCAGGACGGCGACCCCAAGTACAGCCGGTCTCTGGTAAACCGCAACAAGATCGACATCCACGATGCAAAGGGTATTGCTGCGATGCGCAAGGTCTGCAAGCTGGCACGCGAGGTCCTCGATCTTGCTGCGGCTGCAGCCAAGCCCGGCGTCACGACCGACTTCATCGACGAGCTTGTCCACAAGGCTTGTATAGAGCGCGAGGTAAGTCGTATTTATTGGGAGCACTTGTGTGAGGCCAAGAGCCATGGTACTGATTCGTGGTTTGACATCTAGTCGTACCCCTCACCGTTGAACTACAACCACTTCCCCAAGTCTTGTTGCACATCCGTCAACGAGGTCATCTGCCACGGCATTCCCGACCAGCGTGTCCTGCTCGACGGCGATATTCTCAACATCGACATCAGCTTATACCACGGCGGTTATCACGCCGATCTGAACGAGACGTATTACATTGGTGACAGGGCCAAGGCTGACCCCGATAACGTAAGGGTCGTGGAGGCGGCACGTGAGTCTCTCGACGAGGCTATCAAGGCCGTCAAGCCAGGTGTCCTGATACGAGAATTTGGAAACATTATCGAAAAGGTGGCAAAGCAGAAGGACTGCAGTGTCATCAGGACGTACTGTGGCCACGGAGTTGGAAAGCTCTTCCATTGCCCGCCAAACGTCCCTCATTATGCCAAGAACAAGGCTGTTGGAGAGTGCAAGCCCGGCATGACCTTTACCATTGAGCCCATGATTGCCCTGGGCAAGTACAGGGATATTACATGGCCTGATAACTGGACTAGCACAACCATTGACGGAAAGCGGACGGCCCAGTTTGGTATGTTTTGATCCCCAGTCTGTCATTCGTCAATCGAGAGATACCGTCACTAACTTGCAGTTGCAGAGCACACTCTTCTTGTGACAGAAGATGGCTGCGAGATTCTTACGGCACGAACTGCCGACTCGCCCGGAGGACCGATTCCCATGCCGGAGAAGAAGGTGGATGGGGTGGCAGCTTGAGAAACTGCCTGACAATGTAGGATGAATATATGGCTCTGAGTTAGTGATTTGATACCACCATTATGTAGCGTATTGTATGATGCGGCATCCTAGAGTTGAGGTTGAGGTTGAGCAATAGGGTACTGGCGTCGTTGGGTGTGCTGCGAGTGAATAGAGCCGTTGTTCTCTGCTGCAAATGTTTTTCTTGTGAGTGCTGTTGCCGTGACGAGGTTGGTATCTATTCGTTTAATTTCTACACAATATGTGTAGGAAGATGAAAAAGAGCATGGCCATTTGCTTCCTGGTCGTTTTGAACTTGGGGTAGCATGAGTTTTAAAGCTCGAGACGGGATCTGAGCACAAAGCTCGAGGGTTACAGCACATCGGGCGCTACCTTATGATAAGAGACTTGTACCTGTACCTGCGGGGTGTGTTTGCCCTTGCATCGGTGAATTCACATGAAAATTCGTCTGGAGATCCTGTTTGTGTGCTCTGTGCGCCTGTAGGATCGATGCAATAAGGCCGCTAACAAGAAACAAGGCTTTGGCGATGTGTGTCTGCTGATTTGATATTGATAAAAGTATGCAACCTCTTCATATCTTACTATAAGTGATATATCGAGGAATCAAAGCCTTCAAGCCGGAAACCGGACTTCTGGCTGCTTCCATAGCCCTTCTGCAATTATAGACACCAACCAGCCTCCGGACTAAGGGCAATGCTACTAAAAGTACAGGTACCTGCAGCACCTGCTATCAGCTCCAGCTATCAATCTAGCAGCAGACACGTTAGTGCTTCTGTCCCCACAGCCGAGCACGGGACCGCAGATTCGGACTGGTTGGCTGGCGCTCCCAAAATCTTGCTTGCCCACTGGCAGGTATCGCCACTAATACCAGGCGAGGTCACCAGCTTTTTTCTCCCAATTGCCTCTCGCCCACAATCCTGCTCCTGCTGTCCCTCCTCTCCGCCGATCGCATCATTCGCCCGTTCCGCTTGAGGCCACCTCGCATCTTTTTGCGCCCTCGCCGCCTTGCTCTTTGCTCTGCGTCATTCCCTGGTAAGCCGCAGCCGCAGCCACGCCACGAGCATCAGCCTTGGAAGCTTTGTCCACGAACGAAACCCCCCACTAATGCTAGGTTGCCCAGTTCCCCTCCCTCCTGCACGCCGCGCCGGAATCGAAGCTCGTGACGGAGCTTGAAGCAACACCAATCCGCTAGCCGACAGGAAGCATTTCTTTTGCTTCTTCTTCTCCTTCCTCCTCTCTTCGCCTTCATATCCCGCTAGACAATCTCCAGCTCGTCCGCTTGGAAAACCGTCATGATGTCTGGAGAAGCGTGGCTGTTCCTGTTGGCGGTGTTGATCAACGCCGTCAACCTGTTCCTTCAGGTTTTTTTCACCATCATGTACAGCGATTTGGAATGGTATGACGTCCTCCTCCGATATGGTATCCCCGGACTGCAGGCACATGCGCGCAAGAGAGTAGCCTTGCCAATGCATCTTCTGCAAAGCATCCTCGTACAAGGCTGACACGCATGCCAACAGCGATTACATTAACCCCATCGACCTCTGCAACCGTCTGAACGCATACATCATCCCCGAAGCTGCCGTCCATGGCTTCCTGACCTTTTTGTTCTTGATCAACGGGTACTGGGTTGCCCTGATCCTCAACCTTCCCCTCCTCGGCTACAACATCAAGAAGTGAGCTATCCTCGAACCCTCATTATTGCCGCATATGGGGCGTATCTCTAACCAACAACCTCTAGGATTGTTGACAACACACATCTGCTTGATGCTACCGAGATCTTCCGAAAGCTGAACGTCCATAAGAAGGTGCGTCGTTCTGCACCGGTTCCTTGGCTCCTCAGAGCACGTCGCTAACAATCCCGATAGGAGTCCTTCATCAAGCTGGCCTTCCACTTGATCATGTTCTTCTTCTACCTGTACAGCATGATCGTCGCCCTCATCCGTGACGAGTCTTCGTAAACCATGCCGGCTGGTTGACGAAACTACCCTAACCCATTATACGATACCAATTTCTCTGGCAGGACCGATAAAACTAAACATGACGGGAACTCTGACGAGGGGCCGGTAGGGCAAGACACAGCATGGGACCAGGGCCGTTAATGTTTAGAACTACGCTACAATGGAGCAGGTGAAGCGAATGGCGCGGATGTTTGGGAACGGGCGGGCTGGCTTCACTCGCAGTCCTGCGCACTGCGTCCAGTGATATACTGGTGTATGGAGATTATGTCGAGAGCGGTCTTTTTTCTCTCTTCTTCAGAGAGACAAATTTTGCATCTCGGGTGGTACAGCCTAACCCTCTCTTTATTTCTGCGGGAGGACAGGCTGTTTGTTCGAGGTAGTCTGATGGAATAATGATAAAACTGGAATGTCAGGAGGACGAGGTTTAAGCAAGGGGGGCTAATACAGTTACTAATTGTATCATATCGTTGTTTGCGCCTACGTTATATAGTAAGAAGTGAAGATACGTTTTGCAGGGTTTATTCTTACTCTATCCCCCACGTCATAGCTCTGCCTGGGGTATGACAGCCGGCTTTTTGGCTGATTATTTAAATATCGTGTCTACGCTTCTACTTCACACCGGTCAATCCCAGTACCGCTACCATCTTCCTATAGCAAAAATAATATTATCATGATTTTTTGACATATATTCTGCCAACTTCTGCTGTCCGTAGAGAGTTGGCAGTCCTGCTTCTTTGCTGGTGGCATATCACGTGACCCCAATTGCTGGTCAAGACGCGCCACGCTTCTCTTCTCTCTTCTTTCTTTCAATCTTCATTTGGCATCAATCCTAATCTACAAGCAGCAATCATGGCCGACTTTGGGGAATACCCGCCTAATATGGCACCGCAGGATGCGCTCGTGGTGCGACAGCAGGCGCAGCCAGACCACGAGGTTGTTCCCTATACCGCTGAAGATCTTGCACGGACAAAGGCTGGCCCTGCCTATCCGTACAAGCAAGGAACACACACTCTCAAGCGCAAGAATGTTTTGACCGGCACTGCTGAAGAGATGTTTGTGAGCGAACATTCGTTCAGAGCCAAGCACAGGGCTTTTGAGGCCAAGAACGGCCCATCGAAGATGCGACCCAGCCGAGAAAAGAAGGGAGACGCAAGTGTGGCTCAAGGAGCTGGCGAGTATGTTGGTCCCTGGGCCAAATTCAAGACACAACAATACGAGGAGGTCGAAGTTGTCGACGACGATGACGAGTACGAGTACGAAGAGGTGGAAGAGGAGGAAGAGGTTGTCGAGAGCGGGACGGTAGTGCAAGCACCTTCGGGTGCTCTCGCGCGGCGCAAAGAAGTGGAGGACTTGGGAGAGGAAACGACCACCTTCCATGGCTCCGAAGAATTCGACTACCAAGGCCGAACATATATGCACGTTCCCCAGGATCTGGATGTGGATCTACGCAAAGAGGTTGGCAGCGTCACAAATTTCATACCCAAGAAGCAAATCCACAGTTGGAAGGACCACTCTGGAGCTGTTACAGCGCTACGCTTCATCCCGAGATCAGGACACTTGCTTCTATCAGCCGGTGCAGACACGACCGTCAAGATTCGCGATGTATATCACGACAAGGAACTGCTGCGGACATATTCTGGCCACACCAAGTCATTGTCCGACATTTGCTTCAACGATTCGGGAACCCAATTCTTGTCTGCATCATACGACCGCATGATCAAACTTTGGGACACGGAGAAGGGCATCTGCATCAACAAATTCACGACTGGCAAAACTCCTCACGTTATCAAATTCAACCCCGATCCTGAGCACTCGAACGAATTCCTGGCCGGTATGTCAGACAAGAAGATTGTTCAGTTTGATATACGCACGCCAAACCAAGTGGTTCAAGAATACGATCATCACTTGGCTGCCATCAACACTATTACCTTTGTCGACAATAATCGCCGTTTCATGACGACGTCTGATGACAAGTCACTCCGCGCATGGGATTACAACATCCCCGTGCCCATCAAGTACATTGCTGAGCCCGACATGTATCCTATGACAAGAGCTGCACTTCACCCCTCTGGCAAATACGTCGCATACCAAAGCTCAGACAACCAGATCCTCGTCTATGGGGCCAACGACAAGTTCCGCCAGAACAGGAAGAAGAGCTACAGAGGTCACAACAATGCTGGTCTGGCGATTGATTTAGATTGCAGTCCTGATGGCCAGTTCCTTGCTTCTGGTGACCAGGCCGGCTTCGTATGCTTCTGGGACTGGAAGACCTGCAAGATGTACCACAAGCTAAAGGCGGGTAATCAAGCCATTACTTGTGTGCAGTGGCACCCGCAGGAGACGAGTAAGGTTGTTACAGCTGGCCTGGATGGAGATATTAGATACTGGGATTAAAAAGTTCATGGTGGAAGCGAGCATGATTTATGGCGTTGGTGGTCGGATATCCTAGAACTTGGGTTTGGAAAATAAACTGGCATTGTTTACGAAGCGGCGATGGTTTATGATGTTTTAATTTTTGCCTCTCAAATGAAGGACATATTATTTTCTTGATTCATTTTTGCCTGTCGAGTCTCTATATGCTTTCCTATAGGTCTACTCTTCGTTCGGCCTTGTTACCTCTCTCGACTCTTATCTCGCGATCTTTCTGGTATTCATCGAGGAACAATCCCTTTTGCAAATATCCTTCCTCTTCATCCCATCCAGAGGACCGGTTACCCCAACCGACGGACTGCTCATGACCTGGCTCATACGCATGTTTGTCTTCTTGCCAATCACCATACGTTTCGCTATCGTCTGACGTTGCCCCGATATCCTCAATAACAAAGCTCGTCCCGGTGGCAGTGCCAAAGCCGTAGGGGAACCATTTCATGGCAGCAGCTTTGAGGGCGAGCTGCTTACGCTTGCGATCTCCAGGCGAGTCGTCGTACTCTTGGTGAAGGCGTGATGCCCTCGATGTCGTGGGCGTCTCTTGGATCGATGCTGGGTTGAGCTGTGCTGCTTTAATCGACTTTAGAGCTTCTTCCGAGCCTAGATCAAGGTGAGTCACGAAGCAAGGCAGCATTGCCCTCTCTTCGTGGATGATGTATTCATATCCGCCGTCAAAGTGTGAATCGAAGCCGCTAACAAGAGGGCCGTGAACAGACCCCAGCGTCTTATCCGCTTTGGAGATCTTATTATACGATTTGGAACAATATGTGCGGCCCATGACGGTCGCACAGACGAACAATCGCATGCTGGGAAGCATTCCCAGCGGTGTCTGTTCTCGCTGCCCGCTGGCGTAGGACATTGCGTACGCGGCAGACTGGGAGGAATAGATGCCGCGGTTGAAGGCTATCCCCGAGCGAGGCGATTCTATGCGTTTGCCGTCGGCGACTTTGCCGGGGAGGAGGAAGCCGTTGCGGATGATGGAGCGGACAGAGCGAAGGCTCGTGCCGTGGAACGTGAGTCTCGGCTTGACCATGTCTTCGACAACGGTGTCGATGGAGAGGGTGGTGCGGTAGCGGCCGTCTAGGGAAGAGTGCGGAGGGAGTTTCTTTCGCAGACCGGGTTGTTCTGGGAGGAATGTGCGGAGGTGGTCTTGGTATCGCTGGAAGCGCTTGAGGAGGTCTTCTCGCATAATGTTTTCAAAGTGAATGATTCTCCATGCTGAAGGGATTTGCTGCGCGATTTGCTCTGGTGTCATGCCCAGGAGGAATGAGGCGGTGTCGCGAACGGTCGAGACGTCGAGACCGAAGGGGTTGGAGATTATGTCGTCCCAGCTGGAGATTTCAGAGGCAGACCAGCCTTTGGTGGGAGTGGTGGTTGCCTTGGGATTTGTGGCTTGGTGTACTGGTTCTCCGGGATATTCTGATAAATGTTCTAGAGCCTGGAGAATCGCAATCTGGAGATGCTCTTCTCTAACATGCGATGAATCGTCATCTTCGTTGTAGAGGGTGAGGAAGATTGAGCGGACGTGTTGCCGAAGGGGATCAAGGATGCGACGCGGTATTGAGCTGTTGGTATCGAGGATTCGGCTTGAGAGGAAGGTTTTATGGTCTATAGAGAGACAGAGCTGAAATGTAAAGTTGGGGAACTGGAAATGGAAAGTTTGCTCGTTTAAATCTTCTGATGTGTCTTGGGACCAGGTGAGTACTGATGGAGGGAGATGATTGTCGATGAGATTGACTGTGAGAGCCATGCTGGATGATGTTATGACATGGGTGAAGTCTGTAATGAATAAATCGAAACAATAATATGACTAGATGAAATTAAGTAGAAAAACAACCGCTTATATGCTAATGATATTTGATGTTATGTATAGGCACCTTAAATGAAGCCATGGATTCCATGCAGGCGATGCTGCAGATTATACAAATGGTGAAGCATCATCTGCAGAATGTAACTCGAATAGTGCGCCGCAATGCGCATCCAATTACGCGACAGAAAGGATATGATCTTTTCGAAACGTGGGGAAAATGCATTTTATACATTGCTCGACCAGGCAACAGCTACAGGCATTCAGTGAATCCGATTGGTTCTCCGAGCTAATGACGCTGAGGGCGTTTTTTGGAGATGGCGGCGGGGAGTCATCGGAGGGGGCGCAGGGCTGACTTTGTGAGGGCTCGAGATGAAGCAATTTCTGCTCATGATATCAAAATGCGGATTGAAAAATACACTTAAGGATGAATAAATTATCGGATCTTAATGATGGATAAGATGCAGCCCATTTGGGATGGATGTAAGTTGGGCTAGGCATCTGTTCTGTGAGCTTGGTGTCTTACACGGCATCATATTAACCACCATCAACTGGCGACATGAGTAAGCAACGCAAATGGCAGCAGGCATAATGAAGTATTCCATCGGCATCATTAACTCAATAGAAATTTCCGCATCATATAAAGGTCTTTGTAGCTTGCCATTCGGCAGTGTGTTATGGCTTGGTGGAGAAACTCAGACAGGGCCCCCCTATATGCTCCAGATACCACCTTGGTATAGAGGACAAAGCATCATCCGTTCTTATACCTGAGAAACATGTATGATACAAAGATGAGACATTATTTGAATGTCGATCCATGCGCCACAATGAACACACTTTCTACAAACCACTCTCCATGCCCAAGTACAACGAACTTCCCATGACCCAAATAACCTTGTTGATGGTAGCTTTCCACATCCTGTACATGGACACTCAGAAACTTCTCGATAGATAACCAGAACCTTATATAAAGTATGGATCTTCAACATCCACAAATGGAAAAAACCACGTATGCTTTCAAATTTCCTCTCCGCTTTCCAGCAACCTGTGATTCTTTACCTCTGATTCTTCACTCCGCCAAATCAACCACCATGTCTCCCAACCGTCAGGAGATGCGCAACGATGCACTATCGCGGATAGGACTTCCCATAATTCCAGTCGATCCGGCTCCTCAAGCTTCCGAATGGAACGACGACGAGACGACGCTCGTCACATCGGCCAGCCTATCCTTCTCAACCTTCTCCATCGACGACACAGGTAAGACTCGACTTCCTTTCCTATGCTTCTACCTCGCAGCTCATAGACTTCATCGTACTGACGACGGCTTATTAGTCGTGGATAATGATTTTTACCCTGATCCCCTATTCCGGGAGGAATTAGCCGAATTTCTGAATACTCATTTCGGGAATTATAGAGAAGCAGTGGATCGAGGCTCGAGGAATCTTACGCACCGCTTGAATAATGCGGTGGCGTTTGGGACCGTTGATCTTGATGCAGGACTGCAGGGAGAAAACCGTCAAGGGCGTCCAACAACTGGTCGCGGCAGCAGGGTGTACCATTGGATACTATCTCATGTACGTTAATATCTGATGGCATTATACTATAGGGCCATAGGTTACAATTTCTCTGCCAAGGGAGGGCATTTAGGATTGGATTGGCAGTCGATATTCGGAAATCTCTTCAATAGTCAGGAAAACTTGTTGACTAGATAAAAGTCTTGCTTTTACAGGAAGACAGAATTTAATCTACGAATGAAGATTAATATCACCTCAGCATCATGAATTGGGTTCCAGTCATTCAAGGGCTCCTATAGTACATGATATATACTACTGGTATAAATACCTAATATATACTGGCTACACAGGCGGTATCGGGTTATAGACGCCTTTACTCTTTCGCTGGCGCCTTTACTGACTGCGCAATCATAAGTTCAAGAATTGCTTGAACAACATCCACAGCCGCAAGTGCAGTAGTCTCACCATTATTATCGTATGCCGGTGCCACTTCAACTACGTCTCCTCCAATAATGTTCAGTCCCGCTAGCCCAGCCAAGATGGTCATCAACTCGCGGGTACTCCAACCGCCTGGCTCTGGAGTACCAGTTGCTAATCCTTCGTCAGCGACCAAAGTAGACACGCACATCATGAAAGAGTACCATACCAGGAGCAAATGCAGGGTCGAGAACATCGATATCAACGCTAATGTAGACGTTGGTCTCACCGACGCGCTGTCGAATCTGGTCGATGATGGACTGAACTCCCTTGGTATCAAAGTCACGGGCAGTGATTGTGTCGAAACCGCAACGTCTGTCGTTTCGCATATCCGCCTTTGGTCGCGTCAATGGCGCGCGAATGCCGGCATGAATCGATGAGTTGAGAATAAGATTCTATCAGAGTGAGCGGGCTATCATCGTCTTTAGTTACAAGTGGTCGATGTGAGTTGTACCTCTTCATGTGCAATGTGTAGAAAAGTTCCATGGTTGATCCTCCTGGAGAGATGTCAGTTCACGTTACATATTAGACTTGCCATGTTGCTTTCTGACTTACGCATAATCTGAAATACCACCGCCTTGTTATAAGTTAGCATCGTAGAAGAGGTGCTTTTTTGGGCCAACTGTTATTCCTTACCTAGAACTTCCGGATCCCAAGTGTCTATAGCAAAAGTTAGTAATCTCTACATGTTCAGATCAGGCCATGATTGCATCTCACCAATGTGGCTGTCAAAGTGAATGACAGACACTTGCCCCCATCGCTTGTATGTCGACCGCAGCGCTGACAGGGTTGTAGTGTGATCGCCTCCCAGCGTCACGATTCTCGGTATTGTCGATTTCTCAGGGTGAGCCGTCGACCTCCCAGAAATGGCCCTGTGAGCTTGATCAAGCGTCTTGAGCGCAACACGATTATCGAGCCACGTTAGCGGGGCGTCAAAGCAATCGACAACTCTGGCCCAATCGTGGACAGGGTCGACGCCTGAATATACAGAACATGGTTAGAATTGCCATGATTATCGCGGCAACTTGTTGGAACCATGCAATCTGAGAACTTCTCACCAGTATATATGCTGTAACCATATGCCCTGCGCTTACTGGCGGCCCGGATATAATTTGGCCCAAAGCGTGCTCCGGGACGTCCCGTTACTGCCTTTTAGTTGATTGCTGTCAGTTGAATGCAGAACTCATATAAGCCAGTAGTTATAGGCGATACAGACCGTGTCAAAGGGAGCTCCAAGAATGGCAATATCGAATCCTTCCGAAAAGTCATTGTCGACAAAGCAATTCTCATACGGCAGATTTGCGTAGGTGCCAATGCCGCCGAAATCGTACGTCGCCAGATTAATCTCACCGACACTCTCGGTGTGAGCCCAGAAGGGGATCTGGCTGCCACCGTGAGCCACGAATTGGTGTTGCTGTGCGTGGACGGTCGTGTGCAGCAGGCATGAGAGCTGCACTACGGGTGAGAGCCAGTGATGCATGGTCAATTGAGTCTTTTTTTGAGAGATCCGAGGATTAATCAACTTTTGGTTTAGAAACACAAAGGCAACAGGACTAATTGGTCGATGATGAAGGTACAGAGAGAGAGAGAGTTGTGAGATGGATTCATTCAATATTGTCTACAAACAGTTACTCAGTCTCTATTAGTTACCTAAGGCTATCTACCCCGCTGGATCTCCCGTTAAGCTTCGCCGATTTCAAGGGTACGGATGCCGAATACTAAATACGACGGACTCCCACTAGCCGCATTTTCTGGGTGGGCGTCAAGGGCGTCAATCATGCTTGACAAGCACATGAGCTGCCTACCTGGGCAATTCTTTTTCTTAATGGGGGAACGGAAGATGGTTGCATTGTTTGTGTACCTGCGCTTGCTACGTTAGCCTGCTGCAACTATTTGCACGTGGAAATTTGAAGTCGAAGCCAAGATATGTAAGAAGCCATGATGTTTTCATTGACGTAGTTATTTCAGTGGTATAAGTGGTGCTGTAAGAGAGCGTTCCTAATAACATCGCCATTTTCTTGCAGTAAGTATTTAAAAGTATATCATGGTGCCCCAGAGTATGCTCATCGGCTCCCTATGTGCTTGAGATATTAGATACAGTAGTCACTCCCCTGGTAATGTAGGAGGTAAGAGGACTCAGTATGATTTTCCTTCGTACCAAGATCCCAAAGGCGTTGCGCCGCCTTTTCCACATTCCGCACACCTGCACTGCAGCGTCGATATTGAAACCAACTTGTGAGTCCCACAAGTGGTGCAGTGTCCCAGTATCGGCCGTCGCAGATATGACCTGGCCAGATCACCCGCGAATTCGGGAATTTCGTCTATTAAACCATCCACGGCCTCCTGGACGCTGGGTTTCAGCGGAGTCACCGCGACCCTCTCTCTGACAGACTCAACCACGATGTCACGCAGTTCTTTGCTCGACTCGAATTGTAAGTCGTACACCTCGGCCACGAATTGGGAAAATGCGCACGTGTCCCGCTCATTCCTGACTGTTTTCTTGAATTTGGTCCTCGATAACTCGAGAAGTCCGTCGATGAGATACTTGTCTGCGAGGCTGAACATTTTCACATGCTGGATTAATTCACTAAACACATCGCGCTGCCCCGGCACAATCTCCCCCGGCTCCTCGGATTGCTCTTTGGGTAATTCTTTCGTGTAAGTGTCATAATTGCCCGTGTATAGATAGTCTACCATTCCTTGGACAGTTTCATAAGAGCAGTCTTTGATTTCGTATCTTCCACAGGACTCCTAAACAGGTGCGAAAGGAACAAACTGTCTCAGAAACAGCTCTTCTTATCGGCAGACACACGCTCATGGACTCACCGCAAATGAACCAGTACATGCTGCTTTGATGACTGGAGATTGCAAGCAGATAATGACCTTGTGGACGGATATTGTATGGCCGTTGCATACAATGTCAAGATCACAAAACTCTCCACGATGTTGGGCGCTGTTGGGAGAGAAGAAAAGGTACAAAGTTAGTTGTGTACTATTCCGTGCAGTGTTTACTCACCTCAACATTTGCTTGCACAGGTCATTATAATACGTGTTTAGCTGCGACTGCATCATTTGGTCGGTGCCAGAAAATAGGCACAGATTGATAATTGACAGGACAAAATGCAGCTGTTTGGGATATCAAAAGAGAAAACAAGTCGATTGTTGGTATTGTATTGTTCTCGGCGGCGCTAAAACTGTAGCTTATATTGTTGTGAGCTTTTTCAATTCCATCCGTCGTCATCTTGCCGTCACTCTCTTGCTTGACTCGTGCTAAAATGGCATTGGATGGGAATAAGCCACCGAGCTTCCCAGGCTTACCGAGATCCATAGATAACACGCCAATTGTTTAGTGTTGGATTATGGAGAAAGATGAAAGTTCAACGCGCAACTATAACGTATCCACACGCTGTGAATGGCACTTACATAACTCCAATTAACAAACGGTTTGCAGTAATCCATTGAACTGCACGCTCCAAGTTACAGAATAAACATGTCCAAGCAATCTCTGTATAAAGAAAACCAACAATTTGTTTGATTAGAGCTACTGAAGCTACATTAGAGATCCGAATCGCCACCTTCATTTTGAGGCTGCTGTGTCGCAAATGACATGGCAAGGCCTCTCGCAAAGTCAGGAACTTCTTGCATTGCAGAGTTCAGAATGTAACGGGTGTTAAGGTCAAGCGGAGTCCGCCCAATTCTCTCTCTGATGGACTCAATCATGAGATTGAAAATCATGCTGTCTGGGTTAATTACCGATTCATAAACCTTGGGTATGCATTCGGTCAAGGCGCGTGTCTCTGGCTCATCCCGAATGGCTGCCTTGCCTTTTTTCATTGACAGTTGTAGAAGCCCAGGGATGCCGTATTCTTCTGCCAGCCCCAGCAAGTTCCCGTGAGCGATCAATTCAGAAGCCTTGTCCTGCTCCTCGGACGAGTCCGAAGGTGTTGTTTTATAGTCGCCAGTATATAGATAATCGACCAACCGTTGGACGTCGTCGAAATCATAACCACATATTGCGTATTTTCCATGCCCCTAGATAGGCGCAGATGGAAATCAGTACAGGGAATAGGCATTGTCCTCGATATATGTAGGCTTACCCATTCCTCATAATACGGTTGTTCAATGACACTGGATTGCGAAAAGACAATGATCTTGTGGACAGGGATTGTCTGGCCGCTGCTGCATGAAAGCTCCAGATCGCACTACGATCTGCGCCTTCTGGCACTATACAAGTATCAAAGTGTAAGATTAGGCCTGTACCAAGTACTTTTGTAATAGTAGTCCTTCACCTACGTGGTAAATATTTTCTCGCAACGATCGCACGAAGGCATTGCTAGAGAAGATGAGCTCTGTGTTGCGCTATGAAAGAGGGAAAAGCTAGATGCAAACAGAAGCAAACGGAGAGTGGGCTTGAACAAGGAGAGTGATCGCAGAGATCCACGTGACTACTCAACAGTAGTCCTCTCATTAACGGGGGGTGGGTTAACTTATATACATGTACTCTATAACGTAATGAGACCGTAGTGGTATTATCCTTCGGTAAAGTTCAATTGCATCGACGCATTGCTGTTACTCTTACTTACCACCATGAGTGAATTAAACCACACTCACGTATGCAGTCTTAATAATGCCTATTAGAATAGATATAATTTATGTGCATTACCAGAAGTAGAAATATAGCATGCCTTTAAATACATTTTGATATTATGAAAATACATATCTTGCCTTGTAAACAGAATTAGGCAGTGGTCAAACAAGATATAAGAAAGGGAAAATGCCACAACCGTAACTATTCTATATGTCAGAGAATAAACATATCAATGCGTATTAAATATTAGAATAAGATGAGGGGGGAAATAGTGCTATATAATACGCTCCCGCGCTATCTAGAGGCACATCTGCAGTGCGTATTGCTCGTTGTAAACTCTCCAAGACAGGGAAACCCCCCACCACGAGCCGCCCGTTTACGAAGCTGCGTATGATCATGTTATTTTTATTGCTCAATAAGTCCAGATGCATCTCGGTATCAGTCACCAATGCATAGTAATGCTCGCCACCTCCCTATCACTCAACCCCCTACAGCCCCCACAGCTGCACCTAAACCCATAGCACATGTACAAGTCCTGCGGGCTCAGATTCTTCCCATATGAAATCTTGAGCTCTGTTCCAGCAGTAACATCTTCTCGCACCATCATCGTAAGAACGCCGTTATCGTGATCAAACTCGTATTCCACATTGTTGATGGGATCGCACGCGTGGTTGAACCGAGCAGCTATGGGGAACAAGCCCGACGCATGGTGAGCAACAGCAAAACTACACACATATTAGTAACTTGTAAAGTACATTAATGGAGGCAGCTGAAACTTGCCAATTAGTTTGCCAAACTGCGAGGATTTGAGGCGTGCCCCCTTTTATGAGACGATGCGAATGGAGGCTGAGCGCGACTTTCTTAGCATCCCCGTCAAGCTTGTAGAATTCGTGAAAGACTTTATCAGTTTCAGCCACAAACAACGGGATCTCTCTCAGGATGACATCTCCCTTGGTCAGATCCCGCGTTGCGAAAGCTCCCCATCCTTCAACATTAGACTTGGCGATTTCAAAGTATTCGTTGCCATACATGGGCTCTGGTGACGTCTTGAGTACGGCGGGAGGTGTTAGAGGCGCTTTGATGGTCTTGGGTATCTCCAAATCGACATCTGTGTTAACAGTGTCCTCTTGTATATCGCAGGTGTCGTTCGCTTCCATTTCAGGCGTCTCGCTCTTGTTATCTGAGAATTCGCAAGTCGCATCACCTGAGCTCAATAGATCACTCTGTGTATCTGAAATGGAACTAAACATGGTTCATTAGCTTCATTTCGTACCCAAAGTAAAGCTCGCGAAGATGGGGAAAAGCAACCTGGTGCTCTCCTCTTCCTCGGCGACTTCACATTCGGTGGCATTTCTCTGGCCACGGAGTATCCATGAAAGATCAACTGATAAACTCTTGCGTCTTGTCTTGTAATTCTCTACCGTTGTTGGATATCTGTCGACGGTGAACGGTATAGTGTTGGAGATGGCCCATTCATTTCGGCGCAGGGGCAGACGGGAAGCAATGTCGATGCGCCCAGACCACGGGTGTAGGAGAGCTGCGACTGTTAATGAATAGGCCATGGTGGCAGCAAAAAGGTTATATTAAAATTGAGATCAATGAGCAAATTGAACAAGGAAAGTAAATGTTGAGTTATGTGGTAATCGGAGCCAGAACGAATGACGAAAGTAGATAAGATAGTCAGCACCTAGGTACTTGAGAAGAGAAATTAAAGGCACATAGTGCTACTTAAAAATTAAAAGTAAGATTGGGGTGAACGTAATTTACGATGTGAAGAAGTGAAGAAGTGAAGAAGTGAAGAAGAGGAAAAGGAAAGAAATATGTTCCTATTTAAATAGAAGGCCGTTTGCTTCGACAAAGTCACGTTTTTCAGGCCAAAGGGCAGTAACAAAGGCGGTTATATGGCAAAATGCTTCGAAGGTGGTCAATACAAAGATAAAGATGAAGCCAAGGTAAACTCCAAATCAGTATTATAGACCGTCGTAGTACTCGGTCACTCACCCAGCGGGAAGAGGACGCTCCTCTTCCACGGCAAGACGCCGCATCCACACCGCCGTTTGCCCTCTAAAGACAACCTCCCCATGGCGAACATCACTGTGGTCAAAGAGGACGCTGTGACACAGCAGTAGATACAGTATGGTATGGTATATTGTATTAACTAAACTTGAGTGAATGATGTATTTCCTGTTATACCCAAAAGCGCCTTCTAATATTAACCGCCAAAGCTCAAGCCCCAATAACCCTTTACCCCCTCCGTTGACGCCAGCAATGCATGGTTTCTCCTTGTGCCCATTCCCGTCTTGTGTGACGATGCTACCCTTCCGGGTCCCAGTCCGCTAGGCCGTAATTATGTCTTGTCCAAGATCCCATCCACGCTCTTTGTTATTATGCCCAAACGCCGAGGGCTGTTGATGTACCTGACTCCAACACCAATGAATGACTTCGATAACCTGATCGAGTACCACTCGAGCCGCGACCGATAAATGCAAAATCACACACGGTCCACGCCCAGCTTCCTCCTCGGTCGAAGAGGGCAGTCTCCCTGACAGTCGGGACAACGCAGGCAGCCAGGCTTGGACCAGACTTTCCTGCACCTGCAGACCCAGAGGTCCCGTCCCGTCCTTGTAGTAAGACAGTCAAAAGGAGCGTGTATCCCGGTCTCCACACCGCAGGAGATGCAGAACCGTCGAAGCATGACGAGTCTATCCGACCGCGAGTCTGGCTCTCGATCACGGATTGCGTGTCCATGGGCATCGACGTAGATGGACTGGGGCTGCAGCATGTCAAAGTGCTCCGGCGACCGCACACGAAAGCAGATGTAACACTCGAAGTTGCCAGGCTTGTAGTCATGCCCCTTTTCGCTAGGACGGTGCTGTGCAAAGTCTTTCGCTGCTCTCATGACGAACTGTGCCTTGTCTGCTGGATCAGCCATCCTCTGGGGGTTTATGGTTTGATGAAAGTATCGGTTCATGGTGGACAGGTAGATGAGGGTTTGGTAGTCCAGGTGAGAAAAGACAAGTCTCTGAAGCTCTTGCGGTAAACGTTCGATGAGGGACGGCATGGTTCGTGAATGTTGCCGATGGTGAGAGGATGGATGAAGTTGCGGGGAATGATACTGTTGGTGCTGGTGCTGGAACTGGAGTTGTTGCTGCTGCTGGAGCGGTTGGGTTTGCCTTTGAGGCGGGTAACTGTGCAGAGGTTGATGGTTCATCTCAGGCGATGGACTGTGGTGATGGGGGCTGTGAGGTTGCTGCAGGGGCTGATGTTGATGTAGAGGTTGATGTTGGTGTTGATGGTTGATGTAAGGATGATGATAGTGGTGGATGAATCGTGAGGTAGAAGATTCAAAAGCTGTGTTGTGAGCACTAGGGCCTCCTAGATTCGGAGTCATAGTAGGTCTAGGAAGGACGATCATGGCGGGCTAGAGAGATTTGTCGACAAGATTGATCTCGATAATATCATGCAAGACAAGGCATGCAGAGGGAATATAAGCCTGCAACCCCGGGTCGCCCAAGTGCTACTTCTGGCAGATTATCCTGGATCAATCTAATAACAAAAACCATTTGACTACGGGAAGCACCGCCGCAAAGGTGGCATAACAGGAAGAGGGGGGAGTGGATGTAAGGACATGGGCCGCCGGCTTAGATGCACCCACGCGGTATCTCGAGCATACCCGCACGTTGGGATCTCAGTGGCATTTCCTCATAAACCCGCCGTTGGTTGGGTTTCATCTGCTCCGTACAGCTGAGACAAATTCGCCTGGAACATGGTCGGTGGGCCATTTTCGAGGAAGCATGGCAATGGAAACAAAGGAAGCGCACATGGAAAGCGCTCCACCAAGGGAACACAACGCCCAATCCCCGTATTTGCCTCCTCCCTTCTCCTTGTCACCGTCTACGGCCGAGCGAGATTCTCAGCCAGGAGGACTCAGAACCCCTCCCCGACCATCGTGGTTGCTTGGACATGGGACCGACAGCATGGTTAGCTAGCCCCGTTGGGGACAGGATAAACGCACAATCGCCGACTGATAGATCCCGTAGCTTGGCCAAATCTGCATGGATACCTTACGGTAGCTCGCGGCACTGACAAAGTTAGCAGATGAAAGCAAGGGGGGCGAAATATAGCATCACCTCATGCGTGGGGGAGTTTAGGTATGGAGATGATTCTACCGCTTCCGCATTGGCATGCTCCAACTCCTAGACATCTCCATTTCATCTCTTGGCTATCCACCAACCAACGCTCCCGTAAAATCGAATCGTTACTCTTTGGGGTGGGCGTGGACCATGAAAATGCTACTCAATTCCGGTGCACCGCTGGCCGGCTCACTTCCCCGGCCATTAACAAACCTGTCAAGCTCTTGGGTCTTGGGTCATGTGTGCAAGATTGCAGTCTCAGAGGGCCTAACAGCGAACCGTCCAGCCGGGTGAACCGCATGGGGAACATGTTGTTGTGAACAAGGGCTGATATGCCCTTGTATACGGCTCTCGTGCCTAACCACCGGCGGTCGGTTCAGCTGGAACTTCAAAGGCAACGTTGATAATACTACTACTACGCCCGCACAGTACTCTCTATGCCTGTATGGTGTTGGCCTCGCAAAGGAGACGACGCACTGACTCTCGAAGCTGCGTTTGTGTGCGTGCTTGTACCTGAAGCACGCACAGGAGCACTTTGTCAACGTCCAGGCCCACTCGCCATTCTCACTTGCGTTCGGTGTTGTTGGCGTCCGCCACCGTCTGCCGGTGTTAGCGATTTCGCACGCATAAGTGCATCCTCGATCCACCGGTAGTTCTCCAGGTCTCAAAGGGGCGATGCTCCATCCTCTCTCGTAACTTGCACGGATGATGCTGGTATTACCATCGCGACCAACGCGGTGACCAGGGAGCACAGTCGTCCCAACTGACGGCGTCGGCCGTCCGCCTCTCGACAATGGCTATCGCCCGACATGTCCGCTAGCGACAAGCATCTTTGACCGATCCAAATAGCTGGGCCATCGAGCCTGGACGGCTCACGTTTGTGCTGCACGTGGATCACGCGTGTGTGCTTTGGCGCTAAGCTTGGTTTGATGAAGATAGGGGACAAGATTTTATCCCTTGAACAAGGCGCAACTTGACAGACAGGGCATCTGGCGCGGCGATCGTTATTACGGGCGACTAGCGCTAAAGATCTCCCAATGGTCTCGGCTGAGAGGCGAGAGTCTAATCGGGGATAGCCAGCGTTACACGGCATTGATTCATATTGCACGGCTGCTCTGCCCAGAGCACAGAGAAGTCGATATGATTGATCCAGTCGGCCGGTAACGGGGCGTTTGTGCTGTAATGTCTCAGGTGTCTCAGAGTATTATGTGTCCGCTGGCATTGTGTCGTCTGTCCGTGAGATGAGATGGTGGCCAGACGGTACGAGGACGCGGCACGAAGTACGAGTACTGTAGCACCCCATGCTTCTATCACAAAAGTTTCAATCGCTTTCCTGAGATTTTTTGATGATTTCTTTTAGAACCCAAATCATCATCCCTGTGATTACAGCTATTCAGCAGGCACACTGGATTGGTTAATTGTCTCCGTAGAGGCGAGTAAGTGGAGTTTGTCAAAGACGTCGGCCGCACGTCTGTCCCGATAACTGGGGGGTTTGAAGTTAAGAAAGACAACGGGGGTAGCCGAACAAGGCAGGGGAGGACACAGCCACAGGTCATGAACTTCTTTTTCCCTTTGTTTTCCCCTTTGAAGACAAAACATACAACCCAGCTTGCATGCCTGCCGAAGCACGGCACTTGTATCAGCGAGGGAATCTCAATCTCAATATGCAATTTCACCAAGGGTCAATGTGGTGCGACAGCAATGATAGACATGCATATGAAGGTAATACAACTCTGTGCTAGCAGCAGAGCATGTAGCTTTCTTTCTCCATTTCCGGCGCCCAACGGTCACAACTCATTTAAGAATAGATGAGCTAGGCAAGCCAGTCTCGTGGTGGTAGGCTGACACGGCAGAAGATGAGGTTCCCCTCATGTGATTCTCGCTGTGGTGTCTCTTCCCAGTATCGGCGCTGGCGAGCAATCATGATACCCTGCAGTAGCACTCCTCCCAAAACGGGCCTCAAACTAGGAAATATGCAAACTCAAATATGACGGGATGCAGAGCTAGGTGGACAGACAGGGTTCCCGAGCTGCAGGGTTGCCAGACGCGCCTCTTTTCCAGCGCTTGGTGGAGTCATCCTGGCCAACTGCCGGGGTTCTATGGCAGCAAAGCAAGTGGGGCGGCGCACCTCTGGCCCAGGTCAAGGTGGCTAGTGATGATCATCATCCAAGGCTTTCTCCCTTTGGGATTGGTAGAGCGAAAGCAGACCCTGGTATTCCTGAATCCTGCCCTCCGCATTGTCTGGCTTGCCATGTAACAGCCTTGTCGCCCAGAAAACCGAGCCACGAGCCACTGTGGCAGAGGCAAACAGTCTGGGCCAGTCAAAGATGAGCGGCTCCCGCAGCCCAAACAGGTCTTTGGGCGTTTCAAAGCGAGCCGCCCAATATCATCATCGGTGTTGTCCGTAGATGTCATACGAACACATTGGGTAAAAATAGCTCCCCACCGTTGCCAAGGCGTCATAGGTAAATTTGCTTTTTAAAGTAGACGGGCGCGGGCGGGCTCATTTTTGAAATTTGATGCTGTTCGTAAATTCGTAAACGCCCCAGTCGATAATACCATCTTTTCATCATGGGGACACTGAATTGCACGTCCGCACCCGAGTCCACCCCCAGTGATTCGGGTGTCGCAGGGCAAGGAGTACGTTGACAGGCACTCGCGACAAAGAAATATCCCGTGGAGGAGCAGTGCTTGGGGCTCCCCTATTGCCCGAGCCGTGTTGACCGTTGCCAACATATTCTCCTTTCTTTCATGATCACGGCCGGCCTGGCCATCATCCTATCTGCGAGCGTGATTCTTGCAGACTTCCGAGGCAGAGAGTCAACAACCCGGCGAAAATTACTGAATGGATACAGCGACTCACAGATCATGCAAGGGATCGGCATCCAAAGTAAGCTGCACGCACGAACCCCGGATATCTCCTGGTAGCACGACGCTAAATGAAAGGCTTCGCAGGCGTTGGTTTGGCCAAGATGAACTCCCTTGTACCGTATCACTTCTTCCTAATCTGGATGCTTTCCCTCCTATCCATGGCAACGCACAATGCTACGCTTTTGGCGCTAGTCCGAGACTATCGTCGCGACTGGGTGTTGAGATGGATGAGACAGTTGCTCATGTTCGTCAACCTGGCACTGTCGACAGTCTCCGGGGTCTTTGTCCTCCAGACCGTGGCCAAGGGGCTGGATAAGTCGACTCTTCCCGTGGCATGTGTCTGGAAAGTTGACGGAGAAAAATCTCCGTCCAATGCCGGGCTGTCGTATGTTGGTACTATTGCGGCAATGGCGGGAAATGTCATTATCTTCGTTCTTGCGACGTGGTACTTGCATAGTCGGAAGCAGAAGCTTTACAGGATTGTGCAGATTGTAGGATGGATCCTCATGGCAGCTGTTGCCATTGGGGCTGCGATCCGCATCATTCTGCTTTCTCAGGCGTTTGGGCATCCGTGAAGCTAAGTGACGAGGGGGAGAAGGACTGGAGCTTCGGCCAGCTTCTATCGATGCTTCTTCTCGCCCTGCCCGTCGTCTCTGTGATTGAAATCTATCGCGGAGAAATTAAAGTAGCGCCCCCTGTTGGAGACGAGCGGCAGCGGCTATATGACGGCGAGCTGGTATCGGATCCGCTGGCAACCAATAGACATCGTGATAATTTGATATTTAAGTAGGATTAGAGTACATGAACCACCACTCCCAAAGCTTGCTTCAGCTGCCGTCGTTTCATATTCAGCGACCCAGTGGGAATAATATCGAGTTGTCGAAGGATTGCGTCAATTCGGACAGCTAGTCAGAGAATATTAACCATTTGCATACATCCAGCGGTATAATAAAACTTACTAGTCATCCTGTCAATCTCGGCGGTAGTGGTAGGGCAACCGACGATGATATCACCAGTAACCATGCTGTATAACGGATGGATTGTCATATTATCACGAACAACAATACTGTTCTGAGATCGAATAGACAAATTCCAGTTTGACGCTGTTAATCTTTTGTCTATATTCGTAGTTGTCTGGTTGATTTGCCCAACGCGCAGACCCATATCGTTCAATCCATCGAATATCTGATCCATTCTGGCGTTTATCTGATCCATTCTGGCGTTCATCTGTTCCATTCTGGCGTTCATCTGTACTATGGCATCTATTACTAGGTCAGCACCATTGTCAATACTTCTCGAGCAAGTAGTACTTACCATGCATAGGCGTCAAGGCTTCATGCACAATAGTACGCATACGAACTTCCGCATTATGCAAAGTAAGAACAGGAGTGTCTGCGTATAAATCGATTTGGTCCGCTGCATGTCGCAAACCAGTAGCAGCAGCATGGAGATTTGCCATAGTATGAATCTAGTCGTAAATAAGCGGGAAATAATGAGAGAAAGAATCAGATGAGCAGAGGGGAAAACGAAAATGTTTCGCTGAAGAAAAGCAAAACTCACTGGAAGGCGCGTCATGATGTTGCGAAGAGTTTGAGGAAGTTGCGATGCATTCACAGTGAGGGAAGTTGCGCCGCTGTGTCCACTGTGGGGTGGCCAGGAAGTGAAGGTGAAAAAAGAGAGTGCGGGGGTGGCCAAGGAAAGATTCATTGCTATAATTTCTGTGCAAAATTAGAGTTTATGAAACGAATCTGCGCAGCGGAGCATAAAAAAGAGGCAAGCAGCGGTTTTATTTAATACGAATACGTATATAGTCAGGGACATACCTACCTTGTATGGATTACCGTTCTATAATGGTGTGATTTTGAAGTTGGAGAAATGAGTTCGGCAGACAAGAGCCGCGGGCAGCACTTGCCAAGTGTGCAGGTGATAGGCGGTATACGTTATCTCGCAGGACTCCATGGAAGGTACAGGCTGTAGCTTGACAAAGCATTGAGTAAGGCGCGTAACAAGCTCCCTTTGTACGTACTGGTTCTTCTTTCCTCGCAATGGTTTACGAAACAGAAGTGCAGGAGGAGATCTTACCATTAGGAAGGCAGGTAAAGGCAGAGTAGGCAGTTGGCAGGTAGGGGAGAGACAAACTGAGAGACAGGTCGAAACTGCCTTCTCAATCACCAGCTTCAACAGAGTATTCTCATGCCTTCTGCCTCTTGAGTCTTGTAGAAATGTAAACCGTTCAAACTTCATGTAATGGAACCAAGATTCGCCACTATCCACTGACGGCTTGACCCTTGTTTCTCGCATTTGAAGATCGCCGCAAACCAACGTCACGATGTCACTCAATCGGACCCTATCTTTGGCCTTTGTCATAGCAGCCTGCCTGTTTCTCTATGCCCTTTCCAACCAGTGGGTTAGCGCAACGGCAGAGGCCATCCAGGGGAATCTCGTCCCTCATCTGTGCGTATTGCCCCTTAGAACATCAAATACCACCCAGCCAAGTGCCAACTGAGCTCTGGCCAAACATGCAGCTGATAGCACTATAGAAGCAGCTCCAGCGACAAATCCTCCACCAGCAGACGTCCAAACTTTGAGCAGATTGCCCGAAAATACGGCACCGATAAAGTCACCACGCACAAATACCAGTTCATGTACGACAAGTACCTATCCAGCATTCGAGATGAAGAGTTAAAAGTCTTGGAGATCGGACTCGGCTGCAACATGGTGAGCACAGACGTCTATCAGTTTTGCTATGCCGATTCGGCCGGTTTATAACTTTTTTTTTGCAGGACTACGGCCCAGGGGCGTCCTACTACACTTGGCTTGAATACCTGCCATTCGTCGATCTCTACTTCATCGAGTATGATAGGCAGTGTGCCGAAAAGTACCAAGACAAAACCGCCAACGCACATGTGTTCATCGGCGATCAAGCAGACACCGTCTTTCTTGCAAGGTTCTCCGCAGAAACAACGGCAGATGGCTTATTCGACGTCATTATCGACGATGGTGGTCATACGATGAATCAGCAAATCGCATCTCTCGAGGTCCTCTGGAAAACCGTTAAACCCGGAGGTCTATACGTGATTGAGGATCTGCAGACCAGTTACTGGGAATCGTTTGGGGGAGACCCTGCTGGGAAGGGATCGTCGAAAGAGACTACGATATCTTATTTATACCAGCTCATCGACGACTTGATGATTGGGAAGAGCGCAAAACAGATTAGCCACGACGTACTCTCCATCGATTGTATGGCGGAGATTTGTGTGCTACGAAAGAAGGAACATTTGTAATATAGTCACAAGATGATGCCGTAATTAGAAAGAATAATGTACTTCAATTCTATTGCATCTAGGTACTAGGTATTTTGTTGGATATTAAAGCAAAGAATTGCAAGGGATATAAATTATATATATATTTTTTAAACAGGTTTTCGACTTCCATCACATGATGGAGCACTTCACTGGCAGACCACAGAAATTGTCCTTGCCATCCTCTCTCTCCGGGACAGGCTCCTGCTTTTGTGCGGGAGCATTATTAGCAGCAGGCGTCGATCCATTGGTAGGCGCAGCAGTCTTAACTGCGGCCTTCTTCTCCTTGCTACCATGTAGTCAGTTGGAGAGAGACTCGGCAAAGGCCTGGCCCTGAGTGGTGGCGATTCGGAGCTCGAGCTCGCTGGGCTGGCGGGCACCAGTGGGGCCGGCAAAGGTACCGGCGCCCCAGGGGGAGCCGCCGTGGACCTCCTCGAGGTTGGTGACATCGGGGAAGGTCTTGGCGTAGCCAAGAGGAACGTAGATGATGCCGTGGTGAGCCAGGGTGGACATGGCAGAGATGGCGGTAGACTCCTGACCACCGCCGGGGGTGCCGGTGGAGATGAAGAGGCCGGCCTTCTTGCCCCAGTAGCCGCCGGAAGCCCAGATGCCACCGGTCTTGTCCCAGAAAGCCTGTAGTTGAGATTTTGTTAGTGTTGCTGTTCTATGCAGAGTAGGACAGACTATGATCGTCTTATCATGCAGGATTCATGAAAACATACCTTCCACTGGGCGGGGAAGTTGCCGTAACGGGTGGGAATGCCAAACAGGAAGCCGTCGTACTGGGTGAGGACGTTGGGGTCCTCAAGGACGGGGATGTCGGTGGGCTTGGCGGGAGCGTACATCTTGTCGAGGACCTCCTGGGGGAGGGTCTCGGCAATCTGGTAGATGTCGACCTGAGCGCCGGCGGCCTCGGCACCCTTCTTCTCGGCCTCGGCGAGCTGCCGGATGTGGCCGTACATGGAGTACTAGATATGGATTCACGTCAGCAATGGGTTCATGAAGGGCATGGAGTAGCTGTGAAGAGGCATTGGGAATAATTGTTTGATGGTCGTGTTGGAACAGGTGTTGTTGATGACTTCTTTCAAAGTTTGTGTTGCCAATTGCTGTGAGGGGCAGCAGTAGCCCAATTGGGTAGATGAAGTAGAGAGGTAGGAGTAGACAGTGAGATGGGCATCGAATAGAAGCTTCAACTTACGTAGACGATAGCAATCTTAGGAGCCATTGTGATTATTATGTAGTGGGGGTATCTCAAAAAAAGAAGAAAAGAAGATGCTTGTTCAGAAGACTGTTTGTGATTGTGATGAGGCTTCTAAGTTTGGCAGAGGGGGACCCTGAGTTCTTATAGCTGAGACGAGAAGGCCGGGACAGCTGGGGGGACTTGGAGACGCGGAAGAGGATCAATTGGCGTTAGTGGAAAGGTTACGGCTGCATTCTCGGTAAGGTAACCTGAACCAAAGAAGTGGTGTGGACGCCTTGCTGCATTGGTTGACCTGTACCTACAAATCATCTAGGCCGATGAGATCATGGCACCCGCAAGGTACAAGGTACCGGGGCTTGTCAACCGATACGTGAAGCCTCGTTTCTCCTCTCCCGTGCTGGGCGTGGCTGGAATGTGTTGGCCGCAATTGGTAATCAGTGCCCCCCTACTTTTGGCAAAAGAATCAGACCAGCCCAAAGTCATCATCGTGTCAGCATTTGCCAGCATTTTGCCATCGAGCCTTGTCTCCGCGTATCGGTACCTTGTTGACAAGTTTCTGTTCTGGGCCTCTTCTCTCTGTCGTAGGGCGGCACTTGTCAAGCACCGCATGGCAAATCGAGCAACATCTCAGCATTACTTCAGCCTGACAAACTGGTAGCCGCACCCCGCATGTGGATCGCGGGTGGATAGAGGGGTTTGCCGGTGGAGTCGGGCAGAAGCTTAGCTAAAGCTTTGATAAGTCAGGACGCGCGCGGCTCGAGTTATTTCAAGGTGGGATGTCTGGCCTTTGTCTTTTGCAGGCTGTTTATTAATGATTCTTGTTTATATTTCCTTCTTCTTTCTTCTCTTTGCAATCAATTATGCGAGATACGCGATACGACTACCGGTCAGTTCGTGATTGCGGAATAAAGTCGAAATGAGCCGTCGTCACAGAGATCCCGGCGAACTGCAAGTTTGATGTGGTGGGGCCATCACCAGCGAGAGAGCTCCCTTGCTCCCATCGAGAGACGCCATGAGGTCCCCTTGTTCAACTGAATATCTAAGCTTACAGGGCCAATTTCTAAGCAGCAGCAACAGCCATGCATCGTTTCATCTTTCGAATCGCACGAGAATCTGTTGTGCCGTGAACCGGGTCGCTGGGGGAACCAATTGATGCTAAAGTCAACAACAGCAACAACAACGGCAGCGTTGGTCATCCAGCTGTCTCTCCGGCGTCTGCCTCTTACCTCTCTCGGCGTCTCTCAGCATTTCACCAACCAAAATTCTGCCGCCAGTTCTTGGGCCGCCTACTGCCACCACCTCATGCAATGGCAAAAAACTTGAACTTGCAATCACTCCCTCGGCTACGTCGCCCGGCTATCGAGCAAAGCGCCACTTGGTGCTGCTGACCTGCATCGCGCCAGTGAGACCGAGCGCAAACACAGTCCCAACGCCAAAAAGCTTAAAAAAAAAAAAAAATTCGCGGTGTCCGCTCAAGGTCCACTCCAGCAGTCCGCTCGACAGAATGAACGGGAGAGACAAAAAAAAGAGCTTAAATACGATATACTGCCATCATGCTCGAAATCAGATGGGAGACTCTGTTCGAATTTGGCAATTGCTGATCATCTACGAGGGTTCTCTGGCATACGAGTACGTCAACCGCATCCTTGATGTTCCGACACGGAGCGAGTCCCGACCCGTCCCCCGATCCCGTCCTTCCCCTCTCTCACTCTCTTTGTCTCTTCCCCCTCAGCGGCGACGCGACGCAATGCAAAAACCGAGCTAGAATGATACGAGTATACAGAGAGAAGCAACTGAGGCCGCAGAGGCCGCAGAGGCTAAAAGAGGCGAGATGGTTCGGCACGTGAAATTGGTCTAAGCGCTCCATGTCCAAGAGAAAAAAAAAAAAAAGAAGGATATGCCCAGCCCTGCGGGGAGCGCGACAAGCCATGTGCCGAAAAGCCAATAAAGTGATCGATTCCGCAGAGCTGCAGAAGATGCATTTACGACGAGCGAATCGAAGAGACACAACAGTTCCTTCGATTCCACCAGACAATGGCGGTCAGTTGGTTGTCTCAGACATACCCTGTGTCAAATCTCCTTCTCAACCGCATGTTAAACGCGTCTTAACTTGAGAACATCCGGGCTGTAATACCTCGTAGAATGAAGCAGAAGCATGGGCGCGTCTTGTTTCTGCGGTCCACTTGTCATCACAAATGACACTTGCACCTCTTCTTTAAACTAAATATGTAGGATTCATATGCATAACCCCAAAGGACGACATCCCATAGGTGGAAAATAAAGGTAGGCAACTGTAAGTAATATAGGCTATAAATGGTGAGACTTCCTATGCTGCTGTACTATTCACATAAATCCACACTCTTCGATTCATCCTTATTTTCTATGCAAAAGCACCCTCCCCTTTCCTCGCCAAAACACCGCCCATGAAAAACACAAATAGAGAGAGAAAACCAAACACATCCATCTCCGAAGAGGGACTCAGTATGGACAGTATGACGCCCGCTTCGCATCCGTTTGCAATCCAAGCCAAAAAAGTCCAAGCATTAGAAATTGAGAAAGAAAGAAAAAAGTCATCCATAAAATCATAGCTTCATTCCCGTCGATACACACACAATGAGGTAGGGAGAGAGGGGGGGCGAATATCGGAAAGAGAGGCTTCCATATTCTTCGTGTTGGATATTTACTGTCTTTGCTCAGCCGGGTCGTGCTCCGACGGCGGCTGTGCGCTTGGAGGCTCGACCGCAATCGATGGGAGCTCGCTAATTCGCAGACTCGGCAGTTGAGGGATGCCACCAACACCGCGAGTGGACAGTCGCCGATTGTCTGTTGAATTGTCCTCGCTTGAAGCCGACACAAGAGATGGCGACGGTGGGCTTCGCTGGCTCCTTTGGCTCCTCTGGCTTCTCTGGGATTCCGTTCGATGGTGCCCGGGGTAATCTGGCGGCGGCTCGGTTATATGCGACAGTGGTCGATCTTGGAAGTCGTCGTCGTCCAGAGAAACATCTTCGTAGCCTGGAGGCGGCATTGCTTCCTCGCCCAAGTCCGCCTCCACAAGCTCGGGGCTCGACCCTGCTCTGGCTTCGCTCTGAGCCTGGCCCGGGGTGTTGGTATGCGAGTCTCCCGACCGGGTCAATGCGGGCGAGGGGAAGTTGCTGTCCATGCTGATGACGGAACCCACGCTCATTCCACGGCCGTGCGCCTGAGATCGCACATCAGCCATGCCGATGCTGGCAGAGTCTGAGAGCAGGCCAACGCGCTCGCTCTCACTGCTGTTGGCACGGATTCTTGTGCCGTCGTGGCGAGCCAGTCCAACGTCCGCATAAGATACGCTCGACACGGAAAGATTCCTGTTTTCCTTTGCACGCTCCATTTCCCGTCGAAGTTCGTCGATAGCAGTGCTGTTATTCGCAGCCCGGGTGCGCACACGGATGTCTGCCAGGGCCGCAGTATCGCCTCGTCGTCGGGCTTCTTGTCGCTCCGCTCTCCGCTGCTGCTGTTCTTCAATCATCTGCCGCCTCGCAAGCCGAATCTGATACATGCTCTCCATCTCTTCATCACGCAGCGCTTCCAATTCTTCTTCGGTAGGCAAGTCGACAATGACATCGATACCATCTCTCTCGCCTTCTCGCCCTAGAACCTGCTCGTTGGTTGAAGCCATCTGGCGGTAAGCCGGCAGGGTCATGACCGAGCGAACCGAAGTGTTGCGATCCACGTTGCCAGCGGCGGCATTGTTGCGGTTTGCCGAAGCAGATGGCGGGTTACCAGATCGACCACTTCTTGGTGCCGTTGATGAGTTGGCTGCACGGGAGGTGGACGCTACTTCGGTGGTGTCGTCGCCATGGGCTCGCTCGTATTTCGCCTTTTTACCCTTTCTTCTTCTCCTGATGCATATTACAAGGAGTGCGAGAGCGGCGACTCCAATAATAGCGGCTATGATGATCTATGAACAGCGCCTTGGGGTCAGCAATCTAGAAACTCATGCGTTCCTCATCTCTTCACTCGTAGACATACAATTCCTATGATGCTCTTGCCCATCCCGTCCCGCCTCACTAGCTTACGAAGGTGGCGAGCTGATTGCGACAGCTGTGCGCTAGCATCAGCACGTTGCGCCGTCCGACTGTGTAGATACATCCTCGCCGGCCGCGAGAGACATGTAGGAGGACGAGAGTCCGATGGAAGCAAGGGAAAAGGAGGCAATCGACGGATGTTGGTTTGTGACAGAGTAAGATTTGCGTCAAGAGCCCTTTCACGAGTCTACTGTCCGCATTGGGTCTATCGTCCGGAGGAGCGGCGTGTACAGTCAGCTCCAACGGCGCCAGCGTCTCTCCAGTGACCCAGGATCCAAGCAGATAATGGAACGGAGGTGCTGTACGAGCTCAGCCCGTTAGCGAGGTGGGCCGGGGGGGGAGCGTTGACTGTGTTTTGCGGTGGTACCCGGTGCGGGGAACTGGCGGAAGCAATCGCACGATATACGACCAAGGGGACGGAAACACAAGAGGGATGAAAACAATGCTTGCAGGATGAGGAGGAAAGGGATTCAAGAAGGACGAGAAGAATCGTGGCGGGAAACAGGAGATGCATGGAGCGCTGGCCTGATTCCAGTCCAGTGGGCAAAGCGTGCTAACTCGAAGCCCCGAGGGCCCTGAGAGGCGCCCGGCGATACGCTAAAGGGTGCATGTCAGCCCCATTCATGACGCTTTACGAGGAGCCTCGAGGCTAAGCCACTGGACACAGCCAACATGGCGACCCCCCGGTTGTCCAGCCACGCTTTTTAGGGCTGGCGAGCAAACTTGACCAACGGTCCTCGTAAAGGCAAAGGCTAGACTAATGCATCATCATTGGAAGTCTGGATGCTTGCCATTGGCGATTGGCCGTGTGGAATCACTGGGCTGACACTATCCTCCGCCCGCAGACGAACCTTTTTGGGCTGCCAGTTACCCGCTGGACGGGCCGCCGCTTTGCTATTAATGGCTGCATATGTACGGAGCATGAGGGCTTGAATTCAATTGTGTTGCCTGGTAGTATTTGCTAGTCTAGTGCGTCTTGTCATACACGTTCTGTGGTTGCGTTCAGGTCGACATCTCGAGATGTAAGATGTGATATCGGACGGGTGGCACGAGCTTTGAGATCGGATGGACAGTCGAGACCTGGGTGGAGAAACAAAGACGAAGGATCCCGTGCGTAAGAGTGATTGCAACCTGCTTGTCACCCATGATGATGATGAGGGATTGTCGCTCCAAGGACTGAATCGCCGCTCGCAGATACCCACCTGTACATGTCATCAAAACCCGTGACGTTTTAGACTGCCGATGACCTCTCCACTGCAGCAGAGGATAATGTAATTTAATATTAGCAGCAGCGGCATTTAATATTAGCAGCAGCGGCATCACTATTGCGACAGCTTGCACACGCATCCATGATAGCTTCAGGCAAATCTCATCGTCATCTCATCCCGAACATCGAGTCTCACCGCCAACACACCACTTACCCTGTAATAACTGTAATAACTTAAGTCAAAAATAGAAGCAGTGCTGACACCCTTTGGCCAACTAAGGTAGCCATGCCTAAATCTGGAGAACAAGGTCAAATGATGAAAGATGAAAAGCGGAAGCAAAAGATAACAGTATTCGCATTAGAACGTCATGTGACAAAGCATCTCTTTGGTAGAAACCCGGTACTCCTCCTGCCTGGATATCCCTGCTACGCATTTGAAAATCACCCGACTATCATATTCCCGTCTCACACACATATCCCGCCTCTATCCAAACTTCTTTTCAAACTTCTTCAGCATGCCCGTCACGCCTCTCTCGATCCGGCCCGCGTTTTCCTCAAACTTTCCTTTGCCATCCTGCTTCGGCGGCTTGTAACCATGGGATGCTTCGGCTTCCGTTGGTCGATATGCCTGCTGATGTATTGAATAATCTACTGACCCAGGCGTGTAGCCTGACTGGGAATATGAGTAGTTGGAGTACCCGCCTGGTGGAGGGCCGGGAGGTCCAGGAGGTCCAGGAAGGCCTTGATTTGCCACTGGCGGCTGTGATGCCGGTGGTGGAGGAAGACCTGGCGATGTTGGGAAACCTGCCCCATAAGTGCCGGGCAGCCCGGGTGAGGGCAGAGCCTGCGTTGGCATCGTCGCGGCTCGATGAATTCCAGGGTGGACGGGTGGTGCCCCGAACTGAGGAGGCGCAAGCCCTGGGCTGGTAATTCCCGGCGCAAACTGAGACGGAATGCCTGGAGTAAAGGGTTGCCCGCGATAATCATATGCCACCGCGACCGCCAGAGGATTGAGAGGGTCCTCGTCCGGAGGAGGCGTCTTCTCGCGATGGCGGATGGCCTCCGGTGCAGCTGGCGCGGCGGGATTGTAGGCCATAGGCGCAAAATTGGCCGGCTGAGGCGGCGGCGGTGGAGGCGGCAAGGAGATGCTTGGTGTCTCTGACGAAACGGCCGAGGCATCTCCAGGACCCCCGGTCGAGCTCTGCGAAGTCGACTGCGACGAGACAGCGCCGTTGCCGTACTGAGGATCCGAAATGGCCGCGCTCTCGAGCTTCTGGACGACGGAGCTCATGCCCGCGGGCTGAGGCGGCGGGCCTGGCTCATCGAGAACCTCGACCTGGGCAGGCGGCAGCACGCGCCTGACGCCGTTGATGAACTGCAGCGCATCCTGCTGTGTCCAGAAGTAGACGTCGAGTGAGTGCAGCTTGTAATGATACTTGTTCTCATTGCGCGGGTCATAGGTGGGGAGATGCCACTCGCTCTGATCGACTGAGTCGGCGACGGTCAGCGAGACGGCGCAGTGCTGCTTGTACGAGTACCGAACATGCGCCTGATCGAGGACTATGCGAAGAAGAAATCAACGTCGTTAGACTGACTCCACGAACACGGATAATGAGGTTGCGACTGGTCTATTCTTACATCCATAGAATGCATCCTGGTCGTCTGTTCCTGGATTGTTTGCGATCTCAATGCGGCATCTCCTCTCGCTGGCATTCTCAAACAGATAGACATATGATCCCTTGTCGAATCGGTGATGGCGAGGCTTCACATTTGCCGGAGAATAAAAGTAGTGTACATCTCCAAAGCTGCAAGTCTCGGCATCAGCATCAGCATCAGCAACAGGTTGTAAGCACATTCGATGGATTGCGACCGTCATCCACTCACAGCGTAGCTACGTTCTCCTCACCTGGCCGAGCTGCCATCTTGTCTGTCCGCGTCTGACAGCGATAAACTCCAGACGTCACCGGGCAGCTTGAAACGAAGCGGGTGAGAATTAAAACTCCGGGCCCCCTTGAGCTCTTTGCCGTATGCAAGTTGCTCTTTATACGCACTCGACGACCCTTATTTCTCAAAGCGAATCATGCAATCGCTTCAGCCATTTGGGCCTATGAGATAATGGCGTCTCGGCGCTTATACGTCCTCACAGTGAGGGGTGTGAGCACAGGCTGTGGCCAATGGCGAGCGACGGCCGGGAGTTCTGTCACAAAGCCCTCTGCACAAAACCCCGCTGAAAGCTGCTAGCACAGACGGTCGAGTTATGCCTAAAAGCGCTGAAGATGCCCCAAGCTTCCCACGTGATACCGTGTCGGTATCGTATTTCCCGCTCTTCGCGTTAGGCAACGCGCTTCCACCCTGTCGGAATTCCGCTCGTGCGCCAAATGCTTTATTTACCAGGCTGCGAATGTCAGCATGATACAAATAACCCCTCTTGCTGTCTATTACATGATACTTGGGACTGCGACTTGATGGCCCCATCGATATGACGTCTGCGGAATCTACGGAGGATTCAGCGCATCCTGAAGAAAAGTCACCGGAGCAGCAGCCGGAGCATCAAGAGGAACATCAAGAGCAACACCAAGATGATTCCCTCAAAACTCTCAAATACCACCTGCTCGGGCCTTCGCTGACCAAGGCCGGCCAAGACAAAGTCGATCAAAGCAAGGTTTCTGACCAGAATCTTGTCTCAGATCGGAGCCGTATTTGTTAACAAGCAGATTCAGGTTTCGGAGATTATTTACAATGCGTCCAAGGGATCCAAATTCTTCACCCGTGAAGAGGAACGAGACAAGATCCTTACGAAAAAGATTGAGCAGATTCTGTCCAGGAAGAAAAAACTGGAACAGCAAGATTTGACGCGCGACCTGCGAAATGCCGACCGTCTCCTCGCGGAGCTCGAGCTGTCCAGAGACCTAACACAGCACATAGTGCATCTCGACTGCGATGCCTTTTTTGCGGCCGTGGAGCTACTCGAACGGCCCGATCTCAAAGATGTCCCCTTTGCAGTTGGCGGTGGTGTTCTCACTACGTGCAACTACGTCGCGCGCCAGTTTGGCTGTCGATCAGGCATGGCTGGCTTTGTTGCTAAGAAACTTTGCCCACAACTCATCCTTATCAAACCAAACTTTCACAAGTACGGCGCAAAGGCTCAAGAAGTGAGGGAGGTGCTGGCGAACTATGATCCGCGTTTCGAAAGCGCCAGCATAGACGAGGCATACCTCAACATTACGGAATACTGTGACGAACACAATATGGATCCAGCAGCAGTTGTGGAACAGATGAGGAAGGAAGTCCATGAGAAGACGAGCATTACAGTGTCGGCAGGAATTGCTGCAAATGCCCGGCTGGCAAAGATCTGCTCAAACATTAACAAGCCGAATGGACAGTACGTCCTCCCTAGCGAGAGAAGCGCCATCATGGCGTTTATGCGGGACTTGCCAACAAGAAAAGTCAACGGAATCGGTCGAGTCCTTGAGCGCGAACTCTTGGAGATTGGAGTCAAGACATGCGGCGATCTGTACGAGCAGCGGCAGTATCTGAACCGGCTATTTGGAGACAAGTATTATGTGTTTCTCCTCCGCTGCTATCTGGGACTTGGCCGCACAAAGATTCAGCCCGCAGAAGAGTATGAGCGCAAAAGCGTCGGAACGGAGAGTACGTTCCACGACATATCGGACCCTGCAAAGCTGAGAGACAAACTTCGCTCAACGGCTGAGGCTCTGGAGAAGGACCTGAAAAAGAATGAGTGCAAGGGCCGCACACTCTGCATCAAGATAAAGCTTCATACCTTTGAAGTTTATACCCGACAGGTCGTCCTGCCAAAGTCGATACAGCTTGCCGACGACTTGTACAACTATTCATTGCCGATGCTTGCGAAACTGGAGCAGGAAATGCCAGGCATGAAGCTGCGGCTCATGGGGTTGCGGTGCACACATCTAGTCAGCACCAAGAAGCCTGATACTATGGCATTCTTTGGTTTCAAGCCTCGCCGACAGGATGCTGGGGAATCGAGTGATGCTGGGATGGTCAAGAGGAAAGCGAGTGAGCCATTGGAAAAGGAGGACGAGTGGGAAAAGTTGGGCACAGATGACGACGATTTACTGGAAGATTTAGACGACAGCCTGGACAATGTACCTCACGAACACGAGGGTGAAGAAGACGAGATGCTGCAAGACCGAAGGCATGGGAAGGAGATTGTGCCCAATCCACCTCCTGAACGCGGGGCTCAACCGGAGGAGGACTGGTGGGAGTGTCCGATATGCCTCCGCCCACAGGCGGCAAACGAACGACAGTTCAACGAGCACATCGACTTGTGTTTGTCTCGACAGACAATTCGGGACGCGGTCCAGGCTGACGACCCGAAAGAAACGAAGCCTGTCCCGCCTGACGTGAACAAACGGCCCAAGCTGACGGAGAAGAAGCTGACAGAGAAGAAGCGGGGCCGTCCGCCTTCTACGGATCCCAAGCAGAAGAAGCTTTCTTTTTTCTGAATGAGCGCATGATGGGTTACGAAAGATTTATCATGGATCAAGTTGAAGATACTCTGCCGGATGTCCTTATGACATTCGTGAGATGCGAATCTCAAAGAAATGTTCATGTGTCCGTTCCAGAAGCGTTTGACATAGTTCAACAGCCAGTCAGAGTTTTCCATGATGAAATACTGCATGGGTTCAGGCTCTGCCTCATCCCAGAAGGATCCACCGTGGACACATCCAGCTACGGCATATTCCATATCCTCTTGTGGTAAATGACGATGTCTAATTCTGTTGGGACTTTTTGGAAATGGCCTTTTGGATGTAACGATGCCGTTCGCGTCGCCTTATCCTAGGGCCCTACCTCCACTGATCTACGAATATCGACTGATGCTTGCAGTTTCTGCGCATGGACGTTGCTACGGATGGGGAAGTGATATGACGTATGGAAGATGAATGGAAAGAGTGTCTAATGAATATTGATGACTGGAAGACGATCACATCTGGATAGAGTTGAGCTCTAGTATTTGACGGAAACGTTTCATGTACTTTGGGGATCCGCTATGCGACCAAAAGGAAAATATTTACAAATCATGTTCTCGTTTACAGCTCCCCGTGGCCCTCATCAGTGTCGGCGATGACCGTCTTGGCAGCATCGACAGCCTCGGAGGCAACGCTGGCAACCTTCTCGGCCACTTTCTCGGCCACAGGTGGCTCGGGGGCCTTGACGCCCTTGATCTCCAGCAGCTCGGTCTCGAAGACTATGACATCAATTAGTGGCCTGATATTCGATACAGCGTGGGGGTTTTCAAGTTGAAGAAGGGAGTGAGGGCAGAGAGGGACGTACCGAGAGTCGAGCCAGCCGGAATAGGTCCCATGTTGCGGTTGCCGTAGCCCAGCTCGGGGGGGATCGTGAGGGTTCTGGAAGAGTGATGTAATGTTAGCCATTGGTAATTCGAGCAGTTAGGGGGGCCGGTGACGCAGTGTTCTCCTTACCTCTTCTCTCCAATGCACATGTCAAGGAGACCCTGATCCCATCTAGAGTGGCGAAAACCCATTAGCTTCTAGTCGCAATGAAATCCCAACGACGTGGGGGGAGGGGAAGGGGGGAGTGTAGAAACGAACCCCTTGATCACCTGGCCAGCACCCAGCTTGAAGGTGAAGGGCTGGTTGCGGTCGTAGCCTGCGAAACAAAGTGTCATGTTAGCCACGGACCTCGAACTCGAAACAAACAGAGATCGTCATCTAGACAGGTGGGCAGATGACGAGGGGGAAAGGGAACAGCGTACTGGCATCGAACTTCTTGCCGTCAGCAGCCAGAGTGCCCTTGTAGTGCATGGACAGTGTGTCGCCCTTTTGGGACTTGCGCTCGCACTCGACGGCGTGGGTGACCTCGATCTTGAGGTCCTCGGCGGCGACGACGCCAATGGCGCAAGAGGCCAGGGCGGAGAGGATCAGGGCTGCCTTCATGGTGGCGAGTGTGTTGTGTGGGTTGAAAAGAGATGGTGCGCGGACTGCGGAAAGAAAATGAGGCGAAACCGGGGGGCGTGGGTTACGTCGATGAAGGGGAAATTGGGTTACGTCGATATAGGGGAAAAGGATGAAAGAGAAGGAGGGAAGAGAGAAGAAGGCGATGCTTTCACAAGATGCAATCAATGCTAATGCGCGGCCCAGCTGAGGGGCTTTGGCCAAAGTGGCCAGCTATCCAAACTCCACTGAGCTTCCCGATTCGAGTGGATTGAAATCTACTTTGGCCGTTGGAGATGGCGGAGACCATTGGCCAATGACATCCATTGATTTCGCCCGTCTGGCTCCCCCGCCAATCTCAATTCCCCGGGGTTGTTGGCTTCAATTGCTCCGTTAGTGCTTCATGTGCCTTACAATGGCGTTTTTACTCATGGCCCGATTATGATGACATTGTTAAATATTCTATATGGGATTCTGCGCAATGGCATATCGTATTCGTTGGCGGATTGTGAAATGTCGTCACCAAGAGGCAACCCAGCGCCGTGTTTTATCTCGCGTGATCCAAGTGCAGCCTAAAACAACTACAACTACTGAATCTCAAGGCCGATGGTAATTGGCCGGGTTTGTCCATCTGGGGGGATGCAGCAGAAATTATTGAGCGCATATACATGCATGGGGGAAAGAAAAAGAAGCTTTTGGTACGTCATGGCCCTGCTGGACCCTGTACCGAGGTCATGTGGATGGGAGCAAAGACGATAAAAAATCGTAGAAGACTTTGCGATGATGCTATTCAGGAGGCCCCAGCGAAAGCGAATGCAGTCGCCTTTTGGCGAAACAGCTTAAAGTAAACAACGATGAAGGATTCAAGGTTACGTAGATGAGGCGTCTTTGGGCCGTACGATAGCGACGTCAATTCGAGGTACTGCAATTTTAATCTCTTTGACAGCTGAGCCCGAAAAAACTCAATGCATCCCCAACCAATTCCTCAAGGTATGACGTAGTTGAGCCCTGAAAACAACCCCCAATTCAGGAGCCACACTATCAATGCAAGGCTACTAGGGAGCCTGATTGCAAGAAGAGCCCACATGACTTTTTGGAACTCGAAGCCCAGACAGGAGTGGCGCCATGCCAAAGAGAGGCCCGGTTGTGGCATTTCTCGATTCTGTATGTGGACTTGTCGATCAAGGTTCCGGTTCCAATAGACGTGCCTTGCATCGTGAGGCCCTTTCCCCGGAGGCGCCTGGCTAGCCCCGTTCTGTGCTGACCCAAATGATCCCACGCCCTGTACCAAGGGTCTTGTGTGGGCGACAACGTTCTCCGGAAGGGGTGTAGTTGGGCAGAAACGGTGAGAGAAGCGAAAAGAAGTTGGTTGCACGGTATGGTCAGAAGAAGGATGGAGTGGGAAATGAAGGCCCATCTTGTGTTGAGAATCCACGTATAGCGGACGAAGCCGGTGGGAGGCCATGCCGGCATCACTTCCGCGAAGCAGCATCGTCAAAGTCGCCGGTTGGCGTCTTGTCTCCTAGTGCTAACGAGATAATTGTACGAGTACGGAGCAAGAACAACTCAACACTATCCAATACGTATGGCCTTCTTACAGTTTCCATGGCATAACAGGGCTTGTCATGTCGTCACCAAAAAAGAGTAACAACACAGCCTACTCCCATCGTGGCTTATTCACCCACGACAAGCCGCGGGACAACTCACAAGCAAGGGGCCAAGAAAAAAAAAAAAAGTCGAGCCCAGTCAGCGTCCGGCTTCATGTCGTACAGCGATTGATTCTTCGCATTTGACCCTGGGAGCGATAATCAGACGCGTGACATGCGCTGCAAGTAGGTAGTCTAATTCCTGGCTGGCCTTGTGGCACCCGCGAATGCACGAATGCATACGCATACAAGCCCGTCCTCCCTCGCAGCTGCGGATGCGGCTCCCACCACCCGCAGGCCTGTTCGCTGTGAAGAATTCCCAGCCACAGCCACCCACTAGAGAGAGAGGAGCGTGAGGGGAGAAAGGAGGGGTATGTAGAAAAAGACAAAAGAAAAAAAGCAAATAGGCCAATCCCGACTTCCATCCTCAACTTTGCGAATCCCTTTCTTCGACTTTCTATCGACGACTCATCAGGGACCGCTGATGCCTGCTTTTGCGCCTTGTCTGCCTAGCAGGTCCAGCAGGGCCTAGTAGAGTCTGGACGGCACGGGCGAGGCGCTGAGCAGCGTGGCTCGTGGGGTCACTTGGTTTGACTACGAGTACCGTCGCTGGCCGGGTACCTGTGCAAGAGGGCGAACGCACTAGAGTCCGGCAACTTGGTACCTGTCCGCTAACACGCACTCTGTGACGGACCCCTGTGGCGCCGTTATGCACAGCTGTACTGTTGAACTGATTTGCTTGACAGGTACCCGCGGATTGGTAGCGGGCTGGCTGTGCTTGGCATCTATCCCATCCTACCTCTGCCATGTTGCACGTCTTACCAAAAACATTCACCGTCGGCGCGCAGCCGCCATGACTGTGACTCGAAAGAAGGCAGACGCGCATCGGGAATCTAGGGCTCTCCATCTCTTTCTCTCGCTCTCACTGCCGCTGCTATCCCCCAGCCGTCGCCGCTTCACTGTTGTGGCCATGCTCAGACCCAGTCCTCCAAAGTGCCGAAACCTCCAAGCCCCAACTTCTTCACTCGTTCCCAGTCCGTGCCCTCCCCCATTCGCCCTGCCTAACGGAAACAAGACACCCCCCTGCCACTCTCTCTCCTTCATCATGAGGTCCGTTCAAAGCCCATTTTTCGCCACGCCTAGTCCTTGAGCTTTTTTGGGTTCTGACGATTTTGCTTTTTGTCCGAAATGGTCAAGGCCAATCATGGTCGATTGCGGCCCCTGTCTGGCTGTCCCTGTTTTGGGGAGGGCCTCGGCAGATCGCTTCACGAGGTGTGTGTTTCCGTTGTTGAGGCCTGAGTCACGACGTGCTGGCTTCTGTGTCAGAGCTAGGCCTAGTACCCGTTATTGTTGCTGCTGCCTCACCCTACGCCCTCTTCGCCCTATCTGCCTATCGTCTCGAGTGAGCATGCTGTCAGTCTGTCAAGTGTCCAGACTGTCGTGACGGCAGTGCAATCTCCGAGTACAAAATAGCCATGGCCCGTCGTCCTCAGGATGCACCCTCCCTTTCCTCATCACCTCTATTAGGATAGATACGAATCAAGCAAAGCATTACCTACCAACAACAACTATATAACAACTATTGCTACCGCTACTACTCTTCTCTATCCTCTCTTGACTATCATTGTTATACCAAACTCACCCTTAGAGTTCCACCTCTCCATCAATCATCAACAACAACCAACCAACAAACAAACAGACAAACAGACAAACAGACCAACAGACCAACAACTGTGACAATGTCCAGCCAACGCAGCGTCTATGTTCACCAGACCAGCTCTGGCCCTTCTACCGCCAGCTCTTCCAGCCGTTCCTCCAGCTCATCTGCCCATTATGCGGCATCCAACTCCCGCTCTGTCTCCAATGCCCGCGAGTATGATGCCGGTATGCCATTACACCCAACATCTTCTACCTGCCGCAACATGCTAACAAGTCCTGTAGAAGGCCGTTCTGCTCAAGTAGTCCGAACCGGTGGCTCTGTCGTCATCAACCACCGCCGACGGGACTATGAAACGGATTCTCCTTCTCCCCGCTACCGTGGTGGCTACCAGTGATGTGACCTCCATCAGACAACTTGCAACTGCACAACTTCACAACCACATACTGGGACACAACCCGCTTTCGGGGAGCCAGCCGAGGCCTAGCTTGGCTACCCTCTGCTACAATGGCTCCTCTACACTTCTACTCATAGAACCGCATGGCGCTGTTGGCGTTCTTTTTTGACTATTTTTAAATCTTCTTTACAACTTTACAACTTTGGGATAATGGCAACAGGACATGGGCATGGGAATTGCATGGATATGGATATTGTCATGGATATGACTTATCGCTTGGGAATCGACGATTATAGCTAAGCGAAGGATGGGTGGCGTTATTGATACGAAATGCAGTTGACATTTATATTTATATTTTTATTTTTACTTTTCTATCCTATTTATGAAACGAAACAATCTATCTATTCATGCATATTTCTGAGACATTTTCCGGCGAAACGTCGTCAGCTCCTTTTTTCTTTTTTTGTCTTGGGAAAAAAAGCTCCGTGGGTTCAGGTTGTCTTACAGCTTATCAGAGAACGCGCACTCACTACTGCAGGAACCACAGATCGCCGGGAGGCAGCCCTTATTTTTTCACCCTCTGGGTCGACCAGATCTATTTTTGGTAGCCCGATGTAGCCCCAACCACTGACTGCTACCTTGCGCGCCATACATAGCGCTCGCTTCATACGAGTACGCGATACACGGGGGCGAGAAATAGGCAGCAAAATTTTGTTTATGATTTACTCGACTTGTCAATATTTCTTTTTTTTGATGAGGTTTTATTTTTAGGCGTTGCATTAAAACTAGAGATCGAGATGTGCTCTGGCAAAACTCAAGTCTCAAATGGCAGCCCCTTTGCTTTGTTTCAAGTCCTTTGCTGGACATCACGCGAGCTCCTAAGTAAACACATAACAATTCCAAACAAATCCATCTCCTCCTGGGCGGTTTCTCCAAATGGGGTACTCTGCATATTTGCGTCAAAATCAAGTTTGCATTTCCCAGCATTTGTTCCCAGCACGTGGTTCGCTATATAGCTCTAATGCTGTTTAAGCGCCGCCCTCCCGCTTAGCGTACTCCTCCTCGATGGCCTCGGCGTACTTTTCCTCTGGGGAGCGGGGGTCTTCGTGTAGAACACCATCCTTGAGGAGGGCATCGGGGGAAGGGCGATGCGAGATCTTGTCGTTGAGCTTGTCTCCGAGCATGTGTTTCTGAAGCTGTTGATTGATGCACCGTTAGCACTTATAGCGCCATCTCGGGGGGCCTCCCCCGGTTGCCGTTTTGTGAGTTCCAGGTCTCAAATTTTTGAAATATTCAAAAAATAGGATTTCACGGTGAATTATTGGAAGCTTCTTACCTCTTTCTGCTGAGCGAGGAGACCGGGTGCGGCTGTAGAGTCTGGGAGAATGTTCTCTGCAACATTGGTTAGCAAGGCGTACGGAATACATCAGTCTCCGTCAGGTGGCCGAATGTGCGTCGTTTCCGCAACAAATAGACAGACGGAGAATCGGGCATCATGGAGACGTACTCTCTACCAGCTCGGAGCGTTCGGGTCGGTGCTTGAGGTAGTTGGAAAGAGAGTTCTTGCGGGCAGAGTTGGTCTTGACAGAAGAGATGGGCGTCTCGTCGACAGGGAGGGCCTGGGGTTCTTCTGTGATGTCTGCCATGGTGATGGATTCGAGCTGATTTGTGCCTGTGGTGATTGATGGTATGTAAAGGTGTAAGTGGTGAGAAGTGGCAAGACGGTCGGATCAGAGCCTTGAAGTGCCCAACGAAGCTCGTGTCAAATGACGTCAGGTGCTTCCAGAGCTCTAATATGTGGGGGTGGGGTTTTTGGTGGTTTGACTGGAGGCTGAATCAACTCCAACAGTTAAAGAGATCAGACGATTATCAGATGGAAGAAAAAAAAAGTAATGTGAAGAGGGAAGAGAAGCAGAAGCAGGTCGTTTTGCAGTGGAAAAAGAGGGGGATGCAACGCTGTTTTTAACACTGATTCCCTCGATGAAGCATCGAACCCACACCGCATCCCTCAGGCCATCAACTTGGGACTAAAACAGCGACCTGGCGATGGTGGATAATTGGGCATGCGGGAGCGCTATTTTTCTCTACCCCGCAACTCTACTCTCAATTGCCCAGCTGCTGAAGGCGAGAGCAGGGATTGCAGTTAATTACGGGAGTGCTGGTGATGGGGTCACACAGAGATGCCATACGTGCGTGGTTTGAAGGTCATGGGCTGGAGGCCAAGGGGCGTGGTAGTGTCGCGTGGCAGCCCAAGGACAAAACAAAAACCAGGAGACGGCCTTCTTTTTTCGTAGTAGAAATACCGCCAGGGCACATGCTAGCAGACAATGCTCATTTCCAGGGCATCAATCACGGTCTACAAGTGAGTCTGTCCTGGAGCATTAGCTGCCAGAATGAGGCGTGAGGAGACTGAGCATGAGGCGGCATGAACTTATGCGCTTCCAATTAAGGGGCGCTTGAATTCTGTTGCGCCGATGTTTGGTTTCAGTTTTTCTTAGGCGAGGAGAGCGGCGTCTCAGAAAGGCTGGCGCCAATTGCAGAGGGCCACGCGAGTGGCTTGAGTGGAAGAATGCTAGAACAGGACATGGCTTGATGTCTTGGACGCCGAGAAGATAATTTTCGCAGGTGGTTTGCGCGTACAATTACGATAGTGATGGTTGTGTACTCCACCGTAGGTCCGCATATCGTCAATCCATATCTCCAAAGTGTGCTGCTGCACTGTACAGAAAGCACTGCTTCTTCTATCATTATCTGCTTTAGTCTTTTTATTAGTATCCATCTATTATAATCCAAATGCAAACTTGGAATACAGATAACGCTAGATGCGCAAGTTGGATTCGGAGAGTCTCGGCAAGTAGACAGACGCTTCGTCTGCTAGTGTTTATATGGAGGGGAATAGTCAATATGGAATCCGGATGCACAACGTCTATGAATAGTATTTGCCGGCCCGCGTATCGTCACCGGCCAGAGCGATCAGGCGCATGCAAGATCTACTGGGCGAGCAAATCAAACACTGAAATGGACGCTCTGGAAAGGGAGAGACTCCACCGCCAAGGGAGCGTTGACGAAACTGTCTGGCGCCAGCAAACACTGCCGGAGGTCCAGATATCCAGTTTTTCCTTCTTTTGGTCGACGAAGCGGCTCCGGGATTCGGTAAGGGTGTCTCCATCCAAGGTAGAAACCGGGAGAATTATCGGAACATGAATGGGTATGGAATAGTTTAAGGCACGGAGTTTGGTTGCACTGTATTACTATCGACGATACTACGGAGCACTAGGCACCTGTTTTCTGTACCTGGGCAACTTATCGAGGTGCGTTAGGTAGAAGGGAAAAAATGCTAATGCGCTATGATGTGAGGCTACGGAGGCGCCGGAGCGACGCTGCATGGGCTGTTCGTATCAAGAACGAAGAAAATAAGCAGGAATCAGGGTCCTTCTGCTGCACATAAATTAAAACGCGGGTACCGAAATTGAAAGAGTCGTGGAATTAAAAAATAAAAAAAACACTGAGCGTATTCCATCCCTGAACCAAACGGGCGGGTACGTACTGCTACTTGTCAGCGGAGTGGCTGTGCCATCAGGAATCAAGGGAATCCAGCACAAAGGAACCTGAAAGGCCACGGCGGAAAAAGGTCGGCCAGCGGCACTAAACGTCACTCGTCAGGCACCGCATCATTCGGCCGCGAATGCTCGACAAGCCACATTCAAGCCTTTGGGTCAACTGAACCGATTCCCCTCGCTCACTTCACCTTCTCTCGTCACTTGCGGCACAAACCACACGAGTGCTTGATTCCAGTAATTAGACATCTGATGCTCGAATAAATCGCGTCGTCAGCCTTCTTCTCCTTTTTTTTTCTTCATCTCTCTCTTTCCCCCCTCCTCCTGTGCCGTCTCTCCGTCTTCCACAATGGTAGGGCCACTCGAACTCTCCCCCCCCCGTTCTCCCTCATCCCCCGCCAAAAAGGCTGCGGCATCGTTCTAACAGGCGCTTTTTACTTTCCTTAGGGTATCTCGAGGCGTCCCAAGGACAAGGCCGCTCGCAATGCTCAGGCGGCGGGCGGCGGCATCGAAAAGCCCAAGAAGGCGACGTACGAGGTGACTAAGAAAAAGGAGATCGGTGTGTCAGACTTGACCCTGCTCAGCAAGGTCTCCAACGAGGCCATCAACGAAAACCTCAAGAAGCGTTTCGAAGGCGCCGAGATTTACACATACATTGGCCATGTGCTGGTCTCTGTCAACCCCTTCCGGGACCTGGGCATCTACACCGACCAGGTCCTGGACAGCTACAAGGGCAAGAACCGTTTGGAAATGCCGCCGCACGTCTTTGCCATTGCCGAATCCGCATACTACAACATGAAGGCGTACAACGACAACCAGTGCGTCATCATTTCGGGCGAATCAGGAGCCGGCAAGACCGAGGCCGCCAAGCGCATCATGCAGTACATTGCGAGTGTCTCTGGCGAGCAGTCGGGCGACATCAAGAAGATCAAAGACATGGTGCTGGCAACCAATCCGCTACTTGAGTCCTTTGGAAACGCCAAGACGCTGCGAAACAACAACTCGTCGCGATTCGGAAAGTATCTCCAGCTCTACTTCAACTCTACCGGCGAGCCGGTCGGAGCCGACATTACAAACTACCTCCTTGAGAAGACGCGAGTCGTTGGACAGATTACAAACGAGCGCAACTTTCACATTTTCTACCAGTTCACAAAAGCTGCGCCAAGCCAGTACCGCGAGCTGTTTGGCATCCAGAAGCCCGAAACCTACCTCTATACCAGCCGTTCCAAGTGTTTCGACGTGGACGGCATTGACGATGTCGCGGAATTCCAGGATACGCTCAATGCCATGAAGATTATTGGATTGAGCCAATCGGAGCAGGATGAAATTTTCCGCATGCTGTCCGCCATTCTGTGGATTGGCAATATTCGATTCCAGGAGGACCAGGGCGGGTACGCGGAGGTGGTTGACAAATCTGTGGTAGACTTTGTCGCATACCTGCTGCAGTGTACAGCCGAGGACGTCGTCAAGGGCATTACCATCCGTATTCTGACACCTCGAAACGGAGAGGTTATTGAGTCGCCAGCAAACCCGGCTCAGGCAATGGCGACCCGGGATGCATTAGCCAAGGCCATTTACAGCAACTTGTTCGATTGGATCGTAGAGCGCATCAACATCTCTCTCAAGTCTAGACAGCCCACAACCAACACCATCGGTATCCTGGATATCTACGGTTTTGAGATTTTCGAGAACAACAGCTTCGAGCAGCTGTGCATCAACTATGTCAACGAAAAGCTCCAGCAAATCTTCATCCAGCTCACCTTAAAGGCCGAGCAGGAAGAATACGCGCGAGAGAAGATCCAGTGGACACCGATCAAATACTTTGACAACAAGGTTGTGTGCGACCTGATTGAACAAGTTCGACCTTCTGGTATCTTTTCTGTCATGAAGGACGCGACCAAGACGGCCCACGCAGATCCCGCCGCCTGTGACCGAACTTTCATGCAGAGCATCAACGGCATGTCACACGCTCACTTGATTCCCCGACAAGGCAGCTTCATCATCAAACACTACGCTGGTGATGTCGGCTACACTGTCGATGGAATTACGGACAAGAACAAGGATCAGTTGCTGAAGGGTCTACTGAACCTCTTCCAGACCAGTGGAAATGCTTTTGTTCACACACTGTTCCCTAACGAGGTCGATCAGGATAACCGAAAGCAGCCTCCCACCGCGGGCGATCGTATTCGAACATCGGCCAACCTTTTGGTCGATACACTCATGAAGTGCCAGCCATCCTATATTCGAACGATTAAACCCAACGAGAACAAGTCTCCTTCCGAGTACAACCAGGCCAACGTCCTGCATCAAATCAAGTATCTTGGTTTACAAGAAAACGTCCGCATTCGAAGAGCTGGATTTGCTTATCGACAAGCCTTTGACAAGTTTGCCGATCGTTTCTTCCTGCTGTCGCCGGCCACTTCTTACGCTGGTGAATACACGTGGCAGGGCTCGGTCGAGGACGCTGTCAAGCAGATTCTCAAGGACACGAGTATTCCCAAAGAAGAGTGGCAAATGGGCATGACCAAGGCGTTTATCAAGTCCCCAGAGACGTTATTTGCACTGGAACACATGAGAGACCGATACTGGCACAACATGGCCACTCGTATCCAGCGTATGTGGCGAGCCTACCTTGCCTACCGAGCCGAGTCTGCCACGAGAATACAACGTTTCTGGCGAAAGAAGCGTACCGGCGCAGAGTACTTGCAGCTCCGTGACCAGGGCCACAAGGTCCTTCAAGGGCGAAAGGAGAGGCGGCGTATGAGTCTTCTCGGCTCTCGAAGATTCCTTGGAGATTATCTCGGCATCAACGCCATGAACGGTCCGGGTGCTCCTTTGCGGCAGGCGGCCAACCTTGGCTCGAACGAGCGTGCCATCTTCTCGTGCCGCGGCGAGCTTCTTGAAGCCAAGTTTGGTCGATCCAGTAAACCGAGCCCTCGCATCATAATCATCACCAATGCCAAGTTTTACATTATCGCTCAGCTGCTCGTCAACAACCAACCGCAGATCCAGGTGGAAAAGGCAATCCCGCTGGGAGCCATCAAGTTTGTTGGTTGTTCTACAGCCCAAGACGACTGGTTCTCACTAGGAATCGGCTCTCCCCAGGAACCGGATCCGCTCATGAACTGCGTCTTCAAGACGGAGATGTTTACTCATATGCAGCGTGCCATGCCAGGAGGCTTCAACCTCAAGATTGGCGAGACGATTGAATATGCCAAGAAGCCGAACAAGATGCAGCAGGTCAAGGTTCTCAAGGACTCTCAGCAGCGAGCCGACTTTTACAAGAGTGGCACAATCCACACTCAGCAGGGACAGCCTCCCAACTCGGTATCGAAGCCGCTGCCCAAGGCGAAGCCTGTGGCGGCACGGCCCATCACCAGAGGCAAGCTGATCAAGCCTGGTGGCCCGGGAGGAAGGCCGTCCAGACTCACTGGTAACCGCAATACCCAGCCGAGGCCGACGCCCAGCGGCACCAGGACTGTTCCTCCGCCACCTTCCGCTCTTGGCAGCGTAGTATCGGTATCATCGTCGGCGTCGTCTAATGCTGGCCCGTCAGCAAGCACAAGCACGTTGAGCTCGGTGTCACATCAAGTCCCAGTTATCGGAAACGCCAACAAGCCATTGAGCCATGCCAGAACACCCAGCGCAAGCGCTCGAGCTCCACCACCGCCTCCAGCCCCTCCAGCTCCCCCTGCTGCCAAGCCAAAGATTATGGCCAAGGTGTTATATGATTTCGCCGGCCAGAAAGAGAACGAACTCTCCATCAAAGCAGGCGACATTCTTGAGATTATCCAGAAGGAGAACAATGGTACGTATCATTCAACCTGTGAAATTTTGACCCCTTGTTCATATGATATGATCTGACACTATATGACAGGCTGGTGGCTAGCAAAGAACGCTCAAGGACAAGCCTGGGTGCCGGCAGCATACGTTGAAGAGCAGGCAGCTCCCGCTCCTCGACAACCTCCGGCGCCGCCTTCGGCCAAGGCGAAACCCGTACCGCCGACGAAACGACCAGCAGCAGGTGGCCGCAAGCCCGCTGACTTGCAACAGAGAGACTCTGGAATGAGCCTCAACGGCACCGGTGGCGACAGCCGCAGCAGCACACCGACGCCCAGCCTGGGAGGCAGCTTGGCAGATGCCCTCCTGGCACGCAAGAACGCCATGAACCAAAAGAGAGACGACGAGACTGACGACTGGTGAGCCACGCGACGAAATTTTTTAGATATGCTTCACGATGTGTGCTTGTCATGAAGGGCATTTTATACAGTTCAGTTGGGGCTCGTATTTGATTTATTGTCGATTTTTTTCTGTTGTTCTCTTTTTTTTTTTCTTTCTTGCTTCTTACATCAATGTCATGCCTCAATGACTGGAAAAACACTTTTCTTTTTGGCGGGACTTGTTGTATACACAATGTGTGCGAGAGATTTGGGCAACCCATTGTGTCATACGGTCTTTGAGTATAGATCTCGGAAGCGCGTGGTTGTGTTTTAAGGGGAGGCCATTGAGAGCCTTGGGGGCCTGGGATGCTATTTTTACATATATTTTAAAATGCTTGTTCTAGAAAAAATACAGTTTTTTATTTATAGTACAATATTATCTTTATGTTTATACGCTTGTTTTTATTCTTTGCTTGCTCGCTTGCTTGTTTTCTTTTCTTTTGTTCTTGTAGTTCATTATTCATCGTTGTATGATGTTGCCCCCTTTCTGCGGCGTAGTAATTCTGCAATGGGGACCTCGTCGTCGTACTGTTCTGCCTCTTCATCGACGCCATAGTCTCGAAGCCGCTCGCCGTTTGCGTTGACCCAGCCATTCCGATAGCTTCCCTCGTCACTATCACGCTCCCCATCCGAGCCATAGTAGTCATCCACCTCTTCCAACTCAGCCATAATCTTATTCTTCCTCCTGAAATCCTCTTCCTGCCTCCTCCTGAAAGCCTCAACCTGCTCCTCGGGACTCAGCCCAGCATCCTGCAACTCCGTATCAAAATTCCTTCTCGCCAAACCCCCCTCCCTGCCCGCGCGCCGCAGCTTCTCCGGGTCCGGGGGCGGCCACATGCCAAATTTGCGGTTGAACCCGTTCTCGTCCCATGTCCAGCCGGGCCCCGTGCCGGTCTTGCTGAGGCGCGGGTTGCCGGCGAGGGGCAGCAGCCACAGGAGCGGGTTGGAGGAGCCCATGGCCTGGGCCATGTTGGCGAAGAAGCCGACGTCGTAGGGGAACTCGATGGGTTCGAAGCGCAGCTTTTCGCCGTCCGGGCCGGTGATGTCCCACCATTCTTTGGAGCCGCTGCGGATGTTGGACTCGTGCTTGTCGACTTCCATGTCTTCGATCGTGGTGCGGTTGAGGACCCAGCCCTGCAGCGTGGTGATCAACATTAAACCCAGCGCGAGCGATGTGACGGCCCAGACGAGAGACGTCATGGCGAGCGATATCAGCGCAAAGAGCGAGGGGCCTAGATGTGCGGGCATGTGTCTCGTCTCCCACAGGGCGTAGAACCTCTGCCAGAAGAAATACCCCAGCGTCCACAGCGACACGTTCGCATAGACGAGAAACCGCAAAAAGTGCGGAAACGTCGTCATGGACACGCAGTTGGCCGTCCAGGGACAATGGTGATCCATCTTGGGAATACATCGCTTACAATGCCGACAATGATGCGCCCTAGGAGGCTTTGGCGCCTGACACTTCTTACACCACCGCCCATCCGCATCAAGCACCTGTTCCTCGAAAATAAAGCGGCCGGGATCGATGGTGACGGCGCGGAAATAGCTGAACCAAAGACACAGCAGCAGCGTGTTGAAGACGACGCTCTCGTTGCGAGTCAAGGGACCCGGGTCGAGCGTCTCGTCGCTGAAGACGAACTGCGAGAAGTAGCTTAGGAAGGCGATCAGCACGCAGACGGCGGGCACGGCGAGGGCCTCTGCGAACGGCGCATCGCTGAATCCTGCCATGGTTTTATTTTACGGAGGTTGTGGTGGTGAGGACATGTATGAGGTTCTTGATACGGGATTCATGGCGGTTTGGATTCTGCCACTGCTTAGCTTAGCTTACTGTACATACGAGGTTGCTGCGGTTGGTTTGGCGGAGAACGCGCGGAAAGGGTAACCGCTTCTTATGTAAGCGGAGAGATACCCCTGAGACCGAGACCCAAAAAAGGTGAGATTCAAGACCGGACGAGGAATGCCGTTGCAGAAAAGAACAAGTATAATATATTATATCGTGTTGAGACTTGGAGAGATTTTGCTTGAGCTTTCTCGTCGTCACGAGGCCATTGGATTGCAGCAGAATGATAGTCTCGAATTGCACTGCTCAGGCAACTAGATACATATAAGGTACCAACAAAACGCAAAAAACGTGGTCCGCGTCGGGCTGAGCCGCCGGGCTGGGAAAGCCTCTTTGAAGAGCCATGGCTCGATACCTCGCTGTGCAATTATCCGCTCTTTGGTATACATCAGATTCCCTTTCCTTCAATTCAATTGCGATGTTTCAGTTACTGACAATCTTTGCAGCAGTGTTTTGTCATTTGTATATATTTCTCATTCGTTGGAGCGCCACTCATTAACCGGTACGTCTTCAACGTCAACTTCTGTCATTCACTCATCAACTCTACACATAAAAAGCTAAAACTCCACAAGAACGACCTCGGCTGTCATCCTTATTAGTCTTGCTTTTATCAGGCCTCATAGTCTACGGCCTCAGCGCTGCAGCGAAATTCATTCCCGGAGCAGACGGCCGCTTCGTCTCGGGTACAGCTCCCACCGGCGATGAGACGACGATCCTCGGCGTTGCGTCTGACGAGGCGCTTCTCAAGGGATCCAGCGCTCACCTCCCCAATCGGCCTCGACGATGGTCTCTTCCGGTCTTAATCTTCACCATTGTCCTGAGGTTGGAAGTATTTCACCTGGTGAACAAGCAGCAGCAATGCGCTTCTCCTGGGCTCGAGGTAAGAAAATGACGTCACTGAAGCGAATTATAAGAGCAAGAGTCGAACATGATGGGGATCTTTTTTGCTAACAGAATCTTCTATATTTCTTTTTAATGACAGTCGTTTCTTATCCTCATTCTCATTGGATATGAAATCTTCTCTACACGCCGCAGATGGGGCCTCCCGCTCTCCGCCTTGGAAGACGACGACCCCTGGCGCAGCATCTTCGACGACATCTGGGACTGGTTCAGCGGGCCTCGCGTCGTAATGTTCAACACCGTCGTCAGCGCATTCGTCTTTTCGCTAGGGACTTACTTATCCATCTCGAATATCCGGAGGTCGACTTACTTTTGCTTCCACCTCATCGACAGCCGGTTCAGGACCGTCTCTTTGCAGCTGCTGGGCCTCGTGCTTGATGCCGTCATTATAGTCCTGCTGTGGCGGATGTTGGCGTGGGCAAGGACTATGAAGCTGCGCCTACGCATCTTAAGCTCGGTGCTGCTTCTATCGGCTACCTCAGTGGGTATAGTATGGGTTGTCAACACCGTCTTCAGAGGCACTCATAGAGTAAACGTCTCCTTTGGATCCCTGTATGGGTTTGATGCCGTGGTGGATAGCTTTGCTTTTGCCTCTCTCGTCACGGCATCCATGTTTTGGATATGCGAGACATCAACCATTACGCCTGTCGGCACCTTGACCTTCTTGCTAGGCATATGGAGCTCATGCGACAAAATCTTTCGTTACGGGGACTGGCTACACCTGTCACGAACTGCTCTAATGGGCCCGTTATGGATGGTTGTCGCTGGCTCTATTTTCTTCGTATATCTTCACGACCTCCGTTCCATCGTCTTCATTCGACGGATTCTGTTTGCCCTCATACTGTTGGCTCTCCTCTTGGGCACAACCATATTCATTCTTGTAAAGAAGCCTCAAACGTTTCACAACAACATCCATCCTGCCAACGATCTCGTCTACACGGCCCACGTCGAGCATGACCGCTGGAAAGCACAAGTCAGCGTCAGTACCACGCTATCGACGGCTGTAACAGTCTACCAGGAGCGACACAACGGGAGGCTACCGCCCCCCAATTTCGACGCATGGTACAAATACGCCGCGGATGACTCGGTTATCATCGACGACTTCCAGCAAATCGACCGAGACGTTGGCCCCTTTTGGAACGTGCCCCCTTCTGTGCTCCGCAAAAGGGCCACCGAGATGGCGGCGATGCCGGACGTCGCAACCATCACGGTCATGGGCGGCAAGGTCTCTCGGGAGGACACGGGCAACGGGGACGACAACAAAGATCTCGACGAGGTGGTCGCCCTGATTGGCAAGTTTGCCCAGCACCTCCCGGACATGGTCCTGCCCATCAACCTCTCTCCGTCGCCCCGCGTGTTACCGCCGTGGGAGGAGGCGAATTCCAAAAACAGGGCTGCTCAGCTCAGCTCCGTGGCTGACCTATTATCTCGGCGCTCGATGGACGAGGCGAGCAACGGCACTGCGCCAGCGGAGCACGAGAAGGAAGAAAAGGAAACAATCGTCCCTCCTCCTCATACTCGTCCTCCTCGGAGCACGGTGCCGGCTAGTGCCTTTCGTCGGATGCAGGCCGAAGCCTGCTCTCCCTTGTCGCGTAGTAGGACGAGGCCTCACTGGAACTTTATGGAGTATTGTTGGTCGTGTGCCAAGGACCACACCCACGGCCAACTCCTAACAAACTGGCAGCGGTCGTTGGACACCTGCTCCCAGCCTGATCTACGTCTGCTGCACGGCTTCTCGCTGACGGACCCGCCGCGGACGCCGCTCCGGCAGCTCGCCCCCTTGTTCGGAGCCTCCAAGACAGATGAGTTCCGTGACATTGTCATACCGCTCCCCAAGACGAGGCTGGAGCGGCCCGACATCAAATGGCAGTTTACACGAAGATACGATAGTCTGGTCTGGAGAGGGGTCGTGGGGGAACACGCGCCCAATAGTCAGGCCCTACGCGGAAGTCACAAATATCGCCTGTTGCATCTCGCCAGTGCGCCGTACGCACGCGACGACGTAATCATGGTCCTCCCCAAGCCCGACGACCACGAAACATTCGCCTACGAAAGGGTATCGGCCGTAGAGGCCAACGCCGTCGTGCCTTTCAGCGTGGGAGTGACCAACTCGACGGCCTGCGCAGCCGATGGGTGTAAGCTGGTCGAAAAGGCCTACGGCATCCGCGACGATGCCACCGAGCCGCTGGAATACCGCTATGTGCTCCTCATGGACGAGGACGACGGCCCGCCGCAGCAGGTCCTTCGCACCTTGCGCTCAAACAGCGTGCCACTGATATCCACCATCTTCCGCACGTGGTATACCGAGCGGCTGATGCCGTGGCTGCACTTTGTCCCCATCGATCCAAGATACCAGGCCCTTCACACGACCTTTGCCTACTTCTCAGGCACGGAGAGCCGACCCAAGGTCAATGGCAGGGAGACGTTGTTGCAGGGCAGACAGGCAGATGCCGAGTGGATCGTCCAACAGGGCCAGCGATGGGTGGCAAAGGCTCTCCGCGAGAAGGACATGGAGATCTATCTGTTCCGGCTGCTTCTGGAATGGGGGCGGCTCATTGACGATCTGAGGGACGAGATTGGATTCCGCAAGGATGACAAGGGGGCGTTCCAGAACGACGCCTGGAAATAGTTTCTGGCAAGTTGTGTAACACTGCGCGAATTCTGGCCGGCGTCAGACGTTTCAATACTTCTTTTAGCTGAAACGATGCCCATAGGAACCTACAATTAGTTAGCCTCATGAATATAAGTTTCTGGGATAAGGTCTTCATGTTGAGGAGTACCACGCACATGCCATCAGCTTTGGAGACGATAGTTTCAATCACCTCTTCTTTAAGTTCATTATTTTGCATAACTTTATAGCGACCCTTCGCTAAATTGTCGTCAATGAGGAGCCTTATGTCTTCGGTATGGGCCTTTATCTCGACAGGTATCCATCCAGAGAATGTTTTTTCGGGATCGGTTTGCCGGCTAGTGATCAATATCCGAGCTCCGATGTTTTGGAGATGGTTGAGTATCTCCAAAGCTTCATTTTGGAAGCTTTCAATGCATTCATCCATCGCATCAAGTACAACAAACGATTGCTTAAACTTCCTTAGAAGGGCGTCAATCTCGCGCATAAGAACAGATGTGTCGGAGCCGGTGTCGTTGCCTCTGCCCTTGCCTTTGTTTTCATATAACTCCACAATGGTAGTAGGGAGTGTTTGAATTTGACCAATGAGCTGCATCAGAAAACTTGAAAGGATCGAAGTACGCTCTTGGGGATAGCGGTAGTCGAAATACCAATAGAGGACAGCGCTACTTGGGTCATTCTTAAATGTTTCCTCAAGGGTTTCAATCACACGGCACCTAATGAGAGTGTTAATTAAATATGAGCATAAAGCGACTGCAGTGGAACTTACTTACGCAAGATGACTTTTGCCCGCTCCAGGAAGTCCATGACACCAGAGCAAGCGATACTCATCGTTTCCGTGCTGCATAAATCCTTGTAATTCTGGCAACCGCAAGAACCAAAAACCGGTATCTGGCACCATGGTCTCCTTTATTTGGTCATTTTTTGCTTGATAGTCGCCACTACACTTTGCTAGCCAGTCAATAACCTTGTTGCTTTTCTCATCTAAATCAAGGTCAGCATGTCACTCTAGCCGAGATGTCAAGGCTTATATTTTACCTCGATGGTGTTTTTCTTGAATCTCTGATAAAGTGCTGACTTTAGAGTAAATGAGAGCCATTGAATTCCTGAAATCAAGTTAACAAAACATTGATAGACGAAATAAATTATATCTTGGCTTCGAAGTTAGTCCCTACCACATATCGATTGCAAGCGCATTGTTAAACACTACTTGATACTCCTTTAACTTCTGAATCATTTTCTCCAGTTCTGGTTTCCGAAAAGGCCAGATAATTTTTCCTTTTTTTGAATCAATGTTCCTTTCAATCATGCGCTGCCATTTTTCTGCATCCTTTTTACAGCGGCACAACTGGGGGCCGAGTGCCTTGGCTACATCGGAGCAATCTGGTGACGAGACATTGGTGTTGGATATGGCGCTTAGGAGTTTATCCAGCGGTATTTTTAGAGCACAGAGCTCGTCCAAGAATTCTTTCTGCTCCTTTTTGGCGTGGGTAACGCTGGATGCATACTTGAAAGTGGTTGATATAGCGGCTGCGACGACGCTATTCAAGGCCGCAATATCAGAACCAAGCAGGAGAGGATTCATCGGAACTAGTTTAGTAAATTACTGACAAAAAATAAACGTATGTCTTTGATGAAAAGATGGAGAAATTGGCGTTTTCGTCAGCAACTTACGGCTATACAAGTACGCGTTCATGAATGCCTGCGGTATGCCTATGAGTTAGCCTCGCAGCAGATTTACATGCGATGGGGTGGGGGTTGTGACATGGGCACACCAACAACTTGATCGAACCAACAACATGGAAAATCAGGCTACCAATGAGGATGAGCAAAACATGGTTATTATAAATGTAAGCATGATATCACGAGCCCTGATGACCAAGAGTGAGGGGCATTTTGCATCTTAAATTTCATTGCCCATCTTGGTGATATATATCAGGTATTTTACAACCATGTGCAAGACTAATCAGCATCATACCATATGCACTAACACATCCGTACCACCCCATCAAACCTTGGTCCATTTGAAGCCAACAAGTGTATATCGCGCCCAAATGAATACAAGGCATCCCGTCATCATAGACAAGCCACAAAACAACTGCAGGCCGAGATAGTCGCCATGCTGCGATGACACAATCGCGCCGCCAATGGGACTTCCAATCAGTGCTCCGATGGCTTGAATCGAAAACGCTACGCCGACTCGAGTACCAATGTGCCTAATGTCGGAGATTTGAGCCACAAGCGTTGGCCCAAGAGAGATGACACCTCCAGAGGAGAAGCCGAATATGATGACGAAAACGATGATGCCAGCAACACTCTTGACAGGGATCCAGATGGCGAGACAGGAAATAGCAGAGATGAAGGTGATGATGATCATCACATTGAACCTGCCCATCTTGTCGGCTACAACGCCTGGGAGAATTCGTCCAAAGATACTCATGGCATTGAGGATTGGTATCAGATATGGGACTAACTTCGGAGAGAAACCGGCGTTTTGAGCTTGAAGAATAACATAATTGAAGGGCAGAAACATTCCTAGATAGAAGAAGAATGAGGCTGCGGTGGTGGTAACCAGTCGGATATCCTTGAGGTGCTTCGCGTACTCTCTGAGGACAAATCGGCGTGGGCGTGGTGGCAGTCTCGACTTGACTGTCAAAGAAGCAATACCCAGCAACAACATAAACATGAAGCCCAGCGTACGCATCATCCACGGAAAGCCAATCTTGATAATCAGTTTATTCATCATGATTGGCAAAACGACGCCGCCAACAGATGAGCCCGAGACCATGACACCGTAAGCAGCAGCGCGTCTCCTGAGAAACCAACTGACGATGGAGGACATGCAGGCGTTGAAGACGGCACTAGATCCAATTGCAGATACGATTGCCTGGGCGAGGAAGAACTGGTAGTACTCTTTGGAGAGAGAGGTCATCATGAGGCCGAAGATGTAAGTAACGGAACCTACCCAGAGGAGCCATCGTGATCCATAATTGTCGAAAATAAGGCCAAACTATAGAAGTCAGCACTGTATTACTTAAATGTTTCCTACTTTCTTCTATTATTCGCAGAAGTCAAAGTGTCACTTACTATCGCCCCGCAAAAGATCATCAAGAATATCAGCACTGACAGAATCCAGCTCACCACAGAAGAAGAGTACTCCTTCAGTGGATCGGAGACGTAATACTCTTCAAATACACCCACGCAATTGATCAGCCCAAACGTGCAAAAGAGAGCGCACCATCCACCAAATACGACCAGCCAAGCCTCTAATCCGCCTTCGGGAAAGTCGCCAGGAGGAGGAGGTTTGGGGGCAGCCTCGACATCCAAGTTTGCAAGGGCAATCTGCTCTCCGGCGCCAGAACCTTCGGTGTTGGAACCTTTGTGAGAGTGAGAGTCAAGGTCTTCTTTAAACTCCATCTTGTTGTTTATTTCGGCCGTATCGGCTGGGGAGGAAGTAGAAGTAAGCATCGTAGGTAGAAATGTAATTGTAAGTCGAGTTAAGGACAGTTTCTCTATAGCAGAAGGAGATAGGGTATCTGGTCATTAAATGAAGATTGTAGAATAGAGATTCGAGTATCAGCTGAAATGAGTCTCCGACAGGCTGGGTGGTAACTTGGACGGTATATCAAGTAAAAGAAAGGTGATCTCGCGAATCGGGATTATTATTGATCTTGTACAAAATGAGCAGCCTCTTGTATCTTATATTATCAACTATAAAAAAAAAAAAAAAATCATAGGCACAACGCGATCGCCATCGTGTATTAGTGTGTACTCAGATCAGGGATTGCCTCTTTCAGCAATCTGTGCCTTATTCGGGCATCTCGCGAAATCGCCGTGTTAGTCGGAGCTAGCCTCGGCGAGAAGCTAACACTACCATTCGCAGATCATATGCGTGCAGTAGTAAGCGGGACCTATTGATAGCCCTGTAACAGCGTCTAAGCTTGAAGATTAGGCAGTTTGATTGAGTAGAGCAGATTGATGGGGCCGAGTTGGAAGCGAAATAGACGAGGGCCGAGCACGAAGGAATGCAGTAGATCCTTGATAGTACGCGGCATATGATGCCGGGGTCATGCTAATCCTCCCAAACCGCTCCTCTCAAACGCTTGGTGCCAATCATAAGAACGTATTGGGTCGCTTCAAAGTCAATGCTAATTAGAGATTTCACTTCTTTCTCCTTCCTTCAGCGGATCTGTTCAATATGCCGTTCGGCTTCGTGCTCGGAGGAAACTATTCGATATACTTTCCCACACACCGCATTGATCACAACTAGGTCTGCATTGCAAGCGCACAGAGTTCCACGGAATAATTCAAATCCTGCGTCTCGCAGACAAGATTCTAGTGCACTGGGTACGCCGATTGATAATCAGCGTAATGATCTCATAATAGTATACAACATACAGGCTTGCTCCGCAAGCAATTTTTTTTAACCACCGTCCCTTTTTTGGCATCCTAATAATCATCGAACAAATTCCTTCAGGTCCTTCTTATCTTCGAACGTTACTTTTCCATCCTTGTTTGTTGGCTCCACGCGAATCCCGGAGGCAATCTCGTCGGCTGTCTTTCCAGTCAGCGTACCTTGAGGCTTGCTGGCTAATTCCAAAGCAGATGCCAGTGTGCCGGCTTGTGAATCAGCAATCTCATTGACCTGTTCGTTGGTGAGGCTATCGACAACGCGCACACCCCGGCTGGACATGAGAATAGTGCTCGGTCCCTTGAAATGCAAGAACAGTCGATCACCCCAGATTGTCCGGCGGGTCATTGTTCGAAGACTGTAGAAAGTACGGGCAAGGAATTTGTAGACTTGTGAATCCCGTGCCTTCTTCATAAATTCTGTCTCCGGAATCCAGGAAGTAAGGGATGGGATCTGGAATCGTAGACTGGCGCTCTTAAACCTGAACGGTAAAGGCTGGTGCTTTGTGACAGAATATGCAACAACACTGCCAGGATGGGCGACAAATTCTTCACCCTCGGAGAGATGTAGTTGATAAATCTGTCCAGGCGCTGATAGAGCTGCCAACCCACGACCAGTCACAAATGTGCTGCCCCAATGCGCCACCGAGAGTCGTCTCTGGATCCGTGATGAGAGGGACAGAGTGTGGCCTGTCCAAGCTAGCAGAGCATTGCGCTGGATCACCATCCAATCGGTCGTTCCGTCCAGGTGCAAGATGGTAAACGTCGTGGTGGGGGATTTGGTCGAGATCAAAGCGGTAATCGGCGAGGTGGCAGATATGCGCTGATAGATGAATGGGACCCCAAACGGTGCCCGCGAAAGGGGATTTAGTAGTGACAGGGTCGATTGTGCCTGCGAAACCATCAAACATTAATCTTTCAGCTCCATTGCTGTCATCGCATCATCAGCGCTCTCACATTGTCTGGGTTCCCCGCCACTGCGACCAGCGTCCCACGTCGAGTATAAAGCCTCTGCGAAGCCGAAAGTGATACCGAGAGCAGCGAATACGGAGAGCCAATGACTTCGAATCGGGCATCTGAGAGTTCACAGACTGTCAGCACAAACACCATCACACCATCGCAGCATCATGTCAGCAGCGAAGCCATACCAGCCGTATCCCTCAGGTTTTCAATTGCGCCAAAAGCATCTCCCCCGGCTGTCGTGCTCGGAGTTGCACTGATCTGAATGCCGCGGCATTGCCAGCAGACGTACTGCGCCGGCTTGCTGCGAAATGTACGCGCTGTCCGTAGCAGCGGCGAAGGGCCCCTCATTGCGCCGTTTGTCGAGCTCTCGCGAGCTTGTCGAAAAGCTGGTGGTGAGCTTCTGAAGTCCGTTCGGACGCTAAAATCCCGGCAATTCTCGCAATCGCTGGCGGTCTTTCCCGGCTGTACTGTAACGAAGTACCCAGGTACCCGCTGCACGTGTTTGTTGCCGTGGTAACACAGCGCCAAAATACCCCAGCACAAGGCGGTATGTACCCCGTACCGAACCAGCCCCGTACCAGCCCTTGGCACTCCCAGCCCTCCAGCACGCCAAAAAATCGGTCAATCTAATCTCTACTACTACTACTAATTAATCTCCTCCAACGACCAGGACGACGGATGCTCACTAAGCAGGGTTTAGGAGCCTCGATCCCATCGCCATCCTCCGGCAGCGGTTACCTCTCTCCTCCTCGCCTATAGCCCCAATTGATCGCCAATGTCGGTTCGCGTCGTCGCCAGGCTGCGGCCTCTCCTGTCTCAGGAGCTGGAGAAGGACATCATCGTTCGCACCGACAGCATCGAGCCCGAGAAACCAGCGACAATCGTCAAGATTCCGAACCCGAGAAACGAGAGCGAGGAGTTTTCCTTTACCTTCAATGGCGTCTACGGCTCAGAGACGACGCAGGAAACGCTGTTTACTTCCGAAGGTGGGAACTATTTCTTTTTCTTCTCCGCCACTCTCCGCACCTAACGCGTCTGATGGACTAGCTGTGTTAACCTGAGCAGTGGCACCGCATGTAAAGTCACTGTTTCAGGGCCTCGATGTTACCATCTTCGCGTATGGTGTCACGGGCACGGGAAAGACGCACACGATGCGGGGAGGGATGAAACTGGCTGAACGAGGCGTGATCCCCCGGTTGCTTAGCAGCATCTTCCGCAGGGGGAAGAAGATTATGAAGGACACAGACGGAGAGACTACGGTAGACGTAGCGCTGTCCTACTATGAAATCTACAACGACAAGGTCTATGACTTGATGGAACCCCCTGAAAAACGAACGGCGACTGGGCTGCCCCTCCGCGCAGAAGCCAACGGCAAGACGGTCGTGGTGGGCTTGACGGAACGAGCTTGCGAAGACCTCAAGGACTTTGAAACGTTGTATATCGAGGCCAACAACAACCGTGTAACAGCGGCCACAAAACTCAACGCCCACAGCAGTCGAAGCCACGCCATTCTTCGGGTCAAGCTGACGCAGACAACCGGTAACATGGTTCTCGAAAGCACTGCGTCCGCCATCGATCTGGCTGGTTCGGAAGACAACCGACGGACAGACAATGGCAAGGAGCGGATGGTGGAGTCGGCGGCCATCAACAAGAGCCTGTTTGTGCTCAGCCAGTGCATTGATGCCATTTCTCAAGGAGCCAAGAGGATACCATATCGAGAGTCCAAGATGACCCGGATTTTATCATTAGGTCAGAACAATGGTATCACCGTCATGATCCTCAACCTATCACCGCTGCGAAACTATCATTTGGACACTCTTAGCAGTTTGAATGTCAGCTCTCGAGCCAAGCGGATTGAGGTTCGTGAGATTGAGAACGAGGTCGTGTTTAAGCAGGTTCCTAGGACGAACTCGGCTACAGCCACTCGGCAGCCATTAAAGCCTCTGGCTAATGCTATAAATACCCACATTGCTGCCAGCGGAAACGCTGCGGCAAAGCCCGCGGAGGTGGCCAAGCCCGTTAAAGCTTTTAGTGTATACACGGATAAAGCGAAACCGTCAGCTATTGCGCGACCATCCCTGGGCTCCGCTCCTCCTCGCTCCTCCTCCAAGTCTCGGTCCTCTTCGCTGAAGCGATCATCGGACCATCACGACACGGCCTCTCGACCTAGCAAACTTGCTCGGCCAATCATTCACCAAACCCCACAGCAGCAAGTCGCAAAACCTTCACGGCCTTCATTAGTGCCTCCAGCACCCTCAAAGCCCCCGCTGGCATCGCAACAAACCCTCACTGTGACAGCAGCAGAGATTGAAGCCTTGGTGGAGAAGAAAGTGAGTGAGATACTAGCGGCAAGGGAAGCAGCTGAAGAATCCATTCGACGAAGTCAGACTTCGCCTGAAGTGAGTGATGCGGTCCAAAGACGTCTGGAAGCTCTGGAAAGACGGATTGAGAACGAAGAGTGGAGGGAGGACGCCAAATCTGAGGGTCTGCGGTATCTATTATCAGCAAGGCACCACAAGGAGCGTGGTGATGATGCCGCCGCGCTCAAAGCCTACGAAATGGCTTTACCATATTTTCCAAATCAGCCAAAGCTCCTGGGCAAGATTGAACGCCTAAAAGCACGTATAGAAACTTCAGCGAGTTCAGGAGGCACATCTCCCGAGAGACGGGAGAGGAGAAGGGAACGCAAGCCGAGACGCAAGACTGTCAGCGATGAGGATGGCGACGACGCCGAAGCAGATGGGGAGGAGGAATGCCATGTTTCCACGCCAAAGATCAAGGCAGCCAAGCTTAAGGCTAGAAGAGAGCCAAACACCATTCTTACGGAGGACGATGAAGATAACACGCCGCGTACTCAAAGACTTCTTGATTTGGTCAACTCACGAGACGCGACACAGATCCGGGGACTCGTAGGATTCGGCGCGAAGAAGGCTCAAGACCTGGTAGACTACTTGGAGTTGGCGAGCACCGAGGGTGGCGGCGACATTGAGAATCTATCTCAGCTACGAACGATTCCCGGCTTGGGCGGGCGAACCGTAGACCGCGCATATGAGGGATTGGCGGCGAGGGCATAAAGTCATGGGCGGCGTTTTTCTTTTATATAAAGGCTGTGCATGTGTTACCATCGTGCACTTGGATACCAGAAAGGCGACCCCGGCGAGTGGTCGCACGAGCATTCTATGGCGTTGGGAGTTGTGATCACAGCTAGAAGAGGAACAGTGTATCTGCACATGTTGCTGCTCTTCGTTGATTGGCTTGAAGACGCATTATGCAGCGAGCATTGATGGAATTGATTTTCACCCCTTGCATGAAATGTCATGCAGCCTCGATCTGATGAACCCTGTCTTGGCCTCTTTTTGTGTTTCATCTTGTCTGTCTCATCGTCTGTTTCTCAAGTGTGTGACGCCATTCTTTTCGTGTGCGGCGGGTGATTTGGTTGGCGTTGGTTTGTTTTTACTGACTGGACGGTATTACTGTGTGAGACTCACATTTCGTTAGATATTAGAAGGGTGTTTCTGTTTTCGCTTACATATATACCTGATGAGAAGACATTGAGCGGCGCCGTGGTTTTGCGTCAGCTATTTCTCACTATACTTGATTGAAGGCGTTAATCGTAATAAAGCATCGTGTAGCTTATTTGTTCTAGTAAATACCGTTGAAGTGCTGATAATTGGTAGCATAGAGTAGACGCGCTGCAATGCTCAGATGAGGCCATCACGGTGAGTGGACACCACCTTACACAAGCGCATAAAGAAAAGCTCACGATATCCCGTAGAATCAAGATATCAACTAGCCACATCGACGTCATGAACAAGACTAAATCGCAAACAGCAATCCCACGATCCCAATTCGATCTCGTACCCATTGTACCTATACCTCGTATGAGCACCAAGAACATTCGTTCCGACATCCGGGCAATCAGAAGCTGCTACGCCTCCCCCCAGACGCAAGACGCCTCCACGCATGGAAAAACCTCCAATCGCCACTGCCGGATAACCAAAAATAACAAAACAAGGAAAACAGACACACGACCAGCCCTCATACAAATAAATTTAACCCCTCCCATAATACCTAAATCGGGTGAGACATGGGGCTTCTCTGTCTCACCACATTTTTTGGATGTGTCTTAGAAATCCAAAACTTCAGTCTCCATAAAACCTGGAAGCCATGGAAGAGAAAGACTCGATTCATGAACCCTCAAATCTCCACCTGGAAAGTCCATTTACACTACGTATGTTATATGCATACAGTACATGTATTTCCCTCTTATACAAACATCCATGACTCTTCCAAACCGCGAGACACTCTATTATTTCTCGCCCCTCACAAAGAAGAAAACCTCCCATTGGTCCAAACCAAAAACCACGAAACCATGTGCGGGCTTCCCACCAAGTTTCATCTACCGCACGGCGGCTACGTCGGATAGGCCCCCAGACAAACAGACAAAAAGACAACACAAAGCAAAACTCCACTTCTTTCCGGCAACGGTGGAGGAGGCGACTTGATTTTTGTGTTTTGGCTACCTACCTAGGTTATTGTTATGGGATTGGATGGGATGGGCTGGCGTCTGCTCGTGTCATGCACGAGGTGGCAGCGGCACATACGTAATGCGCATGACGCGGCGGTATAGGAATGAACCTATCCAATTAGTATTGCTAAAGCCGGCGGCGATTTGGTGATGATTACTACAGGTTTTTTGCTGTATTTTTGTGTCGCTGATATTCCGCTGATAAATGAGGGGGAAACACCCCGTTATAGATCTGACTTATACGGACATGCTGGCGGGCGGAACTGCCGGATTAAAATAGGAATACTCACAGAAATAGGCCATCAGGTGAGCATACTCGTACACACTTAGACGGGACCCGATGGAGCCGCATAAGCCTCAAACAACTGGGTCTGTAGCAGTAAAGGTAGGTCAAACGTCTTTTTGAGTAAATTCATCTCATAATTCTGGCATCTATGTACAAGAGACTGTATTGAGGAAATAATATGTTCAACCCAAAAGTCATAGCAGGCATGTTCATATGCTGCGCCCAGCTCCGTAAACTAAAAATCAAATATAAAAGGAAAAAGTAGAAGATGCTTTAAACCTAGCAGTGAGGAGCGTCCAGCGAATCTTTTCTAGGTCATGTCCAGACCTAAGAAACGTCATGGTGAAGCCAAAAGAGAAAGGGCATCAGAATCGAACGAGCGTGAAAAATATGGCCTTTGATGAGATACAAATGATAATCGTGAGAACACGACTCGCGGTTTACTTCTTTACGTAGGGGTCGCCGTGGAAGGTCGTAACCAAAAGCTACCCAAAGTGGTATCTTCCGCTTTTCGTCGTCTTGTAATCCAAACCGTACACCATCCAAAATGAAAATTGGCTTTTGCCGTTTTTTTGTTTGTATAAATCTTTGTTTGTGCTCTCTGGGGAGCTATTTTACCGAATCATGCTGGTTCGGCGTTGGACTGTCCTCTGCTGGTCCGTTCGGGATCCTCCAAAGCCGGGCATTGAGCTGAAGCGGTTCAGCTTCTTGCGCTCAGGCAGTGCCTCCATGGTCGGGGAGGTGGGCTCGGGGGTCATGGAGTGCATGGGAGATCGGGGAGTAGGAGAAGCGCGGTCGCCGTGGAGGGCGTCCATGCGGGATGCGGTGGACTCTGTAGAGGAGCCGGTGCTGTTGGGAGTCTGGTAGACGTACTCGCCATCAACATAGACAGCGTTGGACACGAAGGTGGAACGGCGGTTGCGGCGACGGGTGTAGCGTTGCTCAAGGCGGAAGAGCTCCAGCTTGGCCTGGATACGCTCAAAGAGACTTTGGCCCATGTTTGCGGTGTGAGAGAAGGGTGGAAATTTGTGGTAGATGTAGAGGTTTGCAGGTTGCAGCCGAAGCGAAGATTGTTGTTATTCCGTGGTATCTTGGAGCTCGTTTCACGTTGGTGTAAGGGAAAAGGCGTTCGAGTTCGGATCAGAGGCGGATTCTCCCGAGTTTGTATGTTTGCAGAAACAAGATCCGAGGACGTATCAAGTATAGAATCAGGTGACGGGAGGTGAAGCGGTCTTGAGGTATGTAAGGTGGAAGAAAAGGAAGTGGTACGTTTGGCAGGGGACGTATTTGGGAATTCCCGTTGTATTAGTAGCGTTGAAGAGGTAAAGAGTGACAAGAGGTTGGGGACCTGCAGCTACAGGGGCGTTTTGCTTGATAAGGAATAGAGAAAAAAAAAAGGATGGGAAGAAAAAGAAGTTCAAGTTGAAATGCAGAAGAGAGAAGAGTGGAAGGTCTTGAGCAAAGATCCTGGAATCGGCGGGCCGGGGGCAAAGATATGGATCAGCAGGTACGAGGTATGAGGTACGAGCTCATTAGCGGGGATGACACCGTGGTGGAGGTAGTCCGTACCAGGACAGAGCTTGGAGGTACCGCTACTCCCGGAGCGTACTGGTACCTGGCAGACCCAGAAGCGCATGGCAACGCTGCAACGGCACGCCACCAGCGGCCGGGGATCACCAGCGACAGGTATCGGGACCTCGCAGCGCTGGCAGCTGGCGGGCAAGCGGGAGCGCGGGCCTGATGGAGGCCGGTATCAATACCTGCTGTACTCGAGGCCAGCAAGCGCTAAGGCGCATAGTCTCTAGGGCTTGAATGAGCCGCAGGGGTCCCCACGTCGCTATGAGAAGGTGCCAATGGTGGTGGCCCAGCGAGGTATGGCGCTGCTTCGGGGGGATACTCGTAAGGGCGAATGCCTTGTGCAGGACTAGAATGGATTCTATTGTGCGATGTGGGCATTTTTGAGGGGAATTGGAAAAGGAGGAGGCGAAAAAAGAAGAGTGAGAGAATTATAGTAGTAGAGAGAGAGAGTGAGTGAGATGAGTACATATTGTAGAGACGACGAGACGGCCTGCGTTGGGATCTAGCCCCAGCTCTTCCAGGACTTGGTCCTCAAATTGCTTCGACATTTCGGCTCTGTCCATCAACCCTATCCATATCCATGATATGCCACATCCACGTGCCTGCTGCAACTACAACGGCCTAGGCAGCAAATAAACCCAGTCCAAAGCCCTCCATGCAATCATGCAATACCTGTAAGGATGCAGGCGCTGTGCTGGGTACTGTATGAATGCCCTGAAACCCTCACTCAGTCTGGCTCTCTCACTCTCTTTCTCTCTCTCATGCTTCCCCTGTTGGTTGGCCTCGCCCTCGATGGATGAAACGCCTTGCTCCATATTGCGGGCTCTCTAGCGCAGGGGCTCCATCTTGGCCCAAGTGCCCGCGGCCACATCGCGCCTTTGTGGGTGGTTGGTCCGGCGAGTTGCTCGAGTTTACCTACTGTGGATGCGCTAATAAAGGTCGGCCCCGAAGCTATTCATCCCGGATTTCGCATTCCATGCTTGGCCAGGATCGGGCAAATGTCCTGAGACCAGCAGTGTTGAATACGGGTAAGCGACATTGGCTGGTGAAATTGGCTGAGCGTCAGGCTTGCTAGTGTTTTCCATCCATTGTTATCTTTCTCCTCCAGCTGCGTTATCGATTGAAACTTGCGACTTGCTTGGCCTTCATCGGTGCGACAAAACGGCGCCGTTTATTCGCCGCCATGTCTCTGCTCTGGATCAAGACCTGCACGGCATGAACGCCTCCAACGAGAACAAGACCTAAATTTAGTTATAGTTCACTTGTGCTCGTACAGAACATGCACGACAGTCCAGCTGCAGCAGCCACGCCGTACTCGTATTTGCGACAAACCCTGTCTCGTCCAGTGGTTCATTTTCATCCTCCCGTACTTGTACCTGGTGGCTGTCGTGCTACTTGCGGTAGTGCCTGGAAGCTGCATGGCGGGCGCCTCGTAGTGTTGGAATAGCGCAATCCATCTTCCCCCTGCGTCGACAGTAGTCCGAACCTGTTCATGTCGATTTTAGCCGTTGCCAATTCCTCTTCTCTGCCCGCAGCTGCAAATCGACAGCGCCGCGGATTCGCTCTCTTCCTGGCCGGGCCTCGATTCGCCATGTTCAGCCCAATCTCCCCTTTTTGTGTCGGGCAAGTCATGTCTCGGTGGTGACATGCATGGGTGTGGCCTAGCACCAGCTTCCACGTGGATTCCAGAAGCGAGGCGCGCGATCTTGACGATTTTGGGGAGGGCTAGGATGGGAACCTCACCCTGTCCCTGCAGCAAATTGAATGAGATGGTAAAGCAGTGAGTGATGCTGTCGATATTACTCGTAGTGTCTTATCAGGCCATGCGGTATTCCGTCCACATACAGAACAACTGTTTGCAGGCAGAGGAGGGGGGGCGGGGCGGGGGCTGAATCGCAGGCCCTTCGTATTTGCATCTCAACTCAAATGATACGAAATGCCATCTAGCGAACCGTCGTCGGAAGCTCCCGAGCACACAGATGCCCCAACGATCCTCGTCTTCCGTCCATTTGTGCGCTTGAGCACCACTTTTCCGTCGCACTCAACACTGTGGATGGCGCACGGGTGTGGAGTCGCCAAATCGATGGTCCGCAGGCTTAAATTTCGCCAAACGAAGCTGTCCGGGTAGCCTCATGTTTTTAATCCCTAGGTTATTTCACATCCATTACTAGCAGCTCTCGATGGGACCGCTAGCTGTCCTTGGATGGTTTGTGGCACCGCCACTAATAAGATGATGGTTCCCGGGCTGTTGGAGCTGAGGAAGCTGAGAGATCAGAGGACTACCGGTGTTGTCTCATAACACTTGGAGGTATCATTTTGATTGTGCTGACCAATGATCCATATCAGGCTATCAAGCATTAGACGTCAGTAGTCTGTAGTATTTCGCAGGGGCAGCAAGCTCTGTCATCTCTCACAGGTCCCGAACATATTGCAGATGAATCGTGTCATGTGTAGCAGCGACTCGAGCTTGTGAGGTGCTTCTTGTACTGCGTCAGTCAAGTCTCTCGAAGGCAAACTCGTCTTGCCGCTATCCGGTATCCGGTAACCGTTATCTGCTATCCGCTTTGGAAGTTGTACATGCGGGAAAGAGCGGATCAAGCTTGTCAACGCCTTCATAAAGGGGATTAGCGAATATGGCATCAAATACTTCACAACAGGCAAGTGCAGCTGCTGAAATCTACATACAGTAGCGTTGCCTCTCGTGAGAGCACTTACCCCGTGAGCTTTATCATGTTTCCCGTGACGACTTCCAAGAATTAAATAAAACAAAGTAAGATAGGTAAGATAAAATAAGATAAAAGACGACGACAGAGCGAATATGCCGATACCCGTGAGGAAGGAGCAGACAAGAGCTTCCGTGCCGTCTCGACGGGAATCGAAAAGTTTGTTCATTCTTATACTTGAGGTGCCGAGATCAGTGATTGTGATAATTAAAAGCAACTCTGGGATGCTGTTCATGTTCCATTTTGCACCGTTCTTTTGCAACCTCTTGCCATTTTGCATTATTTGATGCCAATCGCTCTTGTTGGAGTTCCCAGATTGGTTGAGACACAAGCAACCGTACGTTGTCTTATCTGACCAAGACATCGCGAGACACTTCACACTGGGATTTTGAAGAGACAGCTCTGCAACTAAAAAGTCTTTGAGCTCACCTTCTCATCAATTGTGTCTTGCTGGGCCAAGTGCCATAACTCGCCATGCGGGCTCTCAATTTCCTGGGTCTCCCCATTCTCGTTGCAGGCGTGGCTTCGCTGAAGAATGAACAGAAGGGAACGACAGATAAACCCACAAAGAGCATCAATGCTGCAACAAACAAGTACATAGTTGAGTTCGAAAAGGTATGCCGTTGCAACGCTTTGTCTGCCTTTTCTGCAGCCATTGACACATTCATCGTGTAGGGTAGTATTGCCTATATGACCCGCCAGTTTGCCTCGCCGTCATCGATGAATAGCACCTACTTCAGGCAATTCGACTGCGGCGACCTTTTCAATGGGGTGGTTATCGAAAGTGAAGTTGACAATGTCGACACTCTCAGTGCAGTCCACGGCGTGGCCAATGTTTGGCCAATGAAAACTATTCCAATGGCATCTGCCATACAGCAAGTCAAGGCTGCTCCGGACCCCAAGAATCACAATTACTCTGTGCACCAATGGACCGGCGTTGATCAGCTCCACGCTCGCGGTATTCGAGGTAAAGATGTTACCATTGCCATCATTGACACTGGCCTTGATTATACGCACGAAGCGGTCAGTCATCATTCTCTGTAGCAGACCGGCCTCTTGAACTAAATATACTCTATAGCTTGGTGGATGCTTTGGACCTGGCTGCAAAGTTGCCGGAGGTTATGATCTCGTTGGTAAAGACTGTAAGCTCAGTCCTTGGTCGCGGACAAATAAGTGACATGAAGACTGACATGAAATTTGAGGGAACTCTCACAATGAGAAACGATACCCAAAAGACCCAGATCAAGACCCCATGGACCATCACGGCCATGGAACTCATGTGGCCGGGATTATTGCCGCTGAAAACGAATGGTAATATGCTAATCTCAGCATACCATCGTTCTTAAACTAACTTATTCCATCAAAGGCTGACTGGGGTGGCTCCTGATGCTCAACTTCTTTCGTTCAAAGTGTTTGCCGATGTGTGTGCTATGATGTTCCCATCAACATACTCCCGCCCGCTGACAAGCTTTCGACAGGATCCCTGGGACACCGACGAAGATGTGCTCATTCAGGCATTTTGTGACGCATACGGCGCTGGGGTAAAAATATCGAGACGTGCCTAGGTATTCTACTGCTAATCACCTTATAGGCCGACATCATTACGGCAAGCATCGGCAGACCTGATGGGTTTGCTGATGATCCCTGGGCCTTGGTTGCTAACAGAATTGCGGACAAAGGTGTCGTAGTCACAATTTCGGCCGGGAATGAAGGCAATACCGGACCGTTCTTCTCAAGCAGTGGTGCAAATGGCCACAATGTCCTGTCTGTAGCTGCCATCAACGTTACCGGGAATCCAAACATAAGCACCTCTGATCCCAGCGCAGCACCGATCCCCGCCTTGTTCACATCATGGGGCCCGACTAACGAGTTGCTACTCAAACCTGATATCGGTGCCCCCGGCTTTGAAATACTGAGCACCATACCGGGCAATGACTACATTTCGATGAGTGGGACATCCATGGCTGCACCATATATCGCAGGTATTGCAGCACTGTACATATCCAAGCACGGCGGCCGTGAGCTGCATGGCTCTGGATTCGCAAAAATGCTTTCCAACCGCATTGTTTCCAGTGGCGTGAGTATTGGGTGGGCAGTTGGTGATACTGATCTCAAATTCAGAGCCCCTCCTTTTCAAGTGGGCACCGGTCTTGTCAACGCGCTCAAGGTGATCGACTATGACACTCAGTTGGAATTTGAACCTTTTTCGCTGTCGGATTCCATACAGTTCCGATCAACGTGGACTGCAAACGTGACAAACTCCGGGAACCAAACCGTGGTTTACTCCTTCGAGCTTGAGCCCCAGGCTGGGGTAGAAATCCTGGATCCTCACTATGGCATAAAAACCGCCTACAAACTCGAGCCATTGCGGATTGTGCCCCCAGTTTCATTGCCCAGTGATGTTGTGGTAGCACCTGGGGAGACAGAACAAGTCGAGTAACATCCTCCTACCATCTCACATTTACGCTATATGTGGCTAATAAATTTCAGGTTCACCTTTGGTCTTCCTGAACACATAAACGATGATTACCTACCTCTATATGGTGGTAAAGTTTGGATAAGAGGGAGCAACGGTGATGATCTCTCCATTCCCTACGGAGGTGCGTTTAGCCCCAAAATAGATCTGGCAAAGGTGTATCAACATATTGATGCGTCTTTGCGCTTAATAGGGGCAGCATACGATACCGAAAAGGCTTTTGATAGCATGTTCTTGGGAGAGCCCTTCATCACAGATCGAGGTGCTAATTGGACGTGAGTGAACCCTGTTAGAAGTTCTGAGAGGTCATCTAATGTTAGTGGTAAATAGTTGGTCATTTAATACCGACAAGAGTCGATTTGACTTTGTCGAGTTAAACGCCCGTCTCGACTACCCATGCTTCCATCTGCGCTGGGATGTCAGTATTCACTCTCTGATCCAAGTTGGGCTATAAAACTGCTAATATAAATCATATCTTCAGATATACACCCCGTTCTGGACTGAGATCCATTGGGATTATCCTCCCGTTGTTGGGGAATCCGGCTACGTTGGCGCGGCGGCTGCCATGCGAGATGCCGACACCTTTTGGTATTACGACCCTAGCCGCATGGACAAAGATCAAACAGTCTCGTTTCCTATGATGAGAGTTCCACGAGGGTATGCTAAGCACTGGTGGTTTGGCAAGCTGGCAAACGGAAGCTATCTCGCGCCAGGCAATTATACGTGAGTTAATGGTAACCTGATCGAGATTCTTGAATGAGCTAATCTTTTGTTGTAGCTTGCGATTCGCCGCTTTGCGCCCGTACGGTAATCCTAGCATTTCCGACCATTGGGACATAATGCACATGCCCGTGCGAAACATTCAAGTCTTGCCATACAACCAAACAAACTCCACTACACACGGAGGACACTAGATTACCACATATCTTTCCCTTTTACGGATCCGAGGATATGTATAATTGTTCTTGGCCATCTTGGAACATGTATAGAAACTACACCCAATTTTGGAAGTTATAGACTGTAGCTGAAGTTGGACCATCTTACTACGCAAGGTAATCATGCTGAGAAGGGAAATGCCCTGATATGGAACTCCTATCAATTTTATATCACTAATCGATCTCTTTGAAACCCCTTAATCTCCTCATGTGCTAGGTTACGCCTCCGTCTTCCGCTTCTTTGACTTGGAGTCTGTTCCGTTCCTTTCTGCAGCACGCTTGTTGCTGACAGATTCCCCATCTACTCCATCTTGGTCATGCTCATCTTCGTTATTATCTGCATTCTCCCCGTAGTCGCTCTCATACTCTCCCATAACCTCGGCCTCATCAGGGGATGGAAACAGCGTTCTCCAGCTTCCATCCAGAACCTTGTCGTCGTTGCCGTATAATCCCACCGCATATGCATTCTTCATGGCAGCCATGCAGACGTTTCGCCGCTCATTGAAATCAAACATGGGCTTCGGGTACGTCCCTTCTTGGTGCTCCGAGAGCCCATCGCCAGTAACCCTGACGCCGGCCTCCTTCTGGTCAGGCAACGGCATCTTCCACGGCTCGTAAATGTACTTTTCCTTCACGCGGCTGAGCTCAGGCACCCATCGCCGAATCAGCTCGCCGCTCTTATCCCACTTCTGGCCAAAGGAGACGGGGCTGTAGCAGCGAAAGTACTGGGTGAAGAAGGCCGTGCAGGAAAGCCACTGCCAGTTGCCGATGTTGCACGCGGGCTCATGGTCTATGAGCCATTCCTCGAAGACTTCGCAGCCGCGCTCCCAGTCGACGTAGCAGCCGCCGCGAGTGAGGAAGCAGGCGACGCTGTGGCGGCCGAGGTGATGGATCCAGCCGTCGTGGCGGAGCTGGCGCATGAGGGCGTCGATCCAGGGGAAGCCGGTGACGCCGGCCTTCCAGCGCCGGAACCATGTTTCTGCTTGCTGGTCGTCGATGTGGTGGTCGCCTGTGATGAGGCCGGTTTCTGGGTCGCGCTTGGAGGGGAGATGCCAGGGGATGAAGCGGCAGTGAGGGTTCGTTGCTGTTTGTCCGAATGATGCGCCGAGGGCGGCGTGGGCGGCAAAGTACATGTCGCGGAAGAGGATTTGACCGATGAGGCTCTCGGGGGGAGATGAGGCTGCTTTGCCGTAGGACTCGACGATTTCGTGAACGCGCCAGTAGAAGAGACGTACGGAGAGGGCGCCGAAGTGGAAGAATGGCGAGAGGAGGGTTGTAGACTGAGGGTCGAACTGGGCTGGGCTTGTCTTTGGTTTCTGGAAAGTCGCAGTGTACTTTTTGTCTTTGAGGAGGTCGTCGAGAATCTCAAGGGCACGCGTCTCGCCGCCTCGATGGGGAGTTGTTGCTGGAGAGAAGCCGAGCTCTTCCAGAGTCTCAATAGCAAAATCACCATGTGGGCCAGCAATGTGTTTATATCCCGTATCTTCCTCTGATCTATAATCCGCGTTGAAATCCGGTTTCCCCTCAGGAACATGCCTCTCAAAATCCACCGGCATATCCCCCGGATCAGGCAAACTCTCAGGCGCCGGAATGGGCTTCGCAACAGGCCCAATCTTTTTACTCGCTGCCTGCAGCTGGGTTATCGACATTGTGGGTTTTCCATCATGATGCTTGACAATGTCGTCGCTGTCCCAGAGGGTTCGGCCTGGTTGGATGATGACTTGGATTCCCGCTGCTTTGGCTGCTTTGGCGACGGCCTCGTCGCGAGAACGGGCGTATGCATCTGTGTCTTTTTCGAAGACGAGATGGGTTGGTTTCCAGGCTTTGAAGAGTTTGGGGAAGAGTATTTGCGGTCCTTCTCTGAGGACAAACAGCTTGGAGTTTTTGTTCAGCTTCGTGATGGATTGCGAGAGGTCATTCTGGCAGTCCAATCTGATACAAAGTGTTAGTCGCTTCGTTGATCTCGTAATTCAGCCAAGGTGTCATACAGAAACTGCCATCGATTCACTCCTCCTCTAGCCTTGTATACATAGTGAGGATCCCATGTAAAGATTGGCCAAAGAACCTCTGGCTCGAGATCTAGTGCTGCTTGTAGGGCGGGAGAATCGTGTAGACGGAGGTCTGTTCTGAACCAGTATATCACGCGCGGTTTCGCCATTATGCCAAATCTATTGATGGCATGAACAAATAATTGTGTAGATTCTTTACTTCATGTTGATGTTTTGGTATAAATGAAACATTCAAGAGGAGTGAGTTTGTTGAGGCGTCGGTCCATGATGTCATGATTGTGTCTGAAGGCGATGCTCGTGCACGGGCTTGAATGTCTCGATCGGACGAATGAAGCCATCTCAATGAAACCAACATTATGTCTAAGACATCAAGGCAGAAGAACTGTCACAGAACGGATGTCAACATGTCTCTCTTTGTCATTATGCATTGCCAGCTCACATTGTCTTACTAAGGGTGCTATAAACGGCTGCTGACAGTTCGACGACGAGCTGCTCGCTAGCTAGAGTTTAAAGTTGAAGCCTCTAAGATTTAACGTAAGACCTCGGCTTCATTAGCACCTCAACTCCGAGCTTGTAATTCCTCATTAGGTATTAGGTCTAATAAGAAAGTTGGGAAACGTCTCAGAATTCTAAATCACTAGCCAGTTCTATGCTCGCTCGACTGTATTGTACGGAAATATTTTGTCTTATTTACCTCCGTATTCCATGGAGTTTTGTCATGAAGCCTGATTCCCGATTATTCGACGCTATATCAGGTCAGCACTAATAGTTTACAATATCTATATAAGACATGAAGAGGTTGAAGCAAGAAGACTTCACGACAATCAGTAATCATTCTCCTATAAATCATTCCTAATAAAAGCCAATAGCAACATGCAGGTTGTCTCCATCGACGACTTCATACATCAGTCCTTTGACTTCCTCGTCATCGGCGGTGGAACTGCTGGCCTAGCTGTTGCATCTCGTCTAGCTCAAGATGGGAACTTCACCGTTGGAGTCCTTGAGGCTGGAGGGACGGCAAACGGGCGTGATGATGTTGAAATCCCAGGCTATCTTGCGAGATCGCTGGGCACTGAACTCGACTGGAAGTTTAAAACAACACCGCAAGCTCGACTTGGTGGAAGGACGGTCAATTGGCCGCGAGGGAAAGCCCTCGGTGGATCGAGTGCCATCAACTTTATGACTTGGATGAGAGGTGCCAGAGAGGACTATGATGCATGGGAGGCGCTAGGGAATCCCGGATGGGGATGGGATAAGTTGCTGTAAGTGCTGTTGAGCCTCAGTGGTTGTGATGATGTGAAGTTTCCTCTGATCTCGTCCCATAGCCCCTATTTCAAAAAGTCGGAAACGTTTCATCCACCTAGCGATTCTGTTCGGGATAAAGAGGATCTCCGATATGACCTGGAGGCCTTTGGGGATTCAGGACCGATTCACATCTCTTATGCCAAAGAATATCAACCATCTAATCAGCTATACTTCAAGGCACTCAACTCGGTGGGCGTGCCAACAAATTCGGCTCATTTTGCAGGATCGAATGTTGGGGCGTGGACAAATGTCAACAACATTGACCCTCGCACAATGACTCGATCCTTTGCGACCAACTATTGTGCCTTGGCTGGTTCTAATCTTCACATCTTGACTGAAGCCATCGTTCAAGATGTTGTCCTTGACAAGATTGATAATGCATATAGAGCCTCTGGAGTTCGTTTCATTTATAAAGGTCAAGAGCATGTCGTCTCAGCATCTCGAGAAGTCATCTTGTCCGCTGGAAGCATCAAGTCACCGCAGATACTAGAGCTATCAGGCATAGGCAACCCTGAGGTATTGTCTCGAGCCGGCATTGACGTCAAAGTGGATAGTCCCATGCTAGGAGAAAACCTACAGGAGCACAAAGGTATGTGTCTGCTTGGGTAATAACAATCGCAGCTTAAGCCAGCCTTTGACTAACAGGGTAAAACAGCGATCCATATGGTCGTGGAAGTTGACCCAGAGCTTGAGAACAGAGATGATCTCTTCTTTGATGCTGATCGCGCGGCAGCAGCTCTAGCACAGTATGATCGGGACCAAACTGGCCCTCTCGCCCGCATTTCCTCCTCGTACAGCTTTGTACCCCTTGCCACTTTCATGCCGCAAGATACTTTGGAGAGGTTATATTCTCAGGCCAAAGATCTAACCGGATTTTCCTCAGAAAAGAAAGCCCTCATGGAACAGCGTCTGAAAGATATTGATAAGATTGGCCAGATGGAATTTATCTTTGCACTTGGCGCTGCGCCCTTGGCAGAGACTGGCAAGAAGTTTGGCACATTGTTCCAGATTCTCCAGTATCCTTTCTCTGTTGGTTCAATCCACGTCCAACCAACACCCTCTGAGAAAGATGATCCTGTGATTGACCCTAGGCATTACGACGGCCCCCATGGCGAGATAGATCTCGATATCATGCTAGAATCGACCCGTTTTGGTCGTAACGTATTATTGGCGCCCTCTTTCAGCAAGATTGTGAGACAACTAGCATATCCCCCTGCCAGCTTATTCACAGATGACGAGGATGTCAAGACGTGGATCCTTGACAGCACCGCTGTAGCATATCATCCTATTGGTACATGCGCCATGGGCGGTCGCGCAGGTATTGAGGGAGGAGTCGTGGATGAGAGGCTCAAGGTATATGGAGTCAAGGGCCTGCGAGTAGTGGATGCGAGCATCATGCCGCTTCATATTAGTGCGCACATACAGGCGACTGTGTATGCCATTGCGGAAAAGGGAGCATCTATGATCCTTGAAGATGCGGCAAGATATTGATACAGGTAGAAGCAAGGGAAATTCCAGCACTAAGGTAGATCGAGGTAGATCGAGGTAGATCGAGGTATTATAGCGAAATGGATTTATTGATGCTGACAAGACCCGATTCATCTCTGTGATATTGCGCCAGCCTCATCATCTGTATCGTGAAATCCGGCTCTAGCTCTCGCAACCGTAAACTCGCTCGACGGCGTTCTAAAGACAGATGTCGATGACGGCATGTTTCGAAGAGAGATATTGTGAGATGGATGAGTAGTAGGGTCTGTAGACATCTCAGAGGCACTGGGAGATCCATCAGGCTCTGAGCGCGTCTTCAAATTCTGTTTTACCCAGGGCAGCAAGTTGAAGTATCCACCGCAAGCGAACACGCCTATCCAAAGGACCAGCTCAGTGCCATATATCACCATACCGAGAATGTCCAGGGTTGGTTGGAAGAATACCGAGATGAGTGAGAAGAGGTCGCCGGCGGCGTCGATGCCCACAAAGATGAATGAGATTCCGCGCACCGATCGATGAATGTAGATATCCAAATAGTGTCTAAGGACGCCAGCAGCGAGGAAGGCCGCAGAGAGAACTGCCATTAAAGTATCCGGCCAAGTGAGATGCTTAGACTGAGCAACTCGCAGGGCGAAGATGAGGCCAACCTGTATACCAGCCATCAAGAGAGCGATAGGAATGGCTGCGAGAAGACAGCGAGAAACAGGCCATTTCTAGTATCAAGAGTAAGATTAGTGACTGGTGATGCTAGTTGGATAACAACGGCGAAGGTATGATATATGTATTCACCTTGTCGTAGTATCGACATTGAGCCCAAGTGACCAGGCTCAAGAGCGTCAGGATCTGGGGCTGGATGCGCAGAGCTATATTGAAGTTCTTGGTGATATTGTACACTCCCAGCGGGACGCCTGCACACGCCCACAGCATCATCATTGAGGGCTGGAGGCCTGTAGTATTGTGGCGACGATAGTTGATGATGATTTGGGGGATAAGCTGCGTCTTTGTTAGCGATGCTATTCACAACCAGCATATAGATTTGGAAAATATACCTGTACAGACCAGCACACCTAAGATGAAGTGATATCAGCGAATTGTCTTTAAGATGCCTATTTCACTACATGTAAGTTGGAGAGTGAGAGCGACTTACAGCTCCAGCTGTGCCGAGCACATTTGCCGCCACGGGATTATCCATGCTTGAACTTGAAGATTAATGAATTGATGAGATTGTCTATTTTTGCCTTGTATTTGCACAGAAGCGTCCATGTGCAGCATTTAAATATTTATATACTTGTGCATCATAGTGGTAACAAAGAAGCTCATCATTCATGTTCAAAAGCAACAGCCAGAATCGCCCACTCTTTTACTCTTTCACTGCACTTGGTGCGATTACCTAATCCCGCCTTTCGCGTCACCACTTTTTAATTGATTGCAGTACAAACGCGTCTCCCCTCCAAAGACACGCGCCGGCGGTTCGACAGGGGATTCTGCAAGCCACGTCTTTTCGACCAGCTGCATCTCCATGCTTCATTCCCTCTGTTTTGACTAGGGAGAGAGATTTGGAGTTTCTCAGGAATCATTTGGGAATATTCATCGCGACCTTTATAGTCCCCAATCATGGCTTCAAGACCCGAATTGAAGGTACGTCTTAGACCCCTCTAGCAACTACTATAGACGATGAAATGCCAAATCTGACATTGGGAACACCAGGTCGACGACGAGGGCGGCTTCATCCGCTTCTTCAAGTCTCTGCCAGATCTCGGTGAAGATGCCGTGCGAATATTCGACCGAGGCGATTGGTACACTGCCCATGGCAACGATGCCATGTTCATTGCTAAAACTGTACGACACCACCTCTCCCGTTGTTTTTTGTTTGATCAATTCACCTCTAACGTATCCAATTCAGGTCTACAAGACGACGTCCGTTGTCCGACAACTCGGCAAAAATGACCACACCGGTCTCCCCTCCGTCACATTAACCACCACCGTCTTCCGGCAGTTCCTCCGCGAGGCGCTCTTCAAGCTGGGCAAGAGAATCGAGATCTGGCAGAGCTCCAGCGGTCGGATGAACTGGAAGTGCATCAAGCAGGCGTCCCCCGGAAACCTTCAAGATGTCGAAGATGAGCTAGGTGGCCAGATTGATTCGGCGCCCATGATTATGGCAGTCAAGATCTCCGCAAAGGCTTCCGAGGCGCGTGGCGTCGGTGTCTGCTTTGCTGACGCCAGTGTGCGAGAGCTCGGCGTCAGCGAGTTCCTCGACAATGATCTCTACTCCAACTTTGAGGCTCTTCTTATTCAGCTTGGTGTCCGAGAGTGTCTCATCCAATACGAGAAAGGCGATAGAGAGAAGGAGAAAGGCGATAGAGAGAAGGAGAAAGACCCTGAATTGGCAAAGATACGGCAAATCATCAACAACTGCGGTGTCGCTCTAGCGGAGCGACCAGCAGGTGACTTTGCCATCAAAGACATTGAACAGGATCTGGCCCGCCTCTTGAAAGACGAAAAATCAGTTGCCATGCTACCACAGACAGACCTTAAGTTGGCCATGGGTTCCGCAGCATGTCTGATTAAATACATTGGCGCCCTTCAAGATGTCTCCAACTTTGGCCAGTATCAGCTCTACCAACACGACTTGGCACAGTATATGAAACTCGATGCAGCAGCCCTCAAGGCCCTCAATCTCATGCCCGGTCCACGAGACGGTTCAAAGACGATGAGCATCTACGGTGTGCTCAACCACTGCAAGACCCCTGTAGGCAGCCGCCTTTTGGCGCAGTGGCTGAAGCAGCCGTTGATGAGCAAGGATGAGATTGAAAGGCGACAGCAGCTCGTAGAGGCGTTCTATACCGATACTGAACTTCGCCAAACCATGCAGGAAGAGCACCTGCGCTCTGTACCCGACCTGTACCGCTTATCGAAGAAGTTCCAGCGCGGCAAGGCCAATCTAGAAGATGTCGTCCGCGCTTATCAAGTTGTCATCCGTCTCCCAGGCTTCATCGGCACCCTAGAGGGAATCATGGACGAAGCATACAAGGATCCTCTTGACGATGCATACACCAACAAACTCCGAGAGCTGTCCGATAGTCTCGGCAAGCTACAGGAGATGGTTGAGCAAACAGTCGACCTCGACGCCCTGGATCGGCACGAGTACATTATCAAGCCAGAGTATGACCAGAGCCTGCGTATTATCCGCAAGAAGCTCGATCAGCTCGACCGTGACATCAGACAGGAATTCCACAGCGCCGCACGCGACCTGGACCAAGAAGCAGACAAGAAGATTTTCCTCGAGGCAAACCACAAGGTCCACGGTGTGTGCATGCGCCTGACGAGACAAGAAGCTGGCTGCATCCGCGGCAAGTCCAAGTATCAGGAGTGCTCTACACAGAAGAATGGCGTCTACTTTACAACGAAGCAGCTGCAGGCCTATCGTCGTGAGCACGACCAGCTGTCGGCAAACTACAACCGCACCCAAAGCAGCTTGGTAAACGAGGTCGTCCAGGTAGCGTCTTCGTATTGCCCAGTCTTGGAGCGACTTGCTGGCGTGCTGGCCCATCTAGATGTCATTGTCTCGCTCTCTCACGCCGCCGTGCACGCTCCTGAGGCTTACGTCCGACCCAAGATGCACACCAGAGGCGAAGGTCAGACAAAGCTCACTGGTGCTCGTCACCCTTGCATGGAACTCCAGGACGACGTCCAATTCATCACCAACGACGTGGATCTTACCCGTGACAAGTCGTCGTTCCTCATCATCACCGGACCCAACATGGGTGGTAAATCTACCTACATCCGCCAAGCCGGTGTTATTGCCCTCATGGCGCAAGTTGGCTCTTTTGTCCCCTGCTCAGAGGCCGAGCTCACAATTTTCGATTCCATCCTCGCCCGTGTTGGTGCCTCCGATTCTCAACTCAAGGGTGTCTCAACTTTCATGGCCGAGATGCTTGAGACGGCCAATATCCTCAAGTCAGCCACAGCCGAGTCCCTCATCATCATTGACGAGCTCGGCCGCGGTACTTCGACGTACGACGGCTTCGGTCTCGCCTGGGCCATCTCCGAGCATATTGTCAAGGAGATTGGTTGCTTTGCCATGTTTGCAACTCACTTCCACGAACTTACGGCGCTAGCCGACCAGTACCCTCAAGTCAAGAACATGCACGTCACAGCGCACATTAGCGGCACCAATGGCGATATCAACGCCAAACGCGAGGTTACATTGCTGTACAAGGTTGAGCCCGGCATCTGCGATCAGAGTTTCGGTATCCACGTCGCCGAACTTGTGCGCTTCCCTGACAAGGTCGTCCGCATGGCCAAGCGCAAGGCAGACGAGCTCGAGGACTTTACTACCAAACATGAAGATCTCGGCGTGAGCTACAGCACTGAGGATGTCGAGCAGGGCAGTGCAATGCTCAAGAAGGTGCTGGTTGAATGGAAAGAGGCTGTGCAGAACGGAGAGCTCAGCAAGGAGGAGCAGGTGGCCAAACTGAAGGAGTTGGTGGCAGCAGACGAGAAGCTGCTTGCTAACCCCTTCTTTCAATCCGTCAAGGCGCTATGAACAAATCACATGGATGGGGGGAGAAAATCAACGTCAATTTTACTCAAAGACATTTAGTGTAATGGCCTCGCATTCGATAGCGCCAGGAGTTGGGATTGACTGCATTTATTTGGGAAACAGATCCTATATCATTTGGGATGGATATGCATATAATAGCACTAAAGAGCGCCGTTATTTAAGGGTCATGACGAGACTCGCGATTTTACAAGATAGAAAGCTTTCTACACCCTGTGTATTTCATATGTCAGCACATTGTTCGTGATATGCAGCCAGTATGAAACAATGAGAAGTAAAGAAAATATTCCATCAGACAATACAATGTAGATATGGTGTTAATGTAATCACTGATATCATAAACAGCCTCTGAAAAGATTTCATCATGGAAAAGAAGAAAACAAACGCAAATTCAAGAAAAAAGAAGAGATAAAAAAAACGTACCTTTTGTCAAGTGAAGTCTTCGTGACACCGACAGCCCAGATCCAAAAACATGCAGTAATGGCAATGGCAATGGCGACGTGGAAAAACAAAAAAAAAATCCGATTATCTAGCATCGCATCTCTTCCGCACTGGAATGCGATGGATATATGTACAAGCTGCCGCAGAACTCACCTCAAAAATCTCTGGCAGCTGGCTTTAATTCTTTCATTCTTTTTATATCATTTTATTGGCTGCCCTCAGCGGTGGCGCTCACAGGGTTAACTTCGAAGCCATACTTCTCCTTGATGCGCTCTCGTCTCCTCTCCTCATATCCAGGAGGACGGATGCCTGTGTTTAATGTTAGTTTATCAAGAACGGCTGCAGAGATCTTGTACTGCCAAGACTTACCTCGTCCCTCGCCCAGCTCGGCAACAGTCTGCTCAACGGGCAGACGGGTTGTCCGTCGGATAGTCTCCTTGCGCTCAAACTCATCCTCCTCCTTGTAGAAGCTATCCAGTTTTCCTCCGGTGACGTGGAAAAGGCCCTGGGCAGTGCCAACGAAAGCACCAAGAGCCAGCACGATGGGTGTGCGTCGGACTGTGGTAGAGTCAGCATGCGCTACCACCGGAAATCACGTAGAGTAATAGAAGGCGTCCTTACAAGGAAGTCCGAGGACACTGCCGCACATGAAACCTCCAAAGGCGGCGGCCCAAGCATCATCCTTCTCCCGCAGGTTCATCATCGTCCGGGAGAAGAAGGCATAGGCACCGGGACCGGCAGCTAGAAACCACAAACAGTCACACCCGTCAGCCAAATTTGCTCTCTCATGATTGTATTTTGCGCAATGACACAGCCCCAATTGGAGCCATATCGTCACAGAGACTCAGTTCATACCGCAAATGCCAATGATGGGAGCTCCCCGCGTAAAGACGCTCATAGCGCCCACGTTGCGCTTCGACAGGGCATTCTGGATGGCGGCAATGAAGAAGCCGCTGCCCAGGCCGACCAATGAAGTCTTGGCCGTCTCGTCAAGGACGTCATGCGGCACATACGGCTTCGCCATGGCGATTGTGGAATTGGGAATCTCGCCCGTTGATGGTTTGAAAAGAGAGGAGGAGCTGTTTTGGCCTTGTCTTGAGGCCTTGGGATGCCGAGAACTGCGCATCACGTGATGTCCCTTGTCATCAATTGGGGTGCTGTGATTGGATGAGAAAGAATTTTGGTCTGTCCCGGATTTTGGGCGGTGGTACGAAGGTACTTTGTTCGGCCCCACCAGCCCACCAAGAGATTTGGGGTGCAAAAGATTGCTCCATAGAAAAAAGAGAGTTGTAAGGGTTGTGAAAATTCCATGATATTGGCGATTGAGAGCATTCTAGCGGCATTGCAGTGATCAATTGTGCATGTTAATAGCTTCATACAACCTAGAAGCTTCCTAGAGTCACAAAACCCTCAAAAACTGGCTGGTACTGCTCCTGTTTGACTCACCATCTCATGAATAGCCCTTAGCAGATGTGATCTCAACTACACCACAAGCAGCTCAATCTCAAAGTCAACCCAGCTCCAATTGGATTCTTCATCACTTATCGACTATTCATTGCCTCATATACTCATAAAAAATCTATCATCCAATCTATACAACACATATATCATCGCAGAAATGAGTTCAATCGAGACCACCGTGGCCTCAGCCTCAGCCTCAGCCTCAGCCTCAGCACAACCTCCCTCAGAACCAACAAACACAACACAAGAACAAGCTCCCATGTCCAAAAACGCCCTCAAGCGTCTCCGCAGGCAAGAAGAATGGGAAGCCGGCAAAGACGACCGCCGCAAGCGCCGCAAGGAAAAGCGCCACGAGCGCAAATCCCGCGTCCGCTCCGAGCGCGCCGCCCTCATCGCCCAGGGCGTCGACCCTCTGGAGCTGCAGAAGAAGAAGACTCCCTCTACCCTGACCCCCGTGGGCATCATCATCGACTGCGACTTTGAGGAGTACATGATGGACAAGGAGCGCGTCTCGCTGTCCAGCCAGGTCACGAGAGCGTACTCCGACAACAGGCAGGCAAGGTACCGCTCGCATCTCTGGGTCGCGGGCTTCAACAAGGGGATTGCGAAGCGCTTTCACGAGGTGCTTGGTGGTGTGCACAAGAACTGGAAGGGTGTCTGGTTCCACGACGGCGACTTCACTAGTTGTGCGGCAAAGATTCGTGAGCGCCTGAATGCCTCCGACGGCAGCGGAGGTGAAATGATTGAGTCGCTACAGCGCAGTCTCGACGAGCCTTCGACATGGACTCGTGATGACACCGATCCTTTTCCTATTGATAGTCCGGAGCCGCCTCTGGATGAGGCGAACAAGGATATTGTGTACTTGTCATCTGATTCTCCTTACACACTCGAGCGCTTGGAGCCAAACACATGCTATGTCGTGGGTGGACTTGTCGACAAGAACCGTGAAAAAGGTCTTTGCTATAGACGTGCGCGGGAGTTGGGCATTCGAACGGCAAGACTACCGATTGGCCAGTTCATGGTGATGCAGAGCCGGCAAGTCCTGGCGACGAACCATGTTGTTGAGATTATGCTCAAGTGGCTGGAGTGCGGCGACTGGGGCCAGGCTTTTTTGAGCGTGATCCCAAAGAGAAAGGGCGGAAGATTAAGAAGTGAAGATGTTGGTGATGGTGAAGAGGTTGAGGAAGGGGGGCAGGAAGAGGATGATGAGGACGATGAAGACGAGGAGGCGGAGGCATCAGAAACCAAAGCACAAGATGCTTCAACAGCTGAAGTATCGGCTGATGCTGCAGATGAAAGCCACGCTGAACAAGTAAACGAGACATCATCATAGACGTAATCGCTGTATATAGCTCCTTGACCAATACCAAGCCGAGATTCATACCCAAAACCTGCGGCACCAAATTATATATCCTACCACTATATGCAACCTAGTGACAATCCATTGATGCTCCATATCATTATGATTTCTAAAAATCCATCGAATCATCCTCTCGCTCTCGCTTTACTTTTGCAATCCCTTCATCCTTGATGAGAGCCGATACAAAGGATCTGAACTGCTCAACATATGGCTTAAGGCTAGTCTTTTCCCAGTCGGCAACAGTAGCCTTCGACTTGTCATCTTCTTCACCGTCCTCTCCACCCTTCCAAGAATCAATTTCCGCAAGCAAGCTCTGTACCGTAGGTACACCAAGAGGATCAAAGTCCTCTAGAGCTTTGGTATCAATGGGCACGCAGACCCGCCCCGTGCCTGGATGCACAACAAAGGGGCTTTTGAGCAAATGGTTCAGCTTCTTGCTGACTTCGATATCGAGGCGAGGATAGGTATATTCCAGTACGATATCCTGCTTAGCTTCTAGTAATGCCTTAGCATCCAAGTGCTTGCTTGCACCAGTCTTAGCCACGGCATCAATGTCAGCCCATTTTGAGATTGATGATCGTCCTGGAGCGGCTTCCCATTTGCGGCGTAGTGAGTCGTTTAGGGTTCGATCGGGGAGGAGTTGCAATAGCTTCTGAGCTTGTTCATCTGTCGCCCAAGGGTCCTGCTCAGCCAGTACATCTTCTTGGAAGTGCGTCTTGAGAATGTCAAGACTCCGACTGAAGAGCATGTTAGCACCACTGCTACCATTGGTTTCATCTACCAAAAGCACAAACTCGTCACTCACCTGAGATGTGGGTGCAGCGGCCTCTTGATATTGACCTTTTTGCCACTCTGCGAGCCACCCTTGATTACTTCCAAGTAGCTTGCTATGGCCCTACGCTTCTGGTCATCCATCAACCTGGCCTTCTTGTCGCACACCCAAGCGTGGGCACCTCTTCGTCCGGAGTACACCCACATGATGTGGTTGAAGCCAAAGTCGTCTCTCAGAGCCACATCAACAACCTTGATGGCCATGGTCATGAATTGCCAGCACTTGTTGCAAATGGTGGCCTTGTCACAGCATGTTCGAATGTCGTCGTAATCAGTCAAATCGATATCGAAGCAGAGCTCCTTTGACAATGGCTTGAAGGCAGACGAGTTGCGCAGAGTCTTTCGATCTCGAGGGTTTGTTGAATAGATGGGGCCGATTTCGAAACGAGATGGCATGAGGCGGAGGACATCTTTCCGTAGTCTGGACACATTGTGAGCACAGTGGGCCTAGTTGTATGATTTGGTCGGCATTGGCTTACAGATCTGCCGTTGCAAAAGACTGGTACCGCAGATATGCGTCGTTTTGTAGAGTAAAAGCAAACTCACGATTGCCAAAGTCATTCGTGGGCATCGGGCTGTGATTCAACCACTGGAAAAGCTGTCGCCAGGGGAAGAGTCGCTGGTAAAAACTGCGCATGACCTCTGGATCCGAAGCCGGGATATTTCTATGCATTTAGCAGTCAGTGGCCTGCTACTTCTCGAGCTGACTGAGAGCACATACGATGGTGAAGCTGCCCGTACGGGTGAGCTGACGCCTTCACGCTTGACGGGCGCCGAGCTTGGAAACTCGTCGTCGGAGTCGTCATCTGCGAATAGTTCGTCCAACTTGACCTCCTTTTTTGCTTCCTCCGCTTGGCCTGCAGGCGGTGCCTCTGCCTCATTCATATCAACATCGATATCGTCGTCTGCCATCGTTGCGGCTGTCCCTGCTGGAGCAACGTTGGTGGGAATTCCTGATTCACCGTCTGGTTGTTCGTCCTTGACAGCAGCGGCGTTGTCTGAATTGGGAGAGAGCGAGTGTGGCATTGCTTCTCTTTTTTGTATAAGCAAAGACAATTGAATATGAGCTGATTGGCTATCGGCTTGATCCTATGACGGAAAATCAGGTCGGAATACTTGATCTGGCGAACAAGGCCCAAACCCTTGCGCGGGGAGATGCTCAATTGGACTGATTGGGGAAAACGCGTCTGGACGCGTAAATTGAAACTGACTGGGCAGCTAAAGTGCATGGTGTGAATAACGTGAATCTACTGTATTGGAGACGGTACGTGTAAAGTGAGGTGCTGATGTCAGCTTATAGGGCCCTTTAGAGGCACACACCTTCTGAAGCTGCCCGTCTAAGCGGCGTCCATAGTATTCAGCACTCCGAATTTGCTAATCAGTATCTCGTATCTCAAATGTAAAGCTAGGCAATGATAATATTGACAAGATAGTAGAGGAATATAGCTGTAGTATCAGTTACTAGAGGAAAGTAATGACAGTAGGAGACTCAAGGAATAAGTAAGCTCCCCCCAATGCTCCCTCAAAGCTCCCATAGTTTTCATTCATTAACCATAAAGCTTCAATGATGAATCAACCACAGCTTTCAGCAACTATTTACACCACACACTTAGCTGATAGTGATGTATTAACTCTCAATCCCTCCTTATGCAAACTTCTCTCATAAGAGCTCCAGCTTGTTTTCCCGCACATGAACAGAATAGAGTTTGGCCCAACCCTCCGGATCGTCTCCGAATCAGAACACCCAAATTACCCCATCTGGCAAAGATCTTCCACTCAGCTTCAATGCTTCCCCCAAACTCAAGGGTCTCGAAAGTTCCAAAACCAGAAGGGCGAAAAGCAGTCATCTTGTCATCTTTCTTTTACCATTCCTTCGTCAGCCGGGGTTTTGTCAGAGCTTTAGGATAATGGGCGCAAACACTATTGGCTTGCCGTGTTTGCAATCATAACTCAATCCCTCCTCTCATGCCCCCTTGTTGTCAAACATCAAAAACAGGAAAAGCAAACCAAAACATCAACATAAAACAACCACCCTCGTATCGCTCCCGTGTAAGTGCCACAGCATCAAAACGCTCCCGCTGTATCACAAAAAACGCCGCCCGCCCACTCGCCGCATCGATCTTCCTCCCAGGCGAGGTAGCATCAAACAAGAAAAAAGGCTGCCGGCATCAAGGCACAACATCCAAAATTGATTGCCGCATAAACAACTCGCTCCCAGGGCTTACGCGAGGTACACTCTGACCTCTTGCTTTTTTTTTTTTTTCGCCACATGATAATCCCAAGGTAGTAATAATAGGCACCCGGATAGACTGCTTAGTGCCCTGGCAAGCAGCAAGGCATTAATGTGTAGCAAACAAATTCAACCACGGCTGACATCCATTGCCCCCAGTTCTCTCGGTATAAGTGGCTCACCTCCGCCTCTTCGCATGAATTGATAGGCATTGATCTTCTCTTTTCCTCCCCCAATAACCCATACAAAAGAGCAACATATATATAAGCCTCTACAAATCCCTTCTCCCAAAACCCACGCTTACACACACTTCTATTCATCGCCAAAAAATCTCCCGTTATCCCATGTCGCCGTCATCCCCCGCTTCCCGCTTCCCAAGAAATCCCCCGTCTCCATCTATTCCCCCGGTCCAGACCACTATGGAACCTCTCCTCCCCCCCAAGTGCCGTCGGATCTAACGGCTGCAGGCATCCCAAGGTGTGATTTTTTTCTTCCTTCCTGCAACGCTTGGCATTATTTTTCTTCTACTTTCTTTGTCGGTGACGTCGTACGTTCCCCTGTTCCGTGTATAGTGGTGTGCCGGAGTTGGTGCTCCGCTAACATACCCATCCACCCCCCGGCCTCGTCTACCTACCTATGCATAAGGTAAGGTAGGTAAGGTAAGGTAATGTGACGTCGTGCTGGAGATGCGCAATCGGATCTCGCCTCGGCCCATTTCTTTCCTCCGCTCGCTCGCAGGGGGAGTGAAGAAAAAAAAATATAAAGTGTTAATGCCGCGAACGGCCTCCCATCTGTCATACCGACTTCTTGGATCCGGACCCCGTAATTCCGTACCTGGGAGGCATTTAGTCAGGACGAGCAACATCTCACTTTGACTCATACTCTTCGACTTCCTTTCTTCACACATACAAAGATGATCATCAGTCGCTTTATTTACAAAATGGTGAGCTTGTAAAGTGTGTTTCCTCGTGCAAATAGATCGTATGATTAACCACTCTCTGTCATGAAATAGTTACCAAATCCAGGCTCCCTAGTGCTTCGGGCCTTTCAGCACCAGCACGGCTTCATCACAGCAAAGGGCGGCCTTATCCAGCCCATTCTCCTCATAAACCCATAACCTAATCAAAGCATACATCATCACAACTCCGATTTTCGTCATTTCAAAAAAAAAAAAAAGAGAACAAAATATAGCGTTTCCTTCTTCTTTGGGAAACATTGCCACAGAATGCCCCGACAAAAATATCCAACCGGTACGCAAAATCATCATCCCAACCAGAAATCCCAGGAGAACAGGTAGAATCCATCTCTGAGGACCGAAAAAAAAAAAGAAACAAAGAAGAAAAAGGCTCCTCCTTGGGTTAAAAACAAGTTACAACGCCGATAACAAAGTGTCTCCATGCAATGAGTCGACAAGAGGGGGAAAGGGTGAAGGCGGAAAGCGGAAGGGGGGTTGAGGAGACATAAAAGACGAAACGGTCCATCCAACAGAGCATCTTGATGCACAGAATTAATCATCAGCCTTGGCGTTAAGCATAATTCCGTTGCGAGTTATTCAGACGCTGCCGCTTCTCCGGTGGGCTATCATGGTCGGATATGCGGCCAGAGGAAGCATCCATCGTCGAGTACGCGCCTCTACTTTGCGACATGTTATACTGGCTGCTTCCGTCCATGAGCCCAAAGCCCTGGTCGACCCCGTTCTGGGACATGTGGCCGGATGACCAGTTCGAGCCGCTGGCACCTGCAGGTGGAGTTGGCGACTCGAATTTGATGGGGTTGCCCGTCGTGTTCAGATACGGAACGTTCATGATGAACGCAGACCCGTGCCCGTTGTCCGACTGGGTGGGTGGGTTCTTCAACAAGTGTTGCAGGTTTTGCTTGACAGATTTGAGCATGCCTTCCTTTGTGAATGGCTTGGCCAACACGCCATTCATCCCTGTGCCACCAGTCAGCTTGACGTCCAACAATCGGATTGCTCTCCAGTTCCTTCAAAACTTACCATGCTCGAAATATCCATTCACCTCGTCCGGACGAATGTTTGACGTCATGGCAATAATGGGTGTGGCTGGGCAGTGTTGGCGGATATACATGGTTGCTGATACACCATCCAACCGGGGCATGATGATGTCCATGAAGATCAGGTCGAAATGGTCACGCCCAACGGTACTGATCCTGTTGTATGCTTCCGCGCCATTATTCTGCAAGTTGTTAGCCGCTAAACATCACCGACATGTAACGCGGGACCGTGCGCTGCGCAGCGTCCTCTTATTGTTTCCGGTCTGGGGGGGATGCAATTCACTTACGGCATGTTCAACATCGCAGCCCATGGATTTGAGAAACTTGATGCCAATCTTGGCACATGTGGGATCGTCTTCCACCAGGAACACAACAGGCTTTTTTGCCCCCCACAACGACACAGGCTTCTCCGCCGAGCCAGGCACATTGTTCATCTGATTGGATGACCCGGGCTGCGGCGTGTGTTGTTGCTGATGCTGCTGGTGTTGGTCCATGGGGCCGGCACTGCCCTCGTTGGGGATAGCATATGGAATCTTGTTGATGTGATCCGAGTGGAAAGGATCAATGCCAACAGTCTGTCCTACAGGATAAACGGGGTACCGGCTAATGTCATTCATAGGGTCATGCATCATCGGCATCGATACGGGGGTCACCATGGTTGCCGAGTCTGCGGGGGATTCGTAAATGTCATGCAGACGCTCAAGCTCACGATCGGCTACGGCGTCGGCCGCGACGCTGGAGAGCAGCTCTCGCGCTCTTCTGAGCTCCGGCACAGCTTCGTCTCCATCCCCCGTCGGGATGTTGCCATTCGAGTTCAACGAGTGGCTCATCATCCCATTATTCCGGTTGTGGTTGTAAGGAGAGAGGTAGTTGAGCATCTCGTACTGCGCCTGCTTCTGTGCATTGAGCATCTTTTGCAGGGTAAGAACCTCGTTGACGAGGAGCCTGTTGGTTTGCGAAACATCGGCAAACAGCTCCTGGAGCTGCTGCACCTGCTGCTGCGTAGCCGTCAGCTGCTCGGATATGACGCTGACATGCTGGCTCGTGGTGAAGTCCTCTGCGACCTGAGGTTTTCTCGTGGCCGGCGCTTTTCGGCGGATGTTATCCAAATCGTCTTTGCTGTCGACGCGGAAGTAGGGATGTTTAAACTCCAAGATCTGCACATCGAGTCCCAATTCTTAGTCATGCGCCCCCCAACGTAGTGTAACTTGGGGGTATTCCATCGGCCAAGGGACTTACATTGCCATTCGGGGAGGCTGAGTCGCCATCGCTGGATGGCTTGACCTTGTGGAAGTCGTATTTGTTGAGCTGTCGAATAAAACTAGACATGTTGCTGTGCTTGAAATGCTTCGGTAGGATAGATCTCGTAAACTTTTCGCCCTGTTTTGTGGATAAAAAGTCAATAAGAGCGCACGCAGATATCAAGCTGTAAACCAGATGATTCCCACCTCGACAACGACAAATGAATCGCCATCCTTTCCCCATCGAGCTACATCTTGGTGTGACGGGTCTTCGAGCATGCTAAGGCAACGTCAGTCGGGTGCGGAGAGACTTGTGGTTTGTTGGCGAGCAATTACCGAAACAGCTTGCGGACCTTGACATCATCAATCCGATTAGCACTCATGTAGTTATACGGCAAGGCAAAGCAGAAGAGTCCCTACTCACAAATTCACTGGCATTGTTTCCCCCGCCGCCTGGAGCAGTGGCAGCCTCTGTCCCGGACATTCTGGGCCGAGTCGGTGGTCTTGAGCGGGATCAAAAGAGGCAATATGCGAGGAAGCGACGCGCCTCCAATTGAGGCTCAGCGAAGGGCCAAGAATCGACAAAGCTGCAGTCGCAGAGTCGGGCCAGAGCTCGCTCAAATTCTGCGTCAAAAGTCCCTTTCCCTTTCCCGTTCTGCTCTCTCAATCTCTCTCTTTCTCCCGTCGGGTCGGACGAGCGTTGATGGTTGAACCTGGGGGCCTTTTGGGCTTGGCCTTTTTGGCTGGCTGGCGGACCGGAGCGACGGCAGAAGGTACGTAAAAAGCGCCCGGACACGGAAGCGGTGCGCCGGGCTGGCAGAAGGACGGAGCCAATGTTCTGCACCGTCAAACGTCAAGCTGGCAAATGACGTCGCAAGTCGGCGAGCGAGATTCGACTCTTCTGGGGAGCGAAGCAATTGACCTCGAAGCCTGGCTGGTCGAGGCTGGCTAGATCGAGGTTGGACGGTTTAGCCCAGCTCCGTTGAATGGGCGAATGGATGGCCCGAGATGGAGGGTGGACCGGGGGACTAGGCTAACAAGGAAGATCAGGTGGGTGGTTCAGAGGGCAACAGCGCTGCAAGTGTGCTGGAGCGTGGCCAGTTATAGCGATTGGATTGCTGGCTGCTAAGGCTCGTGCAGTGCTGCGCAGGTATTGATACTTCAATAACTTGACATGTACGGGCGGGCGGGCAGGCAGGCACATGCAGTCAATCCCTCATGCGGCTAGGGGAAGTAGAGAGAACATGGGAATCATGCATCTAATACAAGCAAGGAAATGAAAAGAACCAACAAGAACACAGGAACCACACGCAACAAGACACCTAGTACGACCCCGTCCTTTCTTTTCACTAATACCAGAGGAATCATTCCAGAAAAAAAAAAATCAACGTGTACCCACAGGGGGGGAATAATAGAGAGAGAAAAAAAAAAAGAAGGGGGTCTCAAATCCAAAGCCCGGGAGCCATCGTGTGTTCCGTGTTCTATTTAGCCAGATCCGTGTGGCGGTCCCTAGTGCACGGTACATGCAAGCCTCGTTTCTTGGTTTCTTGGGGCATCTCCAGGCGCTAGGGCCGTGTGGCGCATTGTCCCTCACACGGAGCGCCTCAGCATCGAGGCTATTACGGAGTACAGGGAGCAATAGCGTTTTTCTTGCCAATTTAAATGGCCACTTTTCAGCCAGCCCCCGTGCCTGTTTCTTTCTTTTGCTGTGCCAAGGCCCGGCAGATGATAGACTAAGGTCCATGTAGTTTTTCTTTTTTCTTTTTTTTTCTCGTCTGGTCTGTTCTCGATGTTGTTTATTTGCTTTAGCGCAGTGTCAGCCACATGTACCTGCACCTGCACCTTGTACCTGTCGAGATGGTGTCAAAGTGGCAAGCATCCAATCCCAACATACCAGACCAACGTGTGCTTATAATCCCACTCTGTACATATACGAGCCCCTTCCCCGCCATGTAAGTCTTCGTAAATTGAATACTCGTACACAGGCATGTACCTTCTCGTACTCTCTGCGCGCTTGATGCTTGCTTGGATTGGATTGATCTTATGCAGCCTCCACCACGCCGGGGGTGCTCAGCAATACCATGGATTGGCGACATCTGAATCAGGCTGGCGGAAGTATTTTGCGCAAGCATGGAGTCTCTGTTAGCTCTTCACTTCCATCTTAGTGGTAGAGCTAGTTCCTTGCTAAAAGCTGGCAAGCTTTTTAGCCTCAATTTATAACTCAACCCCTATACCTGAACAAGCGCAGTAGTGTCTCCAGATCATTATCATCTCGATGTCTGCCCGTGATATAAAATGAGCGGTGCTAGTGAGCACCTTAGTTGGCAAGGCAGTCAAAAGGAGGTGCGAGGTAGCCATTCACAAGACAAGCCGCGCCTAGGACGGGATACACGTGTGTGCCGTCCAATCTCACGATGCCCATACTTGTACGCCGTCTTCTGGATCGTGTATGTGTGCACTTATCAGCTCTGCCCCCATAAACAGCCACCTGAACAAATCATGCAGGGAAGCAGGTGATGAAAGGGAGTGTCATTTATTACTATCTGGGGGGGGCCAAAAGCGCCTGTATGCATGTACAAGGGGGGAACTTCCTTTTTTTTGGGCGCCTACCGCTTCAAGCAAGAATATTCAACCCTTTTCTAGCCGTGATGCATGCCAATTGGGCACTTCTCACGATGGGCGCTTTGCGGGGCTGAAAACAAGCCCGGCACGGCGACTACACCTCGATCGGCTCGCACACCCAGCCGATTTTGCTCCTAGCCAGCGACGAATAGAACGTCCCCGATGCTCGCTTGTTAGCACATAGCAAGAAGTAATGGCAACATGCCCTGTTTCCTGTTCTAATCGGTCGAGATCATGGACATCAATCTCCCTTGCAGCACGCGCCTGGATGGTGCCTCTCCAGCATCAAATCGCCGCACGGCTTTGGTGCGTGCATGATGCGCTGCAAGTTCTGGCCACAGGATCCGCTGTCGGCGATCCCCGTACGCTTGTAATTGGGCTCCGTCGCTTCGGTACAAGCTGGAGTGCTTAGCAGAGCCAACTAGACACAGATTGGCTGATGCAATGGATGGGATGAGACAAGCAGCAAGATGCTGTCCATCATCTGCAAAGATATGGGAAGGGTGAAGATGTGGACGAGCGTGCATCAAGTTTGTACCAGTACATGCGTGTGGCAGGCCATCTGTGCCGCTACTTGCTCAGGTCCTCGGGTCAGCTCCCGTCAAGGTCGTATTGGATTGATTCCGTTCCAGTTAGGCTCAGCGGACCGGCCTTCCGCAAGATTGCCACTTTTTGCTTTGTACGAGTACTTTGCAGGCGGTCTTCATTTGTTATTGCAACACCACGCACATGTAGCACCAGCTGTATATGCCGTGCTGCAATGCGCGTTTAAATAGATTTGTCTTAAAATGTATGTGCTTCTGAGAGCCTCTAAAAATAAATCATTTTTGAGACCAGCGGAGCAAACACGGTCCGTAGGCACGCACGCCGCGCTGCCGTAAATAGAGCAAGACATTGATGCAGGGTTATAGGAGCGCGGCCCAGGTCTCAACCTAAAAAGCTTCAATCCATGTTCAATCTGAAGCATAGCATGGATGAGATATTCAAACCGAGGAGCTAGCAGGCCGGAACCAGCTCCGATAATTCTCATAGCTATACACGTCTTGAGTATTATTTAGAAAAAGGAAAAGGGAAAATAACCCTTACACTCCCCTTGGACGAGGCATGGTATACTTGCAGAGATTCATCAAGCCTCTCCTTTTTTCATTCATTATTAGCTGAGACCTGGTCGGAATCTGACTTGCTCGGGCTCTCCTTTACCGAATCCCTCTCCCCGCACAATGCCGATCAGTGCTGTATCCAGCAATGCTCGAATCTTGGCAAGCTTATGTGGATTTGCCGTTTAATCTCAGATAAACATCTGTAGATGCTCATATGCAAAGCACATGTTCTATAAATGGAGCATGGTGAGACATGGACAAGAAATAGTGTTAGATGGTATATTTAGATGCCTTGGAATGCTACATACATGCACGTCCACCTGATAACCGCCCTCAGTCTTTGGAGCCAAAATACTTCATATATCGAAAGACATAATGGCCCCATTTGGCATCCGGGCCCTCGTCTGGAGGGGGACACGGAGCGTACTCGTCCAGATCCACGTCGAGCGTGCGGATCACCTGGAATCCTGCCTTTTCGTAAATCTTCCACGCCGGCTCCGACGAGTGAACCCAGGCAAAGACGCCCGCTTCGTCGCATATCTTGGTTCCCCAGCGAAGCAGCGCTGACCCGATGCCCCGTCGCTGGAATTTGGGTGAGACAGAAAGCCCGATAACCACAAGGCATTTGGTGCCTTTGGGCATCACTTCCTTCTGCCATGCATCCAAGTCGGCGCCTGTAAGTGCCTGGAGTCGCTCGATGGGATCTTCTGGGTCTGCATCGGGACTGGGCTTTGGTTCTACCGCTGACGATTTATCCGTTTCTTTTTCCTTGTCGTTTTCATTTTCTGACTGCTCTGCCGGAGCTGCAGCCGGCCTCTCGGGAGGTTGGATCCTGCCTTCCACTACAGGCATCTCTTCGGGCGAAAATCCGATGAGTCCCCAGTTGCAAAAGCCGGCAAATTCCCCCGTTTCCTTGTCAACGGCCTTTAATATCACGCATCGGGGTGATTTCAGCATTTCGGGAAGACTCTCCGTGTGGTATTTCTTCATATCGAACGGGTTTCGGCCCAGAGCTTTCATCTGGGTTTGGCGATCCGTCAGGAAGGCATCGCTGCTGAGCTGAGCTGCCTCGGGCACATCTTGCAGCTGGAGAGCTTGAATGGTAAAAGTCGGCTCAGACATGATTGAATTCGTTAGCTGACGCTTATTATTCTACAACATATTCCCGTGTCGCAAATCATTCGGCTCCAGAGCTCATTAAATAGTAATGCCGCCATGAGTGTTTGAAAGCATGTTGGTGCATGCACGAAGCAGCCAACTTCGAAGATTGATAAATGGCGGGGTGAGCGCACGGCGTTGAGTCACCGGCGAAGATGAAGGAATAGAACCATGTGGACTTTATCCAACGACGAACCTCTCGCCATAGATAAAATCGCGCTATCGACCATCATGAGGCCTCGGAGCTAGCCTTATGAAGCAGCTCGAGAATCGTATTGGCGTACGTAGTTCCATCGCCCTTGATATCCTGCACAACCACCGTCTTATCTCTCGATCTCGCGCCTTGAGCCAGAACCAACTTCGACTTGGGGATGTCCAGGGCCTCGCTGAGAACCTCAATCACCGCCTGATTGGCCTCACCATCTTTAGCCTGGGCCGCAACACAAAGTTCAATCACGTCGTCAGTGACCGCCTGAATGCCTTCTCTATTCTTACTCGCTCCGGGCTTGACGTGCAGCCGCAACTGCAGAATGCCCCGAGGCGCCTTCTTGGAACCAGCCAGGAAGCGCACGGCTGCGCTGGCCGGAGATGCCATAGAAAGTATAAAAATATTGGAAGCCTGAAAGGACCTCGGGAGCCTGAGGCTATTTCAGCCCGTGATAGTACCAGAGAGGTACTGGAAGAATATAACTGCAGTAGCAAAAAGTCAAGGCGCACTTGTTATGTGCAGGAGTAGATACATGCCTTCCATTGTACCTCTCAAAGGAAATGGGCATCTAGGTACGTGGTGGGTACTCTGAGCTTAAGCTGTAGCTCTTCCTCCGCATTCTTCGGAATCGCGGGGTGCCGAGTTAGCAAAATAAGAATCAGGGCTAGAACTTGCATCGATGTGATGAGATCACATGCACTCACTCTTAACGGCAAAGTCAAGCCCCGACTCTGCCGTTTTCATAGATCGAAACAAAGCACAAAGCGGGTGAGAGCGCCAACCCAATCGCCACCCTCATCATTCCTCGGTGGTAAGTTCATTCGATCAGCTTACAATTGGCTTCGCCAGCTAAAAACAGCAGAGTTGATGAGATAATCTCACATCAGACACAGCTCGCAGCACCAAAACTCAAAAGTCTCAATCGCTGTTCCAATCGCTCCCCAGACGATCCCGAGGTCATGAATTGGCAGGAATGAGATGAATGCAGGGTAAGGGCACATCAATATGACGGGAGAGGAGCAGCCACTGCCGTATTGCGTATTGCTGCTGACCTCCAGTGCACAGCCCACTAAAGCAGGTCCCCTTCAGAAGGGCCAGGCGCTGCGCAAGACCTACAGCCGCCTCCAGCTATATACAGCCAAGAAATTCCAACCTGACCCTCGACATCTTCTCGGCCCAAAAACTTCGGCCTAGCGCCTGCATCACGACTTTAGGCCGCCAACAGCAACAGCAACAGCAACAGCAACAGCAACAGACGCACTGCACCCTCCAATCCCGCAGCATTACCGTCGCCGCTCGTCTTCGCCGTCTCTCCTCCTCTCTATCGAGCGCCATGGCATCAGCGTACAGCGCATACCATGGCGCCAAGAGCTCGCAGTTCACAGTCACGGCTCTCGGCCGATGGTCCATCTTGACGAAGCAGCTCCCAGGTTCGTCATGCTGCATGTGCTCTTTCTGCGTGTTTCCGGGGCTAATTGATCGTCTTAGCTGTTGACAAGGTCCGAGTTCTCCATGTCTACGATTTCGACAACACACGTACGTTTGCCCCTTGCTCTCCCATCATCATTTAAACTTCATATCCAAGACTGACCTGGAGACACCCTCAGTATTCCGAACCCCCATGCCAAACCCGACTCTGTGGACTGGCCCGACGATAGGATTGCTCGCGACCCAAGAAGCATTTTACAATGGCGGGTGGTGGCATGATAACCGCATACTTGCAGCCACTGGCGAAGGCGCTGAGAAGGAAGAAGAGCGAGCTTGGGAGGGCTGGTGGAACGAAAAGGTGGCTGATCTTGTCAAGCTAAGCACGAAGCAGCCAGATGCTCTCTGCGTGCTGTTGACGGGCCGCTCTGAGCATGGCTTTGGCGAGCTGATCAAAAGGATGGTGACAAGCAAAGGACTCGAGTTCGACATGGTCAGCTTGAAACCGAGAGTCAGCCCTGCAAACCAGAGCTTTCAGAACACAATGCACTTCAAGCAGCTGTTTTTCGAGGCCCTCATGGAGACGTACCAGCAGGCGACCGAGATCAAAGTATACGAAGACCGCCCTAGGCATACAAAGGGATTCCGAGACTTCTTTGCCGAATACAACAGGCGTCAGACCGAAGCGCCTACGCGAGGCCTTATCACAGCCGACGTTGTCCAAGTGGTCGACTCTTCAACCCTTCTTGACCCCGTCGTAGAAGTCGCCGAAGTCCAACACATGATCAACCAACACAACACTACCTTGACTAAAGAGCCTTCCTCCAAGAGCAAGCTCATGATCAAGAAGACAGTCTTCTTCACTAGCTATATGATAGGCGGCGACGACATTAAGAAGCTTCTGAAGCTCGCCAAGATTCCTGCTAGCGTATCAAATAACGACCTCAAGTTCCATGCCAACAATATCCTCATCTGCCCCAGGCCATGCCCCACAAGCATACTTGAAAAGGTTGGTGGCATGGGCAGCAAGATGTTGTGGGAGGTCACCGGCACAGCCTGTTTTGACAACTCCATCTGGGCTGCGTGTGTCCGCCCCGTGCCTCACACTGCAAAGTTTCACACCGATAACCCCATACCGCTTGTCGTGCTTGCCCTTAGAAAAGGCGCTCGCCCTATGGATGCTGGGAAGATTACTGCTTGGCAGCCTGTGCCGGTAGAAGAGCGCTTTTCATTTGAGACGACTGTTGGTGAAAAGGTGGTTCTCCGCATTGAGGCAGAAGACCCCAAAGAAGATGAATACCAGAGTCTCTTTGCCAACAAGTCCCACAAGCGCAAGCACAATGCAGATGAAGAATGGGCGGCTCGGTCGGTTCAGTATGCCGGCCGAAATGAGTCCAGAGGCTTTCATTCTGGTAGGGGCCGCAATAAGGGCGGAAAGCCTGGCCGAAGCCATCGTGCCTCCAGGGGCGGACGAGGTGGACGCGGACGCGGTGGGCATGGCTACCGATCTCTCGATGACGTTGATCCCAAGGGTCAGTCCAATGATGCTCCTCCGGGCTCCTTTGGCCGGGGTCGACCAATGGGCGGACAGCCATCCAACGGTTCAGATCTACAGAGTTACTATTAGAAGTAGGATGGCTGCTGCTTATATTGATATCTAACATGGATATGAACATGGCTAGCGTTCTGAAGACTGGACGAGCTGGAGGAGAAGAATGGTCACAGCAAGACATCACATCTCCCTTTTATTTTTCTCATTTTTTTCTTTTTGGTACGGTACTGGTAATTACGGAGGGTATGGGTCTTTTGCTTCATCCACAAGAGAAATTGCGTCCAAAGGAGGGCATTTTCAGGCAATTTAGGGCGAATATGGCGCTTTAAGGGAACATGCATATTGAGAAATAAGGGCTGGAGGGACGGCATGCATCTTCGTTTTAGTTTTTGTTTTTAAGATATAGCTCGGATTAAGCTTATCAAATGAGGCAATATATAAATGATACCGAGCTTGGGCGAATCTCGCTACCTGTTCTAAATCCTCACCCCCCCCTTTTTCTTTCTACTCTTCTCGAGCTGATGTTGGTTCATTTGTCTTGTATCATTGTGCCTATCCTTTTTTAACTTTGAACTTTTTACTTTGTTTGTCTAGTCACTGTCATCATCGTCGTCGTCATCGTCATCGTCTTCCTCCGATGCGTTTTCAAGCCACTCGACGAGCACTCTGCACTTCTCTTTCAACGCAGCCATAGACTCACCCTCCACGGCACGCGCATCCGCCCACCACCCCAAAATACCTTCCTCCTCCAAAATATCCAGCGCATAGAGCTGCTGCAGCATAGCGGGAAGAAGCGTGGCGGCTTTGCTCTGCTCCTGGCCCTTGGAGTAGTGCTGCAGGGCGCGCTGCAATGCGAGGATGAACTCTACCTGCGCGGGCTCGCCGCCACCAACACCAACCTCGTTGACGAACTTGGAGGCGCCCTTGCACGCGGTGAAGGCCCTGTCCGCCGCCTTACTGGCGTCGAGGCCGCCGTGTTCGGGGGTGACGAGTTCGACTGCGCGGCGGGTGAAGGCCGTTGCGACGGCCTTTCGCATCATGGCGTCGGAAGCGTTGTTGGCGAGACGCAGACCCATGAATTCCAGCTTGGCAGAGTCAAAGTCACCAGAATCGGCACGCAGAGCGTCGAGCAGGCCGTGGACGGCATCGGTGTGGAAGGAAATCTTGCCGGCCGAGTCGTCTGACGCAAAGGACGAGAGGCGTGATCTGTTGGAGTGCGCAGCATCGGTGGAAAGGAAGTTGCTGTCGTTGTCATCGTCGGAGTCGACATCGGAGGCAAACGTTGAGATGGATGAGGTGGATAGGTTGTAGTTTGCGAGGGAGTAGATGAGAGACTTTTGGAGCCGGGAGGGGTCTTCGTCGTCGAGCTCGTCGTCTTCGGGGTCGAAGAAGGGGGCTGCGTTGCCGTCGGGACCGAGAAGCTTGGTGTCATTGGTGACCTGCTTGCCGGTAGAAGTAACGGTTGATAGCACTGCAGCGGTAGAAAGGGAGATGGAGTCGCTGATGTGAACGCCGTAGGAGAGGAGTGATCCGGTAGGTATTGTGCAGCCTTTACCGATAACTACGTCACCAGCCAAGATGGATTGTGATATGGCGGTGCCATCTCCCACAGTGGTGTTGTTCCAAATGAACGAGTTTTCAAGGGTGACATTGGCGCCGATCTTGCAACCAGTGCCAATGATGGAGTTGACGATTCTGCTTCCAGATCCGATGCTAGAATTGGTTCCAATGACGGAGTTTTGGAGTTTGGCATCGGCAGCGTGAGAAGCTCCAGTCTCGATGACAACATTGTTGCTGTGTTTCTTGTACGTCTGCTTGGGCATGATGTTGTTTTCAGGGATAAAGGGGAACGTCCATCGGCCTAGGACGTCTCTGCTGATGGCATCGTACATCTGCAGGTTGCTTGCTCGAGCAGCATAGCCATCCTCGAAGATTTCCGCGTAGATCATCTTGCCGTTGAGTTCCCAATCTTTCAACACACCGTGCAGGAAGTTTCTTCTTGGCAGTTCATAGTCGAAACTTTCTGACCATAGGGCCAAGACCTCGGGAGTACAAATATCGATCTGAGCATCTATCAGGTCGGCTCGTATCTCAAACTCGGTTGACAGCTCGTCGGCAATGAGAGGATCCATGGAGAGGTAGTGGTCGCTCTGCAAGGGGTTCATCTCATCGTAGTGAAGACAGCGCTGAGTCTTGGTGTCCACCACAAACACTGGCGTGATTCCCTTTGTCTTGGTCCTGTGATCCGCGGGTCCTCCGCTGTGCAGGACCATGGTCATGATATTCGCGGCACTCGTCTCTCTTCGTTTTCGGTGCGCTGCCAGGGCGCCATCTAGAATCAAGTTCGACACAAGATCGCCATGCACCAGGAGGAAATCGCCGTCCACCAACGATCGCTTGTCCATGTCGCGGAGGACGTCACCAACTGATCTCGCATCGGCAACTCGAACAAACTGCAGCACCGAGAACGGACACGATTTTGACGACGACGCCCATCTAGAGTGACTGATGTAATCTTCGACCTGGTCTGTGTGTGCGCCGCAGTAGATGTAGACTTCCTGAACGCCGTTCATGGCCAGGAACTCGAGCGTATACTCGATTAGAGGGGTGTTGGCCAGCGGTAGGAGACACTGTAGTTGATGGCAGTCAGCTGGCGGCCACATTCTCAATCAAGCTCCTCGAGCTTTGCAAGGTTCACATACTCTCGGCTTCTCTACTGTAAAGGGCTTGAATCTGTCCTGGAACGAATCTGCGAGAACCTGTGCGCAAGTCAGTGATTAGCTATCGCTTCCAACAGAACCCCGCGATGACTGGACGCACCACAGCCTGCAGAACATCTTCGCCTTTGCTCTCTGCGCCCGACTTGGCAGGTTTTTTGCCCTTTGCCGAGCCGGCGCTGTTCTTTCCCTTGTGCGACATGGCGAGAGTCCCGGCGCAAAAAGGCGAAGCTTGGAGGAGCGCTTTGAATTGGGGATTTGTGGTGGGAGAAGTTGGATTTGCGACAAGCATGGGTGACTCAACTAGCAAGGGCTGTGGTGGAAATTTCTCACCGCGGTGAAGCTTTCGGTGTGGCGCTCCAAGGTGGGGTGACGGACGGCATACGCTGGCTGGAGCTTATCTTGAGTCACAAGTGCCGTCTGCATCATGGGAGATATTGTATGCTAGACGGAAGAAAAAATGGAAATATATAGTTTGGTATATACGAGAAAACTTTTTTTTGCGGAGGATGAGTAAATTATACTCCGTGTTTCCTGATATAGTGATTCATTAGTAGGCAAAATAAGTTGTTGGTGGACTGCTTCCACAATCCTGGGCAATATGTCAACAAACTCTTGAAGTTCGTATTAAGCAAGCGTTACTTCGTATAGCCACTGGTTGATTATTACGGAGAAGATGCCTGATTAAAGGTGTCTATGTATCAAAGTGTAATGCATTGCTAGAAGTAAGACCGACAAGCAACTCCGTTCAGAGCTATTAGTAGCTGAAATTGGGTTTTCATAGAGTTTGAAAGTATTCTAATTCTTCACACGGTCATAAGTTCATTATTTCATTTTGTATAGTACACAACACGATATCCCAATTAGAGTGGTACTCTAGCTTGGGCCTCAAGAAACACCCCAGACACCAAGCACATCTTTCTGAACCAGGCGACCTTGCTTCTCAACACCCTGCTGCAGCTGCTTCACTCGTCTCACCGTAAGTCCCAGCGATAAAGGTCCTAGAATTGTGCACAGCATTATGGCCCACGTAACAATGAGGAATATTTCCGAACTCTTTCCATCATCAGTCGGTGACGAAGAGAATATCTTGTTACTTTCAGCAATGGATGAAATCAAGAAGCCAATCTCGCCGCGAGCGGTCATTGCACAGCCCAATATAGAAGCAGGGTAAATTGATCGCGGATTGGCTCCAGAAGGATCAGAATGAGATGGTGTCGTTTGCGTGGCTGCCTCTCGGCTTGATTGCGATGCTGGCGAGGGCTCTTGGGTTTGAGCTGTATGTGTAGAAGTTGCTGAGTTAGGGGACGTCTTGGGCTTTTCGTGAATTCGCCCCCAGAAATGCGCCATTTGTAGCTTCGGATGCTTGACAAAGGCTGATAATTTGGTGGGCAGAAGAGAGGCAATGGAGATGCGAAGGAGCCAGGCGCCGCAGAGTAACTTGCCGACCATCATCAGAGCGGTGTATACAAGCCCTTTCCATACAATAGAACCCTTGAACATCTCGGTTATTGGGATAGAGAAACCAATAGACGCCTTGGATTATTAGAGAAGTTCTAAGTCATTAGAGGGAATCACTTACAAAGAAGAACGGCTTCAGGATCCTTTCGAGGGGCTGCAGATAATACCTTTCAAAGGTAGCCATTCCAGAGGTATCCGGTCTCTTGGCCTCTGAAGCAGTATGTTCGGAAATGATAGTATTATCTGCTTCTGATTGTCCAGAAGTTTGATTTTGCATTGGAGGTGATGTTTTCGATGCCGTCTTCTCATTAGTAGGATGAGATACTTCAGAGTCCCACCAACTGATGGCTGCGCCCGCAATATAGGCAGCGAATAAATTAGAAGTGCCCGCGTATGTTGACCCCGTAATACAGCCAACTAAAATAGAGGTATGAATGGCCCATGGTGTTCCTCTCTTGTTGAAAAGCTGATTGATATATCCCAGAGGATGTTTCACCCTCCAAAAGTTCAACCAGAGAGTGAACGGCTTGGCAATAAAGACACAAACAAGAGGAGCGCATACTGCAAATGCAATGGATACCAGAAGCGGCCTAACGACAGTCACGGCACTGATCTCAGCACCGGATGACCCTAAATTGGAGATAATCTGGACCATGACAAGGCCAACAACGTCATCCATCATGGCGGCACTGGTGAGCACGACACCGAGCCTGGACGTGATCAGGCCAGTTGACCGAAGCACAGTGAATGTCGTACCAAGGCTGGTAGAACATAACGCTGCACCGGCAGCAAACGCCTGGAGAGGCGTTGCACCACTGAGCTTCTGGAGGACGAAGGAGAGGCCCATGGGCACGCTGATACCGGTAATGGCAACGCATGAAGATAGCCAAAGATTGGCCCTGAGGGCGCCTAGACAGGTTGAAAGGCCGCCTGTTTGGATAAAATTAGCTTATGTGAATTGAGAAATGATTGGATGGCTCAATGGATTTTACCTTCATATACCAAGAGCAGCAATCCAAGATAGCCCAATTGGACAACAACCTGCTCAGCTTCTTCGCTCAGCCATTTGGCTCCGGGCGTTCCCCAGGCTACTCCTACGAATAGCTGCCCGAGAAGGCCACAGTAGATACTATGATCGAGCACAAAATTGGCGACATTGAGGAGAAGAAGAAAGGACGTCTGGATAAGGATTGTGACGATCCCTGGCTCGTGGTACGGAAGCGAGGTTGCCATTGTGATGACGGCGGCCTCCAGGGCGATAATTTATGGATCCATATGCAAAGTTTTGCAGCGAACTAAGACGGCGGATGCAACGGAATATTAGAAAAGATTACCAGAGAGTGGCGGATTGAGAGATTCTAACATTGATAATGAAGAGGGAGAGACGTTGGTTCCATGCACGTATCTTAGTTGTTGGATCCTCTTTTTTTAAAAACAATAGTCCGGGGTTGGTTTGGCACCGGCCGAAGTTAGGCACTTGCAGATCTGTTCTGGATGCTTTGATCGACCGGCTTACGGATAATCTACATTATAAACAAACGACCAAAAGAAATAAAGTGGTCAGGTGAGAATGCAAATAAGAGCTGCTATAAACTACATTGACCGAAAACACATGAATGAGCTGCAACAACTTGTGGGGATGGGTTAACATCGGCTTTGAAAATGCAAGTCCTGCGTCTTACAGATGCACATCGAGACAGGTGAGGCCTAATGTGTACGTGTATACATATCTCGGAGATTTCACACACGTCATTATAATGGCAATAATTGATGATTTGTGTGTATTGTGAAACATGAAAGATACTGCTTGGTAGGTGGGTAGATAGATGTAATGTAGAACTATATTTGATGCATCTCGGTGACTCCGTATATCAGGCATTGAATCGACCACGTCTAGGCTATCTACCTAGTAAGTACCTAACATTCAGCCGTTGTTTCTTTATCACAGGTGCTATTTCGTAGTACAAACCGACATATAATAAATCTTCATCTATGAAAAGTTTACGTCCTACCATAAACCCTGCGATGCTTAATAAATTGCATAAACCTCTCCGTCGCCTCAATGCTATACCTACCAATCAGCATCAACACGGCAGTGAGCTTTTGATGCCTGATACGCCACAGTTTGCCACCCCGGGAACCTATGAGAGTCTTTGGGTGCATGCGAACCTAGCTGCCACTCCCGGGTCATACGACTCGGCCATCCACCCCGGAATGCCGTGCAAAGTGCGTGCAAAGTTTACAGCTCCCAGGTGGCTAGAGGCTCAACTGTAGGCTTAAACAGTCAAATGACCCCCACTGAACGGTTTGACGAGGCTCATGTTCCGTAGGGTGTCCCGTAAGCTCTTTTTTTCCCCCTTTGTTCAGATTCTGTTGTTCAAGAGGGAAAAAAGGGATGGACCAGAGCCGGCGTGTGTAGTTTTGATAGTTGATAGAAAGACGGCCCCTGGCAGCCTGGAAGCCTGGATGTAGCCGGCGTTAAGCAGCAGCCAAGAGATTGAGACCCAATGCATTTTTACCCAATTGATGCATTTCTACCTAGATATCTGAAAAATTAGAAGCACGCAAGGGTTATAGTCTAAGCAATGACAGGGCCGAATTGCTCGTAGATGGCGCGGCGGCCGAGCAAACGGACCGCAAAAATCGCCACCTTCTTAGATGCCATCCCATGCTACGCCGTGGCTAGTCTCCTTTGCCTTTTTTTTTTTTTTTTTTTTTTTTTCCCCTTTGTTCGAGAAAAGTCATCAGCGAGTGAGCGCGCGGGTATACGTATATAACACGCAGTCGATTGGTTCTCAAGAGCCTTGGTCACACCGTGTCTTTGTACTCCGTTTGGAATGCTTCGGTTTAATGCAAGCAAGGGCATACCAAGTAGAGCACATGCTGCCCTTGTAAGCAACTGGCAGCGGCAGTGGTATTCTGTGCTCCTTGCATACAACCACATGTAGTCGCGCGGGCACAGCCACACGGCCTGCAACGGGTCTGGCCGCTAGGCGATGAAGAGAACGCCTTCCATAGGTTTCTTTATTTTCTCATGTTGGGACCACACCCTGCCTCGGAGATTCGACAGGGCTCTGCTGCACCCGGCGGCCGAGGGTAGCAGCGTGGGACGGCGGATAGCGACCTCCCTCCGGAGGTTGTTGTCGCCTTATCAGAGGCCGGCATGAAGAGTAAGTACCTGCTGCTACCTACCTAGTAATATCAGCACGAGCGAACAAGTATAGGTGCCGGAGTATCATCTGATGAGCTTGGTGTTTTGTAGGTACTACAGTAGCAATAGTAATACGCAGTCGTGATAGTGGCATTGATTCTGACATGCCGGGTTCTTGCTAACCCCCGGGAACACGGAACTCGCTTGTAGAGTTTTTGGTCGCCGGCCGGAGGAGATGCTGTTTTACCCACTCAGGCATTTCGCATGGAGTATGGAGTATGGAGTCTGGAGTACGGAGTATCCCTTCCAGCTCCTTTGGCAGAGATGAGATATCAAATGTTTCCCGGTAACTCGTACAGGCCTCCATCCCGTCTTGGTCCGAGGACGGCGTCGATTATTGAACAGGCTCCCATGCCATGCCAGCCGTTAAAACAAAGGGAAGAGAAGCGAAACGAACCAGAGGGGCGTTGACATAGCGGAAAGCGATTGAGGCTAGCGAGGGCCGGTGCACCTTGGCCACTGTCGCGCTAGCAAATTGATTTCGATGCAGAGACAAGACAGGGAGCCTCGTGGCTGGTGGCGCCGAGGAATAAGACCAAGCAACGATGCTAGAAGTGCTAGCAGAGCGCTGGCGTTCTGGCGGACGGCAAATGGCACCGGCCAATTGCTTTGCTCGACGGAGCGACTGTCCGGATACAGGCCTCAGGTGCTGTCTGCAGCGGGATGGCGGGCGGTGTTCGCGCACTGTGACTTGCACGGTGCGACCCTGCTGAATGGATGGGGGAAGTATCCAAGTACACTTGTACACTCGTACGAGTACGGCGCAGGCTGCAGCTGCAGCTCCGGCTCTCGTGGCCAGAAACGACTCGGTGTGCATGCATGCAGACGATGCCGTCTAGGTAGCACCCGTGCTGTTTGTTACTGGACTCTGCTTCAATGCATTTTAGAGATGGATGCCACCTATTAGTTAGTAGTAATAGGTAGTACCTGAACGGCGCACGATGCACATTCTACAGAGTCAGTAGAAAGAAAGGCGGACCATGTAGTGGACTGTACTGTTACTGTACTGTACAAAAAACCCTGTACAGACAGTATCAAACCATCTGCTCAGCTGGCTGAGGCACATCGCATCCCGTCCGTACTTGCCATGTGCGCTTTTTCAATCCATCCAGGCAGGTACCTGCCTTATCTTAGTAACATCTTACCGATGGGGGTTCCTTCTCTCTTCTTCTGTGCCGAGTCCTTCCTTTCTACTACTCGCCTTTAAAAATCTTCTTCCATCCTCCTCCATCTAGTATCTGACTCTCTTCTCCTACTATCTCGCTCAACTCACAAACCGGCTGCCTCCTACTACTTTGATTGGGCCAGGAAAAAAAATAATTCAACCGCGCGCGCATCCACATGCCGAACGAGTGCCTGAGTCCTCGGTCAGCCACTACTGTACGAGGAGCTACCGAAACTAAGCTGCTACGGCCCCAGCGAAAATTCTCCATCGACAGCACTACTACCTGGGACTAGCACTGCATAAAGCTACTGCCCATGAACCTAAGAACGCTCCTCGGGGTGTGCCGATTCACCACTCACTTTTCGATCCGCTGTCGCATCTGCCCCATGCAGCCCTCAATGGCGGCACCACCCCCCTCCCCCAGCACACCAGAAATCCTCGAGCACCGCTGCGCAAAAAAAAAAAAAACAAAGATCCCCCCAAAGGCCAACCACGACACCCCCAAAGCACGGAGCCACAGCAGGGGACAAGGGCGAGCCACAGCGTTGCGAGACAAGCACAGCACAGGGGCTCCACGCCTAAGACGGTCCAGAACATCAGGCCAGCTCTTACTAGGGGAAAAAGCGACCAGATCGAAAGCTTGGCCCCGCCGCCAGTTGCGTCTCTAATTAATATACACCCGACCCAGCGCCTCCATCACCAGCCGACGGGGCCTTCGAGGCAACATCTCTTTGCTCGCCCGTTTGATCATACTTTTCCTTCTCTTCACTTCGTACCATCGTTTCTCCCGTTTTGACATCCCCCGTCGCTCCCTCCTCTCGTTCCGTCCCGCGCGCTGCGAATCCGACAAGGAGACGACTTACAAGCATTGCCAGATTAGCGGCCCGGCTTTTGAGAGCTGCCAACGGTTTCAAGGGCGCCTTCGTGTCACCGGCATTGCGCTTACAGCGGCGGAGAACTCTCCGAGGTGGTGAATGAGCATCGCGACCACAGCCAGCTTCAGCTCCCCGGTTTTGCTGGCCTTTGAGAGTCATATCCTACCCTCTCGCCTCTAAAAAGTGTCTTATGCGGCTTATCGCACTACTCTCTCTTCACCAGTAGCTCGACCGCCTATACGCTGCGACGACACGTAACAGGCAAACAGGACTACCATCTTTGCGTGAAAGGACAGGGGCACAGAACCAGACTGGATTGAATTTCACACACTTCCCTTAGGTTCTTTTTGAATCTTGATAAGCGTCTCGGGGCACACAGGCGCTTCGCATCGCCGCAAACATGTTTCGTTCAAGGTGAGGCGCCTTTTATCTGTTCCGTATTACCCATCGCGAGTACATTATCCCCGTCTCTCCGCAGCCTGTGTTATCTTCGAAACTCCAAATCAGCTTGATATGGCTCCAGCGGCTTTGCAGATGGGTTCAAGGTGGATATCACCTGATAAAGAAAAACTGCGCAGCCTCGAATCCATACCTCCCCAGCTTTTGACTTGCCAACTTTGATATACTAACGTAATTTGATACTTGTAGAACGAGTGCGCGGAAGCCTGATGATGAGTTATTGGCAGATTTCAGACAGCAGTTCCCAGAGGTCTCTACCGGAGTCTCAGAGCCTGCCGCCCCTGCCATCTCTCAGGCAACCACTGCCGTCTTTCAACCCATTATCAATGCACCAGTCAATGATAGGTAGGTTGAGCTTCCTCCTGATTAAAAGCCAGCGCATCATGATCAAGCTATGCTTGTCTACTTGGACCTTCTGTTTATAACGACTTAGTTCCCTCGAATGCTAACTAGGAACACGATAGAGCACGTATCGAAACTGCCTTTCGAGACATGGACCCCACGCCACGAGCTGTTAATGACCCTTGGCGATTTACACCCTCACTCCTCGATTCCAATGCCTTTAGCTTCAATCCCCTCACGCCAGGTGTTGCCGGCGTTACTAACGTTACAAGCGTTGCTGGCATTCCAGGCGTGACAGGCGTTGCAGGTCCTCAAGCATACTATCCTCCCACACCTGGAGGATCAGGCACCTTGCTTCCGCCTCAGGCAGTTGAGATAGTGCCCCCTTCCGCAATGGCTATAACCACTGGCTTAGAAACTCCCCTATCGGTACCGACGACACTCGATATCATCCAACCAAGCATTGAAGTTCCCAACCTGGCAGGCTTCCCTACAATAGACACGCTTCCAATCGCCCCCTTTGAGGCCTTCGTCCACCAAGCACCACCTCCGCAGCCAGGTTTCGTACCAACCGTCGTACCGACCGAATTCGTACATCACGATACGGGTTACGAGACGATGGATCATGATGGATCTCCAATGGACTCGGATCCGTCAGATGAACGAATCCCGACGATTGCCTCTGCACTGCACCCGCAGCAGCTAATGGGAGTTCCGATGACTCATCCTCTCCCGGCATCCGCTGAGAAATTTCGATTTCACTCTACGCTGAATGCCCCCACAGCTATGGTAAAGCATTCCACTGAGATACCGGTGACTTACTTGAACAAGGGGCAAGCCTATACGTTATCCATCGTCGACACAGGCACAGCAGTCCCTGTCAGCCCTGGTACTAGATACAGGACGTACGTGCGCATATCATTTGAAGATGAGCAGCAGCGACAGAAACCAGGCGTTTGCTGGAGCTTATGGAAAGAGGGCAGGGGAACAAACGAGGCTCATCAAAGAGGTGGCCGTTTACAAGCTGTCGAGTACGTCGAAGCTGGCCAACCTGCCGAAGGTGATGACAAGAGAACGCGGGTTGAGCTGGAATCTTCGTCCTTTGACGGCTTCTCCGTCATATGGACGCCTGGTTCAAATGGTGCCGCCGAAGTCAACATCCCTGTCCGCTTCAACTTTCTCTCGACCGATTTCAGCCATTCGAAAGGTGTCAAAGGCATTCCCGTACGGCTCTGTGCCAAGACTAGCCTTTTCTCTGCAGATCAGTTACCGTCGCCTCCAGATGCCGCCCCTGAAACATGCTATTGCAAAGTCAAGCTGTTTAGGGACCACGGTGCCGAACGAAAGCTCTCCAACGATGTTGCCCATGTGAAGAAGTCGATTGACAAGCTCAAACAGCAGATTGCGCAAGCTGAGAGTGGGCTGAAGGAATTCAAACGAAAGAGATCAGGAGCTGCGGCGAAAGGAGGAATACCTGCCAAGCACAAACACAAAAGAACTTGGTCCATGTCCTCCGCTAGCTCTGCTGGTGGTGCAGCCCCCCGCTTGACATTGGAAGATGATTTGCATTTCAAGTTGCAGACACTTCAAGACATGTTCACGAGCACGAGACCCGTGAGTGTTCTGTATCTACGGGGCGATGAGCTCGATGACCCCGACTTGCATCCTGTATCACTACAGGGCGAATCACTACCAGGCAAGGTAGACTTTTTGCGTGAAGGGAGCAATTGGCAGGCTCGCAGCACACACAGCTCCGTTGCCGGCTCGTTGGTGTCTCCCTCCCCAAGCTCACTCTCTCTAGCGTCTCAAGCATCTGCCATCGGCCCCGGATTACAGTGGCAGAATTTTGATTCTACTGGAGTCAAGAGGGTCGAAAACCCCACTACGATCAGCAAAACAGAGGAAGACGGAACCTTAAGTGGATGGATTGAGGCTCTAGGTGTCGACCCGACTTATCGACCTCCGCCTGAGCGGCCAGCCAAGCCGGTAGCTTGTTTCTACATTGCTTATTCGGGAAGGGCAGAGACTGGAAAGAAGGAGTACCACAGGGCCATCTATCTTTCATCGCGCACGCTCCGGGAACTCAACGGCCGGATCGCCGCCAAGTGGGGACTCGACGCATCTCTCATAATCCGGACCATTCATGTGACGAAGCCGGCCGGTATCGAGGTCGAAATAGACGATGATTTCGTCCAGGAGTTGAGGGAGGGCCAAGACATGCAGCTGGAGATTGAGGATGTGGTTGAACAACCAAGCATCAAACGAGATTGGGAGATGTCCATTGACGACGGACCCGAAGGCCCTGCTGCCGTCCGGACAGGCCTGGCTCTTCGGCTCCTTTTCTAGAGATATTGCGGCTGTGATGGCGCATATCCTTGCTGTTCTAATTTTGTTTTTCTTCTCTTTCAGGAACCCACAGTAATTCGAGCGAGGCGGGCATGAAAGAGGGATATTCTGTGCTGGAGTTGGAAGGTGATGATAATTTCAAAGATACCAAGGCGCCTTGGATTTACCACGTTGCGATTGCATACCCATCTTTACCTGGAGCTGTGGGACGGTTGCGGCGTCGTCTACCCCCATTCTGCTGGACGGGATTGGGCTCACAATGTCTGGTTGCTTTTGTTGCATTCGAATACCCCCAACCGGATCATTACTGTTTGGCAACCGCTCTCATTCTCTCTCTCTCTCTAACCCTCTCCTTTTCTTTCTTCTCTTCTTTTTCTTATTTTCTTTCTTCGATTTCATCGGGTGGTTTGGATCCGGCTGTACACGCATTTAGCTAGGATATAGTACACGAGTAATTTCGCCTTTTTTTCTTTTTGGAGGGTATCACCTCTCGGTCTGGGTATTACAATGGGTGGGAGGACATGGGATGTCGACATATGATATACACGCTACGGGAAGAAGGCTCTAGGCCAGGACATGCATCGCCTAATGGGAATATGACTACATATGCGTCACGCAGATAATGCCATTGAATTTTTTTTTTCTTGAACGAATCCCAAGTTCTTTGTTTACTTGTCTTCCTTGTTGGGAAGCTCCGCCCCTGGATATTCACAAGGAGCGTGGTGTAATATGCAGTTTGGCACACGGGTATGTACCACTCGTACCTGTATGTACAGTACAGATATTGCTTCGTCCACGCGAGAAAAGCCCAATAAGCCCCGGAACGTTGGGCATATATGGAGAACGGCCTACCTCGTACAGGCACTAGCTCAGAGTCACTAGTATGGATGCTCAGAGCTGCCAGGATCCTCCCCCGTTCAGCGAAAAAGGAGACTGTCGAAAAGCATTTGCACGTACGAGTACGGGGTACAGAGTACCTGCTTTTGGAGCAATGCGGCGTGGAGCAGCAATATGCGTGTCATATTCCTGTATCACCCAGTGTTTCTTCTGCTTGGTGGAAAAGGCTCGAAGTGACTGGGCCGCTTCTCAACGTCGTAGCACACTAGCTTGTGCGCCGTGGCAATCTTTGGCATGGGTCACATCGTTCTTTGCAAGGGCCTCGAGCCGCTATATGGAGTGCCGTGCTCCGCCAAGGTGGCAGGAGTATGCGACACAATAGGTTGTATACCGACGATGCTATCTCCCTTCTCCTGGAAGACTTCTGCAATAAGAAGCAAGAGCATTTAAAATTGCAAAAGGATGGATGTGGTCTTGAACCTGGTGTTTCTACACGTGTATCCACCGAAGATCAGTTACGGCATTGAGAAACCATGTGGATTGCCGCGATGCTAAATTTGGATATTTGCATGGAGGCTGCTGCATCCACCAAATGCTTGGTACTCCATACCGAGGAGGAGCAACCAATATATGATATTCGTGCCTGGTGCGGATCGAGATGAGAGCCGCTGTCTAAGAACTCCAAAATTCCACACTAGAAGTGGGAAGCCAGAGCGCAGTTGAGAACCGGGCGGGCGCCCTCTCGTCGAGCAAGAGGCTACTCGCCAGCTTGTGGCTTTGCTCAAAGAGCGAGCAGCAGTTGAATTTGTGGTGCGCTGCGTGTATGCGAGGCATCACGCATGAGTCTTATTACCCAGTCGAAGAGTTAGCGAACCGGCGAATCAGCCGTGCGTGTCCATCTCCGTTCACCGTTGGGTCAAGCCAGGCCCGAGAGGAGAAAATAGCGCACGACAAGTCGCCTAGCAGCCGACACAGCAAATGGATCAATGGATGTGGACTCCCGACTGTTTTCGCAAGCTCTGTCTCGGCCCCCCTTCTTGGCTCATGTGGGCGCACACCGTGTCGCTGGTGGGAGACATGCTCGATGCCATGCATTAGCCGCGGCGAGGGGGCGATCGTTTCGCTGCTCTTTGCTGACAGCCATCGGCAAAAGACATCTGTGATCTGTTTTTCTGTCTGGTCATCGGGTCTTTGTTGGGGCACTGCGACGCGGACGGCTGGGGGGCCAAAAAAAAACCACATCCAATGTTTTTTTCTCCCTTCTGTTTTGTCGCACTCAATGCCTGACACGTTCCGTCTGCCCAACGCTCCAGCCCAATGCTGATCAGCAGAGAAAGCTCTTTTCCTTTGACTGTGGCGAGTGAGCTGCGCGTCTGGATTGCATGCTGGGGTTGGACGCTATTGAGAAAGCACTGCAGCGTGGCTGGTGTGCGGAGCCTGTCTATGGGGGTGTCTATAACACTGCACGCGAAAGAGAAAACTCACGGCTTTCAGTGGGTGTGGCTCACCGGATATTGAGCCCGAAGTAAGACAGAAATCGACAGGGGGGAGACGGAATGCTCTTTGACAAGACGACAAAGCAAAGCTTCGGCCAAGCTTCTCAGTGACAATGGTGCCGCCTCCTTCATCCCATATCTCCTGTTCTACCTTCTTCTCCGTCATTCCTTTCTTTCACATGCTATAACGGGAACTGCTGGATTTTGCTCTTGATCCTGCAAGGGTGCCAGGAACGGCAGAGAAACGGGATCAATCCCCATGTGGCTGCATGATATTTTATTTTGAGGCTGGCTAGTGTTGCTGCATGCCAAAGGAGAGGCTGGTCGATTCTGACACTAGATTTGGCGGTAAGCCTCAGCAATGTTTCCATAATCAGTCAACGAGTGACTCGGTGTATTGTGACGGAATTGGACCAGAAGCAGCCGGTAAAAAGCATGTAGGCCTGGCCCTTCTAATTTCGTAAGAAGAGTTGTTTGCATATCCTCACTGTCTCGACATGCAACGCTCTGCCTGTAATCATATACGAGATATTTGGCTTGTACGCGCGGCTTGCTCGCTGTACATTCGGGGAGTATCCTGCTCAAAGGACTGCTAGAGAGTGATACCAAAGTTTGTGATATATGACAGTTATACCCAGCTAGTAAGGTTGAAGAATTTGGTGTATGTATCACCGCGTGTTCGTACTTCGCCAACCGCGGGCATATTTTGAGGAATGTACTCGTACTCTGTAGATCAAGGGTCCCTTGTGGCAGCCTTGAAAAAATCTTCCTGCATGTACTTTGCAGCTGATATACCCGGTCATAAAACTCCGAAAATAGCTTGCCGCAGGTGGTAGCACTGCTCCTTACTCCTGACTTTTCACTGTGCGGATGCACAGCAACAGTACGATATGGCAATCATCAAACCCCCCTTTTCGGCCGAGCAGCCAAGGATCCGTAACCAGATGGATAGCGTATTACTTTGCTGGAAGAATTCGCCGATATATTCTCTTTGACAATTGGAGTGTGTGAATGCTGTTATATCTCAAGGAAGCGTTCGACGTGCTTCACGGCTGACTCGACACCGACCAGTTCGAGGTGCGTCGTTGGTGCGTCGTTGGATGCGAAATGGAGGCTTGAAGGTTGCTTGGTTGTAGGTGACAGATGAACAGTGATTAGAGGATATGTAAACATGTAAACATCTTTTCCAAATTGTCCTTCGATTGCATTTGAGAGCGTCATGAGTGATAGTCTAATCAACTGATCTTTTCATGAGGGGGTCACACGGGTCAACTAGCATGTCGAATTCTGAGTTGGAGCTGTGTATAGCTTCCTATAGATGCCGGGCACAAAGCTAATGCGACACATGATCTTTGTGAGGGTTGTCTGTGGCTGATGTGCCATCTCATCTGATGAATCCTCCCGAGAGTGGATGCCCCGGAGTGCCGATCTCTCCCAGATCCACGACGGAGACTAGGCCGGCGACACCGGCCGGTTGGAAGGCCATCAGAAAGACACGGATTGATTGATAGCCTGCATTGCCTAGCTCATGAAAAGTGGCTGAGGGGTATCAACGAATGCAATCGATGGCACACAAATCTGTATTGACCGGCACAAATGTCTGGTGCTAGGGGCATCTGCTGTGGCTCGAGTCGCCATGACCTTTGGCTTACTCTCTGTGCTCGTTTAAAGGTCAAGAGGCTCCAAATATACTCGAGCTGAAAGCTGATGGAGAAGGAGTGCCGACTTTCAATGTCACTCCACAAACCTGAGGGCTGCCACATTCATCCGTCAGCCAACTTCCAGGCTCAAACTTTGCTCTCGGGTTGAATGTCGATCTTGTCGATTTCCGCATTAGCTTGTCGCAACCACGGTCCAATCAGTTCCCAGATCATTGCGCGAGATTTTCTAATGCCCAGTCTTCTTGTCTTGGTCTGGTAAACCAATAGAAACAGGTACGACTGACGGTTTAGGGAAAAGCGTGCAGTTGTCACGCTAATCTGTGGGCGATGATCTACTCGGTCGAAGAAAGAAGCCTGAAGTGATTGTGGTTGACCCAAAGCTCGGGCTTGGAAGTGGGAATTACCCTCAAGAGAGTCACTGCAAAAGTTCATTAGACGGTGCACAGATACAAAACTTCTCGGGGCTTTCACTTAGGCGCTGCCAAAGATGACTTACGTCTGTCCAACGTCATGAGAAGTTGGTGAATTCAGCGCTGAATATTTCTTGGCAGCATGTGTCGATGCATGAAGACGCGCAAATTGCAATAAGGAGGTTTGTATTCAAGTGTTTGTAACGCTTCTATCGGCTTCTCAGATAGCTGTACAAGTCGGCTATGCGGGTTGCTTGGGGCAGAGAAATTCATCATATGTGTAAATGAAACATGTTCCTCATCAACAGAAAGATCGTGATTCGGAATTCAGAATGCAACAGACGCTGATAGATCTTGTGTGTGGCAGTTTGAATCAGAGGAGCTGGATTAACGTTTGAAGTTGGATAAAGATGAAAATGGAAATTGTGTCAAAGGAAGAAAATAAAAAGGAGGGTACACGTGATTATTGAAGGCAGAAGTGGCAGGAAGCGCACATATCTCTCTATCTTGCCAAGTGAATCTGTCAGGAGCAATTTGGCATTGCCGCCAGTACGCAGTTGCCCAATGGATACTAAAGCACCTGATGTAATGCAGTATTTGCTATTGATCTTCATTGGACTCCTTCTCTGACACTGCTATTATTATAGCAGCAAACTTGTGTAGTAGCCTCGATTATATCGGAAATATATCAAGATATATCAATAAAAAAGAAGACAAAAAACTGAGTTCCATTATATATGTGAATTGTACGATCTATATAAACTTGAATACTAAGAAATGCCATTGGGGTATTATTGTCGCTTATAACTGTCTCTCTTCATCTTCCCGAGCTCGTCGTTTTTCCCGCTGGCATCGCAAGCGGAGTTCTCTCTCCTGAACGCTCCTCATCCATAACACTCCTCGCACCATAATAGCCGGTCGCTTCCTCCACGCCAGAAATCCCCATGAGCTCGTGGCTATTCTCCCCATCAATTCGTTCTCTTCTAGTCGTCTTAGGCAAGACGCCTCGCTTCCGCAGATCACGCTCGAAAAAGTAGAACTCGAACACCTTGTCGAGGAGCTCTCGTAAGGCCATGGCAAACAATACGACGGCGGTAGTCTGGCCAAAATCCTAGTAGTTCTCATAGGCTTCTCCCTCGAGCTTCCCCTGGTTGGCAGATCGCAGGGCCAGGGTCATGTAAAGATGTACGGGGAACTGCAAAAAAGCGAGGATGAGGATGGAGTGGCGCTAGCGAGCACCAGAGAAGGCGGCAGCGAGCATGACGAGGATCATCCATGAGGAGGTGATGGAAACGTAGATTTTGTCGGCGGACGGATGGCCCGCGGTGGGCGTTGTGACGAGGTGAGTGAAGTAGCAGCGGCCGGGCTCGTGATCAAGGGCCCAGTTGTCGAGGCTGATGCAGAGGAGAATAGTGAGAGCGAGGTACAACAAGGCGAAGAGATAGGTGGCGTGATGGCGAGGGGTGAAGTGAGCGGAGCGGAGGGTGGTGAAGTGACGGGAGAGAAGGTGAGTGGACAAGTCTTTGGGGGCGGCTGAGCGATGGAGTCGAACGTTGCAGTAGGTCCAACAGACGAGAGCGGCGGCGCTGGAGACTCTGTGAAGTATGTCAGAACGATGGTTATGAGAGTAATGAGAGTGAAGATGGAGATGAAAGATGGATGAGAAAGGGGGGTGTCTTTACCCGACGAAGCTGACAATGTCAAACACAAGGTGTAAGTGGTACGTGTCGATACTGGTGCCCAATGCAAACACAGAAATCATGTACGACGTTCCAATGACCATCTGAATGTCATTGCCGACCATGAGTATGTCAGACACGCACTCAAGCCGCTTCTGCTCAATCGCAGACTTCGCAAGGCCTTCCGGATGGGAGATCGGCATAATGGGTCCGATGGCCGACTTCAAAGGTGATATTTGACTGGCTGATAAGTCATGACTGTATTGATTGGGGGGTTTGGTATCTTGTTCAAGACAATTACTCAAGGTCACTCATGAACTACACACCTAAAGTTATATGACCATATTCAACATCGTCACGCAGGCACGAACCCAAATCTCAATCTCAACATATAGTTTTTTGTATTATGCATCATAACATTTGCCAACAATCATTTTTGCCCCCGTCTCCCCCCCCTTATTCCAGCAGGCAGGCAACTTTGTCGACGTACGTAACTAACCCACGGATCTTAACAAGAAAACCCCAGGGCAGCATTTTCTTTTCCTTCAGAAGAACACCACCACCAAGGCGTAAAGTGCTCGATTCCCATCACTATTTTAAACCGACCATTAAAAATCGTTTCTTGCCTCGGGCAAAACAGCGGTCCGAGAGCTCGGATGCAAAGCGCAATCTTCCCTTTTCTTGTCCAAGAAAAAAACGTTGCGTTGCAATGGTGTACAAAACCAACCCAAATCCTTAGGTTCCCTCAGCCACTATCCCTTTTTTTCCTTTGTTTTAAAAAACAATACCTGGCCCGCTCAGTAATAGCCCTCGTCCGAAGTATTCATACCTTGAAAACCATCGCCTTAGAATGCCGGCCTATGGGACGCCCAATTCCACAAAGCAAAAAGAAAAATAACACATCCCTTCCGCAACACATCTTGCTCTTCTCAGATGCACCCAGTCCAGTCTAGTCTAACCCAGTCTACGATTCACCACCGAGAGACTCCAGCTCCTTCAGAACAGATGCCTTAGTGTGAATCTTCTTAAGCTGGGTATCCTCCAGTTTCTCACCACCGGCATGTCGCATCTCAAGGTCTTCAATGGCTCTAACCTTCTTCTGAAGACTGCGGATCTTCTTGGCGTTGGGGTTCTGCGATGCCGGCTCAGTGGGGGCATTGGGAGGAGGGCCGGACTGGTGATGTTGCTGCTGTTGCTGCTGCTGTCCGTTCTGGCCTCCGTTCTGGCCACGGGCGCCCTGTTGAGTGTTGCTTCGGCTGCGATTTCCCATGTTGTTTCGAGAGCGGCTTCTGAAGCCGCGGCCGTTCTGGTTGCCGCCGGCCGGGCCGCGCCTCTCGGGGCTGCGACCTTCGTGGCCTCCGTACTCCTGCGGTGGCGGGGCGAGGCTGGCCCCTCCGTTAGGTTCGGGCTCCAGCTTGCCGTCGGGCTGGTTGTTCTTCTTGCTGCGCTTCTTCTTGTTCTTCTTGGCAGAGCCATCGTCATTAACAGGCTCCGCTCCGGGCACGGTCCGTACAGTCGGGACATTGCCCTCGGCCAGCTCAGCGCCAGGGACGGCACGTCGAGCCCGGCCGAATCCATTGGCGCTCACGTTCTGAGTACCATTGCTGACGACGTGAGCGGCGCCGCCCTCGTCCTCGCGCTTGAAGTGAAGCGGCGTGGCCAGTCCACGAGCACCGGGGGGTCGGTAAGCTCCAGCAGGCTTGCTGGGAGCCTTGACATTGCTGAGGAAGGTCGCCGCGGACGCGTGAGCGGCCGGGATAGAGCTGAGGGGGTCTCCACCCTCGATGCTGGCTTCATCGGCGGGTCGCCACAGAACGCTGTACAGCTCGACCATATCTTCGTTGTACATGAGTCCGCCGGTGACGTGCCACAGCTTGACGCCGTTGTCGACTCGCAGTCGCGGAGAGGTCGTGGCCGTCATGATGTAACGGCTATCGGGGCTCCATTCGCACACGCTCGGGTTGCCGCTCTCGATGGTGCAGACCTTTCGGTTGTCCTTTTCGAGGTCATACACGTCAATCTGGCCGGCAAGATTGCCGAAGCCGGCAACGAGGACGAAGCGGCCGGTGGGCGAGAAGTTGATGGTGTTGCGGGGTCCGAGGGGGAATGAGTGCACGGCAACGCCGCGGTCGTTGAAAATAGTCGTCTTGGCCGGCATGTAACCATATACCACGCCAAACTGTCGCGACGAAGGCGACCACGAGACGTCGTGAATCGGGCCCTCCTTGTCCAGGGTCACGCGAGCATCCAGAGTGCCGTTGGTGCTCAGCAGATATAGAGTCGTCTCTCCGTAGTAACTCTTGCCGGATCGGTCCACGTCGGTCTGAGCCAAGACCAGGAGGCTGGATCCACGCTTGTTCCACTTCAGCTGCACTTTGTCTCCCTTGAAAAAGGTCTTTTGTGAGATGGGGCTCTGGAATGCGGGCACTTTGAAGACTTTGACGGCCGCGGGTGCTCCCTAAGTTTTCAATTGTTAGCAGACAACGACAACAAATAACATCGGACCGCTGGTGAAGCTTACCTTGCGCTCAGGGATAAAGACAGCCACTGCGTGCTCCTGGCCAGGGGCCAAGGCGAAGTTGGTAGCGCCCTCGACGCGCAGCTTGTTCCACACCGTGACGAGGTCATGGCTCTGGAAGAACTGCACTTCGTTGGTGACGAGACGGGCGCAGTAGGCTTCGTCGGCGGTGTACTGCAGGTTCCAGCCGCCCTGCTGCTTCTGGACGAACTGGCCTACGGGCACCTTGGCGGCAGCGTCGACGCCCTCCTCCACGGTGCGCCAGACCTTGAGGTTCTTGGTCGCGTCTCCGGCCTCATCCTTGGCGGGCCGCTCCCAGGTGATGACAAAGGTGCCCAGGGGCGAGAAGCCGAGCTCATAGACGTTGACAATGGGCAGGTTGAGGATGAGCTGGCCGCTGGTGGTGTTGACCACGTGGAGGGCCTCGGGAGTGGCCCAGCCAAAGAAGCGGCCACAAGGCGAGTAGGCACAGCACCGCAGGTTTCCCTCGGGCTTGGTGAACCCAGAAAGGGGCTCGTAGACCGGAGCGGCGTCAAAGACGCCAATGGTCTTCTGGGTCCGGTAGGCGAACTGCAAAGGGGATGCCATGGCTAGTCAAAGTCACAGAAAATAATTTGGCCTTGCAGTTGGTCTGGATTGATGCCGGTTCTTTGCAAAAATCAATGTTCTTGTCTTGGCTTCTTTTTTCTTTTTATCGATCAATTGAACCGTTCTTCTTCTTATCTGCGGGTAATTTGCGCAGATGAGCCAAAAAGGGGGTTGTTTTGATGGACGATGGGAACTCTCCGCACTGCAGAAGATCCTGACAGGCTGTGCAGGAAAAAAAAAAGCGGAAGCTGATGGAATTCGCCTGCGCCCGTCGGTTCAACAATTATGTTTCTATCGTCGTTGTCGAGACCGCAGCAGAAATTCCAAGCGTAGAATCTCTTTCTTTTCTTTTTATTTTCTTTTTTTTATATCTTTGTCGGCGAACCAGGGGCTTCTTCCTTTGGTCGCTGTCGTGATGCGTCACTGCCGTGTGTCGATCGACGAGGTTTCGGCGGGCACGGGCACGAGCGGAACTGATTGTTCTCGACGAAGAAAAAAAGAAAATAATCGACGACGCAACGCGCTGCAAATCAGAAGTCCGAAGCACAGGAGCGAGAAGAGAGAAGAGAAGAAAATTGCAAGCACCCAAGGCGAGGGGAGGAAGTTGGCTGGCGACGGCGGTGCCGTGTTGCTTGTGGGCTGGAGAGGTAGAAGAAAGAGGCGGCAAAAGTGTGGGCGAAGTATTTTTCTTTTTTTCTTTTTTTTCCCACTCCCTCCCCCCCCACCGCCACGGCAAGGCTTCAGGCCAAAAGTTGCCAGTGCAAAAGCCAAGTCTCCCAGAGGCACGCTAAAGGCCTGGCGAATCCCTGGGCTTGGGACGGAATGGCCATTGGTGCCCGGGCAAGCCTGGCCAATCACCGTGTGTCACTGTCGAAGCCCTGAAACTCAGCACGGGCGTTGCTGGATTATCAGATGCATCCGTTTGAATCCTGCCCGTATTACTGTACTGCTTGCTGATGAACAAAGCAATATTATTGATATCATTGGTACTCTAATAACTGGCTCATTTACTGAATCATTTCCCATCACGCCTATTTCATTTGAGTCTTTATATTCCCACTTTCTCCGTGAATTTGCTGAGCTGGCCAAACAAAAGACCTCAATACTGATAACATCATGTAAATCCTCATTGGACGTCGCCCGACGCACAAAGCCCGATGCAGTAAATCAACTCCATATGAGCTGGCAGCATCGACTCCCAATGCGCAATGCGCGAAATCCATCGGGTCCCTCGCATAAGGGCTGGATCCCGTAGCAACCCAGCAGCCGACGAACAACTCAGTACTCGTATACACCGGTTCATTAGTGTTGGCCTAAGCGGCCTAAGTAGATTAATCTATGTACACGTCATGACACTAGTCGAAGTGATGGGTGCCAAACAGTGCCGGAATCCACGTCAGCGCAGCCCATTTGCCATACGGTGCCTTTAACACGGCCCATATCTGGGTACAGGTAGCATTTGAACCTCTCAATGGCTTGCATATAAGCCGTCTAAGGCAGAATTGTCACGTTGCCCATATGTAGTCTACGTCTCTCTTATCTTGGTGATAACATGTAGCAGTTAAATAAGCGCTAGCTCATGTTCAAGATGCATGGGTATGCTAAAAAGGAATTGTGCCTACATTGGCGGTATCAACGGTAACAAGCCTGCTTCTTTTCTTCACTGCCCAAGATGCTTTTGCCTTACCTCACTTGCAGCTTCTCGCGCCATCCACCCTTCTCGAACAGCCAGAGGGCTTCCACGGCATACGCCCTGCTGCCCCTGTGCCCGCCCTCGCCCATGCTTGCCTCAGCCAGACTCTCTAGCACCCGGCCCTCCTTGACAGCACTCCAAATTCCCATTGCAATTGGATGATTCAGAGTCGTTCCCCATTCGCCGCGCCCCAGACGATACAAGATGCGGCCTAGAGTTTGAAACGCTATGCAGCGCTGCGCCGGCACAGCGCTTCTTGCCAGTCTAGCGAGCTCTGTGATCGTGTAGCCAGCAGCCTCGGGGGCTTCTCCGTGATGATGCAGTCCTTTGGACGAGGGAATCGACCGGCTCACACGCGGTGACAAGAAACGACCTCGGAAATCGAAGCGCAATGCGGAAACACTGATCTCGGGATGGGGATAGTATGGCGAGTCTTTATCGGCGGGACTATCTTGGGTGGGAACAGGCGCCATCCAAGCCAGCTTGCTCGGATCGGCAGGGAGATTGGGAAAGTATTTTTCGTGCAGCGTGGCAAGGAAATTGGGATCCGAAGGGTCTAGGTCCGGGAGGCTCGGGGGAACAGGGAAGTGTGTTGATTTCGGAAGGTCGGTAATTGGGAAGAGGTCTGGCGGGATTTGTGATGGCTCCCGATCTTCATCGTAGTTATCAGCGATTTTCTTAGTTGACTTTGTCTGGGCGGCGGCGGCAGCAGTAGCAGGAGAAGGAGATTTTGATTTAGGCTCTGGTTTTGGTTCGACGACATCTGCAGTCTCGTCCTCAACAGTGGCCGCTTTTGGCTCGTCTTGAAAGCGAACCTTCGGAATCACAGGCGATGAAGATGAAGCTTCTTGTGGTTCTTGCGGCTCAGGTATATTAAACGGCGAGTTTGGATCAGGCTCGTCAATGTTGGCTCTTTGAAGCAGGCGTTGGATGAGCGCAGGGTTCAATCCCTTCATTATGTCCTCCTGCGCCTGCGATATCTCTTGGGGAGTCATGTCGTTGATCTTTTGCTGATTTTCTCTATCTATTCGCTTTCGCTCGACCTCTTCGAAGCTCTGTGACTGGTTCGGCTCCTGTAGTTGCCCAGACTGCGACGCACCGCCATTTCGCTGCTGCTTGAACGCTGAGGGTTTCCATCGTCGCTTGTGTTGGGGAAACCCGGTCGATGAGATGGGGCCCGAAGGGAACTCGACCGGTTTCGATCCCTTTTCGCTTCGTTCGACAATGTCACCAATGAGAAGCGTGGGATCCATGTTGTCGATGGGCGCAGCTGTACAGATGTCTCCTACTTTGATCTGCTGCTGCTTGGTAAGAGTTGGGATTCAAGAAAAAAGATGGTGGGGCGATGATGGAAGCTTTAGGTAGCCTGCCCCATCCATATCGATAAGCACATGTCCGCAAACCAACAAAGCTCACTCACTACAGTTAGAAGGTCATTAACAAAGAGTGCCTTGGCAGCACGATTCGCACGGAGCGCTCTGCACAGCGCACGCATTCTGTTACAATCTGCAGGGTGACATGGAATGCGTGGATCCACGCGTGGTTAGTTGCGGATTGATTTTAATTTAACTTGCGCTGTATCCCTCTGTAGATCAGCGCTGCCAAACAAGGTACCTGTTTGCCCGTGCTGATTAGGTAGGCGGGCGATGACATTGAGGCCGCCGCCATGAAGGAGCGTTTCCCTCGCGCTGTGGCTGGTCCAAGTCACATGCAAAAAAAGAGGTGATGCAGAGGGGAAAAAGGTCCACCAATATGATGAGCAGAAGCCGTAGCGCATCGCAGATATTCAAGTGATTCTCTGGTGACAGCCCACTGCTCTATTACCTAGGCAGCATTATGGCATTTGGTGAGCTGCATTATTCAAAACAGGCATCGAGAGCCTCCAAGGCTTACTCGCACGGCAGTTCGCGCCTGTAAATAAGACCCGAGGTACCTCGTATATTTTGCGGCTGGTCGTGGAACAAGGACCCCCACGATTGGCCGAAGCGTTTACAATTCTAGATCAAATCTAGAGTTTCGGAGCCCAGCCAGCCAGCACCGCCACACCTGCATTAGTGCCACGCGGGTTCCCAGCAAGCAGCGCATGACAGGGGCCCTAATTGGCAAGACGGGCGAGGATAAAGGAAAAAGGTTCAGGCGTGCATTTGGGTAAGACAGCATCGTGGCAATGCGTGTGTTCGCCGGTCACATATCACCCAAATGCACTTTCTGTACTGTATAATACTGTAGAATTAATACTGAGCGGTTGAACGGATGCGCGGGTTTCTCCCTGCACCAGCCGCTTTTCTGGCGAAATCCGAAAAAGTACATAGACGGAGTGATCGGCGACAGCGAACAGCCAGGGTGACATTTGGTAGGAGCCTAAAAGGCAGTTAGGGGGATGCAAAGCTTGCCTGAACAGAGCTCTGTAGTATTTCATTTTATTACAATGCATTGGTAAGACGGCTGAAAAAAAGCAAAGAAAAGAAAAGAAAAACAAACCGGTGCTGACAGCATACTAGGTAGATGTTATATATACAGGCACGTTGAAAGATGACGTTGATGCGCAGGGGAATTAATATGGATGAAGAAGAAATGGAAAGAGCCCGCCGTTTGCAAGGGCAGCCGGCTGGATCAGGAGGGGATGGATGGCTGCAGCGATTTTAGCGAGGCGAGACCTAAAGTGTCTCTGTAGGTTCCGTGTTTTTAGGGGGAGACAAGAAAAAAAATTACAGCATGAACAATTTACAAGACATGCATGACAGGTACAACAGGTGATGTTTCACTTATTTCTCATTTTTCATTCTTTTGTTCTATTTAGGCTAGATCTCCTTGGCTAATAATTCCTTTTTTATTTCCTTTTTTATTTCCTTTTTTCTTTCTTCTTCTTGTATGAGTTTTCCTTTTTCCTTTTTCCTTGTCAATCTGCGACCGACACGGCGCACCTGATGCCACCGTCACTGGCGGCCCGCGCCTGCCCTATCTGATGCCACCAGCCAGAATCCAAAAGACGGCAGCGGGTGGGGCTCGGCTTCAGGCCTGGTCTTTTTCCGGAATCTGGTGCATGCAGCCATGAACACGGAAAAAGCAACAGCCCCGCTCTTTCCTGCTGCAGCGCGCTTCTCGGGTCACTAGAAGCCTCTGGGTCGCTAAGAGCGTGCCGCGTCTAATCTGCATCCTCATTGGTCAGCTGGCCGATCCCCCCCTACTTGCACTGTATTTGCGCATCTCGAAAGTGCCCTAGCGTCGCCTTCCTTCCCCCCCCACACACAGCAACTTTGTTAGGGGACTCTGGGGTGCCGCAAGGCACGGCCAGTACATGGATCAGGCCACGCTACTGTGCCTGTTTCTCAACCTTGCATCCTGAATTCTCCGGCACCGACCGTCCAGGCCTGATTCACCGTCCGATCGCTGATTCGAGTACAGTGGCGGTACTTAAGGACGACGAGCGCATGTGATTGCGGCTGCGATGATTCGCTGCCGGTGGGATTCTCATGGCCATGTGCGTCTGCAGTGGCTTGGCAATCAATCAACCCTTTCTCTACGTATCTGCACCATCTCGGGACTGCAGACTGGATGGAGCTGGAGTCTAAATGCCACTAACTGCTAGCGGACGTGGTACTAGCAGTGGCTACTATCCTCTTAGTACAGGTAAGGGAGCAGATTTGGTAGGCAGATTCTACTTGGCTAGTAGTCCCGTGATCCGACGCTAATACCCTGGATATGTGTCCTTGGGCCCTGGGCTAGCCTGTCAAATAAGAGGCCTGGAGCGCCAACTTCGGCTCGCATCTGTCGACTTGTTGCACTATTGCCGGGTCTTTGTTAGTACATACATGCCTCCTAACGTGCTAACATGCTCGTACATGGCCAGCTGGACCTGTGCTGTACTGTACATAGTAGGTGGTAGTACCGCTGACCTAGCAGTAGCCTGACTGACTGAACCCCCCGTTCCACCACAACGTCCATCAATTCGTCGTGCTGGTTCGATATTATTTCGCTCCGTGTTCCCCGTACTGTGCCGCCTTCGCCGCATAAAAAATCCAAGACAGACAAGTTGAATTTGCTGTTTTTTGTTCATACCGGTACCCCCCCCTTGGCGCTGCGACCCACGCCCAGCCCATCCCAGCCCGTCTTTGCTTAATTCAACCCGACTTGCCTCCAGCATTGGCATTCATTCAACGGAGCGGCCTGTCCTGAGAGGTACTCGTACTTTGACCGTCGAATAATAGTGACCGAAGACAACCGATGCAGTTTTTCCCAGGCCAAAAACACGCGCTGGCCGCCCCGTTTTTCTCGCCTTTTGTTAGAAAATCAGAATTGCTATCCTATATTGTCGCCATCCCCAAATCGTGCCGAGCTGGCAAATCCCCCATCATTTCCCCCTCCCTCCTCTTTTTTTTTTCCCTTTCTCTTTCTTGTTCCTCCATCCGCCTCTCCCCTTTCTTTTGCCTCACCTTCACCTCCTCTCTCTCTCTCTCTCCCCAACCACAACCACGCACTTTTAATTTTTCCATCAAATCTCGCTCCCGTGCAGCGCCCGCGCCATCGCCAAAACTGCATCCCTCCAGCCTGGCCCTGCTGCACGCCATTCCAGCTGTTGCAACCGCTGCAGCCCCGCATCCTCAGTGCATCCGTCAGGCCGCCGCGCATCGCATCATCCGCTGGCCCAACTTCAACCTGTTCCGTTTGTGAGGCTATTCGCAAGTTCCCAAGGCCAGACCCGGCTCCACTCGTCACGTTTCCACTCCGGCTTCCGGCCACTCACGTAACGTCACACTTTCTGCACCGCAGCCTCGTTGAATTGACGCGCTTTGCCGTTTGATTTCATTTGCATTTGCATTTGCATTTCATTTGCAAGGCTGTCTGTCATTTCAAACACACTCGTTGCCTTTTTTTGATTGGGGGTTCTTGATCTGGTTGATTCTCATCGGGTTCTTTTCCTTTTTTCTTTCTCCTCCCTTTTCCGTTTTAATCTTCACCTCTTCTTCTCTTTTTTTATGTTGTAATACATAATTTTCCGTCCTCTGCGAAATCACCGAGCCTCGCCCGGAATTCCCTCTCCATCTCCATATCTCGGCCACTTAGAAAAACGACAGATTGCCCTTTCGCAGCCATCCACCTTTTTCCGGTCCGTGTCTGAGAGACAGTTGCGCTGCCGCCAGGTCACATCTTGACGGCAGCCTCCCATCGCCTCCAGCTTCGCGTCAGCCCTACTATGGCTGCTGTCGGCGACGCATCGACGCGATTCGACTCCTCCGCCGGCGAACTTTCTTCTCCCCCTTCAGGCTCCCTCTCAGAACCCGGGTCGCCCTCTCACGGGGCTGGCCGCCGTCCCAACGTCGCGAAAGACGGCTCAAAGATCGAAATGGAGGAAATCGTCGTCAGCGGCGACCAGAACCCGCAGTACTCGCAACAGTATCCGTCGCAGCCCCCTCCTGGCGGCTCTCCTGGAACCGCCCCGGGCTCTCGAAGCCAGGCGCAAAAGAAATACTCGTACATCGACGGCGAATGGGTGCAACTAACAGCAGCCGGCGTACCCCGCAAAAAGCCGGGACGCAAGCCCGGCTCCGTGGTCAAGCCAAAGGCTCCTGCAGACGGATCCGAAGCGCCCAAGGCTCGCAAGCCTAGAAAGTCTCGAGATGCGGAAGCGCCGCCCGTCCAGCGCAAGAGAAAGCTAGCGCCTGCCTCTGATGTCGATACCGATGCGCCCAGTCCAAGGCCACTCGCCCCTGCTGCAGCACCGGGGCTGTCGTCTTCTTCTCCCTCTCTTCACCCCCAGCTGGGAGAGCCTTTGTCTTCCACGCCCCAGCATCAATTACAGCAGCTGCCCGATAGACGGTATTCACCCAAGATGCAGAAGAGGGAAGGCTATCCTAGCTCCATGCAGAGTATTCTAAACGCCGACCCGCCACCAGTCACTCGATCACCGTCAAACAGCATCGCCAGCCCTACATCCATACCCGTGCGCACCAGCGGCCAGAGCTACGATCCCATCCGAGGCAATTATGACCCTGTCCGAGAAACCATAACTTCGCATTACTCTTCAGCGGCTGGGTCTCCGCGAGCCACCCTAGCGGTTCAGCCATCACACCGCTCGCCGTCTATTGCCAGCATGATTGAGCCGCAGCCGTCCACCAAGGCATCGCCCAGCCAATCCCACCAGCCATACCCGCCTGCTGTGCCTCAGTCTCGCTTGCAGACTCAAGAGGCTACCCCGCTGCCGCCTTCCCCGTCATATGTGCCCAAGACAACAGCTTCCACGCCAGCTCAAACTCCCGCTTTGAAGCCTGCGGTTCCAGAGATAAAACGTGACGCCCCCACACCTACGCCACCAGCTCCCCGACCAGTTATTGACCACGCAAACTTTACCACAATTGCAAACGGGCCGGTGAAGAAGGTGTCGCCGAAGCAAAAGCCCATCACCGGCGTCTCGACACCAAAGACAGACTATCTGGATGAGACAATAATGGAGATGGACGAGAGATCGATTCTCGATTTCGGTCGAGCCCGCCCCGGCGAAGAAAAGGAGACGCCCACTATCGTCCTCACTATTCCCATTTCAGCGGGAGAAACTAACAAATACGTAAACTTCATGCGTATGGCGGAGGATCAGTACGGCTGGGATGCTTTGCATCCCCGTCTTGCCGCCGACCGAGACCGCAAAGCTCGAATCGCCGCAGCGGCCGCGTCATTGGAGAAGGTCGAATCCGGTCGTGAGTCTGGTGATGAGATGTCAGTCGACTTGTCCGATGCTGAAGGCAGCAATCCCGAAAACGGTGGAGTGAGTGGCGCCGATGCCCAAGCCAAGCCAAAGAAGAAGCGAAACTTCAAGGAGGACCAATACGATGTGGATGACGACTTTGTGGACGACTCTGAACTGCTCTGGGAGGCTCAAGCTGCCGCCAGCCGAGACGGTTTCTTCGTTTATTCGGGCCCCTTGGTTCCCGAGGTTGAGAAACCAGCTGCGGGGTGTGTACCAATCTCATCCCACCGTTTCTGGGGACAAACTTTTCCATTATTTTCACTTGCTAACTCAGACATAATAGACACGAGGAACGTCCTAAGCGCGGACGCGGTGGACGAGGCAGTCGAGGCGGCGGCCGAGGAGGCGCGACAAGAGGAGGGGCCACCACTGGACGCGGCGGCGGTCCAGGTTCCCGAGGCGGTGCCGTCACACGGAAACCTCGTATCACGAAGTCCGAAAAGGCGCAACGAGAGCGGGAAAAGGCAGAAAGAGAGAGCATGGCGAAAGCATCGTCCAACGGATACCCTCTCCAGCCCACCACCCCGTCATTATCTGTCCGCGAGCTTGGCTCTTAGAAGAAGAGACGAACGGCGGAGGATGATTGTCGACGCTCTCCCAGAAGGAAGAAGATACCGAAGTTGTCGCCGAAGTTGTTACGGAAGTTGTGAACGTTTCAAGAAGCTATTCAGCAGCTTTTCTAATTCCCAGCAGGCCTGTGCGATTAATATTAGCGACCGACGCACGATTTTATCTCGTTTGCGCTTTGCAGCCATGGGCTGGCTGATTGATGCTCTTTTTGTTTTCTCGCTCCCCCCTCTGGACGGCATCCTGGAAGTCCTACGAACAACTAAACAACAAGGGGGGTTCATACGGAACCTGATTACCACTCGTCACGAACCGAGCATCTCTGTGTTAAAAGAACCTTTTTTTCCTTCAACATTATTTGCGGCACGATAATCTCCTGCCTTGGCACAGACATTGTTTGAGTTTCTTTTTAAAGCTTTGTTTTTCCCATCTTCTTTTCCATTGGCTTGTGTTTTTTCTTTTCTTTCTGTCTGGGAATTGTATCAAGGAGGGACATCTGGGCTGACGGCGGCGTTTACACGGATGATGGAAACATGTGGGAGGAGACTGCGTGAGGGGAGAAAGAGTATTCAACTGGGTTCAGACCTGACAGGATGGAATGCCGTTCACTTTTGGGTCATGTGCATAATGGGGCGTGAAAATAGATGGCCGTTTCTTTGTCTTTTTTGATCGGCTTTGTTGATTTTGTTTTTTACTACTCTACTTTTTACCGCTTTTTTCTGTTTTTCACTTCTATTGTCTTTTCTTATCATTTGTGTGGTTTCATTTTCATCTTTTTCTTTTCTTTTCCTTTAATTATTATTGATGACGAAGAGACACGTATGGAAAAAAAAAACTAAATTTTCAAGCGCTATGCCTCCGCCCAACGAAGCTCTCCCTCTAGTAGCGTCCCAGGCAAAAAATACTCTTTTCTGTATACAGAACAGACTAAAATAGACAATTCTCTTCTTCCATCTTTTTCCCCTCCACCTCCTTATATATATGTCAAAGTGTGAATTTTGAAAGAAAAAAATAAGAAGTTGAACAAAATGGTAATGAGTTAAAAAGATTATTTACGCAAGGCTAAATTCTGCAATCTCGCCCATCTCATTCTTCACCTCCTCGCCGACCTTGTACGACGCTCGCCAGCGGAGCTTGACGGAGTCGACGCGCTGGTTCCTGTTGCCGGTGTGCCAGACGTCGACTTCTTGGGTGACGCCGCGGCTCTGCTTGGGGGCGAGGGAGCGGCCTGTTTGGGGTTTGAGTTGAAGTTCGTAGCCCTGAGTGAACTTTGAGTTAGCGATTGAAAGAGGGTTCGAGTCAGGGGCTGTTAGACGTTTTACCTTTGTGACGGCTAATTGAAAGTGTAGCTCATTAATAGGTTGCGCGGTGTTGTTTGAAAAGGCAAACACAATGTTGATGGCGTTGCTAACGGCAGTGCTGCGCTTTGCCAGGAAGTCGGTCCTTAAGCCAGAGTTGCTGGCGGTTCCCCTATGCTCCCTAGGCTTGGCGGGCGCCGATTCGGCGGGCAGCGCGGAAGAAAAGTTCCATTCGTCGTCGTCGTTGGACACGGCTGCGGGCTGGGGCGCGGGAGGGCCGGTGGAAAAGGAGGCAAAGGCGTTGGAGACGGCTGGAGGGGGTGCCTGCTGCTGCTGCTGCTGCTGCTGTTGCTGGAAGTTGGGCTGGGGAGTGGCGGACTGTGAGGCGGGAGGAGATGTAAAGGAGGCAAACTGGGAGAACGGAGGCGGCGTGTCGTTCTGTCCAGCTCCTCTGGCGGTGCTTCCTTGAGTGAGGGAAGATAGTAGCGCGGGCCCAGGAATGTCTAATACATCAAGTTAGCTGTCAGGGGTTCCTTTATACACACATGAGTGACATCAAGGTTGTACGGCTTACTTTGATTCGCACCAAATCCCAAGGCAATGCCGCCGCCCTGTCCATACGTGCTCGACTGGCCGCTAATGTCCAAGCCGAGGAGATCGTTCTCCAATCCGCCAGCCTGCGATGAACCTGCACCGTTGCTGCCGTTGTTCTGTGCGACATCGCCATCAAAGTCTATAAGTGACAACTCGTTTGCCGCAGAGTTCGATCCTGATGGTTGCGACGGCAGAGGAACGCCGGCCGCAACTTTAGCAGCACCTTCGAGGTCGCCCTTCTTCATGAGCTTATAGCGCTCGACTGTACGGTGTATGCTGTCATTAATCTCCAGCAGCCTGGCCACGGCCTCGTGATCATCCGACTCCTCCTCGCACATCTTTTGGATCTTGGGCTGGGCGCTCTGCAAGGCGGCGGCGAGCTCGCTGAAAACGTCGCCATCCTGCATCTTGTCTCCAGGTTGGAACGCCGCAAGGCGCTCTTCCAGCAGTCTCGCCTTGGCCTGGATCTTGCTGACGTCTTCGGCCGCCTTGGCCCGGTAGTCTGTCTTAGATCTAGTATCGTAGCCGGCCATGACCTTCATCAAGCGGTTGGCTTCCTGGAGGTCCTCGGGCGTGCCCCGGCGAATGAGCTCCTGCAGCTTGGCTGATTGCGCTTCTCGCTCTTCCTCCTCCATTTCCTCGGCCGATTTCAGATTCTGTCAACCAGATGAGTTATTAGCATCTTATCCGTGCATCATACCAGCGCAATTGAACCAAAGCCGCATCTGCCGAAGAGGGGACCAAAACTTACATCGCTGGGGTTCAAAACAGCAGCATCTTCCCTCCGCACCTCGGGGAACATGTAGCCCTTGTAGCTGAGCAGGCGGTGCATGTCCCGGATGAAACCCAAGTCGTCCTTGTAGCGGCTCGTCTCGCATATCGTCATGCGCCACTCCTCCACCAGCTCAAGAATCTTGGCCTGGACGCGGGTCGGGCGGATTGGGGGGCGTTCCGGGAATCTCCGCACCAGCTCGTTGAGGAACTCCTTGGTGCTGATCTGCAGGTGGAAAGGGTAGCCGCAGTTCTTGACGCAGATGTCGAGCAGGCTGAGGGCAAGCAGGGCGACATTGGGGTTGCGGTGGTTGACGAAGCCGACAATGGCAGTGGCAGCCTCGCGAGGGGCGGTGCCCTTTTTGCTGTTGATCAAGTCCGAGATCTCGAGATTGAGCGCCAGGTTGGGCTCGTAGTTTTCGGGGCTGCAAGCTCCCTGGATGAAGCGCAACAGCTGAGATGGCGCGCGGCCGACATCTCCCCAGCGGTCGCGGGCCGCCGCGCGAGCAGAGGCAGCTTCCATCTGGTATATGGCTGGTTGTGTATGTTCGAGGTGCTCGTTTGTTCGTCACTCTGTCTGTCTGTTTGCTCGCCAGGGTATTGCGCTGGTCTGAGGCTCGAGCTCGCAGTTGTAGGAGTAGAGAGGTAGCTATCGTCTATCTCCCCTTTCTAGAATGCTAGATACACACACACTGTGAATGAATGAATCTTCAAGCTGCGAGCGCCGACTCGGTTCGGTCAAGCTGGATCTCGGTCAGAAGTGGCCAAAGGACGACGTGGCCGCAGCTGCACAATGGCCGTACCTCGTTTGCTGCCTAATCGCAGCTCCTTCAACGCCGCAGTGGTAACGCTGGTTCGTCGACTTGTAGAGCCATTCGCCTCCGCTCTGGCGATGTGGTCACTGTGCTGGAGTGAGTGCGAAGCTGTCTATTCTAGGTTGGCTGGCGATTGGCTGCCTCTACTGTGTCGATGGAGTTGGGCCATGGCTTATGCACTTATCCGGGGGGTTGGATATTCGCCCGCGGGGGGCTCTTAAGCACCGGCAGCCCGGTGAGAACGGCGGGTACTTGCGAGGGGCATCTTACAGGGCGTCGATTCAAGTTAATATGAGTGAATTTATTCTAATCAAGAGTCTACTTTGCTATAATTACTCACAAAGAAATATACTTATGAATTGCATTGCTACATAGGCGTTATTCAGCATCAGCTTTTTGCTCTGTGCAGCACTTGTAGAAGCTTCAAAAGAGGTACCTCATCTGGATATGCCTCTTCCGGCAATGGAGGGGTACCTGGAGCTGTTAGCGAGACCCCCTGGACCTTAATCACCCCGATAAGAAAAAAAATCCTCCTTACATCATCAACCCACCAACAATTTGTGTTCCAACCGCCATCTTCAAGTCGAGACTCGCCGTTTCTTTCTACACAAGACGAACCCCAGACCCACAGCAAATCAACATACATCATGGTACGACACAAGAAAGACTTTGCCGGCAGAGGCAAGAAATTCGGCGGCGGTCGTGGCGGCGGTCCTCCTCGCCAACCCCGCCATCGAGACGACGACGATGCCGAGTCCTCAGCAGGCCGCCCTCTCTTCAAGGCTGCCTGCTGGGATCTGGGCCACTGCGATCCCAAGCGATGCTCCGGAAAGAAACTCATGAAGCTGGGCATGATGCGCGAGCTGCACCTCGGCCAGCGCCACGGCGGCGTCATCATCACTCCCAACGGCAAAAAGGTCATTTCGCCCGCCGACAGAGAGCTCATGGACCAGTTTGGGGCGGCTGTCGTCGAGTGCTCGTGGGCCCGGACCAAGGAGGTGCAGTGGAATAAGGTAGGCGGCAAGTGCGAGAGGTTGTTGCCGTATCTCGTTGCTGCCAATACGGTCAACTACGGCAAGCCTTGGAGGCTGAATTGCGTCGAGGCATTGGCTGCTGCGTTTGCCATTTGTGGTCACCTGGAATGGGCAGAGCAGATTCTAGCGCCTTTTTCATATGGACCGTCGTTTCTGGAGATTAACTCGAGCTTGTTGAAGAGGTATGCAGCTTGTGCGGACGAAGCTGAAGTTAAGAAGACGGAGGAAGAGTGGATGGAGAGGTTGGAGCAGGAGTATGCCGAGAGCAGAGAGGAGGGCAATAACGACATCTGGACCAGCGGAAACACCAACAGAAGAGCACCAATAGATTCAGACGACGATGAGGAAGAAGAGGATGATGATGAAGACAACTCAGAAGACGACGAAAATTCCGAAGAGGAGGGAAGCATAGACGGCATATACCTAGGCAAACGGCCACCCAAACAAAAAGATCAGGATAAAGAGGACGAAGATGAAGAAGACGAAGACAAAGACCCATACGCCCTATCGGACGACAGCGACGATGACGCTGCAATGGAAGAAATCCGCCGCAAAGTACTCGCTTCAAAAACATTCACCAACCCCAACCCAAACACCGATGAAAAGCAAAAGCCCTCGACAATACCCCGTCCACAGCAGCGCTTCAAGGCCGACCTGGACATTGAGCCAGATTCTGATAATGACAATGGTGGCGATAGTAGTGAAGATGGGGAGGGCAGTGGTGAAGATGACGATGAGTTTGACAATATCATTGCTGCGACGCCGGTCACGGATAGGATAGGACTGGAGAAGCTGAAGAAGGAGAGGGCGAGGGCGGCGATTACGACGAGGACGTTTTCGTCGAATGTTGTTTCTGCGCCTGGTAGATGGTAGTGATTTGTACATGATATATATTGAATGACACGATTGATGCAATATGCGAATGCCCTCTATAGTGAAATCTCGTCATTCTATAATTTGTTTTCTCTTCCCTTGCTTACAACCAATTCATGAGAAGAATGGAATGCCTTTTTCCGTGCGTTGCAGCTATACTCGTACACGTCCATCCATATCGTACATATTTTACATGTCTATATGTCAATGCCGCCTCTTTTGTTTTGTCAATGCATGTACATATTACAAGCTCCGTCTCTCCTTGATCTCTTCATACGTCTGAATCTGGTCATCTGGCTGGAAATCCTCAAAGTCTTCCAAGCCAATACCACATTCTGTTCCCTTGCCCATTTCCTGGACATCCTTCTTCACATGTTTCAGAGTGTCTATCTTGCCTGTTTATAAGTTAGCACTCAACTGCCCATCTACATCTCACAATTAGAATTAGTCATATTGTACATACCGTCGTAGACTACCTCGCCTCGGCGAAGGACCTTTACGCGAGACGACTTCTTGATGGAGCCGTTTCGAACTCTGCATCCGGCAATGTTTCTAAACACACGCTTCTTGACATTGATCGGGAAGACCTGCAGGACATCGGCCTCACCGTTGACACGGAACGAGATATTCATGGGCAAGATGTCCGACAGCGCCGCCTTGACGTCGTCAACGACGTGGTAGATGACCTTGTGGTCGAGAATCTTGACCTTGGCCTCCTCAGCTCGCTGCTTGATATGCGGAGGGATGTTGATGTTGAAGTTGACAATGATGCTGTTGGACGTCGCCGCGTGGTCAATGTCGTACTCGGTGATCTGCCCAGCAGAGGATCGCAGGATCTTGGGCTGCACCTCGTGGCTGCCCAGCTCCAGGATGGTTCCGCAAACCGCCTCCACGGATCCAACAACATCCGCCTTGATTGTGAAGTTTTGAGTCAGGATTCCAGTCTCAGCTGATTCTGTAGCGGTGTTTGAAGCGCCGTCGGCATCTGCTGCTGCTGCGTCTGCCGCGGCCTTTTCGCGTTGACGCTGTTCTTGCTCTGCGAGTTGGATGGAGCTTTGCTCGCGCTCAGCCATTTCCAAGCGGTACTCAACTGCCGTCTTCGCCTTTCCTTCATCGGGAGATTGGATAATCTGCTCTCCGGCAGTGGGTAGCTCTCGCCAGCCCAGAACCTCGACAGGCGTTCCGGGAGGAGCAGAGTCCAGCTCGAGACCAGCTTCGTTGCGCAGCACACGAATCTTCGCCCAAGTCTTGCCGGCAACAATCAGGTCGCCTGGGCGGAGTGTTCCTCTCTTGACCAAGATGGTCGCGGCTTTGCCTTGAGGCTTGATGCTAGACTCTAGAACCCATCCCTCGGCCATGCCATCATCTTCGGCTCGAACATCCAAGATTTCGGAGAGCGTGACGATATTCTCCTCCAAGTCTTCCATGCCGAGACCTGTTTTCCCGCTGACGCAGACGACTTGCACATCGCCACCGTAGTCTTCGATTTCAACTCCATGGCGAGAAAGATCCGCTTTTACTTGGTCAATCCGAGCATCTTCCTTGTCAACCTTTGTAATAGCGACAATGATGGGCACCTTGGCACTCGTAGCATGCTTCAAGGCCTCAAGCGTCTGGGGCATGACACTGTCATCGGCAGCAACAACGAGCACCACAATGTCTGTCACATTTGCTCCGCGCTGGCGCATCGACAAGAAGGCAGCATGGCCGGGAGTATCAAGGAATGTAATGGACTTGCCAGACGACATTTTCACAACAAAGGCACCAATGTGCTGAGTAATGCCACCGTGCTCCTGTGCGGCGACGGAGGACTTCCGAAGCCAGTCCAGCAAAGTAGTTTTGCCGTGATCGACGTGGCCCATGATCGTGACCACGGGAGGACGAGACGGCAAGTCTGAGACATCTGTCGGCGGAGGTCGAGTTCGGAGATCTCGAAGGGATCCGGTATCAACAGTAGGCTCGAAGCCATATTCCATTGCAATGAGAGCCGCAGTTTCACCAGTGAAGATTGTGTCGCTAGTGATATTTTCAAAGCCCATTTCCTCCATGTCCTGCAGAAAAGGGGTAACATTTTGCTTCAGAGCTCTGGACAGGTTTGATGCGCTGATGTATTCTGGGAGGAATATCGGGACGGTCTGTGGCTCTTCCACGACTTTTTGCTTCTTTGCCTCCTTTTCCGCCTTGCGACGCTGCTTCTGCTCCCAGCGGTGCACGGCTTCGTCATCCCAGTCTTCGTCTTCATAAGCTTGTGACACTCTTTGTGACTTCTTTCCCTTTTTAGATCGAGGCTTCTCAGGCTCAGGCTGCTCCTCTACTTCAAATCTAGACTTTCGTCTTTGCTTCTGGAGTTGAGCATCGTCTTCAGTTTTGGGTGCAGATGTAAGTGTCTCCCCTAGGGAGTCTCGTTTGTCTTGGACATCTTGTGTCTTCTTTCTCCTGTCCACGGGTTGATTTTCATTCTTGCTTTTAGCCTTTTCCCTAAATCCTGTAGCTCTAGTTTCCAGTTCTCCCCAGAAGTCTTGGGTTGCCGGTGCCTGGGCTGCGGACGGCTGGGTAGTTGAAGCCTTGGGTTCGTGGCCATGCGCATGCGGTCTCGCTCCAAGCTTTACCTTCGTCTTGAGCTTCCGAGATTTGGTAATTTCGTTCCAAACACCAGATTGGTTTCCACGAGGGTCTACTCCATGTGTGTGCGGGGGTACGTCGGCCTTGCGGTTGCTGAAAGAACCCCATCCAGTTGTTTTGAGACTGCCATTTGTTGACCGTGTTGTCTGTTCTCCAGTGGGCTTCCCTGGGCGAGCGAAGGTGTCACTAGGTATTGATAGCCTCGACGGCTTCTTTACAGCTTCACTGCCCTCAGACTGCGGAGAAGACCAGGACTCTGGGGTTGGCGGAGCGCGCGGCTCTCGGTTGGTTTTGAAGACATCGGCTAGGACAGATCTTGACTTGGTCGCTTGTGGAGTGTTCCTGCGTTGTTGGTTTCCTGTACTCTTTTTAGGCTCGTTGCTTCTAGGCTCGTTCCTTTTGTCTGTCTGCACACTCTCTGTCGCCGCTGATTGCCGCCGGGCCAGTCGCTCGTGCGGCAGCAGTCCATCTGCCGCAGTCGTAGCCCCAGATGCCGTGTCTGCTTTTGCAAATGTGCCCCAACCACCCGCTCTAGTATTAGAGAATGCGCCTGGGAATCCTCCCGTCTTGGGAGGCCCCTCATTGTTTGCAGAGTTGTTGAGACATGCCGTCCGAGACAGCGACCGGGCCTGGCAAGAGAAGACGGCGCTGCGGTCGGTGGCAAGCTCTCGCAGTGCGCTTAAAGGCCTCGGCGAGGGAGATGCAGTGGACAGTGTTCGTACATGCTGCGATCCGGCATTAACAGCCAGCTTCTGTCGACAAAGCGTGCACACAAACGGATTGCTGCGATCCTGGATTGTATGATGTCAGTTATCGCACCAGCAATACAGAGCTCAATTGGGCGGCAAAAGCGCAAACCTTCCACGCGCGAGCTCTCAACATTGCAACAAGGAACGGCGATGAAGCTCACGCAAAGCTCCTGTCGACATTGGGTAGAAGAGATGTGTATGAATGGAGATGCTGCTTGAGGATTGCTGGGTCCTTGGTAGAAAGGTTAGCTCTTGTTCTAGGCTTAGCGGGATATATCTTTTTTTTTTTTTCTTAAGCTCGATGATAAAGTACTTGGAGGGGCATCTCGGGATAGGATTGTCCGCAAGTTGTGTAATTTACTGCAACAACCTCCTCTTCATTATTTTCTATTGATTATCTACATCAAATTGGTCCTTCCCCTTGATTTCTCATCTCCATTTCCATCTCAAGTATATACATTGCCCGTAGATCAATCTCTTCCTCTACACGTCTCTTCCCCTGCTGATGGTCTCGGGTAGCAGTTCGTTAGTACCTGAGATCTACCGTGTCGCTAACTCAAAACGGGCTACTAAATCGATAAGAAGCCTGGCCACGAAGCTCATCTCTACAACAAGAGCATGGCACACGACCTCGTACATTTTGAATACATGTAAGACATGTCTTTGTAATTGAACCCGGCATGAAGAGCTTTTGAAACAGCCCATCTAATTATTCCTCGCAACTCATTTTCTTCTTCCTTCTTTACAACTCTTGTGGCGATTTCACTGTGGATACAGCTTACAAGGCGGTCGGACCTGAGTTTTGCTGGGGCCAAAGATACCACATTCCCCTGAAGCTCACTTACTAAAAACACCTACAACGGCTGCGCATCGCCAACTCACCAAATTGATTCTCAGGAATCAGGCACAGCGTTCGCCATGGCCCCCTCCAAGAGAAGCGGGAAACAAAAGGCATCTGCCGCATCCAATTCCTCCAGCACCAATGGCAGCTTGGACCCCCCAGCGCCGTTCAAGCGGCCTCCGGAGGTGCTGGAGCCCTTCATCCAGGAGCTCTCTCAGAAGCACATCTACATCACGCACATCGACGCCAAACCCGCCGCCTTCAAGCGCAAGATGTTCCTCGTGCCCGTCACTCTGAACGTGAGCGTCGCCATTCTTTTCGTCTGGCGCATGTACTCCATCCTCCCCTGGTACTGGAAACTCTTCATGTCGGGCTTTGGCCACCCCAACGAGATGACGTTCCCCTTTCATGAGGCGTCTTGGTCGGAGCTTTCCTGGGAAGTTTGGAAGCGCGGCATCGTCATGTTCATCGACTTTGTGCTGTTCGTCTTCGTCTGGCCGTGGCCTGTCGAGTTTACGCTCGGTACCGCACACGGAAACCCGACGCGGTGGCGATGGAACGTGGGCTTTCGGGACAAGGAGATTTACGTCCGCCGCAGCCGTGACTGGGACAAGATGCTACGCGACATCTTCAAGGATGCCGACTCGAAGAAGATTTTGCTTGCCTATACCCAGCAAGCGACGTCGCCCATGCTCCAGGAGCAGAAGACTGGCTATCTCCTCATGAATGATAAGTGGGATCTGGACTGGAACTGCATGGTCCTCGCCCACAAACTTGTCGACAAGAAGGACGTCGCCCTCGAGGCGTTTAGGAATGTCATTTTGGTGTATCACCAGGACTACGGCTGGATTTGCCACGATCTTAAGCTGGCCATATCAGCCGAGGAGGACGAAAAGAGGAGGCAAGTTTTCGCCTTTCGGGATGCCCTTACAGCCATGGGTAAAGAGAATCTGTTTTTCCGGTGGATCGAGATTGTACAATTTGAATCAACTCAGCCAGGGGGATTCGGCCCGGAGAAGCAAGAAGCAGCGGCCAAGCAGATTCGCGAGCTCTTTGAAGCTGAAAACATTAACTTTGATGATTTATGGAAGGAAACAGTTGGCACAAAGGCGTGAAGAGATGATTGATCTCCCGGGCACTGGAAAATTGGTGGTATGGAGCAATATTGCAAGGCAGGGTACTCGTTAGATTTGGAATCAGCTATGATATAGGGGAGGAATTAGCAGATGCAAGCAACTGCCCACCTAACTGGCTACTGTAGCTATGGTGCGTTTCACTGTCTACAATTCTGCATCTTGGTATTCACAACGCAGATGGACCGTGAGAATACACACACAACAGAATATCACTTCAAGCACTTTGCGCCCATAGGGATGCCGTGAATAATTATACTAAAGCATGCAGTCGTTGGGCATGTCTGATTTTATCTTTTATCAAGGAAAAAAAGAAGAAAAAAGAGAAAAAGGACAGCGCCAAAGAGGAATCGAACCCCGATCACGAGGAGGCCGTGCAGGTTTCAGCAGCCTTGGACAACTGGTACTTGATCTCGAAGTACCTTTGGACACGGCACTCATGGTGGCATGGATAGCAGGTATCTCGAGGCCGCAACCCCCATGCAACATCGAACACCGAGGCAGCAAGACAAAACAGACAGACGCCATCACCAAAGGCAAAAAAGAAAATGTGAAAATGACCTTTGGAAGTTCAAAAAGTTGGCTAAAGCACCAAAAAAAAAACTTATACGCCCAGCGATCCATCTTGGTGTTCAGCGTAGATCCTACTGCGCGCCCCGGTTTCCCATGGGTATTTCTTTGCGGGTACCAACAGCTCGAACGTGCGACGGGTGGGGTCTACGCGTCGGCCATCCAGGGCTGCGGGCCGTGTCTGAGAGTTCCTGACCTGGCGGTGGCCTTCGTCGTAATGAGCCGTGCGACCTGGGAAGTCCCCTCCCAAGTCACATCGCGCTGCATTGCCGACCAGGCCATTACCAAGTGGGCCGCTCGCTGTTGAAGGGCATTGAACAATTCTGGTATATAAGGGTACGGCACCCGCCAGCTGGTCAGCAGTCCAGTACTGCAGGGTCCTGGCGCAGCGATTGCCAGCACTTCCCAAGCTGCAGGGGAAGGGATCGCACAGTATTGAAGCCATGGACGTGAGGCAGTCAATATGAGAGACCGAGATGCTGCTGGATGGTGCATAGGAGAAGGCTTGATGCTACCATCGATCCACGTGCGAGGTGGTTTTCTGTGAAGTTTGAGGTTAGTATACATATAGATCTATGGGAGAGCATCCGTCACGGCAGAATGAGAGGCGCCTACCTACCAGCTATGTAAGCACACTCGCGTGTAAGATGCTTGTAAGCGCCGGTGTCCGTTCAAGCCTGTATGCTCATGAGGAGACTGCCATGTTGCAAACGCAATAACATATAGATCAATGGCTCATGAAGCCCGGTGTAACATCCCTTGAATCACAAAACAAACTTGGGACCTATATGGTGACCCTGGCCTGGTTTTTGGAGCATATCATCTCGATTGGAGACAGACATGGGATACAGACGCCACGCCCGCGCCTTCGTTTATTATCCGCATTATGAGGCTCTTTGAAGGATGAAAAGAAGTAGATTGTAAAATCCAGTCTGCTGTTCATAAGAAAACGGCATCAAGTTGCCTTATAATGTGTTTTGTAGGCCAGACATCACCAGATATCAAGCCAATGGCCTAGTTTTGTGTTGAGTAACAATTCCCTGACGTTGAGAGTGGAGAAGCGTTCCTTTACGTGGCCTTTGCTGTTGGCTACCGAATGGGGCAGTTTCCGGCTTGCCTCCTTCCCAGGCTGAGCGAAGCCCGGCACGTGCACAGTAGCGATCTCTGGCAAATCATCACACAGGATCAATTGTCAATAGAGTATCAACAGAATAGGCCTATTCAGTATTAGATCCTCGAAACCTCAATTGCGCGAATTGTATCCAATGATTGGTAATCTGGTTCAGTGCTAATAATAGAAGGGTTCTCCCGCTCTCTCTGTCTCTCCTTTTGGTTCTCAACTCGGCCTCAATTCGTATAGACGTTAGCTCTAAAACTGCGCCTTAGTTGCAACCTTGACAGTCAGTAATATTCCGCCAGTAGTCCCTGTGTCTGAGACATATGCAGAACGGCACAGCCTTCAACCTCCCCGTCAACTACTTCGTATCAAGCCTCATCGCCTCGTTTGTTTCATCATTAAGTCAATTTTGCCGGATTACATCCAATCGCAGAGTCGAAAGTCCTGCATTAAGCTTATCGTATTTACACGTACCCTCTGCCTTATCACGCTGCACAGAGCACCTAGTACAGATCCATGGATGCCAAGTGCTGCGAGTACACGCGGCTGCCCCAATTTTGCGCCAGGGCTCAAATCAATCAATTGATCCCACTCCAAGCCCCCCAAGCCCGCCGAAAGCTCCCCCTAAAAGACCCCCATCCCCCCCTAGCGCCGGTATCGTCAGTGCGGCACAGCTCCGTAGCCGTCTCATCAGTTGATGTTTTCAGGGCCCGTTAGCGCTGTAATCGCCGCAATTAGGCACTTGGCTGGTCGCTCTGCTGCGCTGGAAATTTCCCGCCATTGGCATCAATCAATCAATCCTTGCTACGGTACAGAGCCTCAGGCCTGGACGAATCATTGACGCGGCCCACCACCAACCAGGGACCTCATCTCTCCTAGACGCCTGTGGACCTTTCGCAGATTTGCCAGACCATACAACTCTTGTGCGTGACAGCGCTGTCCAACATCGGCCTGGGGTCCCTCTGCTGCATTGGCCGTTTCTTTTCATTGTTTAAAAGCCCCTCGCCCGCCGCCTCGCTCGCCGATTCTCACCGACTCGTGTCTGGTCTGGGGCTGGGCTCCTTTGACGATTCGACGACGCTCGCCAGAATCGGCGCATCCTCCCTAATCGACACCTCTTCCCAACACCTTACCAAGCCGTCAGCATGTCCTCGTCAGGATTGACGCGACGCCGTGGAGCTGGCGGCGTCGCTGGCACCGAGGGCGAGAGCAGCAACGGCGTCTCGAGGACCAATTCGACCCGCGACGCTCGAGACAGCGGCCCCGAGACGAGCTACGAGAGCGGCGAAAACGGCCACAAGATTGCCTTTGACCCTCGAGACATTAGCGAGTCGGCCGAGCGGAGCAAGCAGCCCAAGCTGACCATGATGGAGGAGGTGCTGCTGCTTGGTCTCAAGGACAAACAGGTGCGTGTGCCTGCTTGCTTGCGTGGCGGCGCCCAATTGCTGACCGAAGCCTTGTGATTAGGGATATCTGTCGTTCTGGAACGACAACATTTCGTACGCGCTCCGAGGATGCATCGTGCTGGAGCTTGCCTTCCGCGGGCGCATCAGCATGGAAAAGGATCCAGCACGGCGACGGTTCCCCCTGGCAGACCGAAACATTGAAGTGATAGACGATACCCTTACCGGCGAGGTGCTGCTCGACGAGGCTCTCAAGATGATGAAGCAGAGCGAAAAGATGAGCGTCAGCTCCTGGATTGATTTGATGAGCGGTACTGCCACCCCTGCCTCTCTCCCCCACCCTAATCTGTGTAGCCCACGACATTGCCACGACCTTGTGTGTGTCGTGAATACATGTACCTGACCAATGCATTGGCTAATGCTCTGAAAACCAGGCGAGACTTGGAACCTGATGAAGATAGGATACCAGCTCAAGCAGGTCCGCGAACGATTAGCCAAGGGCCTGGTTGACAAGGGCATCCTACGGACGGAGAAGCGTAACTTCCTTCTCTTCGACATGGCCACCCACCCCGTTGCCGACGGCGGAGCCAAGGAGGAGATTCGCCGCCGCGTGCGCAACGTCCTGACCCAGCGCACCGTCGTCCTCAACGGCAGCCAGTTCCTGCCCGAGAACCTCGAGTTCCGCTACCTGCGCACCGTGTCCATGGTGTGTGCCGCATACGCCGCCAACGTCCTGGAGAATGCGCTGTCCACGCTGGGCCACGAGGCCAGGGAGCGGGCGTTTGCGCAGACGGACGAGCTGCTGGCGGATTACAGCCAGTACCCCTTTGGCAAGAAGGCTACGGGCAATGGCATCGGAGCCAACCTCCCGCAGGTCATAGCCGAGGTGAGATGCGCCGTTTATGGCAGATTATGCGCAAGAGGGATACAGTGCTAATATGGTGTTGCGATGTAGGAGGTGAACAAGGCCAAGGACAAGGAACTGCAGCTCGAAATCGTGGCGGCCTGTCTGAGCGTCTTTACCAGACTCGACTCGCTTCTATAAACCCTGACCCGTTCTAGACGAACCGACCGCTATACCACTTCCTAATTCGATTGTAATGATGACAGAAAACAAAAGGCCAAATCGATTCCCCCTTCTTTCTACGGATACATCTTCTTCAACCAAAAAAATCTCACCACAAGACCTCCTTTTCATCCAAACCCCCCTCTTCCATGCTCTCTCAAAAGATATCTAAAGAAAACAGTACCCAAAAAAATGTCGGAAAATCTTTGCCTTCTTTGTCACTTTATCTTGGGAAAAGGGGGAAGTGGGAAATAGGTGTGGAGGGTTTTACATCTCTTTTTATTTTCTTATTTTTTTCACTGCTGTCGGGAGGTTAACGGCTGAAATGAAATACGACCACACACAAAGAAAGGACGAAAGGGGGTTGCGAAAGGGTATATGAGAAGGGAAAGGGAACAAAAGGGAAGTCAATGGTTGGAGAGAGGAAAAATGAGAGAGTAAGAGAGATCAAGAAGCGAGTCCTTTGCCTTGCCTTGCCTAGATGGGAAGTCCTTTTTTTTTTTTTACTAATTTTATTCGCCTTCTTTTCTTGTTTTTACTTGTTTCTGAAATGTTCACGTTCCGAAAGGGGGGAGAAGAAGTTGGAAGAGGGGAAACTTGGAGAAATGAGATGTGTGTGCTGTATGTATGCTTTGCGTATGATTTTTTGTAATGCTGATTTTGGGGAGAAACGCAAGTTGTACGGCGTCAATTCCAACCTCCTTTTTCTGCCCACATCGTATTTCATATTTCATTTTTCTTTCACGGGGGAAAAAAAACCAATATGTAGCATTTTTTGTACACGATCAGAGAGACCTTTTTTTCTTCATTTGTTTTTGCAATGTAGTATTAAACCTCGTCAGCCATCGTGAGTGAAATACCTAGAACACTTTTGCCGCCCTTCAAAACGGCCATACATAACCACAAATGACCCGTAAAGCCTCCCTCTCCCTCCTATACGGTCAACATTTGAAATGATGCCATGCCCTGCGCCTCCGACGCTTAGTTCGCCCTATGTAGATGAAAAATGAAAAAAAAGTCCAAGCAAAAGAGAAGAAGAAAAAGCAAAGCAAATGGAAACAAGAACAACCAGAGAACTGCTATGTAGGCTCATGAGATGGACGGCCATGAAATAGGTACAAAGCTTTTTCTTTATCGAACAACACGACAGGCCCGAACAAAAAGGGGGCTACATGCGAACGTCGTCTCTTTACTTGCGCTTCCCGCCAACTCCAAAGCTTCCTTCGAAGCCGGGTCGTCCACCCTTCTTCTTCGTGGCGCCGCCCTTCTTCTTCTTGCCTGACCGGCGCAGCAGCTTGTCCTCGCGTCGCTGCTTGATGTTCTCTTCGCGCTTCTTTTGTTTCGCGTGCTGGGCCTGGGCGACGCCAGTAGCTCTCTCCTTCCATGCCTTTTCGCTCTTCTTCTTGGCAACTTCCTTGCGCTTGACGGCCTTTTTGAGCAGAGCCTCGTCGTCGTGGATCTTCTCGCCCTCGGCACGGCGGCGGGCGTTCAGCCAGGTCTCCTTCTCCTCAATGTCCTGGCGTTTCTCTTCACCGAGCTCTTCTATGCGCTTCTTCTCGTGCTGTACCTTGAGAAGCGCCGTCTTGGGATCTGAGGGGCCCTTCTTCTTGCCCCTGTTGAGGAAATAGCCAAGGTCGTGGGACATTTGCGAGCCATCTGCAAATGCCACACGGCCAAAGCTGAAGCCTCCTGAAGCGTCGTCGAGGCTAATGTTGGGGCTCATAACACCGGGCGAGTTGGACGCCAGTGCCTCTTCGCGTTTCCTCTTCTCCTCCTCCTTCGCTAGCGTTCTTAGCTCCTTCTTGTGCGCTTTGCGCTGTGCCTCCTTTGCTCTTCTCGCCTCGATGAGTTCTTGTCTCGTGCGGATGGGCTTGCCATTCGTTCCGTCGGCTTTTCTGGCTGCACGGAGAGCCTCAATCTTGGCAGCAAGACGGGCTCTCAGAGCGGTGGTATCTGCAGGAATCTTGATGTGTTTGGGCTTTTCTGATGAGGCAACTGAGGAGATGGATGTGGTTGTGCTGGCGAGCTCTCCTGATGCAGGCTGGCCATTAGTGGTTTCGGTTGAGTCAAAGGTTGGGGAGTGTGGTTCGGAATCGGGCGCTGATACAGCGCTGCCGTCATCTTCTCTCTGCAGGCCAGAGAAGTCTAGAGATGGGTCAAGACCGTCCACCTGGTCTTGCATGATTTCATCGGCTTTGTCATTGGGGTTGACATCAGCTTCTTGTGATTTTGAGGGAGTGGTGGCATCCTTTCCCGCCTTCTTGTTCTTCTGCTTCTTTGACGCAGGCGTGCTAGCAGTCTCGGCAGCAATCTTGGGTACTGGGGTTTTGGCTGGAGTCTTGGCCGGAGTTGCTGCTTCGCCTGACTCTTGCTTTGTCTTCTTCTCGGCCTTCTTCTCAGCCTTCTTTTCTCGCTTTGCAGCTAGCTTTGCTTCCTTTTTTGATAGCTTTGGCGTGTCCTTGGAATCTTGTGCTTCACCTTCACCTTCACCCTCACTCTCAGCATCCGCGTCACCGTTGGCATTAGGCTTCTTCTGAGGAGTCTCTGGGTTCTTCTTCTTCAGACCCTCGAGGGGCTTCTCAGCCTCGACGCCATTGACGGGCTCATAGTCTTCCTCCTCGGGCTCATTCTCATCTTGCTCCATCTGCCGCAGCTTCCGCTTGTTTTTGGCTCGCTCTTCCATTACTTCTTTGGCGTTGCGGTTCAGGGCGCTATCGGGATCCAGCTTGGCTCGCCGGGCGGCTGCTGCCTCCTGCTTCGTCTGCTTCTCCTTTTTCCATTGATCCTATATGTCCACCAGCGTCAGCCCCAGTGCCTTGATAGCCTTACGCATGTTATGGATGTGGATAAAATCCAGATATCCGCCCGATTGAGAGGGTTGGGTCGCCAAGGTCAAGGGTCAAATCGGTAAAACGTACGCTTGTGTCTTCGCCATAGTACATCTTGGCTGGAATCAGACTCAGCAGGCCATCGAACGCCTTGGCATGATCGCGCAGGCGATCCTAACCAGCGATGTCAGCTAATGGTTCCTACAGCTCGTTTCCCAGCCCCTTCCAAGCATTTTCACCTGGCGGGGCTGGACAAAGGACTTCCAAAACGAACCTGCAGTGATGAATCCGCCATCCTAGCTTCAGTATCGCGAAAAGGCAGTATATATACAGACAAAGAAGAATTCAACAAGGGTGGAAGTGCCTATAATCCGATATCTGCCGACGGCGCTGAAGAATCCGTTGCCAATGATGTAGAAACTGCAAGGTGATAGCTGGCGGTTTGGCGTGAGGTGATGCTTTTTTTTTTTCTGCCACTGCCTTGCTGGGGAATTTTCCTGAATTTTTTTTGGGGTGTCCAATTTTTTTTCCACCTTTCTGCCGTACCGCGAACTTTCGCTGTGGGGTAGCCTCTTAGTGCCTGGACCGATGCAAACGCGCCTACGCCAGAAAAATTGACAGCCAGGCCATTGGATGGCTAGAAAAGCTTTGATAATACTGAAAATATTATGAAGGCCGTTGTGCAATTGCAGAATCATGGAATTCATGGGGGTAAAAACAATAAAAAATGGCAATTCTTGGCTGCTTGACTCTACAAACTACGTTTAAGCCATCGTATAAGCTCCCAAGTACTACAAAGTAGACAAGCAAGGGTCACGAGAGCATCACTTGTCATGGTTATAGAGTGACTGTTGGAAATGGTTGATCCCAATTCAACAATTGTCTGTTTAGTAGCTCTAGGCATCCAGTGATGAACCCAATTACACAGTATCTCAAGTTTTTTGAACGATATATTGAATCTAGCTTCCAGTTTACTCCGCCGAAATCCAAACTGAAAGGGACTTCATTTCTTCTTGCTAGTTTTCTTGCTGGGGGCAGCAGCAAGCGCTCGCAGCTTGGCCTCTCTGGCTTCAATTTCAGCTCTCCGCTCCCTTTCTCGCTCCTCTTTCTCTTCTTGCTCGGCCTAAATGAGATGGAATGGTCAGCATCAAGATATCACACAAGGAAGATGAAAAAAATAAAATAAAAAGTACACCAGTGGGCCTTACCTGTCTCCTAGCAGCATCAGCCTCACGCTGTGCACGGATGACCTTGAGACGGGCAATATCCGCCTTGGCCTCGTCCGTCTTGCCCTCGGCATGCAGCTTCATATATCTCTCCTTTGCGGCAGCTGCCTCGGCAGCTTCCCTCTCGCGTCGACTGGCGGGCAGCTTCTTGACACCCTCGGTGATCGCTTCGACATCTGCGGGCGCTTTGGTCGCCTGCTTGCGGGCAGATGAGGAGTGGTTCGGGTTGGCGGGCAGTTCCGCGTCGCTCTCCTCGTCGTCTGAAGAAGGCAGATCGCCGACCTCGACTATGCGGTTCTTCTGCTTGGCTATGGCGGCCTCTTTTCGAGCCTTCTTTTGGGCTTTTCGGTCCTCGCGGTTAGCCTCGCCGCTGGCTGTAGCTGCGGCCTGGCCGGCCTCCTCCTCCTCCTCGGATTCTTCCTCAGATTCTTCTTCGGAATCTTCCTCGTCCTCGTTGCGCTGGGCGTCCTCGCCCCACATGCTCACCGCATTTCCGTCGGAGTCGAGAGGTTGGAGATTGCGCGAGAAGTGCTTGCCACCTATTTTCGTGGGGATCCGGGTTAGCATGTGAAAACGTCATGTATTGCGTTGTTGATCAACAATTCCCATGGACAATTGAATTTACCTCCTCTGGTGAACTTTCTGAACTTGCCACCACGGCCGCGCGAGCTTGCTCCAGGAGCACCGGGCATCTTGAAAACGAGGTGGAAATAGGAAGGGAGAGAGAGTGTGTGGGCGTGAGAGCGAGAGAGGTAGGCGTTGTTATTCCGCAGATAGCTTCGGCACAACCTCCGGCTTTGCGATACTATGCGACTGCACAAGTCTTAAATAGGAAAATGAAAAATCCCGATAGTATTAAATCCAGAAAATTCAATCCACAGATGAAAAAGTTACGGCCAAACTTTCTGAGTCGCCAGTTGAGTGGCAGCGAGGCGGGGTAGCGGGGTACTTGGAGGTACTTGGAGGATACAGCTCAGCCTTGCCCGCTGAATTGCTCGTGATATGCTGCGAGCCTTCAAAAGTTCTGCTGGTTTAATGCAGGATCCCCTACCTGAGTTGTCATAGCAGGCGCTGCTATATGACTCATTGCCCCTTTTCTCTAGTCATAAGCGTCATCACCGCAGTAAGCTGGTGCTTTGCTGTTCGACTTCCAGGGTCCATTCGTAGCGTGGCGTTGTAACGCCAAGGTACTGTGTCATTGCGGCATTGAAAATGGCTGATAGGCGATTGGCCAGCTGAATTGTTTCAAGCATCGCCCTGGAACTACACCCTTCATTATGCCGTACTCTTTATATGAGGTCAGCCAGAAATCAGTTACGCATGGTATTGTTTATTTGATAACAGGATCCCATGTGTACTAGATTCGTATCCATGATATACTACAAATAATATGCATAGATGGCGCTTGCAGACGCTTGCTTCAAAATTGGTGAGTCACAGCAACCATGATCAAAATGACTGCGATGGTTCAATGGCATGGTACCTGCCCTGACTCCAAGCCGCAGCCACGTTTTTCCGTCCCAAACTCCACCCACCCAGACCACTATATTATGCCAACCGACAATTTTTCTTTTTACTTTTTTTTCTTTTCTTTTTTCTTCAGTGAAACCTACTAGAAAAATTTCCTTCAAATTCACTCTGGCTTTCGACAACCTTTGGATGCGCCTGGAGGGGAAACTGGAGGATAGATGAACTTCCGCTGACTTACCCTCTGTCCTACTATACTCCCTCTTCGGAGGCTGCGTTTGGGAGAGATAAAATTTTTCGGCGGTACATATCGTACCCTAGTCGCGTCTTTTTTTTCTTCTTCCTTTTTGATTCAACGTAGTGGCCATGCGTGCAATTCTCTATATTATTAATCGGGAGGGCTCGTGTGAAGGTGCCATACTATATATCGTAAAACTATGAGAAATCTTCCATTATCTACCCACGTCGATTTCTCGGCGTTCTACCCAGCTAGCGACTGCAGAACATCGTGCAGCTGCTTCCTCTTCTGCGATGACCGAGTGGATAACGGTCGAAATCCATTCCCGAAAGCCTGCTTGGCTTTCGCCTCGTCCTGTTCCTCTTGGCCATTGGCCGCTTCTTTGGTGTACCGGCTCGCGTTCATCGGACGGGTGAAGATGTACCGTCCTGTCGAGAACAAGCCGCGGCTCACATATGACGGCTTGGAGGAGATGCCTCCTCGCCCACTGTGGCCCAGAAATACACAAGCCATGGGCCGCGAAGGCAATACAAACGGACCAGCTACAGCTTGTTGGTCTACTGGGTGTCCTTGGCTCGCCACGTCTATGTCGTTGCTGAGCTGGCCAAGGAACGAGTACAGCCAAAAGGCCCATGCCTCAAACGCAATGCCGTGGCAAGCCCCTGCCTCTCTCGACGCCGCATCTGGGTCCCACGAAGGCAGATACACCTTGCCCGTGTCTGTGAGATAGTCCAGCAGAGGAGGCGCCTCCCGATTGGGGACGAACTTGATTGCGCACTGGGAATCGCTGCAGAGCGTCACCAAATCAGCATCGACACTTCGGATCGAGTCTCGCGTCTTGTTCACGTGCTCATCCGGGACTAGGAGCATCAAGTTCCGTAGTAGAGAATTCTCTTGGCCTCCCGAGAGATCGGTTACCTCCCAGCCGGCTTCGGCAGCCTCTTTGTGTGGAGGATCCCAGCCTTTCTTTGCGCCCACGACATCGTACAACGCCAACGAAGGGAACCTGGCCACCCAGCGTAGAGAATTCTTTGAAGTCGATTTGTCGCCCCAGATCCTTAGAATTCTTAGTAGGGGGAAAGGATCCCCCGCTTCAGTCCAGCCGCGGATAAGGTTGTCCGTCACATCTGGAAAGTCGCCGCCCGTCTCATCCGCGGGTTGGATGAGCTCCAGCACCCCTAGATTCTTCATATCTGCTAAGCGAACCAACTCAGATGTCTGGAAGTGGCAGCCACCACTGAGCACGAGATGAGTGATGAAATCCGTCGTCAGCGATGCGAGGGGTCTGGTGTAGCTTTCAAGGTCCACGTCGGGATGACAAATATGCTGTCGAAACCGATAAAGCCCAAGGCTCTTCTCGTCGTCCTCGCGTAGTAATATCGCCGAGAAGAGTTTCCAAGCATGGAGGCTTACACCTCTAGAACCAGCTCGTCAGTAAAGTAACTCCTTTGACAGTTGTCCCCAAAGCCCAAGCAGAAACTCCAAATAATATATTGTAATGAAAACGACGAACCTTGCCTCCAAAAAGCGCCAGATGCGCCAGACCAGCTGAGTAGGCATAGACCCCAGCAACTCCTCGGATACATCGCCAATGTTATCGGCAATGACATTAATCGCCATGTCCATCAGAGACCGCGGACCTCGAGCGCCGCGGGTTTTAAACAGGGGATACGGCCGCCGCCGCGACCAGTCATGGCTCGCGCTGGCGTTGAGTCGACCGGACACTGTCCATTCTCGAAAGACTTGGCCGGTGGACGGGTCGTAATTGTTCATAGCCACCTAAGAGGGAAAAGACGGCTATGGCGCTGCGACATAAGTCGAGACTCATTCACAATCGATGAATGGAGTAGACGAGGGGAAACGGGATGAGATAAAAGATAAAATGTAAAACAAGCGACACCCTTGCAACCAGCAGCCCAAGCCTTGTGAGGCGTCTGTGGTGTTGCAGCTCAGTAATATGAGGTGGCGCTGCGAAAAGAGTGCCCGGTGAATATTCAGACTCAAGGTGGGATATGTCAGCAAGGCGTAAGTAAGTGGCGGGCAGTGCTGTCTGGTGTCTAATGATCCTCCTCAATCACAAATCAAAGAGCTGCAAGTTAAATCCAGCGCTGATGGTGCATATATTTGATGTTGTAATTTTTTGTTAAATGTAATATTTTTTTTGGTACGCCTCGATGATTCATTCATACAACTCCAGATAAAGAACGCTATTCTATCTCGCCCCCAAACGCCTGTGATGGTGCTGAGGCACAGGTAGTTCTGTTTCTACGCAGCATCCCAGAGAGCATCCACCCGCCCATTTTTGGTATATACCTTGGTGTTACATCAAATATCCCGATATTACATGTCTGTCCGTTTATTCATCCCAACATAGTACTGTAACCCACCTATAGCATCGGCTTCAGGTCATCGGCGACTCTGAACGGAGCCTCCGTCTTGCTCTTGATCTCGTCTATTGTCACCCCGTCCGCGATCTCGATGAGAGTTAGGCCGTGGGCAAAATCGACGTCGAAAACACCCTGTTGAGAGAAACATGTTAGCAGATGGTTGCAACTTATATGCAATGGTTGACGACTTACCAGCTCGGTGATGATTCGAGAAACGCACGCGCGGCCAGTCAGTGGGAATGCGCACTGCTTGACAATCTTGGGGTTGCCCTTCTTGTCGGTGTGCTCCATGGTGACCACAACCTTGGTGGCACTAGGATTGCTCACGAGATCCATGGCACCGCCGAAGCCCTTGACCTTGCCTGGCAGCATCCAGTTTGCCAGGTCACCAGTTCCGCTGACTTGCATGGCACCGAGGATGGTCAGGTTGATTCTGCCGCTGCGAATCATGCCAAAACTCTCTTCACTGCCAAAGACTGCGGCTCCAGGCTTGAGAGTGACCGTCTCCTTCCCAGCGTTGATCAAATCGGCGTCTTCCAGGCCCTTCTTGGGGTAGGGGCCAAGACCAAGGATACCGTTCTCGGACTGCAGCTGAACCTCGACCTCAGGACCGACAAAGCCGGGAGCAAGCATGGGCATACCGATGCCCAGGTTAGCATACATGCCGTTCTTGAATTCCTTGGCAGCTCGTTTCACGATTCGCTCCCGCTTGGCCGCAGTTTCGCCTGTTCCTAGGACGGCCTTGGAGTCGGCATCGGCATCGTCCTTGGCCCAGGTGTATTTCTCAATGTTCTTTTGGGCAGTGCTCTGGATAACACGCTTGACGTAGATACCAGGCAGGTGAATGGCCTCGGGAGGGATCTCGCCAGGCTCGACAATATGTTCAGCTTCGACAATGGTGATCTTGGCGTTGCGACCCATGGCACCATTGAAGTTGTTAGCAGCGAGACGGAACTGGCAGTTTCCGAGCTTATCGGCCTTGTAAGCCTTGACAAAGGCATAGTCTCCAGCAATGCTCTCTTCAAGCAGGTATGGCTTGCCGTTGAAGACCTTGACGTCCTTGGGGTAAGAGTACACATCCGGTGAGCCGTCGGGCTTGTTCTTGAGTGGAAGGTCGCCGGTCTGGACGACAGTACCAAAGGCTGCGGGAGTGTAGAAAGCAGGAATGCCCTTGCCACCGGCTGCGCATCGCTCGGCCAGTGTGCCCTGGGGAGTCAATTCCAGCTCAACTTCTCCAGTTAGGTACATTGTTTCGAATGTCTTGTTTTCGCCAATGTAGCTAGCAATCATCTTCTTCACCTGCTTTGTCTTGAGAAGCTTGCCCAGGCCGGAGCTATCGGTGCCGGCATTGTTTGACACAGCCGTCAGACCAGTAACATCGGGTCTCTTGAGGACCTCGTCAATTAGAGTATCGGGAACACCGCAGAGACCAAATCCACCACACAGGAGAGTTGAGTTGGCCTTGAGGTCCTTGATCGCCTCGGCGGCAGAGGGCAGCACCTTGTTGATCTCAGCTCGGCGGGCGGTGGCAGAAAATGATCTAGACAAGACGGTAGTGGGCTGGGACATGGAGATGTTAGTCGACCATTGACCTTCAATTTGCATGACATTTTCATCATTGATTGGGTTTCCTAGACTTACGTTTGTCGCATGGCGCGCAAAGGCCCCGAGGGTCCGCAGGCGCAGAGCTGTGGATGGCATTGTTGGAGGAGGGGCAGACGTAGAGAGAGATGGTTTCCTGCGGGGTATCAAGAGCTGCAATAATCGACGAATTGCTCTGCCACGCGAAAATGAGGCAAAGATATGTGAAATATCAGATGCGCAAAAAGAATTTAGAAGAAAAGAAAAAAGAGTTTTGGAGCACTGTCAGATGCCAGTGACGGCATCACGCGCGTTATGTATGGCTGTCGAGTGTTTGATGTTTTTGCCGGTGCAATAGCCGTCAATGACCGAACCCACTACCGCAGACCCGGTCTCCGCATGGCCACCAGAACAATTCGGGTAGTGCAAGTGAGGAGAAGCTGGATTCAGGCCAGAATAGCGGGATAGTTCCGTTGCAAGGATCGGATAGGGGCGGCGGGCGGATGTGGGGGAACGCCATCAGAATGGAGTATTTGATGGCAGTAACATGGCAGCACGGAAGGTGATTCCGTAAACTACGGAATGCTCTCTCTTTTTCTTTCTTTTATCATATGCTGACAAACGTTTGACAGCTTAGCTATATATTGGTCATGTTCTGAAATACTGCCGTCCATGTGTAGATGCTCATAGTGGAGGCGTTGACAAGACAAATCTTGCAAGCAGTATCATTGATCAAAAGCCCCGGCACCGAACCTGCTAGCGGTACGAGCGGCTGTATGTTCCCACGGCCGTGTATTTTTCGTAAGAGCCCGTTGGAGTTCGCTCCGTTGACGGCGTCAGAAGCCAGGGGAGGCGATGCGTACCCCCAAGAGAGAACTTGTCCGCACCGTCCCTCCCACTAACTGTTCGACCCGGCTTCCGAAGCCGAAGTCAGGCACAGGCGATTTGTTAGGGCTGGCGGCACATGCGGAGTGGGAAATGTCTTATCCCGGAAAGTCTTTCCGTGGGACTATCCGCGAGAAAAGATTCATCCGGCGGCGCTGGCGGGGAGTTTGCAATTTGCAATCATTACGGGGCACTTACAAGACACTTGTAAATGGAATCATGTAATTGAAGACGTCCGATGATGGTGATGATACATGATACAAGATACAAGGCACTTTGGCCCTGCTTGAGTCACGTGTTGGGGTCAATCGCTGCACCTGCCCTTAGAAGGAATCAAATGTTTGCCATTTATTTCATTCTGCAATATTCGGTCATATTCCAAACTTGCTTAATGGCCACAGAATCTTCAATCTTATATTCTCGATTTTATAACCATTTCATCACATGTGCATCTTCTCGTGGTTTGCAGGCTTATGCGGGCTTCGGCAACGGGGGCCCCGATTCCGAAAGAAATCCCCTAACTCCCCTCTACCCTCGGCCAATTTTGGGGAATTTGCCATAACTTGCCATAACTTGCCGGCGGCGCTATATTCGTTTTAACCTGCTGACTACTCTCCGTACTGCATGGCTAAATTCACGTCTAAAGACATCAAACTCGAATACTGATTGTATTGTGTTCGGTAATCTCATCTCGGTTACTCAAAGACGGCTTCTTGGGTACGGAGAACCCGTGATCAATCAACACTACTCCACGCCACTAACCTGCGTCTTTGTTACATCATTTGAAGAGCATGACCTTGGTGCACTTGAGATTTTGTGTCACTACTAACATGAAATCAGATTACATGTTTGAAACCACCGAGAGTGACTATGAAGCGTCATCGGGCGTATTGTTACATCTACCCACAAAAGCATATACCCGGGTTGCATACAGCTCATCCAAAACTTTCATACAAAATGATGTTCTTATTCGAACGCCCAACGAATTTCAAAGCCTCAACATTACTGTCAATTTTTCCCCAGTCAAGAACACTCCCCGAATCCAAATCCAAATTCAACGGCTGGACCTATCCTATGGGTTGTGGCACACAACTTCAATGTTGTTGCCTGCTGCATCCAGCACAAAGGCAGCATAGTAGTTGGCGTGATAATGCGCTCGCACGCCAGGTGCTCCATTATCTTGCCCCCCAGCCGAAACCGCTGCGGCGTGGAACGCGTCTACCGCAGCTCGGTCTATTGAAGTTGTGTCAATAACATACTCGTACGAACATCTATTAATCTAGCATAGACTCTTACCTGAAGCGCGGAACGCAATGTGCGCCTTGGTGGTTTCCTCCTTGGCTCCCTTTGCCCAAAAGTCAGCAACTTTATAGCCCTCTCGGGCGTCGAGCTTTGAACCAAATCCAACGGTGTACTCTCCAAACTGATAGGCGATTTCGTATCCAAGTGGTTCGAGGGCCTTGACGTAAAGCGCCACGCACTCCTTGAACTTGTCCTCGGGGACTGAAATGGAGGTGTGGTCAATGGCCATTGTGACTTGTTATTTATGGCTACGTTGATGGTTTGTAAAGAAGAGACGTGTCGTTTGATTCTGTTTTGATTGTTTACGTCTGCCATGGACAATCTCTCAGTATATATAACTTCACTTTGTCTGCGGGCCTCGGCCAACAGCGAAGCCCAGCCCTCAATACGACCTTCTGCCCAGTACGCTAGGAGGATGGAGAACGCCGCTGGTCAAACTTCTGGTCTGATTACTGAACCATTTACTGGATTCACAAGGATTCAGTGTCAACTGCACACGCAGACTGCGCCATGCTGGAGACGGCGTGCGCTTTGTTGAAGTGGACAATAAAAGTCACACAGAGTAAGCCGCTCAAGTTAGCTTCTGCTGTGTCTAGGATTTTGTCGCGCTTCCTTGCATTCACATACCAACACAGGTGCCGGGGCGGAGGATAGCGGACTTCCGCGCCGCTTGTTTCTTTAGCTTCATCGTTAAGGTTATTGACAATTGAGCGCGGAGTCATTCACCGTACAACTTGAATGTGGCTCATTGTAATTGGATAGTCGATTTAGCTTGCTGCAGTGCTATTTCCCAAAAGATACAAAGACACCCCCTGACGTTGATCACTCTCACTATACCACGTTCCCTAACGGTCATTTTTATGCGTTTACGATGATCTGATTCGTGGTCTTGCTTTCCTTTTCATCTCCGAAGATGTTGATATTCCCTGTTTTTAGCAGGTCAGTCAGTGCTTTGCATAAAGCTGAGGATTGAATCCTGCACGTCTTGTCTGGGGTAGGACTCATGCTCCACTTACACTCGCATCCGGGAAGGTTGAATCGTTGGGGGGTGTCACCAAACTTGTCGAGGTCTCGGATGGCTTGGTCATCAAGTCCGACTTCCTGGAAGTTTTCCAAGATACGCTCCGGCGTGACCGATTTTGGGATGACGGTGTGGCCGTCAAGCTGAGACCAGGCGAGAATGACTTGTGCGGGAGTGACTGTCTTGCCCTGGACCTTGGAGAGACGCTCTGCGATCGCCTTAACTTCCGGGACGTTGACGAGCAACGGCAAGCCGAAGAAATTGTTTCCAAATGCGGAATACGCTGTGATAACGATGCCCTTCTCCTTGCAGTAGTTGATCAGAGGAGGGTTGGGAATACGAGGGTGTCGCTCAATTTGGTTGACAGCAGGAACAATGCCCGAGTCGTTGATGATTGCCTCCAACTAGTTACAGAAATGACTGTGTGAGCGATTGAAGCAATATCTTGATATGGTGGATCAACTTACGTGCTCAATTGCAAAATTCGAGACACCAATTGAGCGAACCTTGCTCTTAGGTAACTGAGTCATGGCTATAGCAAACAGGTGTCAGTCAGACATCTCGCTCTACTAGAGACTTATTTGAGCTCAAGACAGGATTTCCGCACTTACCCTTCCATGTCTGGCAAATTGAGACTTCATTGTCGAGGAGGATTACGCCGCTTGCAGATTTGGGAATGAGTTCATTGCCCGGGGCAAAAGCAACTGGCCAGTGTACGAGGTAAAGCTATCATTGTTCAGAGTTAGTCGCGGTCCTACTCTATCAATTGCTCCAATTAACTGCATATTAGGCACTTACATCAAGGTAATCAAGTCCCAGCTCTTGAAGAGTGTCATCAAGCGCGGGCTCGACATCTTGCGGCCGATGGCTGTTGTTCCACAGCTTGCTAGTAATGAAGATATCTTCACGCTTTAAGCCAGGGATTTCCGCAAGGGCCTTCTTAATTCCCTTTCCAACTTCGACTTGGTTCTCGTAGACCTTGGCGAGATCAAGATGCCTATAGCCAATCTTAAGGGCCTCATAAACACCTTGGCCAACGACACCAGGGGCGGATTGCCAAGTGCCGTAACCCAAAGTTGGGAACTTGTGGCCGGTGTTAAGGAGAACGGTGCGTCCGAAAGACATTTTGATGTTTGCGCTGTCAAGTAAAGGTGTGAATAAGTCGAGTGAATCGTGATGAATGATGGGATTTATTGAAGAGATCAGAGGGGATCTTGTGGTTTTTATCTACCCCGTTCTAAGTTCTATGCTCTCTTTTGTGTTCTCCATTTTAAGGATTTTTCAGCAACTATACCGAGATCATTAGGAGCTACCTATCAGGATCATGGCAACTAGCGCGAGGAGATTGAAGTCATTGGCTTCTCAATGATATCAGCTCCCAGTTTGGAAACCCCTTAAGCCGCAAACATGGTAACTTCATCCGTCGCCATATTTCGAGGCGCTATAGATCCAATGGAGCTTCCACGTCTAAACTCCCGCCGCCTTTTCTAAAGACAAATTTATTATATCAGAATCCATCAACTGATGTCACTAAGTCAGCCTTTTACGGAATTTCAAAATACTAAGGCATCTCCATGGTGGAGACATGTTGCTCAGGTTGTTTCTAGAATGAAGCTAAGAAATTACGGTTCACATGCCAGCTTTGCCAGGTGAGGAGAAGCAATAGGCAACCAAGGCGAGCTTCGACGCTTCGTAAAGCACGCTATGCAACTTCCTCCGTCTCCACTTACTTTAATGGTAGGTATGCCGAGTGCTCTTATATCCGCGTGTTAAAAAGTGGACAGCAGTTGGCAAGAAAGAGACTATTACAGGACGGCGGCCAGGAGTCATCACCGGTTAATGTTTGTACCGAAGCATAGATCGGACACAGGGGGCTGCAATCGTTCCAAGATCTCAGCGTTTACCTGCAGCAGAAAATAGAGTCCCCATTAGACTATCCGGCATTAGTTGCTTCTTTGTGAGAAATGCCGCTCCCAGCAAGTTCACACCTTAGGCGTCCTGCGTGTATAAGTCGCGCTGGATATGTAAGCCTACTTAACTATTCACAAGCCACCGACGCCTGGCTCCATGCTAGTTGTAGGGACCATCACCTTAATCTCATTTTGTTTCCTTCGTCGTTTATTGCTTTTAAGCGACGGATATTTTCCTTCTATGCTCAATCATGCTAAGCTTTGAATGGCCCCAAAGTGCATCTTCTTCAGTGAGTCTGCTTGGAAGAACTAAGTAAGATACCGTACTTGTACTCTGAATTGTCAATACCTGCCATAGAGAAGCATGGGCGTCGCAAACAAAAAAATTATGATTTAAGCCCCTAGCAAGAATTTTATTGCAAATGATACCGCTCAGACAGTGTAGATTACCTTCTGCTTCATAGACTTCATAATTATCATCCTGTAGAAGTAAAAAGTTATTGAATTTTAAACGCTACTTCATTACGCATGAAGCACCTGCGCTTCGCTCAGCCACGCTAGAACCATTGTGGATTGGAGTTCTTATCAGCGAGCTTATCGCCCCGCGACTCTCAGTCTCAAGCAAAAAAAAAAAATTCCCATTGCGACATGCGCTCAACACCAAGCACACCAAGCCGCGGTGCACGAGATGCCGAGTGACACCATGGAATCAAGCTCCAAGCGCCGCAAGATTGGCCATGAGGGCGGAATCCGCCACTCTGGCCTTATTGACTTTGAGTCGCGAAACACGGCCCGCGTCAACGCTGCTAGCACCTTTGTCTTGCAGACGGATGAGCTGCTGAAAGAGGCCAAGCCAAACTACGAAAAGGCACTCCATGGTGTTGATGGCCAATTGCACCGACTCAAAAGCATAATCGATTCAATTGAGCCTCACGATCCTAGGCCGGTGAGTTTTACACCAGCTCGAGAAGTAGAGAGCTATCAAGAAGTCCTAACACCATTCAGATTTCCGAGGCCACCATCAAGTTCGAAAAAGAGCATCGCATCGTTATTCCGTTTCCCGACCCAAAGCCAGCAAAGGATGCCCCATACAAGGTCTCTTATGCACCTCCGTCACAATGCAACGTCGTTGGAAGCTATGTTTCTCGGACAATGATCAAGACGCAGTCCGAGTTTGGAATCGATATGGTCGTCCAGATGCCCGCCTCGTTATTCCAAGAGAAGGACTACACAAACATGCGATACTTCTATCGCCGAGCCTACTACATTTCGTACATTGCCGCTCGTGTGCGCAAAGAGTTTGCCGAGGATATGGAACTGAGCTTTGAGAACCTGAACGAGAACCCTCTGCTGCCGATCGTCGTCCTCCGACCAAAAGCTTCGAGCGATGGAAGCGATGAGCGAGAGACCAAGAAGAAGGCCAAGAAGTCATCTTATAGCATCAAACTTATTCCTTGTGCTCCTGATGACTTATTTCCTTGGTCCAAAGTGACGCCAAAGTCGAACAATAACCGATTGGGCGAGGTGGATGAAAAGAAGGCCGCTCAAACCGCAACACCGTTTTACAACTCCACTCTGAATGCCGAACGAACTTTTATTCCTTACTTACGACTCCTCACCCATCTCAAAAAGGAATGCCCTGCTTTCCCGGATGCTTGTATCCTCGGAAGGACGTGGCTTCAGCAACGTGGCTTCGGCAGCGCCGTCTCTCAGGGAGGCTTCGGCCATTTCGAATGGGCGGCCATGATTGCTTTGCTCTTGCAGACAGGCGGAAGAAACGGGCAAGCGGCTCTATCGACCTCGCTGAGTAGCACCGAGCTTTTTAAGGCAGCACTTCATTTTTTATCCACAACGGATCTCAGCAAGAAGCCGTACACATTTGGCTCTTCCAGCGTTTCCGTGGATACTGTTCGAGAGGCCGGCCCTGTCATGTTTGACCCCGTCAGACAGCTCAACCTCTTGTTCAAGATGACTCCATGGTCGGCTAGCTTGCTGCAGACTTACGCAAGATCAACTACCGATCTCCTTGCCGATGTCATGGCCGACAAATTCGATCCAACCTTTATCATCAAGGCGGATGTTCCGTTTCAAACATTTGATGTCATTTTCGAGATCCAGAGCTCCGATGTAGCGAAATTTTCTGAAACTGCTGACCGCAGGGGCGCAGTGACCAACTTCTGTCTCGAAGCATACAAACACCTCAAGCGGGCGTATGGTGACCGAGCACAACTTGTACAATTCCAGTTGCCTCAGAGAGGACACTGGTCGCTGTCCAAGCCTCCAGCCAAAGAAGTCTTGCGTGTCCTTATTGGCGTCATCTTTGACCCTGCCCACATGCCAAGACAGATGGAGTTCGGTCCCCCTGCCGAAGAGCAAAAGGAAGCCGCAAAATTCCGACAGTTTTGGGGTGACAAGGCTGAATTGCGACGATTCAAGGACGGCAGCATTCTGGAGTGTGTTGAGTGGTCCAGTAAGCTTCCGCTGCAGATCTGCGAAGAGATGACCCATTACACTCTCCAGCGGCATTTGAAGATTTCAAAACACCAAGTGACAACCATCGGCGGTGCCTTTTCTTCCATCATTAGCCTTTCACATCTAGACAAGTCGGCCTTTGATTCAGCCAGACAGGCATTCCAAGACTTTGAAAGAGATATCCGCAACCTCGAAGAATTGCCATTGCACATCAGACAACTCTCCGCTACGTCCTCGTCCGCGCGCTATGCGTCCATTGAGCCGCCGTTGGTTGGTTACCATAAAGGATCCATCGAACTCATAGACGTGAACCTCTACTTCGAAGCATCAAGCAAGTGGCCCGAGAATCTCACAGCCATTCAAGAGGCAAAGGTCGAGTTCCTTCTCGACATTGACAGGAGATTGAGAAAGGCGAATGAAAAGATCAGCACCTACTTGGGCCGCGAGAACAGGGAACTCGGCATCGAGAATCTGGCCTTCCTCGACATCATTTATGAAAATGGGGCAGCATACCGGCTGAGGATACACTGCGATTTGGAAGAAAAGCTCCTCGAACGGCAAGTCAAGAACAAGACGCTCGAACCTCGTGTCCGCGAAGAAGCCGAGGAAGCTTTCGTGAAACTGAACTGGTTGTACAACACTCTCCCGCTGCACACTCAGACCATTGCAACATTCTGCACTCGCTTCCCGCCCCTCTCGTCAACCATCCGACTAGTCAAGCATTGGTTCAACTGCCACAAGCTGACCGGCCACATCCGCGAAGAGCTCATCGAGCTCTTCGTCCTTCATGCCTTCCTCCAGCCTTACCCCTGGAAGCAGCCGTCATCCGTAGTCACGGGCCTGCTACGAACACTCTTCTTCCTTTCAAAATGGGACTGGCGCGATGAAGCCTTGATAGTTGACACCGGGGAGGATCTCTCCGAAGACGATCGCTCGTCTCTCCACCACGAGCTCCAAACCTGGAGGAAACGAGACCCCAACATGAACGACAAGGTCATGTGTGTAGCCACCTCCCACGACCAATCCGGCCTCGCATATACCCGCAACGGACCTTCTAAGCTAGTCGCCTCACGCATGACACATCTCGCAAAGGCAGCCTGCAAGCTCGTCCGCGAAAAGGGCATCCGCCTCGACCCGTCTCTGCTATTCGAGACCGCCCTCCAGGACTACGACGTCCTATTCCACTTGTCCTCCAAGGCCATCAAATCCATCGTTCGTGAAACGGCCGTCGAGTCTGGCGGAAGAAAGCAGTCTCAGTTCAAGAACCTCGATGTCCTGACGGCATCCGTCCCGCTGCCCATCCGCGCTCACCCGACAGACGTCTTTATCGAGGAGCTTGAGCGTGTATATGAAGACACGCTGCTGTTTTTCAAGGGCAGCGCAGATGATGGCGTGGTGGCAGCCCTTTGGAACCCTAGACTGCAGAAGCAAAAGTTCAGAGCAGGCCTGCCGTACAACTTCCACTCCGTCAAGGGTGACGGCGACCAAGTCGAGCTGAATCGCAAGGCCGTTCTCCTAGAAATTGCGCGAGCGGGAGGAGAAATGATTAAGAAAATCGAGGTAGCAGATGAGGAAGAGTAAATCAAATTGGCCGACAAGCCATAATTTTTTGGACATGATTTGTATATAGCACCCTTCTACGTTAAAAGGTCCAATACAAAATGGACATGGCATTTTTGTCCAGCTTATAGCGGTTTCTCAACCAACCAGGAACCCTCTTTTCTTCATTAGAATACTACAAAAACACTTTGAAAAATAAATTTCCAGTTCGTCAACCTGGTTTCTTCCATACTCAAAAACGCCGTGCCATGGTATAAAGTGCATATGTACAGAATGTATCCCATCCCGCCTACAGTCCAGCCTCCCCCCGGCCAATCAGTTCATGTGTTACAAGATTATCTTCTTTCTCTCCCCTTTCCATATCTCATCTCTGAATTCGTCGCAGCATGTCTATCTTTTCGTTTCCAATCTATTGACGCTCGCCTTCTATCGTCCCTTCTTTTGCTCCACTTGTTGCATGGAAAAGGAGCAGAACTTGTCCTTGATTGCAACAACTTCGTACGTACCCTCCTGGCTAGCCTTGACGACCTTGCTGTGTTCGTACGAGACGTCGTGTCTAGTCTCGAGTACGATACTTCGCTGTCCCTTTTTGGCGTTGCTGCTGCGTGTGTAAGTGAATTCAAACGGAGGGGTGCCCCAGAATTCAAAGAGGATGTCCACCTCGTTTCCTTCATGGATATCCACTCGAGAGTGCTTACCACGGCTGATCTGCACGCTAGGTAGAGGGTGGATGGTTTTGGGAATATTGACAGCAGCACGGCATTCGCTTGCCTTGTCGGAGATGCTAGTGATGATAAACTCGCCAGGCTTCTCAGCAATACGCCGGAAGCTGGTAGTCTGTGACTTCGCATGCCATTGGCCGTTGAAGTCGTAAGCAATGTCAAATGGCGGAGTGCCAGAAAGGGTATAAGCAATACGCTCGCCAATGCAGTAATCGTTGCGAGACTCCAGTGGGTATATTGATGGGGCGTCGTACAGTTGGACTTGGATAGAGGGCCCGCCAATGTCGTACTTCCTCAAACAGCCTCGGGCATCGCGGACGGTGCGGATGAGCAGCTGCTGATTGCCAAGGCGGAGATGCTGTCGAGGAATAGACATGCCATAAGAATTGGTTTGAATGGAGGGAATTCTGTAGGTTTCCGGGGGAGATCCGACTTGATGCTTGATTTCCACCTCGACGTTGAAGGGAGGAACACCGGTAAGAGTGATAGGGATCACGTCTTCTTGCTCTTGCTCCTCCAGACAGTATTTGAACGTCTGGCCTGGCTTGGAGAAAGTTGCGGACGGCTTCGCGTTCACACGTTGCTGAACTGTCAGGGGGTTGAAATGCTTATCTGTGTTGTAGAGATTATCTGCCAATCCAGAGAACTTGTAAGTGTAATCGCCAGCCTTGGACGTGTCCATGGCAACAGCAGCCTTAGACAAGGCGGCGTCGAAACGTCTCGAGCTCAGCGAAGCAGCGCCCTGTACTGGCTTATGTCTGACCTCGTATTCAACGTGGTATGGAGCGGATCCTGTATGGCTAAAGTCAGCATGCCGCGCACTACTCGGGACCCGTCTACTTATGACGCCAAAAGGAGGCTTACCTTTCATCTTGACTTCAAATCCATCAACATCACCTTCACAAATCTCCTGCTTGATAAACACGCTGCCAGCGTCTTTGATGCTATTAGACGGGACGATGGTAATCTCTGGTCGAGGAAACCAATCGACTTCAAACTTGGAGGCTGAGGGTTCAACGGTTCCAGGGCATTGCTTGTCTACAATGTCAACAAGCTCGTAGGTGCCTCGGGACCTAACTAAAAGATAATCATTTGGTCCGTTAACGGTCTTGGTGATGATATCGGTCGGTCTAACCAAGTTTCGGTAGGAGACAGTCCAAGGAGCCTCTCCCTGAAGGCGGAGGGGCAGGCGAAGAGCCGTATCTTCAATGGCCAAGATGCTGTTCTTTTGCTCAATCAATCCGAAAGCACCTCTAGGTCGCTGGCGACGCACAGAGATTTTCAGTTGATCTTGCAAGAAAGTTCGGCATCCTCGCTGATCCTGGACACTACTCAGAGCAAGAATGTATTCTCCACCCTTTGTCAGAGTTGATGTCTGGATCTTAAAGTGACTATCTTCAATCTTCGTTGCACGTCCAGGCTTGCGCTTGCCGTCGTGGATGATTTCCCATTCCAAACTGAATGGTGGGTCTCCAGCAAGCACAACGTCAACGTCCACTTCAGATTCGAGACATGCGTTGATTGTCTTCTCGGGGTTGGAAATGTACGCCGACGCAGCCGGCTTGACTACTTGCTCCAGAACCTTGTCTTCACCTGTCAGGGGTAATCCGGTGTAGACATCGTCGTCGATAGACTTAAAGATGTACTTATAACGTCCGGCCTTTCGAGGAACGAGCTCAATCTGAGATCTCAAGGCATCCACACGGTGGGCCTGCTTTTCAACACGTCCATCGGAGATAATGTCGTATCGTACGGTGAATGGAGGTGTGCCGACAAGATCCAAGTCAACGCGGAGACCAACAGAGTTGCCAGCGCATTTGTCGGGTATCTCCTCAGTTCGCAGATTCAGGTGAGGTTCCAGGGGGTTCAATAGCAAACAAGAGGAAGGCTCGTCCACTTCACCAGCACAAGATCCGCTTGAAACAGATTTCAACGTGTAGAGGCCAGGCTCTGACACCAACGGCTTATCGAGAGAATTCTTGGCAAAGTGCTTTCCAATCGAAACCTGGTCACCGTGATCGCCGCTGTTTGTAATTGAATCGATAGGTGAAAACTCCCAGGTAACCTTGTGAGAAGTATCATCCACGGGACCAGGGAGGCCAAAGCTGATGGGTAGTTTGGTTGCACGACCCCTTGCCACCTTGATGGGATTTCTCAAATCGCAACCCTGCATGCGAATCTTGGGTCGCTCTTTGACAGAGAATTTCTGGGTAAGCGATTTCATCTTGAGTGCATCCAGCTCTTCATATGTATCCGTATATTTGACAACGTTACCAAGAGCATCATATACCTCCTCAACCGAATACTCCCAGTCTCCAGTGGTAGCCATAGACTCATTAAGTTGCACAGTGACCTGTTGAGGCTTGACCCAGGATACGTCGTCGCCGTTGTTAAGGTCCAAGCCGGAGGTGCTGACCAGTGGCGAGGTAAATCCCTCTGGCTGCAGACTCTGAAAGTGGAAAGCATGGCTTTTCCCGTTGATTGATCGCGAGTATTTAATCTTCAATGGTGGCGTGCCGACTACGTCGAGCGACAAGTTGGACAAATCATGAATACATCGGTTCGGAGAATCGGCTGTTCGGATCTTGGCTTGTGGGCAAGGCACCACATATGTATCCCTGACTGGTCTCTGAACCTCGAGCTTATACTCATCCAAAACCTTGCTTAGTCGATAGATGCCTGGCTTCTTGACTGGGTATGTCCAATGAAACGGGACATGATCAGGGTCCGCATTGTGTTCCCGAATGATCTTGGCCACCTTGTTTATTTCTCGGTTCGGAATCTTGATGATTTCTTCTTTGCCAGTATCCAGGTCAAGACGAAGAATTTCGATTTCGGCAGGGACAGTGGAGTTGAAGAAGATTGGAAGGGAGGCCGAGGTCTGGGTTTTGGCCGACAAGCAAAAGGGTGTATGGTCGGGGTTGAGAACGGCAGAACCTTCGGGAAGAATGTTGATAGTTTGCTTTCCCATGATCAACGAGTGGTTGTTTAGGATATTGGAGACTTTAACGTGGTGTTCGGAGACGGAAATCTCACGATCGTAGAGGACTTTGGCAACACCGAGGAGCCAACCTTGCCATGGAAGCTAGCTCTCAATTAGCAATCAAATGCCGCCTAGATAAATCGACGCGGGTAGACGTACCGGAATGTTAAACATGAGCATGTAGTTAGTCACTAAGTGAGATGCAAAGACAGCGGTAACCACGAGCTGGGAGAGTTCCAGCCATGGTATCCTCAGCTCCGGGAGCCCAAAGAGAAAAACAAAGTCAATGAGAATCCATTTCAAAAAGAGCCACCAAGAGGCATCTCCATCCTCCACCACTTGTAGCCAGTCGTAGAGTTTCCACGCCCACAGCAAGACGTAAACAGCAAAGGCGTACAATCGTTGTTGTGGCGCATCGAGGAGCGTCAAGGGAATGACGGGCTGGGTGCTGGAGATGCGGGGAGCTGCTTTCTCCTGGGCCAAAGGCAGCTTTGGGTTTCTGTTCAATCCGAGTTTTGAGCTAAAGGCATCTGCCGGCGGCTCGTTGTCGTCTTGCAGCCGTCGTCTGGTGGCGGCAGTTTGGGTTGCTGGGAACCCAGACCGCAGGCGATGAGTCGCGCTCATCGCATTCCGTGGTGTTGTGAGATTGTGCGCAGAGGCATCGGTAGCAGCAGCAGCGCACTCGTAGGGCCTTTGCACGGGGGAGCAAAAGCAGACGGAATGGCGTTTCGCTGATGGGCTTGTGTTGTCGCGTGTCTTTGGGCGAATTGAGTTGGAGATTTGGGGTGCCTGGTGGTTGGACCAAGTTTACCTAATTTTTCAGTGGATGCCCTTTTTTGGCGGTTGAAATGCCGACACGTCCAGACGCGACTTCTGTTGGCTCACTGAAACGGAGCACCTGGAGCTAATCAACAGCGATGCCGTCAGCGGGGTTAGCGGGTTTCTATGCCGAATCCTGTGCTCTGATTGGGTGAAAAGACACCAGGCTGTCAACGAGCTGTGAATTCTAGCCACTCAACGAGCTGGATTCAGTTCTCTGCCAGAGTGCTCCTGTCAAGATAATGGACAAGGCGGCTTGAATGTACTTGGTCTCTACCTACAACGAGGCTGAAATAAATCTACTCTCCATCTTTCTCCTCTGTAGCTCTCATTAGCAAATACACAGCAAAGAGACATATTATCAGCATCTCGTGATGATCGCTCAATAGCTTCTATTTTCAACGATAACAACGACGCGTATTTGCTTGTACTCTCTCGTCTAATCACAGGCAGAAGATCGGCATTGAGTACCCGTCATTATACGGAAAGTGACGGGGAAGGCGATGATGATTTGAGCGATACGACAACTGAAGAGACTCATTTCGTCATTCTCTCACGCCGAATTCCTCCAGGATATGCGAGTTTCCTCGGTGAATCCTTATCATGGCCACCAGTTTATCACACAGGTCCGTCATCAGCAAGTAAATGCCCTGAATCAGCACCAAGCCCTGAGGCATCCAATTCACCTCGTTGCCTCATTGCTTCTTCACATCAACCAAGTCCAACCCCAAAACATACACACCAATTAAAGAGAAAGGAATGTTTGAGCCCGTCTGTATTACATAGCAGGACAAGAACAGATGCCATCTCCAAGTGGCAAAGAAGCTACATTGATTTCCCAACTCAATCTATCGCACACTCATCTTTGCCTCAATCAGCTGAGCAACTTGTCCCAATTTGCGAACTTCCTTCCTCATATCATCTTATTCCTTCTTATTCTTTTTTCTAACACATACCCCTCTTTACTCTGCGTATACCAGAGAATTCGATTCCCGAAAAGCCACCCGACCTTAGTCCACTCATCCCTTCACCACAGAATCCTGGCTTGGGTAGCAAAGATGTCTAATAGTTTTAGGATCAGTTCGCCAAAAGACGCAGATGATGCACCTTCAGAAAGGCCTCTTCGCCGATCTTCCCGGCGGGCCGCATCCATCGCTGTCAAGGCTCCAGAAGCATCCATAGAAACCTCATCTACCAGTAGCTTGAACGAACGACGACGAAATCCTAAGCGCAAGGCGGCCGAGGCTGCAACAGAATCATTAAACTTACCCGATAATATGTTAGATGAAGCACTACGACCTCTCACAACAACGGATATTGAGGAGTGGGAGGGCTGGGTTGAGCTTGAATCTGAACCTGTGAGTTACAGCCGCTTACTTTGCTCCCAGTCGACGCGATGAAAGGGATGGGGTCCGCTCAACACGGCTATAATGTGATGAACACTCGCCGGATGAGACATCAAAGCAGAGTACTAACAGATAGCTCTTAGGCGTTCTTTAATACCATTCTGCAAGACCTAGGGGTTAAAGACGTCAAGGTGCAAGAACTCTTCAGCATTGACCAAAGCTGGCTAGATACACTCCTGTGAGTTCTAAGAATGCTATTAAGAAGGTTATAAAGCTAACATGCTTGCAGGAAACCGATATATGGCTTGATATTTCTGTTCCAGTATACCTCCGACGCAGACGAAAGCGAAGGGGAAGATGAGACAGGTTCACTGTGGTTCGCCAACCAGGTAAATGTCCACCAAACCCCGTGTTTTATCTATTTTTAGCGATTTCATGTCTAATTTACATAATTTCGAATCAACTTAGACGACAAATAATGCCTGTGCTACATTTGCTTTACTCAACATCGTCATGAACGCCCCAAACATTGAACTGGGCGACAAGCTTCGAGAATTCAAGGAGGAGACCAAGGATCTCAACACCGTTCTCCGAGGGCATGCAGTCAGTAACAACAAGTTTATGAGAAGCATCCATAATTCCTTTACCAGGCGCATGGACCATCTCAATGCCGACCTCTGCCTGGAACATGCTGTGTCACACGCAAAGTGTAAAAAGGCAAAGACAAAACCCAAAGCCGCAAAGAAAACCAGCAAGAAGACAAGAGTGGAAGAGTCATATGGATTTCACTTTATTGCCTATGTTCCAGTAGATGGGTACGTCTGGGAGCTGGATGGGCTCCGTAGCAAGCCCCATCGAATAGGTGAGTAAACCGATGAAGCAGCCAGATCCAAGGCTCTCTAAGAACTAATTAATATTCAATGTTTTAAAAGGTCCAATTGAATCTCATGAGAGCTGGACAAACATTGCAAGGCCCCAGATTGAGGGTCGAATATTACAATATGAGGAGAGCCAAATAGCCTTCAATCTCCTCGCTCTCTGCCAACGCCCTGTTGCGTTGCACTCTCGCTCCATCGCTCAAGTAGCCGCATCCATCCGCCTCCTGGAAGATCAAATGAAGGACAACCCTAAATTCGCAGATTTAATCAACGGCCAGCTGCCGGTCTTGGAAAATCCAGCCGAGTTGTCCGAGTTCAATCTCCTGCCCTCCGATATCGAGAACGCAACGTTTCCCAAGGAGATAAAAGCAGAAATCTTACGTGTTGCGAGTAATATTGACGAAGCTTATGATCTATATCAGCGGCTTGCAGTCGACTTGAAGGTTGCTATTGGAGAGCACAGAGCCGAGATGATTTCTCTCAGCGTGGATGAGCAACGGGTCAAGGATCGTAAAAAGGATTTCGGTCAGGCTTTGCACAGATGGGTGCAGAAACTCGCAGAGAAAGGCGTACTTGAAGAACTTATCGAGCATTCCTGAGATTATTGTACAATAGACGAAGGGGGAAGGGGGGGGGAGCAGAAATGGGCGAGGGGTAGTGAAGGATGACGGGGTCTCGAGTATTGCATCGACTCATACAGCGAGCCTACGTTGGGCACATTAAGAGATGCTTATAGTAATTCAGTGGTACAAATGAGAGAATGAAACTCAAGTGGATGGGTATCAGGTGATAAATATATATAATGTATCCAAAGGTATTCCTTCACTTCGATGAGGAAGTGGTATCAAGTATTCTCTATTATGAAGCAAGTGATCCCAGAATCCAAGGAAAATAAAGAGAAGCAGCGAAGCTCGCCAAACTTCTCGCCATACGCCTCCGATAACAAATCCGACTCCAGTCTACCATCACGTCATGCAACTCATGCTCAGGGGTATATAAATCTTGTAACAAAAAAGATAGGGGGAAGAAGAGCCTGCGCATGACAGATCCTAAACATCCCAGCATGAAAATTTCACCCTCAAGCCTAATCGAGTGGAAACTCCTCTCGAATATTGGAGATGAACCTGCAGGTGTCGGCGTCAAATCTCTTGAAGAATTTCCCGGCCAGGGGAAACATGCCCTCTTTAACGACAGTAGGGTCAGAGACAAGCTCGACATTACGCAGGGCCACAACATGTTGTTCGGGCTCCGTTTCAGTTCTGTGGAAGTGTAAGCGGAATAATTATAAGGCTAACAGGTTTTCGAAGGATAACCAGAGACTTACATGCACATAAAGCAGAGTGAGTAGTGAGAGCTAGTTGGACTGCGGTTGTGAATATACTGAAGTGAATCCTCCCGAGACTGTTCTTGCGCGTTTGCTAGTTGAGAGCCCCTTTCATGCCAGCTGGTAATAGCGCCAAGCCAGCCATATCGACGATGCCGGAACACTTGGCCAACCTTGAACGGAGGTCCCCTCGGATCATCGCAGAGGTCTCTTCGGTGTACAAGCGGGGCCATGCCATCAGCATCTCGTACAAACTGCCAAAACTGCCAGGGGTTGCCAAAACCAGCGTCGATATTGCGAGGGAATCCGTCTCTCGGGTTGATGACACTACTATACAACGGCCACAGGTATTTTTCGACCATCCATACATCCTCAGGCCAGGCCCCGGGGAATCGACGTAGAAATTTCGCCAGTCGCTCGAGCCACGAGGTGTTGTTCGGAGGGGTCAACAGTAATGTAGCCCACGAAGCAGCGTAAAGACAGGCATCAGCATTCATTCGACTGTCTCCGTGCATAAGCTGGCTAAGCTCAGGATGTGCGTGGTCTTGCATGTCTGATATCCTTGCAAGAGTAGCTCTGATATTCTGTGCTGTCCGCATAGCCATAGTTGATGCTGGGACGGGGGCGAGAAACAGGGCGGCGTGCTCCCGCAAACCTAACCGGGTCAACGTCATTTGGAGATATTGCAGTTGAATCTCGTAATCGCTCCCATACGGATCGAGAAACATGCACTCCGGCGGTGCTTCCAAGTCCTCCACAATCTCACCGTCCAAAGCATGTCCAGGTGGCGAGTACACAATAGCATGTACATGAGTTGGAAATGCGCAGCACCGAGCATCGATATCGAGTCGCGATGCCACGCAGCAGAAGATGGCGGTGGAAATGATTGGGATGGACTCGTGGTCTGGGTGACGCAAAGCTTGGCCGATTAAGCAGTTTCTCAAGTTGCGATAGTTCCTCTCTGGGTTCTGTACTCCAGTGAAATTCTGTGCGCGAAGCCAGCGGAGCAACTTCAGTGCCTTTCTGCGAGTTGACCAGTTTTTGAACTTTGGATGAGAAGATCGAAAGGAAGCCGTGATCTCGTCAAACATTCGTGTGATCTCAACAACTTAGCAACGGCTACATTAAGGAAGCATTGGATTAGGGGACATACATCATCAAGATCACCACGCTGATCATGCAGCACGAATAGGTCAAACGCGCCAAGAGCTCTTTCAAGTTGCTCTCCTGCTAGCCGTACGCTGGACGGCTGGGGGGACAGCATAAGTGACTGCCATTCTTGAATAGCAATATGCTTGTGGATCGTGTCCAAGAGCGCATTGCTATAGTATCTACACCGCAGTGTGAGTTTGCGAGATGGTTCGAAAAGGGATCACAGGATACAGAGGCTAGAGAAGCGTACCTTCTGGCCAATCCATCTTCAGCAGAAGGGGATGTTTGACATTGCTCCAAAAGAAAATCTTTGGCATCGTATCCGATCTGGCCTATGATTTCGAAGCCTCTCACGCGGTTGACCTTGGTCCGGATGATCTCATCCAACAAAGCGGATACTTGCTGGCTGCGAGCGCTTCTGAAGATGAAAAGCTCTTTCCAGTCCGTCTCTTGAGCCAGTGCCGCCGCCCTCTTGTGAAACCTGTGCCGTGGGTTCCAGTACTTGAAAGAGCTGCGGCAATGGTGCCTCCATAGAAGGGGTTCATTGGCAAGGCGATAGAAGCGATGGGACACTAACTGAACGTTGTAAAGGTTGTCGTAAGGCGAGAGATAGTAGAGAAGATGGCCGATGATCTCGTCGGGCATCTGGTCTAGCGATAAGACGCCATGGTTGTGATTCTGCTCCATAGCTGCAGTGATCCACAGTATATGTGAGATGATGAATGCAAGTTTTCAAGACCCCGGATGTTGTGTCTCAGCGACCTTCAAGACAAAATTGCTCCTCTCGCCGCCCTTTCTATCGTGGCGAGAAAACAGATGACAGCGGGCTCTCGGACGTCAACATCGATGCGAAAACGAGGAGCGTTGGTGCCCTCTGCTCTGTAGAATGAAAGATGCCAATGCAAATTGGGATGGCCAAACCCTGGCATTTATGCCCGGATTACTCGCATATCGGTCATTGCGACGGATCCTTGACCTTTTGCCATGCATTCCGCCTTTCCCCGCAAACGAGATTCTTGCATCTATCGGGGAATAAATGCAATAAACCGACTTTCACCGCGAGAGGTAGTTCGTGGCGGATAAACGCCGGCACTTGCATCGTCCCTCGAGAAAGTTTGGATTTGCATTTACTGTGAAATAGATAAGGCATTGAATGGCAAAAGCCAGAGCTCAGTTTCCATGGATACCAGTATCTACGTAAACACTATATGAAGCGGCAAAGTAAATAATTGAGTCATCGAATACTCTGTAGCCAAAGGCCCAAAATCTTGTACAAGCCTTATTCGGGATACCCCGCCATTTTTGCCCAACTTCACACTGCAGGGTACGTACAGTAGTGGTGGTGTAAGATGGGAAAAATCCCCCACATGTAAATGTCTGGTTGCACTTCCACATTTGGGGTGTAAGAGACTTTACTCTGTGGACGTCAACCTTCTGCACATATCTAAGGTGTGCAGGATATTCAAGATACTTGAGTAAAGGTGACAAAACACTTTATGATGCATTTCAATGAATTCCCTTTTTCTTCACCAATTGTTATTGTCAAATAAGTGAACAAATTCCTGTACCAGGGAAACATCCATGTTAGTCCGTACCTAGCAGTGTAGCTCTCCGATATACAAGGGAGAGACCCAAAATTGATAAGACGTTTTAGTTTATACCAAGAAACTTGCGTTTACATACAAATTGACTTGCCAAAAAGTAAATCATTGTAAAAACCCAATCTCAGCCAAGCTCAGAAGAATAATTGAGTTCATCATACTCCAAGGAAAAAGCCACCAGATTGACGCTGAACTTCTGCGGCGCTAGTCCTAACTCGGCATGAATGTAAACAAGGCTAACGCGATAAACAACCAGCACAGATTCATATTTAACCTCCTCGCTCCCACGCGAAACCCTGCCTTGAACATCCCACGCTCTTGTCTCACGGCTCAGTTTAATTCCTCCAATTTACTTGTGCAAACTGCACGCTATTCGCAATATTCGTTACCGCTACTCTACACCTTTCTTCGCTCTCCGAATTCAGTCACTATTCATCGAGCAGATCTACCTCTTGCGCTCTACTTGGCTTCCTCCCACAACAGGCGTCGTTATAAAGCTTGACCTCGAATCACGTCCACGACCAGCTCGCACAATCCATCGACTCCTCCATAACTAGCCGCCAAAATGGCCCATCATGCCTTTGGCGGCGTGCTCGACACACCACGAAGCAATGCTGGTGACGCGACATATCTTAACCGACTGCCCGATATCTCAGACATTTCTCCCGAGGCATCATTTATCGCTCCAGACAAGGATGACGACTTGCTTCACCGACTCCGCAATGGCAGACGCTCCAACTTCAGAACCCCCCGCCGGAAAGGACCGCTTGCGGATCGTCCAAATCTACCGTCGAACATTGGAGGCGGAGAATTTACACCAATGCTCAAGTCCGCTACATTGAACAGCACGAGGAAGAATGGAAAAGAGAACAATGCCGTAAGCACCACTCCAGCTGCACTGAGGACCATCGACGAGGACGAAATGACACCACTTCCGCGAATGGACTTTTCCGTCTATTCGAACCACAACGCATCATATCTCGATACACCACAAATTGCCAGCAGCATCTCTTCGACGCCGATAGGTCCTCCGCCGCGCAGGAATGGAGATATGGGTCCTCTGCAGGACGGCAAGCAACTATCTCTAAGAGAGCAAGAAAACGTCATTGACAAGATCGAGAAGGAGAACTTTGGTCTCAAGCTAAAGATTCAATTTTTAAATGATGCCCTCATGAAATCAGGCCCTGGCTATAATGAAGCAGCTCTCAAGGAAAACACGGAGCTCAAAGTGGAAAAAGTCACAATGCAACGCGAGCTTCAACGACTGAAGAAGCAGATCACCACTGTCGAGCGTGATCTCGAAAAGTCTCGCCATCGAGGGCTAGAATTGGAGGAAAGCGCAAAAAAGAAGCATGCCAACTCCATTGATTTCCAAACCGAGATGGACACATTACGACAGAATCTCCAAGATCGTGAGACCGATATTGAGGAACTACAGCGCCAGATTTCCGAGGGCCAAGATCAGGATGACAGAGTAGAGACTCTACAAGACGAGATTGAGGATCTAAAAGCAGAGATTCGTGAGAAGGAGGTCATAATTACAGATCAGGAAGAAAGACTGGACACGTTACAACAGACACTGCAGGACTTCGAATCCGAGATGGATAAACTTCAAAACCAAGTTTCTAATGGCGAAGACGGCGAAGAGCGAATCAAAGAGTTGCAGGATAATAATGAAGAGCTTCAAGCCGAGCTCCAAGCGCGCGAGACTAATATCAATGAACTGGAGGCCAAGATTGAGGACTTTGAAGCCGAGCTTCAAAATCGCGACGCCAATATCACTGAATTAGAGGGCACGATTGAGGAACTTGAAACCAAGCTCATTGAGAAGCAAACTTTACTGAGAAAGCGGCAAGAAGATGTAGACACACTACAACAGAACCTCCAAGCTGTCGAGTCTGAGCGAGATGAGCTACAACTTCGGGTTTCCCAGGGACGAGGCCATGAAGGCCAAGTTCAAAGCCTACAGTTTGACAACAAACATCTCAAGACCGAGCTCCGTGAGAAGCAACGCATCATACAAGACCAAGAGAACAAGCTTTACGATCTCGAAGAGACGAAGAGAAAGCTGAATTCTGCCTTGTCCCAAAAGGAAAAGGCAGAGATGGTTTTGGACGAGTTCGAGGAAGAGAGAGCGAATGTGTCCTTCATTCCCAAAGGGCTATCTCGGCAGCGTGAGCAGAGAATTGCTCAACTTCAGGCAGAGTTTGCAGCATTAGAGAAGAAGGCGGCAAAGCTAGCCATGGATAACAACAATCTCCAAGCGACCGTACAAGAGTATGCTGCAATCGAGCAGGAGGCCGCAACACTGCTTACGGAAATCGAAAAGCTCCAAGCAGCCAACGACAATCTCCAAGCGGTCAACAAAGATCTCAAAGCGACCAACAACAATCTCCAAACTACCAATGACAATCTCCAAACCACCAACGACAACCTCCGAGCTAACAATAGCAATCTCCAAGCAACCGTACAAGAGTTACGACAGAAGCACAGCCCCTTTGAACAGAATGGCTTCGGGCAGAATGGCTTTGGACAAAATGCTTTTGGGCAGAAGATTGGTTTTGGGCAGAATGGTTTTGGACGCAGCGGCTTTGGGCAGAGCAACTTTGGGCGCAGCAGTTTCGGGCTCTTTGGGCAAGGCCAACAAGATTTTGAACGCCAGAAATTGGAGGCTGAAGTCTACAGTCTGGAAAAGATGCTTTCAGAGGAAAAGAAAAAGGGCCTCGACCTCCAAAAGTTGGAAACTGAAGTTCATAACCTGGAGAAGATGCTCGCAGAGGAGAAGAAGAAGAGCGGCGAAACCGAGGAAGAGATACGAGCCCAGTACGAGGACGAAATCCAGAGGCTAGACGACGAGATCTCGAATCATCAGGCGGAGATTTCGAATCTCAGGATGGAAATTTCCAACCTGGAGTCAGAGGTCGAGGATCTGAGGGCGGTGATTCGGGAAAAAGACAACCTGTACGATAACGACAGTACAGAGTGGGAGGCTGAAAAACGGATGTTGCAATCAAGGCGAGACCAAGCCGAGCAAAGGGCTGCCGGTCTTCAGCGAACAGTAGACCGTCTACGCCAAGCTGAGGGCTCTCTCTCCAGCAAGGAAACCAAGCTTCAGGAGGTGATGCAGAGCGAAGCTGATCGCCACCGAAGCGAGGAAGGCGTACTCAACCGTCAAATTGACAGTCTTCAGGAGGCCTTGGAGACGCGCCAGGGCCTTTTGACTCAGATCCGCAGTGAGCTATCTACTGTACGCGATGAGCTCCGCCAGACGAAGATCGACTATCAGGCGCAGGTCAACCGAGTGGAGGAACTCGAAATCCGCGGCGCTGCCGAGAACAAGGCATCGCAGACCATCAAACAGCTCCAGCAAAAGCTCATTGATATCGAAGATGAAAAGTCCGCCATGGAAGAGCTGCTCGAGAAGGCAGAAGAGGATGCCGAGGAAATGGCAGCCCAGCATGAGCTCGCTATGCAGCGCGTTGTACAAAAATTGGAAAAGGTCAAGCGTGAGCGTGATGCGGCCTCTGCATCTCGGACGGAATCCAACAAGCAGAGCCAGCAGTTGCGAGTGAACCAAGCTGAGCTTGAAAGCCTCGAGCACGACGTTTTGCAGCAGGAGAAGCTCATCGAAAACCTCGTCGCATCAGAGGCCGCCCTGCGATTGAAGCTCGAACGCACCCGCAGCGAGCGGGCGGCGTATCGCGTGAGCGCCGAGAAGCTGCAGAAAGACCTTCAGCTTCTGAAGAGGGAGGCCCAGGAGGTTCAGAGGCACCGTCACCATCGCGGCAGCGCCGACGAGGTGCTGAATACCATTGTGAGGGCGGCCGAGAACACAGAGGCACAACACAGACAAAAGTCGAGCGACATGATGCTCCAGATGGAGTTTATGCATGCTCGGTGGGAGCGTGAAGCGGCTCTTCGAAAGGACGTCTCATACGCAAAGAAGTTCGTTCAGCTGCAGCTCGATGTCGCAATGGCCTGGTATGTCATCATCCCCCCTTATTTTACAATTCTCGTAAGAACATCTGCTGACTTCTTTACAGTAACAAAGCTCAAGTCCGTGAGTTACAAAAGGCCCGCGCCTACGTCCTTCAAAGCCGCCATCCCGTCTCTATACCCGAACTTCCCGCACCCACCCAGTCTCCAACAACTCTCAAGGCCTTCCTCGTCATGGCCCGCTTCATCGCTCGCATGCGCATCGCCGCCCGTAAGTGGGCTCCTCAAGAAGATGTTCGCAAACAGCTCCGCCTAGATATCAGGGAGAAGCGTCGTGATAAGCGCATGAAGCTTCTCAGCGCCGTCCCTGTCGAGGCTCTCTACTAAAACATGTGTTGCTAAATACATGCCTGTGGCATATCTAATGCCTTACCTCCCAATATGTTTTGGGGAGGAAAAGATACCCATATATATCTTTCTATTCTCTTGTCTTTTTTTATTATAATCATGGTTATTTTTGGGAGGGAGTTGATCCTAGAGTTCATCTGATTCCTAGCGCTAACGACTTCTTTTTTTCATGAATTGCTTGCAAGAATACGGTTTTATGGATTGGTGATGAAGGTCAACTATGTACAGGATAGAATCATCTCTTTGTTTTTTTGGCATGCATCAGGATGGAATCGCCCGGTTGGATTGGGCTGACGGTAGCAATGGCGTTGGGGAGGGGAAAGACACGGTCTTCTCTACACAGTTTGAATATTTTATTGAAACAGCTCAATGTGGCTCATTTGCCTAAATATGGTTATCCTATCACGTTGATTACAGTGATCGTCATATATAATAATACTTGGGGACATTATGCGTAGCTGGGTGTTAAAAAGGAATATCTCCCAGAAGCCTGTCGAATAATTCAACACACATACATGGCAATATTGTATTTACGAGTAAAGTGACATGCTTGTAGGTAGTTCAGTTTAACGACTCTTTATGGATATTTTATGCTAGCTAATTGCCACGTTCTCGATATATCGTATGCTAGCCCGAAAAGAAATATTTTTTGTTTTCCAAATGTATTCCCATTAATAAAGACCGGCCGTAATCAGGAAGACTAAAACAAGGACAAATCGAAGAAGAATAAAAAAAAGTAATAATCAACAAAAGACCCAAGGGAGAAAAAGAAAAAGAGACCAGCTGGATTTTCCAAATCCCAAATCCGATGAACCACCTATCATGCTTTATTCAGAGCGTCGTATCATCTGTGGCTACATATAGATCATATACAAAAAGGGATGATAACCGCGTGAACAGAACCGCTCAACCATTTTGATTTATTTTTGTTAAGGAAAGCCAGGGAAAGAATCCTTCACATGACAAATAAGAGATTGGTATCTGCAAATATGTTAGGAAGAGTACTACCCAACCTGACATATCTGCAAGGGAAACTTACTAAGAGGGTGACTACAGGAGAGCTGCGGCTTTTGTGTGTATTTTGTAGCGAGCTCGTCTCGGATGCTGTTGAGCAGCTGGACGTAGCTCTGCTGGGGGTTCTTCCTGAGAGCCGTGACAAACGCCCAGGACATGGCACCAGTAGCTTGTGAAGCAATGGTGGCATCGGCACTAATACACCGTTAGTGATGAAATGACTATATAATATCGAGACAATTGACTTACGAGGTTTGGTCGTCTTTGCTTCCCGACCACATGATGACGTCGGCAGGAGAAGTCTTGGTTGCGAGGGCCCTGTTGTGGGCTTCTTCGCCAGTGGTGGCCTTCTTGAAGAATCCGATGATGTTGTTGGCAACACCGCCGAGATCTCCCTGGCTGTACGAGGAAATGACGCCGAGCAAGCCCTGGCCGGCTTCCTTGGCCAAGTTGGGCTCCTTGAGGATACCTTGTGTAGAGTAGATGTATGGCAGGTCGAGTGCTGTGCCGGAATGGCACGAATCGAATATGGCTGTCAGCCTTACACCTGCCTGCAGGGGGGTGACCATGATGCGGTGCATCTCGTCATCTGTGATGTGCCCATGTTGCCTGAAATCAACAGGGTAAATGACTTCGTCGTATCCATCAGGCTCATCGCCGTCAAGGTCCTTTGTTTGCCCACCGTGGCCTAGGGATGGTCAGTTTGCAAGTTCTGGGGGAAATGCTGAGGAACACAGCAGAGATAGAGACTTACCAGAGTAGTGGAAGAAGAGAGAGTCATTAGGTCTGGCATCCTTGACCAGCCAGTGCATTGCACGGAGGATGTTTTGCTTTGTGGGCTGGCTCATGGGGTTTTGTTGGTCGTCGGTCAGAATGACCATGTCCTCTCTCTTGTAGCCAAACTGCTCCACCAAGTAGGCCGTCATGTTTCTGACATCGTTGATGCAGCCTCGCAGCTGGCCACGCTGGCCAAAGTAATTGATACCAATCAGCAGCGCTTTTCTGCGGCCAGTGCAGTTGGAGTATCGGAAAGCATAGCCTGGTGCGCCGTGACCAAAGCTTTGCGGCCCATTCGGAGGGGCCGGAGGATTACCGCTAGGGCGTCCTTGATTATAGCCATTTGGGGCAGCAGGACCGGGGGCAGGCATGCCTATTTCATCATGTCAGCACACAGCTTTAGAATAAGGAGATTCTCGTTCACCGTACCAGGACGTCCGTTGTAGTTGGGCTGAGGTTGCTGGGCGTAGTTGTATTGCTGCTGGGGAGGGGCATGCTGCTGAGGATGAGGTTGCTACATTCATCATTGCGTGTAAGCAGTTGCAGAATCCTGAGCAATCTCGTGGTGCTTTTCGATGTATGTCTGGGTCAAGGGCATCGGCCATACCTGATATTGATACTGCTGTTGGGGAGGAGCGTGGTAGCCGTAGCCGGGCTGGGGAGACGGTTGATGCCCTTGGGGCGGATAGCCGCCGTTGTAAGTGGGCTGCTGAGGCCTGGAGAGAGGCAAATGGTGTAAGCATCAACATCCAGTGTAGCGATGAAGCGAGATGCGGCTATGTCTGATGAAGCATGGGAAGAGATTGGGGATTTCGGGAGCACAATCGCCGGGGTAGCGTTGGACATAGTTTAGAAAGGGGAATTGGGAGGATCTCATACGGATAGTAGCCACCCTGCTGCTGGTATTGCTGCTGCGGTGGTGCGGCATAGCCGCCGCCGTTGTAGGCTGGGTATCCAGACATTTTTTTAGGAGATGGAGAAGAAGCGAGGACGGATTCGATACGAAGCTTGGATGAAGCTTTTCTGCTCGGGCGGTTGGGCAAGGCAGCGCAAGCAAGCGCGCCGTTGGGAGCTAAGCTGGCGGGCGGTTGGAGCCGAGAGTTGGCTAGAGTTGCAATGACGAACGGGGATGTGCAAAAGAGAGTGCACCAGCAAGATCGGGTGCAGAAAGGTCCAAGCTGTCGCGTGCAAAAGAATTGCTCGGTTGTCGATCCAAAGTCCGAGGTGCACGCAACAATCGCGTTGATGGGAAGCAAGCCTGGCTCTGCTCCCAATGCGCTGGCAATCTTATCGAGGAGAGCACGTGTAGCTGGGCGGTCAGGTCCGAGGTCGATCAATCAGAATCAGAGCTAGCGGACGTCTGGATATGATTGATGAGATGGCGGGTGTGTGGAGGAAGACGCGGGGGACACAAGTCGAGCTGTGGGAGTGTCGAGTGGAATCGTACAAGTCCAGTCCAGTCCAGCTGCTACTCGAGCATGTGAAGTGAAAAGCGGGCGGCAGAGAAAGACGGAAGAAAAAATTGATAGTAATAAAGAGAGAGAGAGACTAGGACTGATGTCGACACCAGCTGAGAGAGAGAGGGATGAAGGGGATCCTCCAGCAGGGCGTGGGAGAGACTGCGACAAGAGGCGTGTATTTGGCAGGCTAGGCGCCGAGGGATGGATGAAGCTGACAATGGTGGCGAGAGCGCTCGTCTCGAGGGTTTTTGTCTCTTTTGCTTCGGGTCCGGGACACGATGAATCGCAAGAACCCGCTGGGCGGAGGTCGGGTGACGATGAGCTGGCGGTGGTGGGTTGCGGATAGCGAGTGGAGTTGGATGGATGGTGCTGTGGATTAAATGTTGCTGGTGGTGGCGGGGTTCTGCGGTAGCTACAGCGTGCAGTTTACAGGTACCTACAGGGCGCTAACGGCTGCAGCTCAACCGCTAGCAGCGCCCACTAACGAGTCCGTAATAAACGACCGGTGGCGGGCGATGCTGGATTGGGGTTTGAGATTGAGATGACCAGAAACGATGCCTCCTCCGATGGGCTGCCGGGGTTCCAGCCGGCCAGGGTTCGATGCCAGGAGGGTTGCAGCCAGTTGCTCGGGCTGTATCTCGGTCTACGGCTCCGACTGACGACAAGGCACGGGTGCGATTGGGCGCCTGATGGGAGCAGGAGATCAAATGGGATACACGGGCTATTAGTGTGCAAGTAAACTTCAACGTTGCTTATGACCTGACAAGGCGCAAGAGAGGTGAGGCTCTGGAAGAAGGGCTCGAGGAGGAGGGATCCATCAGATCAAAAGCTGATTACAGTACTCGGTCAGTATGTAGGTAATGACTAATGCTCCGGCTGGATATCATTCATCTCCGTTGCAGACGAGGCGAGACGACACGGGCCGTTCGATACTCGTATAGCAGCGAGGTTATCCTTCATCCCTACCCGGTGTTAGGCACCATAGAGCTTCGCTAAAACCCCAGCCCAGCAACAAGCGTGGACTGGGGCATCGGTGCTTTTGGCATAAAAGCTGAGGGTTGATTGGCAGCAGTCCGAGATGCCATCTTAGCACCGAATTACATGAACATGTACTCATACAAGACTTCCAACGTTGTCAAGCGCATCTTAGACAGTCTGAGACAATGACCGTTGAGGCGCGACGATCGCTCTCGCTTACATGGACAGTCAGCAACGAGATTGAGTGCAGTGCAGTGCAGTGCTCTCAACTGGATTGATGGAATTGAACCTCGGTCAAGGCCGGGGCACTGCAAATGCGCAAATGACGCAAAGTCGGAAAAAACACCAGACAAGTGCATGCCTGGTCTCATCAACATGGCAATGATATCAAAAATCGACAATGATGACATTGAAGATCCATCTCAATGGCAATACGTCAAAAGACCAGCATATGCACATCCTCTGCGCCTCAACGGTATGTACAAGCCCCATGTTCGCTACGATTTTTGGTTCTGCCGCAATGGCGCCACCAATCCAATACGGTACCCAAACCGGACCCTTTGGCTTGTTTCTCTACCAATGCAAAGGGACCAAATAGAAGAAAAAAGAAAAGGAAAAAAACGCTTGGACCCCTTTCTGTTACCGTAACCGTCAGCTTGGCATCGAACCCGCGGAAAAAGATGGGCGGTTCGGCCACATGGCGTCTTGCATGGCGGCATTGCCTCGCCGAACGGAGACCCCGATGCGGGTCATCATGGCAGTGCTGTGTGTTTGTTTGTTTTTTTCCCCGTATGTTGACTGTTTACAGCATTCGGCATCAGTTGTAGGGCACGGCGCATGCAGGCGGCTACTGTATTGCTGCAGATGCTCTGCTCTTGGTGCTGCACTAATGTGCGACAATGCATTTGATGTTGATATTTTCCATGACGACACATCAAGTACAGTACTAGGTAATATCGAGGCAATTGGATTGATGTTGCAGTGCCAACCAAACCGCCATACAACCAGCACACACAGACACGTCTGTTGCGACCCCAAGGCTGCACGTCACCACACACACAACCACCGCCAAGTCATCAATCTGGACTAATTAGCCTCATTTAATTGCAGCATCTACATCTACCCAATACTCGACGCCCATCAATCTCTCATGGCGCGCGGCAATTGCCCCGAAAACATTGATGCCCCCCATCCAACCATTGCTTTCTCTCGGACTTATCCGTCTGCCGCAAAGTGTGATGCCATCGCCAAGTAAGAACACCTGCAGCCAGTCAGTAAGTAAGGCTCATCCGATACTAGCCAGCAAAGCATAGCAAAAAAGCACACCGAAGCAAAAGGCGAAGTATGTACAGCACAGCACAGGCAGCATCCTCATCGGAACAGAAAACTTTGGAGCTAACCCAGAAGCATCTTGGCGAAAGATTTTTCATGCAGCAAGGGACTCCCAAGACGAAAGATTTCTCTTTCAGCTCCACCATTTAACAACAGAAAATACAGGGTTCTGAAAGCAGCTGAACCCGTCGTGCATGGCCCAATCACGTCCCCAGGACGCCTTTCCGTCCGGGGGGGCTCAAGCCACACAAAAGCGCGAAGGGGTGTGGGATTGTAATTGTAGTCTAGTTACGGAGATTCTCCTTCTTTCTTTTTCAACCCAAGGGAGAAAGTCAGTACTCTAGTCTGGCTTCGCCCGCCGATCGATGGACGGGGAAAGCTCTGACGTGCCTGTCCAGCTGGAAAAAATGGCCTGATAGTGATAACCTGAGTCCTGCGACTCAGGTGTCGGTTGGTCCGCAACCCCGTTTTCGAGGCAAGGCGTGTCTTGCTATTCGCTCGGCTCCGAGGGACGGGGTAAAGTAAACAAGGACGAAATTTGGTTGCCTGGGGGTCGAGGGGCGTGGGAAATCCACGGGAGGCAGATTCGTAGATCGTCTGTGCAGATTCCAATCTTTGGGAGAGCCCCGGTTGGCCAAAATAGCCCACGACGTCAACGCATCTCGGCAGATGTACGTTGCCCGGGCTGGAGATCTAGTCCAAGTGGTTCCAAGGGCCAAAGAGGCAGCCCAAGGGAAGAGAACCAACGACTTAGGTATCCTCTTTCAGCTCGGTGTGATGTGCAATTGTCTCTAGATATAAAACTAGATCGGCCCTAACCACAGTCTATCCCCACACTTGCTTTCTTTCCAAGCTGAAATGACGGTCCAGAACCCATGATCAAGCAAAGCTGCGAAGCAGCTTTGCGAAGGTTCAACCGGAGTGAAGAGCTGCTTCCAGCTTTGCTTCTATTAATTTGACAACTCCCCAAGCGCTAGGGAAGTCAAAATAAATCTCGACTTGCAATTGGCTGTTTTCGCCTTAAGTCACCGCCTTCGTATGTATCAGAGACTCTCAATTATAGTGTTTTTCTAAGGTCAAAGATAGTATCGCGATATTGCTTTTGTGGCGTCAGTACGTCTTCAAAAAGCTACGTACTGCTTTTTCTTATAATAATCGCAAATTGCCATATAACGCTTTGGCGGAATTCCATGCAATTCATACAAAGGAGACCAGCGTTTCTCGCGCTTTAAAATGATATAAATTTTACTATATAAGAAAGCCGGGCGCTGCAGGGGAGTGCTACGGGCAAGCCCTGATGTGATTGAATCTAGCGATAGGGGTGCCTAGCTACCAAGTGGTAAGGAAGAAACGATCGGATAACCTTAATCGAACGGGATAACCTTGATCGAACGGGATGACCTTGATCAAGGAAGACCTTGATCAAAAGTTCTTGATTAAGGAAGAGCCTAATCAAACTAGCTTACAGCAATCGAACTGGATGACCCCCTGATCGAACGCAGCTTTGCTTGCCCCTATGAACGCCTTAGCGGGCATCCGACTGGTACGCTAATAGCATAACGTCCATGAATTGCCACACGTGTCAAAGTGAAGATTGCATTCAGCACATCCCCATTTAATACACTGAGAGCTTGTGTAGCAGGAATAATCCCTGCAAGCCCGCGCGAAAATATCTCCCTCCCTCTCTCTTGTGCTGATATGAGGAGCTACCCCCCTATAGCAGATCTGCTGCGGGGCCTAAGAAGACGGATCTTTAGTATTAGTCTTCGGAGAAGCGATAGAAAGTATTATATGAGTTTTTTTTTTTTTTTTTTTTCCTTTTTGGAAACGCTCAAGCAGAGCACGTACAGGTACTACGTTGACATGAGCCTCGTTGATGTAAGTCTCATTGGTCTGAGTTCCGTTGACCTGCCCCTGGGTGACCTGGCCCTTAGCAGTCTCTACTGGGGCGGACTGCACCGTTGAAAACGCGGCGGTGATAGCAAGGATTTTAAAGAGGTTGGCTTGCATGTTGGGCGATACGATATTATTATCTTTGGCAGGATAACGAAGTATGGGCATTAAGGATTGCTGTAAAGGCTCTGTGTATCTTGTCGTTCTGCAGGTAGGAGAAGGCTGCTCTATTTATATTAATCAATTCGTAGTCCCGTTCGGACCTTGCTATCTGTTCTGGTTTTAATACCTTGCTGTCTTTCTTAGCCTTCCACTGTGTTGTTAGGACTTTTGTTATAAGACAAAGTGCGTTGAGGGATTAATTTTCGCTGAGTCGCCAGCAGCCAAAACCCTGTCAAAGTAACTGCATGTTGGTCAGAGTAGCTATATCTCGTGCAGAACAGCGCAATAATCCCTGTTAAAGTAACTGTATGTTGGTCAGAGTGGCCGTGTGTGACGAACCGGATCCTATATGCACTATAGGTTAGCTGTTCCCAAGGGACAAACCTCAAGGTTCTAAGGTTTATGTTGGCGGAGCGTTTAGGTCGGTAACGGGCAATCTTATCACCAGCTACTAATACGAATAGAGTAGATGTCTGAGTTCCAATCTGTTTGTATTGTAAACGCTGTGATAATAACTGGCTATCTAAGTATTCTAATGAGTGACATAAAGTGAAATTATATACCCAGTTGGTTCTGGGCTCGTGTGGCTCGTCAAGAGAGTTGAGCGAGCGTGTTCCTATTGGTTGAGTCGGCTAATAGTTAATCCAGTGTTGCTTACCCTGTAGGCCCATTGTCGCGACCATAGGGGTCGGGTCGTGACAGCTGCATAGCTCTCCTTGCTTATTGGTCGTCACATCCCACTTCTCACGCCTTATGCACCTTCATCCTACTGCATTGCCTTTTCCTAGATATATATATTAAGAGAGGACATACTATACCCCGCATTTAAAAAGCATGATTTTTCCTTGAAATCTTTACGAGTCCGCGCCGTCATTACTTACATCAACTCGCTGGCAATATGGCGGATAAACTGCTAGTAAATACTCCTCAAACTCTCTTATTTATTAGTATACTAATTATTTAATTATCTAAATCTAGGACCCGATCATACCCCAAGCCGTCGTAGATCAACAACCTATAGGCAATAATATGTCTTTACGCGACATCCAAAAATTAATGAAGAAGGATCCAAACGGACATCACATAAGTTCATTAGGCTATGATGGTGTGCTTCGCACTTTTGACAACGAACGGAATATTCTTGATGCAGTTGGCCTTAACCCAACCCAGATCAGAGAATATTACGATGGTCTACCGATACCCGAGAGATTACTCACTGCCGACGGCCGCAACATATCCCGTTGGGATATGTTCCACCCCGATGCGGAGAATATTCCTAGGAAGTTTACAGAAGAGGATAAAGCAAAAATTCGGGCATATAACGAGGAGTTGGAAAAGCGCGGAGTTACATGCTGTATTCCGGGCAAGTCAGCAGACGACGGTAAACCTGAGTACTAGATAGTTCCTTTTGCTTTTTATTATTACGGAATGCTTATTGTTCTATCCCTCATCGCGCTCTTTTCTATGCATTTGTCTTGTGATTCTGCTAATTTTGAACATATCCCTGACATATTCACAGGTCTTCGTGCCATCATTATCCCACCAATCGATACAACTGGAGATGGTGTCTGGATCCCATTGCATCTGAGGCGTTTGACCAGCTTCGCATAGACGAACAACGAAGGCCAAGGCCAGGAGGCCCTTTGAGGATAAGACTAGCATGGTGAATGAATTTTATGAGCCTTGCAAAGCGTTAATATGGTGGAGCCAAGCGGGTTGATTAAGAGAGTCAACCGTATTAAAAAACACAGGTTGAAATAAATAACTTTTGAACGAAAGCCTGTCTCAGGGGCGTTGTACACAATCAGAAAAAGAAATCAATGGGGGAGCGAGTCTGTTACTGATATCTTGTATATATTCTTACGGCAGCATGTCTCAACTCAAATCTACCCGGAAGCTTTAGTAATTATGTGAAACTAGTAATTTATTGTCTTATTCTAATAGTAGTTCTATATCCTGACTCTCTATTCCAGGTTTCCTCGTCTAAAACAGCCAAACCCCAGTGCCCGGCAGGGAACATCATAGATGACGGCATATACAACTATCGAGATCCCAAGTTGACAAATCTCTCTCTGTGATTCAGTAGGCACATCTGATGATCCAATTCCACAATCGATGAATCTCGATCTCCGTCTATTTCAGCTTCTTTTCAAAAACTCTATAGTCCACAGGCCCAGCCAGCAGTGGCGCCAATGCAGGGTAATCATCCGCAAAATCGGCCAGCCTCACCAGCTGGAACCCCAGCCGTCTATACCACGCCTCCATCCTCGTCTTGAGCGGATGGGCATAGCTCGTCGGCACCAAGATGTCCAGCCCGAGGGTGTCGCAGCCCAGAGACAGACAGTACTCCTCCACAAACTTGAAGATCTCGCGGCCCAGTCCGAGTCCCTGGTGCGTCTTGTCGAGGGTGAGCATGCCTAAGGTGCACATTGAGTCTGAAGCACGCTTGACATATACGCATCCTACCAACTGGCCCTTTTGAGGAGTTCCCTGGTCTTCTTCGGATGCTAATGAGGGAGAGGCGAGATAGGCAACGGCTAGTTGGCCTTTGCGGATAAAGTCTGCCACCTCGGCGTCAGAGGTGCGCACGAAGCCATGGTTCCAGATGCCGACTTCTGCTTCGATGAATACCAGATTCACTAGTTTGGTAATGGCGGAGATGAGAGAGAGGTCGTCAGCCACCGCAGCCGGAGGAAACTCGATGATGAGGCGAGGCGTGTCTGTGCTTGAGGTGGCCTCTGTGCCGTTGGAGAGGGCTGGAGTGCTCATGGCTCCAGTACTGATTGCCCTTTGAAGTATTGGTTGGTGTTCTAACCCTGATCGGTTGCCTGTGATGTGTCTTTCTCTCACTGGATTCTATAAGTAGATACCCAAGGCCCCCGTTGGGCATTTATGTATTACTCTGTACAACATACAGAAATGTAGATGTAGCCGCAATGTACATGTGTTAACATTAGCGCTGCGGATAGGGCGCGCGCCGTTACGTTGACTGGGGTTCAATGGCACGGACTTAGTAGAGGCTAGACGCAGCCCCGGTAAAGCCGTTACTTGACGCCAGTCTTAACGTAGCACGGGATGAAATCATCGAGGCAAAGCCATCGAGGCGTTATCGATAATAGGCAATATATTGGGCTGAGACATTGCTGCTACTGCTACTGCATTCTGTAGGTGTCTATATCACGATGCTCAGCCTTGTAGTAGTAGATGGCAATAGTGACAGACCTAGCAGATGCACGACACAATGCCTACCTTGGGCAAAGTACACCAAAGGAGGGAGAAATTGAAGAAAAGTCCCAAAGATACAGAATATGTTTTCAATTTTATACAAGTACTAGGTACTATACACATATCATCAAAGCCTCGCCTCTGCAGCTCTTGGGCATTTCTGCGTCTTGTAGGCCACCCTGTGCGACTCACTGCTGGCGGCCAAACATACATCGAGCTGGTGCCTGACTAGGCACAATCGATATGCCGCTAATCAAAGGCACCTCTCACTCAGCCTTTCTCCATCAGTTTCATCTCTCCCTCTCTCTTTCTCTTCCTCCCCCGGCATCAAACATCGAAACTCGTACTCTCATAGCGTTGAATCCATTCTTCCGTTTGTTTTGCACTCTGTTTCTCTCTTCTTCTTCTTCAAGCCTGCTTCTTCCACCGTTCACCAGCCATGTCGCGTGCACCGGCCCGCCCTATGGCCATTCCCATTCCATTTTCAATACCATCCAGCGACGACCAGCCGGAGCCATTTCAGAGCTCTGGAGAATATCTTCAACACCTCCAGAGCTTAACGCATTTTAATTCTGACCTGCAAAAAGCCGGCTATGTTATGCAACAGCTATCGCAAGACTATCTAGATCGCAAGCGGAGGTGTTTTCTATGCAGCCGCCGTAAGTGCTTTGTATATATAGAGAGACATGTATAAAAGCTGACGTTATACTTTGAGATCTCCCTTACAAGTTGAAAAAGACCGGTTACTTGCCCAAGACGCCAGTTCAAAGACGGGGAAATAATGATGAGGATGATGATGATGAGGACCTCGGCAAACCTATCAGTCAGGCCGACCAAGGTGACTCATCCAAAAAAGCTAAGAAGCCAGTCTTGCACTGCAAATACCATCCTGGAAGAGTCATTCAAAGGGTTTGTCTCTCTTTTTTTCTTCCCTCCCTTCTCTCTCTTCACATGGATGAGATGGCAAAAGCTCACACCCCAGGGTTAGAAATGGACCTGCTGTAATGGCATACCTGGTTCGCCTCCCTGTCAGGGCAGGGAAGACCACACGCCAAAGATCTATGCCGCCGGTGAGCTGGAAAAGGAATGGAAATACTTCCACACACCCTTTTTCCAATCTAGAGGCGCTCCAGCAGTCGCGGTCGTCATCGACTGCGAAATGGGAACAGCTTCAACGGGAGAATCCGAACTGATCCGTGTCTCTGCTGTTGACTACTTCTCAGGCCATGTCCTGCTCGATAAACTTGTGTATCCTGATGTTAAGATGATTCATTTCAACACAAGATTCTCGGGAGTCACTAGGCAAGACATGGAGAACGCACGACGTACGCGGTCGTGCCTCATGGGCCGCTCCGCTGCTAGAAAGGCCCTCTGGGAGTTTATTGGTCCCAATACCATAGTCATTGGGCACGGCGCCAACTCTGATTTCACCTCTTTGCGTTGGATTCACCCAGTCATTATCGACACGTACCTGGTCGAAAAGGCAAACAGGCCTCCAGAGGAGGAGAAGCAGGAGAAGCAAACACAACAAACTTCTGAGACCATTACTGTTAAGCAAGAGCTTCAAAAGGATGAAGCAACTACTCAACAAGGGTCCGATGAAAAGGGCCCCACGGCACCAAGACAAAGAGGAGGGCTATCGTTGAAAGCACTGGCAAAAGAGAGGCTTGGGCGAGATATCCAAATTAGGGGCAAGGGGCACGACAGCGTGGAGGATTCAATCGCGGCACGGGACATCCTGCACTGGAACGTCTGCAACCTTCTTGAGCCATCCAACAATCTCATTTGATCAAAATTATCAATCGATAAGCTCCTATTCCAATACTCTTGCTCTTAGCGCTTGCATAAACGAACGGTTAAATCACATGCATCCTACTACATATCTTATCCACGGTAAATGTGAACATGGGCTCCCAGTAACGCGAATCACATGTGCCAAAACGATGTCACATCTACGCGTTTTACCGTTTTGCCTTTTTGTTAAGCCAGAAAGGCCCGATGATGCATCAACCCTGGACGCTAGATGGCGAACACAACTGTAGATGCCAATCATGCTCGTGCTTTACATCACATTCGTAGTTCCTCTGCATCATCACCTGCATTACTCTCGGCTCCGTAGTCCACAGCAGCACACGTGCCAGTGTATATTCTCTAACCTTAGGTAGCTTCCATAAACACAAAATCCTGCCGCATCTTGGATGTATCCTAGAATTCCTGCCAGCGTATCAACAGCATAGTCCTATGTGCTTCCATATATCTCCCGCTCTACATCATCATTGGGTAGTTCTCTCCTCACAAGCCCCGACAGCGTTCAATTGTCAGCCATTGTAGCGTCTTCTTCCTCTTCGGGTTCTTTCCTCATCTGATAAGCCATCACGGCCCAAAGCATTCGCATGGCAGCAAGTCGCTGCTCCGTATCAAACAGGTCAAACCATTGACTTCTCCATCCTTGCACTCTACCCCAGCTGCGCCGTGTTACATCCGTTTCAGGAGAGCCGCCAAGCACCTCCAGAAGACGGTCGGGCACTCGCACTCGGAGAATAGATATGTGGTGGAGAATAGAGCTAATCACGAAAACATCGTCATAATCCACGCCCTTCTGCCTGCCGACTGCTTCGTAGCGAGCCTTCTTGTCCCATGTGAAAGCGGGTGGGCGCACCATTCGATAAGCGTCATAGATGGACATGGTCTTTCGGGCTCTTTTCGCTGCAGGCCGGGCCGCTTTCTCTGAGTCGGTAGGTGCAGCATCCTTGTCCCCGAGAGGCGAATCCGCGTCGATTTCTCGCCCAATGGGGCCTCCAGTACCACCACCCCATCTCGGTTTGGAAGTCCACCACTGGTTCTCGCCAAATCGCGTTTCAACCTTTCCCTCGCGAGCCCTATGCTGGGCCGTGATAAGCGCTGCCAGCACTTCCCGGGCGAGGTCGGTAGACTGCGCAGTTTCGATGTCCGGCGTTGTAAAATTCACACTCGGGCGCGTACTCACCGCCCCAAGAGGACCGTACACAAGGCCGGCACGAGCTGCCTCTCTTGTAGTCGGGCTCTGGAAAAGAAAGTGGCAATTGGAGGGGCTGTATGATTTTCGCGGGCTAGGATGGTCATCTGGAGAGCTTAGGTGCAGTCTTGGCTCGAGACGAGACATGGAAACATTGCAGCCAAAGTCGTACGCAACAAGCTTGACAAAGGCCGAAATAAGATTCTGGCGATATTCGGGAGGCATTGATCCACCATCTGATGTCCGTGTTACTTGGGGTGGTAGTGATTCCTGGGCAGCAGGGGTTTCCCCATTCTCAGTTGGTGCCAGTTCCGGAGAGGGTGGGAGCGAGGGGGGCCGACTTGGGTCGTCCCAATACATGGTGAAGAATTCAAGGCAGCGAAAGAACTCATAGGCATTGCCAAGGCGAGCTTGCTGCCTCCCCTTGGGGGGTGCGAGGCGACGGACTGTACGAAAGGCGTCCTCATTTGCGTTGGAGAGCTCCCTACGACGCTCTGCATAAACGTGGCATCCAGGGGAAAGGTTGCCATTTCTTATAGGTCGACGTTCTGCCTGGTTTTGCTCCCGAGCCTCCTCAAGCGTGAGCTTGTCCCACCTCGCGAAGTCGGGGAGAAAGGACTGGTTGGGGATGAGTTCCTCTACTTGGACGTCCAGTTTCAAATCAAATCCAATGGCAGAGAGGCCAATTGCACCCGAAGCGGCAGAGATCCGGCCCGTGCATTTGAGTAAGTTAGATAGGGCGTGTTCAGGATCGACTGGAACATCATCCTGGACGAAAGGTTGGTAGCGAGGAAGACAAATAGTCGTGGGGGGCGGTATGTCTTCGGGGGCTACCTTGACCTTTGGCGGCAGGTTTGCTAGTCGCCGTTTAGACAAAACATAGAGGACAAGATACTGCAGTCAAAACAAACGGGGGGTGTGGTGGAATAAGACACAAGAAGTGAAGGCAGAGGGTATTACAAAGCCAAATCTGGCGTGGATGGTGCAAGGACGAGAGGAAGGAGAGGAGTTGGTCGCGTGCCAAGTTGCAAACGAAAAGGAATCGCAAGGCGGAAGAAGGAGAAGAGGAGACATGGAGGAGACATACCCAAGCCAAAGGATCCAAACATGGTTAACAGCCGTTGATGAAGTCACGATAGAGCGTGAGTGATAGGCAGATGGATAGATACGGTAGTGGGTAAAGCCAGATCGAGCCGGCGGCGCAACCGTAAGCCCAGGCTTGTACCAGAAGAGAGGGGCAGGGGATTCCGCCGTCGCCTGGGCTGAGCTAGACGGGCGGACCTGGAACAAAGACGGTGCCGTCCGTCTCGGCAGTGATCACGAGCAACGAAGTGGCCGGAATGATGGAGACTCGGAGATGGCAGACGTGCGGACGCGGACGCGGGGGCGGGTGCGAGAGCGGGCCAGGGCAACCATCAAGCGCCGATTCTTGAGTCGTCCACAAGGGGCAGACGCGGTTCGGGAATGGGCTTCGGAGATGGCCTCTCTGCGCGCGTGCTAGAAGACGACAGCAGAAGCCGACAGCAGAAGCTCGCAAAGGCCGAGCCGAAGCGGAGGCGGCGACGGAGACGGAGGACAGGATTGATTGTCAGTCAAAGAAACGACGCAACCTTGGCGAGGGTCTTCAACTCAGAGCAGACAAACGGCGGGTCAACCAAACAGCCGGCCGCCGTGCTCCGTGCTCGTACTGCAGGCTGGACTGTTGCGTTGCGTTGCATACAGTAGCAGTAGCAGGGTCGAGAATCCGAATCCCAATCCCAAAGGGGGACAGACAGCTGTGGTGATCGATCCAGGGGCATGGCGCAGAGGAGGGCAGTTTAGTGCGAGGCCTACTGTAGCTAGGTAAGCCTGCTAAACAGCTCCCCCGCCTCGGCAGGCAAACAGAGGCGCAAGGCAAAGACGGAGCTTTGGATTAAGTCCGCACTATCAATAATCGGACATGGTAGCAGCATTGGTGGCCTGAAGTTTGTGGGTGCAACGAGGCTTGTATTTGTTATGGAAGAGTATTGGTTCTCTGTCTTTCGTTTTCGCAGAATGAAAGACGCTCAAGTTAGGCACTGCCTGCCATGGACGAGTTGATCTCTCTTGATGTATGTACTCGCTCTGTCGGGGAACACAATAATCAAGGTAGAGAGCAGGTAGGAACCTCCTGCTACCTGCTATTCAGCATGGACCCCAATTTGTCTAATCCACGTCGGAACAGGATCAATGTGAAAGACGGCCTTTTGTTTCCTACTACATGTATTTACCCAGGTGTATTATTGAGCAGTAGCTGCTGTTGTCACTGCTTTCTTCCAATATCTGCTACTATTTAGCTAATAACTTCTAGATAATATCTCAGTGGTATATTCCTCTGATATATGGTATCATCACCGGTGTAGCTTTAAATTTGAGACACGGGATGCTGGAGCGCAGATTTGGAGTGCTGAATACCTAGGTAGCCACTCCCCTCTTTTACCAAGGATGAAATTAGAAGTCTAATCATATCGCTCCTACCTTTTCTCTCAAAGCACAATCGCAACCGCAATCGCAACCTTTCCTTTATCTTCGCGAGATTACCTAAGAATAATTGTAAAAAGCCCACCGTCATGATGCTCAAGTTTCGGTCTTGTTACAAAGGGTTTATGCATACTACACAAGCTTGCCACGAGTGTTTTGCCTCGCCCGCCAACATCTCAAAGACCAACGTTTTTCATCGTGGCACCTACCAGTCATAATATGCTGTCTGCCTAGGCAAGCGAATGATTCGAGATACCAGTGCTCTCCATTTCCAACTATCTTCTCCTACCTAGGAGCCTGAAGGCGTCACGCAACGCCGGAAGCCCAACATATGGGGTTGGTCTGAGACTGAAGCTAGCAGCACGGCCCTCCCTCTGACGTGCACCATGAAGCTAATAAAACGTCACCAACAGGAGCAAACTCAAGAATTCGTACACAACATCTCGCGCATGTGGCCGATGCTCCGCCAGGTATTCCACACACAAGGCATACAGAGGAGTACTGACTGGGCCTAACGAGCCCGGTTCAACGACTCCGAACGCGCGGGCTCGTGTCAATCAAACAAACCATCCCTGCCGCCCTGGTATTCGTAGGCCCTTAGCGCTGGCCAGACCAGCAACCGGCGCCTAATTGGGGAGGTATTCGCTTGATGGACTGATGGGTGGTTTCATAGTCACTCCATTTCTCTTGCGAAGCCTAACGGAATTATTCGAGGCTCTGCGATGGAAGATGGAATTGTCTCTTGCAAGGAGAGGTACCGGTCATCTACTGTACGTGTGACATTACCTGGTAATACTTCCTTGTTGGATGCTCTCACATCAGCCTAAATACCCAGCACCATGTTGACTTCCCGTTTCTGTGCAACAGTTACATGAACGTTGATGACCCAAATACTGATTCGTACACAGACCTCTGCAGCCGCATCTCCGTTTCCATCTCGGCCACATAACGCTCTGCAATTGCTCACCTCGAAACAAACACCGTTCCCTCTTACCTTGAGCTTTAATCCTAGCGATCATTTCTCTCTTTTTTCTCCGTGATTTTCCTTTTTCTCAGCTCATGATACAAGCCATATCCCAAACTGCTACCCCCCCTTCGCAAGACTAGGTCAAAAGCGGCACTCCGCGCCTCCAACTAGCTTGTCATGAAGCTTCAGATGTGTCGCAGGACTGGGGGTCTCAGCCCCTGATACGGAGCGCCGCCTCCCAAATGCAAGATCGTGTCGGCGCAACTCTCGCATTTCACAGCGCGATGCAATGTGTTTCGTTGCCTTGCAGGAGCTAAACAGGGCTCTGTTTCTGTGGCCCCATGCGCTGCCAATTTTAGGTGGTACCGCCGAGAAAGATGTTACAAAGGGCCATCAGTAAAGGCGCATACCGTTGCCGTCCAACTCTCATCTGGCTTTATTCTCGCGCCCCCTGGATATCACACCTCTAACCTTCTTTAAACGTCCTTCTCTCACTGGCCCAAGTGTAATCTTCTTTTCCTATCACTCTTTGTCACCTACTCTTTCTTTTCTCTAGTGGCGGCTGGCTAGCCCATTGTACACTTTCGATTTCCAGCAATGCTTTCTTAGTCAACTCACTCAATCCTTTTTCGCTTTTTCTTTTTATACATGACTTTTTATTAATTTCGATTCTTTCGGCTTCGTTGCGGCTGGTCTCGCAAGCCAATTGCTACTCGCAATGGCAAGCCTTTTGAGTGGCTCTTCGACATCCATCGATGCCCAGTTTCCTACATCAACTACTTTCCTCAACACCAGTTCCACCACCAATAAGCCCTCAGGCAACCCTTCACCATCCTCTTCCAGTATAATTTCCAGCGAACCAACAAAAGGCTCTTCAGATGATGTGGCTCTCGATGTAGCTCCCAGTACCGCGCCAAGCGTCTCTACGCAATCCCCCAGTACTACAGCTTTGGATTCAATAGCGAAAGAAACTGTTGGAAACTCACCAACTACTACTGCTCCGGATGCAAGTTTGACAGCCGATGCTGAGACTCCTACTATCGCACTTCCTACGTCATCCAGCGACAGCAGTCCAATTTCTCCATCGACTTCACCGACCTCTATCTCAGAAACTTCATCAATACCCACGCAACTCTCATCTTCCGCATTGGCATTGAACCCCCAAATTGCCACATCGGCCACAGTTTCGACCGGTGCGATTCCCACAGCCACGCCATCTAACCAAACGCCTTCTTCTATCGCAATATCATCGCAATCTCAGATTCAGGCAACTGGCCCGCAACCCTCTTCTCCTCGAGTTTCTCCGACATCTGGGACCGAAATTGCAAAAGAGCTCCCATCCCCTACGCCATCAACAACGCCATCAATCACTCCATCTCAAGCTCAACCATCGGCAACCCAGCCCACCGATGAGTCGGTCCAAGGACCAGAGGTTTTCAGTGCCGCAGATATCGGTCCTCCTCCTTCCCCGGCTCCATCTTCTACTGTTTCAACCTCATCTACAGTATCAATACAGGCAAGTAACACATCATCAACTCAGGAGCAATCCCAGATTGCCGCCAGCCAGCCAGCAAATCCGGCCGTATCTGCATCGGGAAAGGCCGTGGTGTCAAATGCGCCCCTTTCAACCCCAGCTTCAACACCAATTTCAACACCCAGCTCTATTTCATCTCCTACACCAGATGCTGGAGCTGCTTCCGTGCCTACTTCTGCGACAACCTTGGCTCCAGCCCCTACATCAGCTGAGCTGCTTAGTGACTCTATACTGAGTGAAATACCTTCCAACACAGTCACAGATCTTACCCCGAGTTCTACGGGGGGCGTTACAACTTCTCTCCCAGGTATCAACACATTACCTGGCGACTTCCGAGAAAGTGGTCTGCCAGGAGGAAGTCAAGCTACTGGGCAGCCGATAGCAGACCCTGTTAGCTCGAGTTCACGCCCATCGACCGGCACCATTGTCGGTGGGACTATAGGCGGAATTGCCGCCGCAGCAGTTATTGTTATCTTGCTATGGTTCTGGAGGAGAAGGGTCGCACGAGATGGACGGGGATCCAGCAAGGCGTACATCGAAAAAGATTCTTCCACATCAATGGCACAAAGATTAGGGATATCGACTACAGTGAGTGCTGTCAAGCAGAACATTGGTGAAAAGTTCGCACCCCGCAACGTCAACATGAACAGAGGAAACTCTCAATTCCTCGAAGCAGACGCCGTCCAGCCCAGAAGTGTTGCGCCGATGCCAAACAGAGGGGCCCCGAATCCCGTGGCAGCAGCTGGGGGAAAACCCAAGGGGCATAAGCTAGTACCAGGTCTAAGCTTCGATTTTGGCAAGCGGTTTAACCCATTCTCGGATGCCAATGCCCTGATGTCGGGCACGGTGCCGCCGCCTTCGAGCTCAGTATTGGCAAATCCGTTCAGCGATGATAACATGGTGTTGCCTCCTCCTGTTTCAGCCCCGAATCGCCGGTCAAGAGGCCGATCATTGGGCGGAATTCGAAGCTTCCACACCCCTACGGTTCCTGCCCGGCCGCACTCTGTTCACAGAGAGTCTCTGCAAAGCAACGGTTCCTTCAACCAGCGTCGTGATAAATTTCGGTCTGATCCATTCGACTTGGAGATTGAGAGCCGCCTTGCTCCGCCAGCAAATGGAACTCCCAGCAGGAGTAGTTCCGTGTATAGCAGCCAGATCCAACAGAACCCTCACGACAGCTATACGTCCAAATACGCGAGTGGTTCCAGCCTCGGCGATTGGACCGCCGGCGGAGACGTTGGTCCCGGAGGCCCAACGGGTAGGCGAGATAGCCCTACCATTTCATGAATGAGGAAGCAATGAAGATCAACCTTGCGGCACACGCAAGAGGTGACTTGGGATATAAATGCAAAGGAAAATTGGAGAATGGGCCTCTTCTAGTCAAGAGTGTCCGTCTTCTCACCAGCAGGTCTCAGTGAAGACGGACACTCTGTAGACGCAGAAAGACCGTGTACAAAGTATTAGTAGCAGTAAAAGCAGTAGCAGTACTCGTATATACTCTGTACCATGTATGACATATACCCACAGTGGATGATACTATATAGAAGGACGTCAATCAAATCAAATGTCTGGCTCCACAGTCTCGGCCATCACTAGCTAGTCTCCTCGTCTCTTTTCATCGAATGATTCTCACCAACAGAAAACTCCGGGTCAGTGGGGGGTGGATGCGGGCTAAAGTGCTTGCAGCCCCTCTGCGTCATTCTGCGTTGAAAGTGCCTCTCACGTGTCGCTACAAGCGTCCAATGCCGACAGAGGATGTGTCTGTAAAGGGGTAAATCCAGCTGTTGACGCATGCAAGGCAGATTCCATCAAAAATATCTCGCGCGTCTTGGTGTTTTTTTTTTTTTTTTTTTTTTGGGTGAGTTTGTTTAGTAGTGGTGATCAAAAAGGCTCCTACTTCTGTCACGCCACTTAGGACGAAGTAAACGCTCGATATATTGGTGCTTTGTTGTAGGGTAAGCACCTTCACAGCAACAAATTAAATCCCGTTCTCTTTTTATCACGCCCAACAGCTCTCTCTAAAAAGCAAAAACGCCCAACTCTGCCCAACACGAGCAATCTCAACCAATTTTCTCAAACTAGCATTCAGAAATCCCGTAATTTACCAGTTGGTGCTAAAGTTCCCGATAGCTTCGAATCTTGCGTCACACCCTCAAATCTCATAAATGGGCGCAAGCTAATGCGCCACACCAAAGCCCATCCATCCAATCAAATCCGCGAATCGACCTGCAAAATTACCCCTTCGTGCACAAAAACGCGACCAAGACACGGCCAAAAGTCGCGTCCGGGAGCAAAGCTAGCTAATCCGGCCTAGAGGGCGCGTGAGAGCTACCCGGAACCGCGTCTGTGTGCGCACCAAAAACGCAGCTATTAATCGAATACTAGAGCAGCCACCCACTCACACAACATCCAACCACAAAACGTCAACATTACTAACGGGGAGAATCATTTTGTCATTGACGCGACTAACTACCATCACATTCATTTCGGCCAAAAAACAAAGGCCTGCCTGGTTTTGCACCAGGGGGTTAATCATCCAACCATCCCGTTCATGCCATCGTCCGCCATATCCACCTGCTGCTGTACACCGCCGGAGAGGGAAACATAACAAAATAACAAAGAGACAAAATCTCCCTCCCAAAGACAGCAGCTCGAATCCATGTCCCTTCTCATGACCGTTCCAATTTTTGAGAGGATCAAATGTCCCCCAACGGTCGATTTTCTGCCCTTCTCCTAATCCCGGCTCAATAGATATTGCAGATAGAGCCCCATGTGTTAACGGTGCGGACCGTCTAATCAAAAAAATAAAATAAAATAGACAAACAGACAAACGCCAAAGGCCAGACATCCAAACAAGAGAATAGCTCTTGGGTTGGCCAACATACTAGGGGGTAAGACGTGAATAGATAAAATGGATAGAAACATAGAAACAGGATATAGGGGATAATAAAAAGCAATAAGGCCGCGTACAATACGGCATACAGTGTCATGGTATCATGTACAAGAAGCAAGTAGGTAGGGACAGTGAGGCATTACGGGATGCCAATCACAGATTAGGAGGGTATGCTTCGTTGGTGTTGGTTCATCAGGGTCGAGGCTCATCAAACGTAAGGCGCTTCCTGGCCACGCTGCGGGGAGTGCGAGCGCCGGTGAGGGGGTTTGGTGTCTTCCAGACTTTTTGAGCTGGGCTTGGGGTAATGTTGACAAAGTCGGCAAAGTCGAAGCCTTGTCCAGGGGTGTTGGGGAAAGGATTGCCTCCTCCAGGCGTGGTCATCATGGCCGAGGGCAGATCCAGCTTGCTGTTCTTGGGCGGTGGTGTCGACGGCCGCTCCATCCGAGACCTGTTTGGCTTGACCGCTGGCGACGGCGATGCTGCCAGGTACAGCAGAAGATCCGCCCCCTCCTGGCCACCCTCGGCGCCGTCTCCCCTCTTTCTCAAGGTCCGGGACTGCATTGGCGGCGTGCGAGGCGGAGAAGACCGAATGTTTGCAGCAAACGAGTGTGCAGGCAAAAGATCGTCATCGTCCTCATCCGGGGCGGTGAAATTCGGGTGAGCATTCAGCTCGCTGGTCATTCGCCGCTGCTGGAAGAATGAGACGTCCGGTCCGGCCGAGGTGGTGAAGTGTTGCTGCCGCCGGGGCTTCATGGGGGACGAATGCGTGAGCTGGTGTCCATCCTTCCACAGGGTATGCCCGCCAAATGACTTGTGCGTTGTCGGGGAGCCGCGGAAGCGCTTGGTAGGACTCGAGGCGTTGTTGTCAAACGAGGCAAAGTAGGTGCGTTTGCGATGCCCGGAGCTGCCATTGCTTGAACCGATGGCGTCGGAGAACAAGGGTGCCTTGAGGGGAGAGCTCATCAGCGTCTTGGTCGGGTACGGCAGGTCGGATGCACTGGACGAAGAGTCGGAGAGAACATCGCCCTCGTAGAGACGCTTGCGGCGGACTTCTTCCACCTTGGGTTCGATGAGGTCGAGCGTGAGGTCTTCCCAGCCATGCTTGGTCTTGAATTGCGCAAGTGCGAGGCGGTTCTGGAGTCGGCGGGCAATCTATGTCAAAGCTCCTGTTAGTGAAACTGGATGACTCGGAAGCAGGAGGAGAGAAAAAAGAAGGCCAGAACTCGTCGCTGGCATTGATGCTGCAGCAAGAAAAAATGTGCAAAAATGATGGACGGAGAGAGTGCATGCATACCTTGCTGACTTCTGCACGCTTCAAGACGCAGTCGGCTACATCCTGCGGTTGCTTCTTCAAAGGCGAGGCCATCATGGTGAACCAAAAATTTGCGAGAAGGCCCCTAGCAACTACGGCCTTGAAGGGACTGGATAAAGGTCTACAGCGCCTGGAATTGTCCCTCCTGAATGATGGATATGCCAACCAGCTTCTTCCCTTCCTGGAGACGCTCCTTTTTCTTCTTATTTTCCGGCGCGGGTGAAGACGGGAGTTGGTGGAAGTGCAGGGCGATGAAAGGCTGTGAGGAGGGCAAAGTGTGTGTGCGTGAAAGAACGGAAAGGTCAGGTCAGCACAGGTTGTGGAGTTGCGAAACGGGCGGCTCTGTGGCCTGTACGAGTACAAGCGACAAGGTACAGGTAGGGAAGAGGGAGGCAGCAATGCGCTGGCCGTGCACAAAGGCAAATAAGTCAGCGCCTTGCCCAACGCTCCGTTAGTGCCAGCTTAGCACCTACCGACCGGTTGCCCACAGCAGCCTAGCTGGCTTTTCTAGGGGCCGTTGTATACCGCTGCACTGGTTGGTTGGCCAGCTGCAAAAGCCGCTACTATTTGGGCGGTCTGTTGGATGGGATGGGATGATTACGGTTGAGTGAGCTGGTGGGATGAGATGGGATTGATTGATGCAATTCACTTGAATTCGCCTTGGTGTACAAAGGGGCAGAGTACACATGGACTTGAAGGGAGTTGAGAGAAATTTCAAGACTCGGTCTCAGTGAAATGCCATTTGATACACCCAACGGAGCGGGTCCTCCCATGGAGATGCAGCCGTTGCTGCAGTTTCGAGACATGTGGATTTGCTCCCCCTTCCTCGTTCTTCTTGTCTCTCTCTTGACTGATACATGTAGCACATGTAGTACACACATGAATACTGACGGGAGTATCCCTTCTCTTGGCATGAGACCCTGAGGTTCACCGTCCAAATTACTCGCATTCCTCCACTCGTGTGCATTGGGCCATGCCGGAACCATGAGCTGAGCGCTGACATGTTTCTGGTTGGCCCTTGCAGCCGGCATCATGCGACAGCTGAGCTGTTTGCTCTCCGCATGGGGAAAAAAGGAACAAAAGCCACGCCGATCGCCTTGTGGGAGATGCTTATCATCTAGGTATGATTTGGGCTTAACTATCCTCGAGCTATAGTATCTCAGTGGGAGGCAGAGTTGACACCGCTCTTGTGAGCAAACAGTTTCGCATACACGAGGAAAGCGAGAGACGAATGATATAACATTTCGGTGACGAGTTCTTTGTAGGTCGGCTGGAAAAGGAGATGTCGTGCATGTGTAGTCACGGCGACGCCCCTCTCTTAGATCCTCGAACTAGCAGTGTTATGTTGCCGGGATATCCAAGAACGAGATGTTCATCCGAGCACCAGGTTCCTTACCTTGGATTGTTGTCGTTGGGTCATGATATCAAGTACCCAGTACTGTGACTGCTGTAACTTGTGCATTGGCCATTGAAGAGGGAAAAGAATGGCAAGATTGAGAGCGGAGTGCTTGGTATATCTCTATGGATGTGATCATGAAGATGGAGAAATTGTGACGGAGTACTGCTGACCCTGGTCGCCCGCCATTAGCCGTCAGTGATGCTACAGCTACTATTCCGAAAGCGCAATTGATGTCATCAAAAGCGACTGGTCTCATATGCATGAGCATAGGGGGAGAAAAGCCGTTGAGCTGATAGACCAGCCTAAAACATCTATGATTGTCAGTCACCGCAGTGAGGCAAAATTGAAAGAACAAAATGAAAAAAAAGTTTCGTCCTAGGTCAGCTTGCTGTGCTGCATGCGGAACCGCATAAAAAGTGGCTGGTTGATCCGCACTTCTCGTCAAGAGAATTAAAAGCGCAGGGCTGGTGTGATATGGATGTCCAGATTGAGGTGCCCAGTTGAAACGTTAGGCTCCATGGGGGCTAGGGTGACAATTTCCTCGCCAAAATCGAGATCTGTCTAAGTTTGAGACCAAGGCTGATTCAGGCGATTTTATTAGTGAGGGCGTGACGGCGACGGGAACTCTAAACACGGGCACAGAGTTTGGGCGATGTGGGATGAGGTGAGATGGATGAAATTGATGGCCTTGGTAAGGTGAGATGAGATGAAAGAGCTAAAACTTTGGGCTTGCTAGGTCCGTCTTGTGTTTTTTGATCTCGGGACCTGTGCCTGAAAGACTGGAATGCAGCGGTCGCCGTGCCCTGAAGCTTTAGCGCTCCGACCGAGCTGGCCTTCGTGGATCTTGGTCTCTGCAGGCACTTTAAGCTAGCGCCTCCAATCGGCGATCAGCCTCTGGCGACCTGCTAAACTGGCCGCTATCAAAGTGAAACTGGGACCGTTCGAGGCTGGAAATCCGCGTATTAGACGGGCTAGATAGTGAGCCTCGTATGGGCGCTCGTGATAGGGCAGAAGGGAATTGCACCAGGAGACATGAGTGTGGGACCTTGGCGAGCCATTGTGGAGTGGCTTGTCTTCAGGCTATACAGTATGCAGCTGAGCCTTGACAGGTTTTTGTCATGGGAAGCTTCAACTTGGCCATGTTAGAATTTATCCTAATTGTCGGTGGCTGCGTGGCCCCGGGTCGAGGACAGCCGATTGTTCCTAATGCGGCGGGTGATGTGCACTACTAGGCATTTACGAGTTGAATGTCACATCGGATATTCAGAGTACGAGGAGATGTTCGTAACATGCTTGTGCGATAGAGCAATGCGAGGATTGGATGCATTGATATGAGATATTTGATTGCTTGCGATGTCTTGATGACGCCATGCATTTCTCAGGGATTGCAACAAAGTGGATGTGTAGCCCGACTATATACTCCATACACGGCCGATAGTGTGTATTGATAGCTGCGTTCAACTAACTTGAATTCTGCGGCCAAGCCCAAGCCGCAGCTGCAGGTTTCTAATCATTACAAGGATAAGGGGGAAATGAAGAAAAAAAAAAAAAAAAAAAAAAAAAAAAGTCATCAGTCCAATGTTAACTCGGAGTACTCAAAGGGGCTAACTGGCGACGGGCTTCTGTTTTTTCCGGCTCTTGCTCGAGAAGCTGCCACGGCGTTGATGCTCCGCAGAGAGTTCACAACCAACTGCTGCACGCAAGCCCCGATTTCTCGAGATTCCAGAACCGGCATACACGAATGAAGATTCAAGGGCGGGGGTGTTTCTGTTCTGGATCCAGAAGCCGTAAGCCGAGCCGATGAGCCCACACAGCCACGCCCCTGTGCAAGCACCAACAGGCAGGCGGTTGCGAAAGTATGCAGATTTTATTGATTCTTTTAGCATCAATGCACTGTATTGATTTCATTTCACATCGATTTCAATGGCACATGTACTGATTTGTTGATAGTTAGGAATTGTACATTCATGAGTTATAGTAGTCTTGTAATGGTGAGACCACATAACTAAAGCAATAGATCCCAGCGGTCGGAATCTTGTACCGATCATCCCCTTTGACTCGTATCGTTCTTCTTCCCCCTTCATCGAGGCAAATTGGAGGTCTGCAACGGCCAGCCTAGCGCCCGTAAGATCTGCTCCAAGCACCACACCTTGACACCCTCAAAGAACCGCTTCGTTTGACATAAATAGCCACAAATAGCGCCACGGCACTTTTTGCGTCGCGAATTGGCCAATCCGTCTGGCGTTCCCCCCACAGGCATTTAGACCCGTCAAAAAGGTGCTCGAAAAAAAGCTTCAAATCACAATGCGACGTCATCGTTACGGCTGTAACCTCGCCCGCCAATTTGGCCGAGATGTGCTCGCTTTGGCCTGTCTGCAGCCAGGCGGATACGGGAGTTGCAGCAGTAGCAGAGAAAAAAAAAATAGCTCCGCATGCTACGTAGCAGGCATTGGATGGCATAAGTGACTGCGGGATGGCTTTAATACGGGCTGTCTAGGGGAAGCTTCTCCTGACCATTGCGCTTATCTTTTTCTCCTTCACCCCTCGAGATACTGCAATTCGACTGATGTGGTGACGCGTGTCCGGCCTGAACGCTGATCTTTCCGTCTTTTTCGCAATCAATCGGATTGTCCTGTCCACTCGCAAAGCCCCGAGCTCGCACGCAGGTGGGCAACAAAAGCGCCTACCGTCCACTCGCTCGATCTCGCAGTCGAAGTTGCTGCTTGTTCCTGGGTTTCTCCTCCTTGACTCTCTCTTCTTAACCTCCTCCCCCTTGACTCTCTCACAATCTCCCCAATCTCCGGGCTTGGTCTTGCCTCAGTGTCCTATAATTAGAGCCCGTCTCACGCTCTCGACTTCCTGACGCTGCCTCGAACCTGTTCACTAAAACTTGCCCCCCTGGGCGTCAGCATCCACCAGCGCTCTCGCGTCAGCCACAGCCCCCGATTGACAAACCGGCATCTATCGCCTCTATTCTGTAGTATCTGCTTTACTCTCGCTATATCACGGATTAGCCTCGTCAACTGTGAGACTATTGTGAATCACCAACCTGTAGCTGCTTTGGGTCTTGGGTTTATGCAGCTGGTCAATCACGCCTGGCGCCAACTCCTTCATTTTTGGTGCGGCTGAGCGACAGTTCATCCAGATTTGACAGCTCATCGACATCGACTGCCGTTCGTTTCGTTTCACCACGGTTCTCTCTGCTCCGACTGCGGCAGAGAAGCAAACAATCAAGCGAGCAGGCAGCCATTCGCTGTCGACAAGGAAACAAAACTACCGTCCTTGTCGTGTATACATACACCTCCGCCATCGCCTTCGCCTCACTTTCGCAACCATGGCCCCTGCATTTCTCTCCCTCAAAGACTTGCGTCGCCGGTCCAGAGCAAGTTTCCGAACAGAAAACTCAAACGATACTTCCAGCGATGGCACTCTGAGCCATGAAACCAATGACACCACACCGTCAAGCGGCTCGTTAACACCGCCTTCCATGGCCCAGTCAGATCCCGCGCTCAATCTACAGGTCAAGGACAGCAATGGGTCTGGCCAGTATCCAGCTCAAGCTCCAACCCGACCCATGCTGATGCCTGGCGGAAACTCCAGTCGATACAGCGTCTCGGGCATGTCAGGCCTTGGATCTCCTGCGCCCAACGGAAGGACCAATCTGCCCGTCTCCCAGTATGCTCCTCGTGTCCAAAACATTGCGGAAAATGCATGGGTACGTTGCGCGAGACCCTTGTCGAAAAATCCCTATCCCATTGCGCTGCATTGATTGCACCGGGCGTTCGAATGGCTCAAAATTGGACGACCAGCGTTGTGATGTTCTTGACAGTGCTAACTTCTTGAGATAGGTATACCAAAAGGTTCTCTTGTTGCACGGTACAGTTGGAGAGACAGAGCAGAACCACCTTGAAGGCACTGTCACCATCAGCAAACTCGACGACTCCTTTCCACCGACCAGCTGGCCCGTATGCAATTCTCACTTCAAAGCTCTTCTATATCTGCAACCTGGCCCCAACAAGATTAGACTTGAATTCTCCAGCCCGAAACTGGCCAACAGCTCGTCTTCAAACAACATCCATGCCTCTTACCTTACTCTTCACATGGTACCTTCGTTAAACGCACCTCCGTTGCAGCTCGCCATTCTGCTAGGCAAAGACTCACCCGGGACATTTGATGCAACGCCGTCGCGGGCCGAAAGGGAAGGCAATGGCTTGGAGACGGCTGTTAAGAAGTTTCGAATGGCCGCCTATCTCTGGCAGGCATTTACCGCAGAACAGATGTGGAGGCACAAGCTTGGGCGACGAACATTTCGATTCGAAGAGGAATGGACGTCTGGTTCTGCCAATCTCCGCGACAGAGAGAATGGCATCATGAGATCTGAAGCCCGCGTTCACATTATCCGATCCGACAAGACGGTGGCGGAGCTGCAGGATCTTAACAAGGCGCAACAGTACGACAAGGCCACGGATAAGAATGCTCTCTTCGACATTGCTTCAGCAGCAGTCAAGAAGCATCTGAACCCACTGCCTGGCCAGAAGCAATATGTTGCAGTTCTCCTGCTCGATGCTCACTGGGATAAGGACGCCAAAACCATTCGAAGTCATGCCGCACTTGGCGGCGGCAGCGGAGAACTACAATTGGGCATCTTTGGGTCACACTGCTTGCACAGCTATCCCGGCTGTTTTGAGGAGGTCGTGCCAGCTTTTACCGATTGCACACCGACGGACACGGCGCATGTGGCCAACGACTGCAACGAGGCGGGAAGCTCCTGGGAGGCGGCAAACATTGGCATTGGCGCGCATCTGCACGAAGTTGGCCATTTATTTGGATGCCCCCACCAAGAAGGAGGAATTATGCTCAGAGACTACGTTGTTCTTAACCGAAGTTTCGTGGCTCGTGAAGCGTATTCCACCAGAACCAAGTCCAAGGGAGGGTTGGCTTTGCAGGCAGATGAATGCGGCTGGCATCGTCTGGACTCTCTTCGCTTCCGAGCACATCCTGCCTTTAGGCTGCCCAACGATGCCCCGATGAATCCCGACGAAAGCGTCCAGGCATTTGCCATTGACGGCGGTAACGTACTGGCCGTGGCACAGACTGGAATTTCCTTTATAGAGATTTACGGAGAGGGAGACGATGTGTGCCGTGCATGGATCGAGTATATGCCGGACAACAATAGTCCCATTCAGCGGCAAGTGACAATGACCGAACAGGACTTGCGGGCACGCTTGCCAGAAGCGAAGAGAAAGGGACGTGTGAGGGTGTCTATCAAATCCCACGGCGGAGGATCTTTGGATATCGATGACTTCAAAGTATTTGCGTCAAAGCAGTCATCGGTGAAGCTGCCGGGCGGCAAGGTCGCCTTCCGGTGCAAAAGCCTTGGACAGTCGAAGATGCAGGGCAGCGAGTCCCAAGAGGCAATCTTCACCAGCGCTGTGAAGCAAGACCGGGTCATGTCTCGCGTTATTGTGTATCACGGCTCAGCACTAGATGGGCTAGAGTTTGTTTATGACGATAACTCGACACAGCTGTTTGGCAAGCGGGGAGGCAAAGAAGGAGGTGATACATTTGAATTTGGTGAGTTTATTTATATTTGAAGAGAATGAAAGAAACTTCAAGCTGACCACACGTTATTAATCATGCAGACATCCGACGCGGAGAGTACCTCAGTGGTTTTGTCGTGAGGGCTGGCTTTTGGATCGATGGCATCCAGCTCTTGACCAGCCTTGGTAGAAAATCAGCCATGTTTGGAAAAGCCCATGGTGGTTCTGCGTAAGTCATTGCAGCCCATTTGACGTGTCAAGGCAGGGCAAAGTAACGCTGACATTGCGATACAGACACACTCTGATACCTCCTCGAGGCTATACTATCTGCGGTGTTGCCGGCACATGTGGCGCGTGGCTGGACGGCTTCTCCATTCTCATCAAGCATTAAGACTGTGCCAATTTTGACGCAGGTCGAGAACAGAAACACAAACAAACAAGATTTATGCATCTTGCATCTCATTTATGGATTACTCGAGCATTTGGACCTAGCTTGCCTTGGACGGTTTTTTTTTGGTTTTTAGTTACAACGCAGAAGAGGCAGGCAAGCTAATCAATGGAGCGGAGAGCGAGATGGATGTACAGACGGGGTTGACGCTTTTCTTTTTTCACACCACACACAAAAAACAGGTACACGGATGAGAAAGCACTGGGTTTGCTAGCAGCAACCCGTGTCTGGCGTTTTGGGTCGAATTTTGTCGCTCCCTTTTCTCTTTCTTTCATATGTTGCAAGGATTGGGCAAAGATACCCGCTGGAAAACTAGTCTGCACTTTTTGTGAAGGTCACAGTTGAGTAGGAACTGTGGGTATGTTGCTTTTTGGGAGAGAGGCTCAGTGTGGAAGAGAAGGGGGGACGAAGCTGGGCAGGGAAACTGTACACATTGGTTTCCGTTTATATTCTTATTTTACGTCTGATTGGGGACATTGATAGGGTCGTCAGTATCGGGCTAGAATACCTAATAATCACTACAGGATATTGTTGCATCGTTGTGTCTCTCTTGGAGTTTAATGTTTGGGCTTGCCGCTACTAAAATGAGAGTGTGTCTGAGGGGCAGTCAGGATATATCCTCGCTTCTAGTGTTAGTCATACATGTATGTGACATTACTGATAATATTACTGATAATATTTAACAATACTAATAAGCGTCTGTATTAACTTTATATTCAGAGTCGCGTGTCTCTCTTGAAGTTTGAAGTCGTGTGAACAGTGTCTTAGATGCTTGGCCGTGATCATTTGCATGTGATGGCGTATGTAATCCTTTGATCAGCTGTGTGTGTGCTGGCTGCAGAGCGTCACGTGAAACGCCACAATGCGCGCAGCAAGTGTTTGGGGGCTGAGCTTCTCTTGACCTGACATGGCTCAAATCCGGAGCTTGTTCAGCTACAGTACGGATAAAAAGCAGGGCAAAGGCAAAGGAGAGAAACGATGACGGCATCCCCACCCAACCAACTACGTAGTAGTGCATGAGGCACTGTAAATCGGTAGCAAGTCCTCGCTACTCGGGGCGTACAGTACAGTACATTCATTGGATGTCATTCTTACTAAGATGGTTGTTTGTTTGGCAGGGATTTGCTTATTGTCTGCTCGTCATGGTGTACCTATGTCGTGTGGCTGAATATGTGATAAGTGTGTGCGCATGGCATCGTTGACATCAGAGACACGGCGCTGGTACATACACGCTGGTAGCACGTTTGGCTTGTCGCAGAACTGGCAGCTGCTGGCCCCCAACCAACGAGTAGCGATTACCTACCAGCTAGCATTAAACTCTGTACCCTATCCCGTGAATTGGCCGTGCTTGCGCTGTATCAGCAGGTACTGGATACCGGCCATCTGCCAGCCAGCCCGGTAGTTGGGACAAACAAGTTGAGCCAGGGCTGTGCCAAATTGGCAGCAGCGCCACCCGACCCTACTAAGGTTGTTTCGCCTAGCAGCGGACAGCTAACAAGTACAAGTGCCGTGTCCAATGTTAGAGGTACAGTACAGTAGAGCATTTGCAGGTGCAGCAGCTGCCCCTCGCGCGTCTAGACTATTTTTTTTCTTTCCATCCTCTTCCTTGTCCTCTTTTTTTCTTTTCACAGACGTCACCGTCACCTGTGATTGAGGTTTCGTGAGATCCACACGGGTTGCTTCTATTCTCTTCTTCTCCACAACTTGAAACTCGAGTTCTTTTTTCCTACTCTATTTACCTTTCCGAGGACACCTCGAGCTTTGCGCGCTCTTTGATCTACTACTGCTGCTCTCTCCATCTCACATACACACAGCCGAATAGACGGACAAAAAGCCTCTCTCTTTCTCTGAGCCTCGATTCGCACGCCATACAATCAGCTTCGCCATGTCAAAACGATCCAGTGCCGCCTCGGCGGGTGAGAACGGCGTGACCTCGAGAGAGTCGCCGCCGCAAAACCTACCAGGTACGGGTTCTCTCAGCTGCGACTATCGTGTTGCGAAATAGTGTTGGGGATAGGCCATATATTTTTGTCGAGCAGAAGCTAACCTCTCTCTCCTTCTATCCATTCAACAGCCATTGATAAGCAAAAGATGCTTCTTTCTGCAGACGTGGGCCATTTCTCGCTGGTACGGGCCATGCACCTCGCAGATCTCATTACTCTTATGAACGGTGGGTTCCCTCCCCTCGTTTTTGTTTGGCGACGATTGATTTGCTGACGTTGCATGTGATGCTTGGCATAGGCTTCTGCGGTGTCATGTCGATATTCTCGTCCTTACACTCGTGCCTCGACGCCCCCAATCGAGAGAGCCATTTGGGGTGGGCGCTGGCATTTTTGCCATTTGGCCTGTTCTTCGACTTTCTCGACGGCAAGGTTGCCCGATGGAGGAAGAAGAGCAGCCTCATGGGCCAGGAGCTGGATTCCCTTGCCGACTTGGTACGTTGTCCTGTCTATACACTACTTGCCAGCAATTGAGACATGCATACTGACCGCCATGTTTGTGGTAGATCTCGTTTGGTGTCGCCCCCGCCATGGTGGCCTTTTCAATTGGTCTTCGGACTACTGTCGATACCGTCGGCCTCACCTTCTTCGTCCTGTGCGGCCTGACCAGACTGGCCCGCTTCAACGTTACCGTCGCGGTTTTGCCCAAGGACGCCAGTGGCAAGAGCAAATATTTCGAGGGCACCCCCATTCCGACGTCGCTGGGCTTGGATGCCCTCATGGGTTACTGGCTGAAGCAGGGCTGGATCTTGGACAACATCCCCTTTGGCACCTTGCTTGAGGGCACTCCGCTCGAGTTCCACCCCGCCGTGCTTTTGTTCATGATTCACGGCTGCATGATGACCAGCAAGACGATTCGCATTCCAAAGCCCTAAACCAGGCGACTGCATCAGCCGTAGCAAGTTGTAGCTTTATTTATTTATTTTCTAATTCTTGGTCTCCCTGGATATTCGGCTGCGACAAATGGGGCTAGAGGTTCAATGGTCTGCTTGGTTTACGATCAAGAAGAGCTGGCGCATACGAAATTGTTCAATCGTGTTTGGCTAGGTGGCTGCTTGGCAAGCGCCTTGAAGTATGGATAAACATTATGGCGGAAGGCATGGGGTTCTTTTTATATAATGGATAGCTACTCTCCTATACAAACGGAGGTTTTCCTTTTATGGCACTTGAGGCTCGAGGAGGAGATGATATGGTCTGCATAGCATACTGCGAACAGAGATTATGATACCCCCATGTTAATCCCTATATTTTGTGTCACCGTGGAAGTGACTCGTGTTTGGTAAGCCCCAAAGTGATTACATTTATTTGTCTACATTCGCATCACATTTATACCGCTCTTTTTTTTCTTGCTATTTCGTACATGAATTCTTCGTCATGCCTTGTTCGAGACAGCAGCACACCCGGGATTGGGTGGGAAGAGAAGGGGGGAAATGAAGATGACGAGAAAACCCAATTCAAGTACGATGAGGAATAAACCGAGCCATTAAACGCCGTGAAGCCCTTTGTACATATAAAAATCTCTCCCTCCTCTCCTTTTTTTCGTTCCCAAGAAAAGCTGCTGTCGGCTGCTTTCTTCCAATGTCCAGTTTCTTTCCTTTCTTTCTTTCTGTCTTTCCAATTCTTCGGGGAAGATGATCCCCCAAAAGTTGTTCAGCGAGAGAGAAGAAAAGAGAAGTGGGCAAATCGTCTTGAGAACGTCTTTCCTTGTTTGTTTCTCTCTTCTCCTTTCCTTTAGAATCCACGTCCTCCCCTGCTGAAGCCGCCACGTCCCCTGCCTCCACCGGCACCGCCTCTGGAGAAGCCGCCACTGCCTCCACGGCCACCACGACCGCCGAAGCCACCACCACCACCTCGCGAGAAGCCTCCACGGCCACCACCAGGACCACCACGTCCACCGCGAGAGAATCCTCCACGACCGCCTCCACGGGGGCCACCACGGGAGCTGCCTCCCGCGCGCTTAGGCTTGGGCGCACCGGGCGGGGGCTTGGGCTTGGGCAGGAACTTGTCGAGGGGCAGCAGCTTCTCGGGGGCGATGTAGAACTTGTCGCCCTCCTTGAAGGAGGCGGCCTGGATGCCCTCGGAGGGCTTGACGGTGAAGAAGACCTGGTTGATGGGGCCGAGGACCTCGTCGACTTTGCCGACGGCCGTCTTGTTCTCGAGGAAGATTTGGGCGTTGAAGTGGGGGACTTTGGGGTTGATGGACTCGCAGACCATTTCGCCCTCGCAGGCGTGGACGAACTTGCCCATTTCTGTTGGGGAGGAGAGTGTTAGCTGTCTGTGTGTGTGCCTTTGTTTGTTTGAATGTCTTCTCTCTTGCTGGTTGGTCTCTGTCTCTGTGCTGAGGGCTGTCTTCTGCTGGGTCTTTTTTTCTTTTCTCTCCTTTCAGTTTGAAGCCATTGTCCATTGCCATTCTAAAAAATGAGCGACAAAAGCCCTGGGAAAATCCCAAAAAGAAGTAACAGAGAAAGAGAAGCGCTAATCGCAACGCCTTCTCTCCCTCCATCCAAGAGAAATTTTTCAAAGAGCCAACCACCAGTAGAAGCAAGAGCCTCAACAGCAGAAAACCTGCCGCAAAAGAGAACAAACCCAAAATAAAATCATATCAAATAAAAGGGGGCAATTGGCTTTACCTAGAACCTGCGCCGGCGGGCCCATGTCCCTCTGCTGGAATCCTCCCCGTCCGCCTCGAAAGCCGCCGCCAGACCCTCCACGACCACCACCGCGAGACCCGCCTCGGAAGGACATTGTGTGTATTGCTGGAATTATTTATTTATAAATCGAAAGTGAGTGATTGGGCCGAGCGGGAGAAAGAAAAAGAGGCCAATTGTCGGGGGCCTGCTTTCTTTTGGCGATGTTTCGTTCCCTCGTCGTCGTTTGAAACTTTTTTTTTTTTTACTAGAGCGTCTCCAATGAATGGTGTTGAAATTTTTTGGCGAAAGGCTGCTTGGTTAGAGGGAGCTTGTCGGATTGGGAAGATTTGATTGGCTGGTGCGGAATAACGTTCCAGCGGGTTATGCGTGGTGGGGCGGGAAGATGTACCCAAGTACCTCGTTCTGTACATTGGTACATGCAGGTTCATGTGAAGTTGGCTCACAGCAGTTTGTGTAGGAGTGTGTGTGAACGTGTATAACAAATAATAAGAGACTGGCATTGAGAGATTGTAAGGCTTTCTGCTACCTAAGGTATCAATCTACTTTTAACAAAACATTCAATTCCATCAAATAGCAAAAAACTGCTAGCTGAACCACGCATGGCGAGCTACGGATATACCTAACGAGTGATGCGGTCCTGAAAATCAACTTGCATCGACAACAAAATAACGCAAAGCACAAACGTCTCAGCTGATACAACACTCCGTTGCTGCTCTTTTCTGCATCCCTTGCCTCATTCAGAATCCAACAACACCAAGGACACATTGTACAAAATGGCAAGACCTAAACAGGTAATCAAGAAATGGTATCCAGATATCGACGTATACCCATTCTCGAGGACAAATGAAAAACACAAAAAGAAACAAAAAGAGACAAAAATTCACATCCATCACATGTAAATCAAATGACGAGCTCAAGGAAAGCTGCCTGGCATCGGTAGGTCCGATACCGTCACTGAACTAGCCGCTCTCTCATCGTTGATTCCGCGAACCGGGTTAAGACCACCCACTGGCTGTGCAGAGTTTCCCTGGCCGGGAAGAACTTGCAGTCCTGATTCATCAGGCTGAACCTCAGACCTGGGAATTGCATCCGGGGAGAGAGCTCCTGCGCCTCCGACATTTTTGTAGTGTCCGCCGTTGATATCGTTCGTCTCGGACCCCCCAGCTACACCGTTGATAGCGGCTGCATTGTGTTGCTGTTCTGGACTAAGAGCTCTGTTGCCGCCAATGCCATTGACCGGCTGACGAGTGCCGGGGATGATGAGTGGCGTTACAAAGACGTTTCGATGATGGCTTTGACTCTGATCCACTGGCTCGCTTGTGTATGGGTTGACGCCGTCGACCTGGGCCTCGTGGTCGGCAGCAACTGCTTGTGCATGCACGTTTGATATCGGGGTCTCGCCTCTCTGTCCGTACTCTGGATGGCCTTCGTCGTGGTGTGTCAACCTATCCGGAGCATAGGCATCCGTGCCTGATCCTGGTATCGCAGTTGCTGCAGCAATCACCCCGGCTTGTGGCTCCTGGCTGGATCCTACGCTAGACGGGGATTGAGGCACCTGTAAGCCTCGTTGTGCATTGACTTGTATATCGGATGGGAACCGCCCACCTGGTTGGGGTCGCCGCGCGGCTATGTCTGCTCGAGGTCCTGGCGTGACGTCTTGCTCGGTCGCGGTAAATGGCTCCTCGTCCTCTTCCTCATCGAGTCCGTCGCTGCTAGCTGACCGGTGCGATGATCGGCTCGTGCTTCGCCTTGAGTGAGATCGCACAAATGCCGTTCGCTCCTCTGGGGATGTCTCCGTCAGGGCCCTGATGTCCTCGTACCAAGCCATCATCGTATCATGGCTCTCGGCTCGGAACACCCAGGTATGGCCTCGGTGCATGGCGCCAGTCTGTCGTCCCTTGAGAAGAAACTTGTTGGAAGGGCCTCCTTCGCTGGAGCGGGATCCTAGTTTTTGCTCCGGGAGATAGAGGGACATTATGGGGGCCTGCGCTTTGTCTGCCGACTTGAATTCGTGGAGATGCGTTGTCGAAAGTACATACCTAGCATGAACTGTGTTAGGTATTATCTCGTTGAGACATGGGGCAAAAATAGATATACTCACCATCCTGCTGTATAACTCTTCAAGTACTTGCTCTTGCGCTCCAGTAATCCGGCGCGGATTTCTTGCGCCGAGAGATGGTCTTGGCCTGGGTAATGAATCTGCTCGGCCGAGCGCAATGGCATGCTAGGGTTGACCACTCGGTTATCGTTGGCCACAAAGTGCTCCCACTCCTGATCCTTGGGCATCGCAATTGGTCCATCGCGGAGTTCTCCGACCACACTGTGAGCATTGTCGGCCTCACGCTTGAGGATACCAGCGTAGGCATTGTAGGCCTTTTGAATTTCGCCCACAATGATGGATTCGAGCTCGCGTCCTGAGCCCTCGAGGTTGAGATAGGCTTGATGCAGGTAGTTTTCCTCATCGATCTGGCGCTCAATCTGGCGATCGACCGCCAGCCTGAGGAGGTATGGATCCTGCTTGCCCGTTGTTGCGGAGGTGTCCATCTCGTTCTTTCCCAGCGCTTCGGAGAGGACCTTGACAGCCTTGCCGGTGCCGTCCATTTCTTTTTCAACAGAGTTCTTGAAGTCACCGGCCAGGTGTTTGATTTCCTTGATTTTCTGCTGCAGGTCGCTTCTCAGTCCAGTAAGCGCTAGGATGACATCCTCTTCGATTTCCTTGGCCTTTGTGGCCTCTTGAAGGGCTTGCTTGTTATAGTTGCGGATAATCTGAAGAGCATCGTCGATGCCGGCGGTTTGGAGGAACGAAGTCGGGTTCGAAATGTTGTTGGCGACGCTTGAGAGCTTGGCGAGCGACTTGGACTTTTGCTCATAGTGAGATTGTACCTCACGATAGTATGCGATGAGGTCTTTCAGCATTTTTCTCCAGGCTGTCGAGTGTCATACAATGTTAGCGTCAGATGATACAATTCAACGGCCGCAATGCGCCGAGTCGAGTTTGAGAAGGGGGAAGGGTCAAACATACTCTGGAATCTAGCAGCGAGCACATCGGTGGGATTGCCGTTTGTGGGAACCGGGCAGAAGAAGGCGCTGTGCAGCTCGTCGGGATCCGTCGCAGTCTGGAGGGCAAGGCTCCTGACACTGCCAGCTCGTGCGCTGCGACGGCTGCTGGATCGCACCATGCTGCCGGTGCCACTGCGCCGTAGCGAAGCCTTCTTCTTCAACGTATTGCCTCTCTGAGGCAGGGCCCGATCATCGCCAGCCGCATAGCTGTTGACCGAGTTGGAGCGCTGCATGGCCGATGGCCCGGCGGCGGCAGAGGCAGACATGACTGGGGGGCTTTGGCCACGGGGGCCGTCGATGATGGAGCTTCCGCGCCGGCTGGCGTCCCACTCCTCGTTGAAGCGCCCTGGAAGAGGACTCTGGCGTCTCTGAGGCGATGCGTTATTCGAGCGTCGGCCGGCTTCGAGGTACGTGGGCTGGGGTTGGTAGGAGAGAGGTCGCCTCCCCTTCTGTGACGTCTGGTAGGGCGAGCTGGACGGCTGTCGCTGCGATTGCGACTGTGACGGCACTTGCTGCGGTTGCAGGTAAGAATTGAGCTTGGGCCCAGAGTTCAGATCAGGAGAAAGATGAGTCAATCCCTGGGATTGAGGTGGGTGATCCATTGCGACGATGGTTAGGAGAGAAAGGCGAGTCGCAGCAGAGCAGGGCAAAGCAGAGCAAGGCCAAGCTGAGCTGAGCTGAGCTGAGGAGGAGAAGGAGGAAATGCAGCAAAAGAAGGAAAGCAAGCTCCGAGCAGCCGCACCGCCGAATAATTATAGTTTGCTTCTAATCTGAATGCCAGCCAAGTCGGCGCCAGACCAAGGTTTCGCCTCGCACAAAAATTAGCGAGTGACGACAGCTGGGACGATCACAGCAGCACAAAGAGGCGTTGGTGGGGAGGGGAAGGTTGAGAGACGGTCAACGTCAATCGGCTTTGACTGACGCAATGGCAGTTCAGAGGTGAGACTTTTTGGGCAGCCAAGCAGGTTTTTAGCGCCGTGAAACAAAAAAAAAGGGCAGAATTCTACAAAAAGGAGGCAGTGATAGAAAAGAGAAACAGAAATAGAAAGAGACAGAATAGTTCATTACATGTAAACAGCTTACCAGCCAAGCCGCTGTAAATTGCGAATTTGGTGCTGCCGAGCCACAGGCCACCAAACCAGAACCACCGCCTCGCATCTGCGCAAGATCCATGATTTGCGTCGTACGGGGAGACGGACATGCCCATTTCATGCACGCCATGGAGGGCCCCGTAATACTGCACTGCACTGTACCAGTAGGGCATTAGTATCGCTACTGTACATGTAACATCTACTTGCTCCGCCCCCTCCGATTCCAGCAGCTGCCAAGGTACTCGCAACCCGCAAAGCTCAGAAACCCAGAGGGGGCACGCTAGCGCAGGCACCTCGTCGATACCTGGCATTGTTGCATCACCCGCGTCAACGACTGCGTCACTTGCAGGTACTGGGGGGAACGAAAAAAGAGGCCAGGCCAAGCCAACCTGCGCTGCACCAGTGACAAGCCGCCATCAAGATGATGAATTTGCTAAGGCTGTGCTACGTAGGGCGACAAAGATCGCAAAAGATGGACAACAAGGGCAACATAGAAACTTGTGCGAGTGCGAGTGCGCCGTAAGCAGCGCCCGGTAATACTTATTCCATCCAGTGCCTGTAATCCTTCCACGGAGCGTCCCGGGGCCAAGGGGCAACAGTCTCACTCGATATTACTGTCCTGTTCTGTCCATACTCCGTATACGTGTATGTACTCGTACTTGGTTTGGTTGGCCCTGTCCCCTCAATCAATAACGTGGGCGCTACATTGACACTGACACTGACATTTGACACTTGACACTGACGTGCCCCAAATCTGCACTCTCATGCACAAACCCGCCCGCCCAGCATCCTCTTTTCGCTTACAGCATGTTCCCCTAACAGATCAGAAGTCCTGCTACCCCCATCGTCACTACAAACTCCCACCACCACGCATGTAGCCGCTACATCAACTCTAAACCCAGCAAAAATCCACCTTCAGCTGCTTCTGATCGCCCCAGGCTGGCTCCCTCAGAAGAATGACGTATTAGTCCGTTCCCCTAAAACAAGCGCCAGCCCAGCACAAGCCACACGCCCCTCTTTCCCCCCCCACCAGCCATCTTCTCTCCACCTCAAGAATTCCATCCATTCTGGTGATCGAATCTCGCTGCTCCGGAAGCCTATTTGCTTTGCTTCGCTTGTTTGGAATCGACGGAATTCGTGGAATTCTGAAGAATTTCCCCACTGCGATCGGTTAAGCATCGAGGAAAGACGCTAGCAATCTGGTTGGATCCACTCAATGGGAGTTAGCGAGGTAGCCAGCTCCCAACATGTCTAACCAACACGATATTGGTAGAGTCCTATTCCTTGCAATACCGATTCCATATTGCTTGAAGCAACTGGACTTAATTGCCCAACGAATGCCCCATAACGAAATATCTGCTTACTTAATCTCCCTTTGCGCTGTCTCGATGACGCTTGATAGACCAAGCCGCTCAACTAACAGATACCTTGTCTATGTACATACTTCCACATCGGGATTTCACAGTATCCTTAACTGCACTCGAGACCTGGGAGCCAGATCCATAAGGTTGTCAAAAGCTCCGGCTTTCGGTAACCCAAGTCTCTTCTGGCGGCCGGCCGCAAAACTGGGGACGCTCGGGGCTTCACAGCAATTTTAACTCCCTCCAAGGCCTGGAGGCTACATCAAACTTTGGCTCCATACTCAATACTTCAAATGCAAGCTTGCATGTAGGTTTCCGAAGATGAAGATACATACACCAAAACGTGTAAAAGCAATTACATATTGAAAACTCCGTCAGATACCGAATAGCCTCCTCGTCTCATCGATGACGGTCAACACACCACTACACAAGTCCAGCATTTCAAAACAAGATTCAATTAGTCAATTGTATTGTAGAATAAACGCCCAACGTCACACGTAGCACATTCGAAACCCTATAAAAAAACTAATAAAGTAATAAAAAGAATCAGGGAAAGAAGAAGCAACAAATTCGCCCAAGTCAGAAAAATGCTCCTTGCCTGTGTGCCCCTTGTTACAAGCATCACGCCCAGTAGTAAGACATCGTATGTACGTCTGTATGTACAAAAAAAAAACAAAGAAGAAAAGGTATAACAAGTCCTAAGCAGGCTGCATCTCGTCCCGATAAACACTCTCTTTGTCTATGCTGCGAGGTATTTTCCCTTTACTCATGTTTCTCGTGTCAAACAATGGCCGGCCTGTCGCTGATCAAGTTCGAGAGCTGAAAAATCCGCGTCACTGTGCATTGTACTCCAAAAACTCCAGAAAGGTATCGGCCGTGTACTTCCAAGGAGACGAGGCCACGGATCGGTCAACGTCCCCGAGCGCCAGTAATAAATAGCGTTGGAGCCCGCTTTCAAACAGTCCTCTTGAAAGTAAGAGGGGACGAAATAAAGGAAAAGGGAAGAAGGAAAATGCCCCCTTCCCACAACAAAATAGCTTAACGTACATGATACCGCAAACTTTGGCTACAAACCTGTCGGCCTCCCTAGTGTATGGCTCCCGATAGCTGTTCATCTGATGCCGTTTCTGCCATTCTCACCTTACCATGTCGTCTTGGGGGTGGCGCTTTGGGGGGTGTCCTTTTCGCGGCAACTTTGCTGATGTGTACCGTAGTGGAGGCCACATGCTTAAAAGGAATGCCATGCTTGTGTTTGGGGACCGCTGGTAGAGGCTTCTTAGTTTTGCCAGCATCGTCTTCTACCTCCACGTAACGCTCTGAGTGCTCCATGCCCCCTTTCGAATCATTCTTTCGACTTGGTGTGTGCACACCTGGCTTTTCCGTGACTTCAGCCACATCACTGACACTAACACTGCTGGATGAATCTCTTGGAGAAACACTCATGCCTAGGAGCTTTCGCGCAACTTCTGCCTGTCCCGATGCTTCAGAATCTGCGTCGTCGTCCGCCTCGAGCCATTTGACCCTGGCTATTCGGTCTACCAGTCGGAGGGTTGTCGGGTCAGCAGGAGCAAAGTGGGCGGTGTGGGAGCCCCTCAGGATATTGATCAAGCGGAGAATCTCATCCTTCTTGTAGTGTGGCGGCTGGTTCATCTGCGTATGAGCCAGCAGAGGATACATAATTCGCAGGTACGTATGCCGGAGGGACATTCTCTCATCCGGGAGATCCATCAAGTTTCGAATGAAAACATCCAATAACACTCGCAAATCGTTTGTATAAAAGTATTCGTACGTCGCTTTCGTGGTAAAGAGAAGATACAGAAGCTTGAGGATCAGCAGCTGGAGAGATGTCTCCGTCTCTCGATTCAAGAGTAGAATGATATTCTCCCCAAATGTTCGATACTGTGGTCCGTGGAGACTCAGGCATTTTACAATACGATTTGTTAGAGGCTCGGGCGCCGAGCCGTCCTTCGTCACGGTATCTGTAGACGCAAGCATGTATTGCTCATTCAAGACAAGCTGTTCCCATGTGTCAGCATGCCTGAATGTTGACAGACGGCCAATCCTTCTTCAGTGTAGAGGGCGAGAACACTTACTAGTACTCTAATGGTTGGATAATGGTATGGATCGTTAACGTCGTTGGACACGCCCTCGATTAGGCGAAACAATAAATGTATAAAGTTATCGTCGACCAGTGCCAAGTCTTCCGGCGCAAGCCGCTCTACACGCGACATCTCATACATGAGCTGCAGCAGGAATCGATGGAGGCGCGGGTCATCATCAGAGTCTCGGCTGCTAATCAACTCCAAAAGGCGAGGAAAACATGCTTCCTGGATCATGTGCGGAAACGTCGCCTCGTCCGCGTGGCCGTCGAGCAGGAGCATGCATACTATGGCGTGGAGCGGCCCGGACTCGTCCTCCTGCAGCAGGCTATAGATGAGCTGCTTGCGGACATACTCCTTGTTCCGCTGAAATATGTCGCTCTTCAATAAGATCTGCGAGCACAAGACAACCTCGTCTTGCGACGTGGGTTGCTGCAGGCGCAGCTTGGTGGTCAGATTCAGCCAGGAACGAAGGGCATCGTCGATGGATTCGTGGCTGTCGCAATGTTCCGAGACGCACTTGTCGAGCTCTAGATGGGCGCGCTGCTGTCAGTTTCTGTCTCCCAAGTGTGTTGCATGTCGCTGGTCCATCGACTCACCAGACCACAGCCCATCTTCCTCCTCGGGAGAGAGAGGAGAGAGCGGAGATGGTACCGCCTCTTCTTCGTAATCCGCCATGGCTGCCAGGTCCCGCAGCACGTGGCAGCGACTGCATCTGGCCCTCTACGCAGACGATTTGGCGATAGTTGGCAAACTGGGGAAGAGAAGAAGAAGACCAAGCAGACCAAACCGCGACAAGACCCGCGGCAGGACGAAAGGGCACGTCGACAAAGAAAAAGTGCGCCAGACAGTCGGCAAGCCCCAGTTCCGGTCCCCAAATCCCAGACCCTGTCCCAGACCCTGAACGGGCTCCTGATTCCTGATTGACCGGGTTTGTGATGTTCGGGATGCGAGCGGAATGCAGGCCCCGTTTGATGTGTGGGGTAAAAGGGAAGAAAAGAAGGCGATGATGCTTCGGGATTGATGTTGGAGCCAGCAAGTAGCCTGATGTCACCCAACAGGCGCAGCCGATAAACGGTGGCACTAAGAAAAATTATATTCCAACCGCAAGCCACTAATTACATGCGCCATGCTTGCTAAATTAAGAGGCGCTGACTTGGTACTCCGTATAATCAATTTGATATCAAATACAGCATCAACAGTCTACGGCAGGTGTCTATTAATCTTTGGATGATATCTAGTATAATAGAGGCATAAAATATCAGTAAGAAGGCAATTCTTTTTCATATTTAAATAACCAACGATAAGGACGAATTGACATATCTGCAGCATCTCTCCATCTACTAATGTAATCACGTTCAGTTGATAAGGAGGCACAAGTATCCTTGTCATCACCCCAAACGCCACTTCGTATGAGCCTCCTTTTTCATCATTTCCGCAGTGGCTCCAAATCTCCATCCACGCTTGGCTCCGTGCATCGGTACCTGATAAGACATGTCTTGTCCCTGACATAGGCATCTCCCATCAAGACCCTCCAACTCCAAATTAAACATCATCACAACTCAACATTATCTGTAGGGCTAGTTCTCAACTATATTTTATCTTGTCTACTATTCTATCTACATTCGCAGTGTTCGAGGGTATTCTTCCATCATGAAACCAGCACTCCGCCCGCCTCTTTTGCATATGTACAGCTCCCCACGCCAAACGCCAAATTGCCCATCCCAACCCAACCAAGCCTCCCGCACAGGCAAACCAAGACACCAGATTAACGACATCATTCTATGATTTGTTCTTCTTCTTCTTCTCGGCTCCGCCTTCCTCCTCATAAATCTTCACCTTGTCAGCATAAGCCTCAATATTGCTAACGATATAGTCGGTGATGGTATCTCCTTTGCCGGCAGCGACTCTCAAGATCAGCTCGTTTAATTTCTCTCTTCCTAAAATGTCGACGTGGTCGGCAGTATTGGGGCCGCCTCGCGGACTGAATCGATCAGGCTCGTGGGGCATCTCTACTACTGTGACCTTGGCCCCAGCAGGGTTATATCGTTTCATGTGCCACCCGCGATTGCACATGTAGCCAGCGCTCAAAAGATTCACAGTGCCGTCTCCCTCGCCTAAGATGACGCCATGATCGATGGGACCGTCGGTGAGCCCAACATCGATGGTAATGTTGAGGTTGGTCAATAGAGGTAGGTCTGGCGCTTTGTAATAATATGATCGCTCTGTGGGTTTGCCAACACCATAAAAGCAGTATATCTTGAGATTTGGCGCCAGAGGAAGTCTGCTCTCGAGGGGATTAACCCATTTTCTAGGGTCCTTTTCGTTTGCTTCCACCTCTGCAGAGGTATGGGCAACGCCATGAGAATAGCTTCGTTTAACTTGATCCTTATACCAGTCCTCGGTCGTGTTGAAAAGATACTCCATGGAGGCATCGACGGTAAAGTTTCGATCGGGAGTCGTCCAATTCGAGCCAACCCGAAAGTTGAGAAAGGATCCGTATGTGAAACCTTGGTCGGGCTGGTCATCCGGTGCTCCGGTTAAGTCTCCCCAAACAGCGTTACCTCCAAGAGGCAGCATCGATGAAATGCCCGGCATGGCTCTGAAAATCTCCGCTCGCTCCTCCTTGCTCAAGAACTTTTCCAGCCCATAGATTGCCAAGGCATTAAGCTGTGCAGTATCGCGCATCTCTCCGGATAGTACGGCCGTCAAATCCTTGACCGCACCCAGCATGCAGCCGCTGATATTGATCCAAGAGTCGACATGACGTTCCACCCAATCTCCTCCGCCACGGCCGCCCAGTTCCGACTCAACCCAGTGATAAAAGTAAAAGATGACTTGGCTGCCCATGCTGTGTGAGGCAATGACCACTTTTCTGCCTTCAACTGCAACGGCAGTTTCGATATATGATTTGAGCCTGGTAAAGTATTGATCTCTTACTTCAAGATTCGGATAGGAAAGCCTCCAGTCGTATGCGGCCGTGAACGAGTTTGTGGGGTCGTATCCAAGAGTGGCCAGGTTTTCCAAGACCTTGCTCCAAATCCAATACCCTGTGATGAAAAAGTCGGCTGCGTCAAAGCCCTGAGCAGCACGAAGCTTCACCAAGGGCGGATCAAGTCCAGTTCGCTTGTCCAACATGATGTGCTTTTTCCAAATCTCCTTGTCAAGAACCAAAGCTCTCATCATGGTCCAGCTACCCCACAGCCTCTTTCGAAAATAGGGCCTCGAGATGTTAGCCGTGCCCCAGGACTCCAGGCCCGTTGAGATGACACCCGGAATCATGATCATGGGGTGGTGAGCATCCAGGCCTTCAGCCCGAGCTCTCAAGCCGACAGAGAAAGAGTCATAGGAAGAAGTAACCTCGCGCTCTCCTTGAACGAGCTCTCGCATGTCCTTGACCAGGCCGGCCGGGATAACATCGAGCAGACTGTCCATGGTGAGATCCGTGAGCTCTGGTAGGTCGATCAAATCAGTTGACTTGGCAAAGAAGCCCGCAGCAACAAGGCCACAGAGACCACCCAGCAAGAAGATGAAGGTGTTGCGACGCTTGCGCGCCTTGGGCCCTCGCTCGATTACATGGACGTGGGATGTCGGCGGGGAATCTTCCTTGGAATCCATGGAGGTTTCGGCCGAGCTGGTCTCTGGCGGAATCCGCCTCCGAAGAGTTGTCGCCATGGTCGAAGCCGCCGTGCCAAGCCGCAGGACAAATAAAGATATGCAAGGGGTAAACAAGACGAAGCCGCGCCAGGTGGTCCAAGGGCAAAAGTTGTCCTGGAAGTTGAAAGTTATGAGCAGATTGGTTCAGTCCCAGTTGTCTAAGTAGCGGCTGACGTCAGTACGTTCGTCCGGCACGGGAAGAGCTCCAGCCTTTTTAGTGGCTGCCAGCGCTGTGGAAAGGCCGCTAGAAGTAACTGACAGCGCCAAAAGTTGCTTTTCAGGTTCTCATCTAGAGATCAGGATAGAAGAAGAAAAAAGAGCCCTCGAGGGAGAGAAAGTAGTTATATGCTGTAAACAAGGGGGAACGAAAAAGTCAGACGCGCGGTTTCACTCGTCGGAGCGCCCCAGCAGCCCGTTCCATTGGCTGCGGCAAGTTGCTGGAACCCGGTGTCAAGCATCCATTCAGATCCAAATTGGCTTTCCCTCGCCCGGATCTGGGAATCTCGCTGAGCTGAGCTCCAGTACAGGCACAGCTTTTTTAGCACGTTTTTTCTGCGACCCCCCATTAACATGTGATTGACCGTCACGCGACGGTAGGGAGCCTCCACCCTCGATTTGCTTTAGTCAGACTTACTTAGAGTTGCACCAAAAAGGCCAAAAGTTGCTTGCCAGGCACCCAACCTCTGTTGCCAGGCCTCTCGAAGGATTCCCTGCCTTTTCCGCCGATGCTGACCGGCCTGCCTGGTTGGCTGCCACTTTGGCTTTTTGCTCCCATTGCCGACTCACCGGCCGCCGGTTGAGTCACTCATTGGAGGAGGTGGTTGAACGAGAGAGGGGATAAAGAACGTGGGATAGACGGACAGGTTTCTGGCATCACATCGCTATTTCTTGCACTATTTCCCCAGACGGACAGCCCTTCACCGCAAACCAGCAAACCAGCAAAACACCATGGCAGGGTCGTCGACCAAGCAGCTGCCAGCCAACCTGGAGTATATCCAGTATGAGCACCGGCTGGAGGGCCAGTATCTCCCCGCCATCCGGGCCCTCATCTCAAAGGACTTGAGTGAGCCATACAGCATCTACGTCTACCGTTACTTTCTCTGCCAGTGGTCTCACCTTTGCTTCATGGTAAGCCATCTACCTCCGTCGAGTCTCTCGCCCACAGCAATATCTGATCGATTCAGGCCTTGGATCCAGAGGATTCATCCCTCATCGGCGTCATAGTCTGCAAGCTGGAGGTGCACTCATCTCACTCGCCTCCAACTCGGCGAGGGTACATTGCCATGCTGGCCGTGGCGTCGCATTTCCGTGGGCGGGGAGTTGCCACCGCTCTGGTGAAGAAGGCCATCGATGCCATGGCAAACCGCAATGCCGACGAAATTGTGCTGGAGACTGAGGAGACCAACACAGCTGCCATGAAGTTGTACGAAGGCCTTGGCTTCATTCGATCTAAAAAGTTGCATCGGTACTACCTTAACGGAAATAGCGCCTATCGACTTATCCTCTTACTCAAGGCCGTCGACCCGGATCAAACCTCTCTCTACGATGAACGGCAAGTCACATAGCTTGCATCGAGCTGTTGTCGTGATGTCCATACAAATAGAGAGAAGGAGGTTCCTCGGGGATATATCGGACTGTTATAGAGAGGCGGCATTTGGGTTGGCGTGGCATGGCACGACGTGACATGATATGAAAGTCATTAAAAAAACTTGGCGTTTAGCATATTGGTATCTACTTGTCCTAGCATACATTGTGTTTTATTCAGTCGGCTTGATACTCATGGGTACATCTCCCATTGGTTATTTCGGTATTGGTATCAAAGTATTGCAGCAATTTAGTGTACATTTCTTGTTGTTTTACCAATTTGAGAAGATGATCTCTATTTGGTGTCCTCTCAAGCTCGGCGAGGAAATACGTCGCCAGAGCTATAAATAGATGCCCTCAACCCCCACGCATTGCCGTGCGAAATACCAATATATGTGAATGCATCTGTTGGTGGTGTTTGTCAGTCTTCGATATTAGACATGCACAGAGCAGCAGAGAGCTTACCCGGTTTATAATATATAGGACGGCCTCTGGCCTCTACGAGCTTCAGCTCGCGCATTTTTTGCAAGACGCGCCCAACGTCTGCCTTGTCCGAAAAGTCGGATGTGTATATGCATAGAATGCGATCCTTGCGAGGATCCTCCAATGGCGATCGCGGCGCAACCTTGGCGGCGATGCCAAGCTCATTGTTTGCAGTTGCTTTGGCGACAATCTCCCACATCTCGTTGACTTCCGAAGCTGGGCAGAACAACAGCCACTACAGGTGAGGCTTGGTTAGCAACAAGGTGTCACATCATATCATCGACCAACTGGGACGAATCATACTTTGCCTGTTCGCACCTTAGCGAGATGGGCCAGTTTGAGAATGTCGTCGGTAGCCTGCTTCTGCTCCTTTCTGATTTCCCTCTCAACAACAGGCTTGGCCTTTCCCGACCTCTGCATTCCTTCGATAAACTTGGTGACCAAGTGAAGCCTCTCCAGACCACCTTGAGCGACGATAGCCGTCTTGCTGCCCTCTTCCTCGGGCGCCTCATCTTCATTCCCCTTGGAGAACTGGCTCTGGCTCTCATGCTTGTGTACCCGTTGGATGTAGGGGTTGCATATAAAGATCCATGGCGTATCTGGTGTCTGGTCAGTTGTTGCGGGCGGTAGCCGCGTGAGAAAATCGTCAATCGTCTCCGTCAATTGCCAAGCATACTGTATCCCGGCATATGGATTGTGCAGGTGAGAGGCTTCGTCGATGAAGTTTGTATGGCGCTGCGGACGGCCTGGATGCTCTCGCTGCTGCTGGGCCCATTCGTCCACGTCAAAGTCGGCGACACGCTGTAAGAGCTGCGATGCAACCTCATCATCACCTGAATTGTCCGGTTAGAGATGATACTTTCCAATCTTCCTCCGATCAGAAGAATGAAATATTAGATGAGATTCAAGGTACCATAAAAGTCAGAATCCTCAGAGTCCATGGCGTTGAGCCAACTCGCGCCGCAATCAGGTACCCGACACCGCCGCTACGGCAATTTGGCGTCTTCTGAAGCTCCCGTACAGGCTAACGTGATCGCACACAATTAGTGGGCATCAAAGTGCTTAATTGCTCAGCCGTAGCAGAGGAATGGACTTGGCTGAGCTGCCACAGGAATTGGCCCGGCCAGGTGTGTTTCGGCGAGTGCGTTTGCCCCAAATTACAAGTACAAGCAGCGCGTGGGTGATGAGGCCATGGCATCAAAGTTGCTTGCAAAATATCGATTATTTATCAGGCTTGGTCATAAAAGAAGCGTTAGAACAGGATAATGAAGAATTGTAAAGAGACAAAGGTTCACCCGCGGGGATGGTCTCTTTATGTAGGTGATGAAATGTGATAATCCACGTCTTCGTCTTGGTTTACAACGGCCTCCCCTGCAAGCTCAAGCTCTCTCCAGTGACTGCCGCCGGGCTTGACGGGAAGCTATCCGATAAGCTCCACCGCCGCCACAGCGATTTTCTTTCTCTTTCCCAGCACCACATGCAACGGTTCATCAGGTGAAGCATACATGTCTTCGGTTTGACCGCCCATCAGCTTGATTTATGCTTCCTTTCCCCAAAATTCACGCCCTCTCTTAGCATTTGCACCCTTCACCAAATATGGAAGAGTTGACCCCCATCGCCTCACTGCAATCACTGGTCTTGGACCTTCCGCCTAGCTGTGCCGAGTTCTGCCCCGCGCATCCTGAGTATTTGGTGGTGGGAACATACAACTTGCAAAAGGACGACACCGAACCAGCATCGGCACAAGAGGAGGGTGATCATGATGATTCAGCAGCTCCCAAACCTCAGAATAGAAACGGTAGCCTCATCGTTCTCAAGGTGGAAGGCAACGACGTGTAAGGCTGCACCTCTGACGTCTAAGAGGCTGGTCAGGCTGCTGGACTACTGACTGCTGATGAGGAAAACAGATCAATAGTGCAGACCGTAATGCAACCATCTGCTCTGCTGGACCTCCGCTTCTACCAGGATGTGCCAGAGTATCAGAACATCTTGGCAGTGGTGTCCAGCACTGGAACCCTTGCCATGTTCAAATTCGACCCGCTCAGAGACGCCAGCGCGCCATTGCAGCACTTGACTACGAGCAGATGTGAGGATCTCGACGACGATGTCCTCTTTCTGCAGTGCAACTGGCATCCGATTGCACGTAGGGTGATTGGAGTCACCACCTCTACCGGATTGGCAAGGCTATTACAACTAGACGATGAGTGGAAGATAGCAAAATCTGCCGACGTGGACATTCAGAACTCTCTTGAGGCTTGGTGCATAGCTTTCTCACCTACAAGCGCTTCATCACATGCAACGAACCAACCTATCTCGGCCTACTGTGGGGGGGATGACTCCATGCTTCGATATACGACCTGTCACTGGCAAGAGGAAGGGGATCAAGATGACCCATCGTCAACCCTAGACACGCCGTTCGGCTCCATAACAGTGAAGGGGCAGCACGATGCAGGAGTAACTGCAATTCTGCCCCTGTCGCTATCAACTCAGGATCAGGGTAGAATAGTCGTCACTGGAAGCTACGATGACCATTTGCGAGTCTTTGCCATTCATGATCTTCATCATTCGTATGGCCTAAAGCGCGTGCAACTGCTAGCGGACGCGAACCTTGGAGGCGGGGTGTGGAGGTTGAAGCTGGTGGATATCCGGACGGCGGGAGGCTCGACGAGGATACGAATCCTGGCATCTTGCATGTATGCCGGAGCAAGGCTCGTTGAGATCGTGGCAGACGCCAATGGACAGGGTTGGCCTTGTGAGATCTTGGCCCGATTCGAAGAGCATAAAAGCATGAATTATGCTTCAGATGTTGTGCCATCGCCAGCAGAGGACGGGAAGATGCGCGTTGTCTCGACCAGCTTTTATGATAAGCTGCTCTGTCTGTGGGAGTATGAGCCGCGGCAGTAATACTAATGAATTGCCTGTGATGTCAAGCCCGCTGTGACAAAAATACATACCTATTGTTTTGAGAATGGAGGATGGAGCCGGCCAACAGGCATAGCCAAGTGGGCGGTTTGCCTCATTGGGACAGCAATTGTCTTTCTAATCCAATCCTTCTAGAAGACGGAGAGAAGCGAAGCAAGCTAGACATGAATTCCGGGTAATCAAGCAGGTCCGGCGCGGGGTGCATTCGGCAGAGGCATGCTGTTGCTGATCAGCCAGGACAAGGCCCGGACCAGAGGCCATCAAAGCGATGCATCACACACCACACGCCCCTCCACCAAGCTGCAGCGGTTCCACTGGGGGGAAATAGTACGACGACAGAAGATCCAGGGGAGCTGCCCGGCTCCACCGCCGCCTGTCCTGTGCTCTCTGGGCCGAGTAAAGCAAGTGATCGAGTGTCATTGGAGTCTGTATGCTCTCTCCGTAGCCCGCCCTCTCAGCCTTGCAGAACGGTGCCACCGCAGTCGCGTGAAGAAACTTGAGGCATTGGAAGGCTGGCGAGGCCTAAGCTAAGGAGGCGTCGTGTGCTGTGTTGTGCCTGTGCCGTGGTGTTTTTGCCTTCAACGTATCCATAGGTTGTTAATAGTGCCTTTTAGTGGCTCGCTGGGGCCTGTAAGGCTCCATCTCGGGCCTAACGTCGCCTAGGCTTTCGTGATCCAAGGTCCCCTAAAAAGGTAACCTTGAACCTTGAAAAGAAAGAGCCTCAGTTTACAACAGTTGCGTGAAGTAGAAGCTGGATCCTCCCGCTCTTTTCTGCCAGCTGACCGCCTTCACCTCGTGCTCCGAATAATCACAATCGTGCACGTTTTCCCTCGCCATCAACCTTCTTCTATCATACTATTAATCTTTTCGTCTTGCAGTCCCGTCTTCCTTTAGCCTCTGACATTGCAGTTGAGTCACTTAATCCATACAAGTCGAACCCCGCTGGCCGTCTTGCTACCGACGAGCTGTCACCTCAATAACCAAACAAATTATCCGGGCCCCCCTGCTCTTTTTTATTTTTAGTGAACAGCAGCCACTCTCGATGCTCGTGCCCAAGCCGACCGACTTCTAATATTCTCTTGAGGCTGTCTCGTGGGACAAAAGCATCCCCGATTGCGCCGCGTGCCTTGCAGCGTTTCTGCTCGCGCCTCTTTGGCTGATTATCAATCATGTCTTCCAACTCCAACGGCGGCGACGCGAGAAACGGCGACGCAGACGTGCTTGCCAAGATTCACCTTGCGCTTGAAGTGGTTCACAGCCCTCACTCGACCAACGATGCGCGTAGGGAAGCCCAATCTTTCCTCGAGGAGGTCAAGGACATCCCCGAAGCTCCCTTCCAAGGCTACACCCTAGCCTCCGACAAGGCCCAGGCGCCCGTCGTCCGCCATTATGCCTTGTCGCTGCTCGAGCATGCCATACGATACCGATGGGCCAGCTATACCGACGAACAATCCCGAACCCTTCGAAACTGGGTGCTGGAGCTCAGCCAGGCCGTTTCCAAGGGCGACCCATCATATCTGAGAAACAAGACTGCCCAGCTCTGGGTGGAAGTGGCCAAGAGAAGCTGGGGCTCCGACTGGACGGATATGGATGCCATGCTCGTTGAGCTGTGGCAAATCCCCAATTCGCCCGCTCACAAGGAACTTGTCATGTTTGTCCTCGAGGCTTTATCGGACGAGGTTTTTGCCGGAGATGACTCTGTTGTTGCCATGAGGGAAGGCGTCCTTAGCAAGGCGTGCGTCGAGATCTTTACTCCCACTGCGGTCCTGATCGAGGCGTTCCCCAATCGTCAGCCCGGTCCAGATGTTCGATGTGGTCACGAGGGCTGGCTCAGTCGACTTTCAGACTTCCTCGGCTTGTGTATCAATGCTGACGCCAATGACGAGGTGAAGATGTGCATTGTCAAGGGATTCTCCGTCTTCCTATCACTTATGCCGTGGGCTATTCCAAGAGCTATATCCTCTGCTCGCTGCGTGGATATTTTGTCTGCTGGCCTAGCGTCGCCGTCGACCGAAATTCAAAAGGTGAGACAAATTTATCGGTTTGCTAACTCCCTGCGATTTGTGCTAACAAGCTCCCAAACAGGTCGCTCTAGATGCCCTCCACGCTCTGTATTGCCGGTCCAACTTTACAGATGAAGAGTTCAGGGACCTCGTGGCCCCCATGTACAGCAATGCATCCATTCAACTCTTCAAGCAGCTCATTGATCGGTCAGAAGTCGACGCCGAAGATGTAGACGAAGACAAGTATCAAATCTTGAAGAGGTTATCTGAGGTATGACCCCTGATAGTAAACAGCCGCACGGGTCCAGTTCTCTCCTAACAAGCGTTGCGACAAACAGATGCTCTCGAGTTTAGGTGATTATTTTGAGAGGAAGCATTCCCAAGTCCCTCTTGATGCAAGCCCGGAAGGCTTCCTGCAGCTTTTGCTCCAAGTAGTACAACACCAAAGTCTCATGGTGTCAATCCCGGTCTTAGTAACGTGGACGAGACTGCTTGCGAACAAGGTGATCGGCCCAAGTGACATTATTACATCCATGATAGGGCCTCTTCTCGAGGTCTGCAGCTCCAGATTGGTCCGATATGAAAATCTGCCTCAAGATACCTCTGACCCAACATTCCTGTTCCTAATGGAGGATACCGATACCATCCCTGAGCGCCATGCCTTCCTGGGCAATTACCGCCGCTATAGCTCACAAGTCGTTGAAATCATTGTGCAACTCAAACTAGTCGATGCTGTATCGCATATCCTGGGGCGCACCGAACAACTCCTGCTGCATCTCTATGATGGACAGCCTCCATTTAGCAGTGAGACATTGCCGCAGCTCCGACGTTCCGATTGGAAGCATAGACTGACGTGATTAGAACAAAACTATTTCAAGCACTCCATGCCGGTTCTGCAGGTAGACGCTCACTTCACTCTAATTGAGGCCTCGTTGAAAGGATACGCAAAGTGGAAGAGGTCACACCAACACGACAACGTACGTGGCAAAGAACGCTTCTTAGTTGAGACGATTATGCTAACTGATTAACTGGACAGCAGCAACAGATAGCCGAGCTTGAGTCCAGCCTTGAGGGCTGGTGCACGAGACTTTTGGAGATGAACTTTGAGGTATGTTCTCTTTTTATAAGAATACTATAGCCCAATCTTGGCATTGACTAACGCTCGGTGCCCTCCAGGATCCTTTAATCCGAAGACGAACTCTACAGTTACTCGTCTACTTCTCGACAAACGCCCTGAACAAAAACGCAAACTTCATGCTCAAAGTCCTGGAGCACATCATTCTCACATGGCCTGTGTTAGAACCAGCGTATGGCGCGTACAATGATGCCATTAAAGATTTTCAGGTTGAGAGCATGGTCGAGCTGCATCGCCTCGCGATCGGAATGCCTGACCACCTCCTGGTATGCTTCTCTTTTATGGGCTATTCATATACTGCGTACTGGAGGGCTAACTTTTTTGAATCATTAGGGGGTTTACGACCAAATCGAAGCCCGTGTGAATGAGATGATGTCTACCGGAAAGCTAGATGATAGAAGAACCCTTGCTTACCGAAGCTTTTTGTTCTTAATCATGTAAGTTGCAACATCCGACGTTTATCAGCAGATTTAGTGTTGGTTCTAACCCAGGCCCCAAGACATCGAGCCAAGAGCCTTGATGCCCCGGCAAAGATCCAGAAATTACGAGAGTTTGTTGAACCAGTCAAGGCGCAATGGCAAGAGGAGAATATCAAGTCTGCCGTAAAATCATACTCTGGCTTCTGCGAACTTCTTGGGCTAGATAAGGCTCAAGCATACTTGGTTAGCCGTCAGGCACACAATATCAAAGATTGGGGCTCCACTGAGCTTGACGCAGAGGGATTAGCCCTCCAGAACGAGTTGGAAGAGCGCCTCAAGGTACGTGTGACCCCTATTAATCCTATACTCCATGAGAGCATGTGCCAACACAACATCACAGCAATTGCCACTCCGTCCGACGAAAACCCTTCTTGCACTCTCTGTGGACCGAGTCGACAAGTCATCCACCGCATTCCAGGCTACCTCTGTGATTTGGGAGGGAGGATTTGCAAGCATTCTGGCGGATTTACTGCGTCTTTTGAGGTACGTACTCGATTTGGTCGAGATGCTGTTGTTTTTGTCCTTTTACTAATTTCGTTCCAGCTATGCCCACGCGTCGCATAACCCACATAATTGGACAGGATTCCCAGAGGGCATGCGCCACATGGTTGATAAAGTCTTGAGCGATCGATTTTGGCAGGCCGGTATCTCTGAGGGAAGCAAAGATGATTTCTACGCTCGAGTGCTTGATAAGAAAGGCACGATAGAGGGCCTTGCATCCACGATTCGTGGCTCGGTCCGTTTTGTCCGCGAAACAGCGTATGGCGTCATATACTGTATGAGCAAGCTTCATTCGCAGTTTTACGGGTTCAGCGAGCTCGCCGCTCCATTGTCCGAGGCCTTCTTCTCAGACTCCATATGGCTGTCTACACACCAGCAAAGCAACCTGCTGAGTCTGGTACGGCACCTCGTTGACGACTGCCCTGTTGATTGCCGCGAAAACTTCTTGCCCAAGCTTTTATCCTCGTGCTTCCAACAGATGGATACCAAGATCAACTCTGAGTGGGCAAAGCTAGAGCAGCAGCAGACCGTGGTGGCAGATGGAGATGCCGAGCTCAAGGAGGAGATGAAGTCTGAGAGCATTCTCCGACAAGTGACGTACACTGCCGTTGTGCTGGTCGCAGACTTTTTGGATCCAACCAAGCCAAGTAGGATGAACCCCTCAGCATTCCCGATTTGTTTGCCATTGCTAACTCAATATATAGATCCTCCAACCTTGAAGTCAGAGGTCGAGAATGCTGGCGAGCACACCCTCCTTTCTGGGGAAGCCTATCCCTCTCTTCGAAAGTTTTGCTTGTCCCGCCAGGAAATCATCGAACCACTCTTGCTTTTCTGCATGCATGGAATTCGGATGCGAGACATTCGATGTTGCGGCATGCTACTGCGACTGTTCATCTCTTTGGTGCCGGAATTTTCGACGTCTGGTCAAGGATCCAAGAAAGCAACTTCTGATGGATTCAACGGGACCTTGGCGGATCAATCAACTCCCATCCCTTCGGAAATCGCTACGGCTGTGCGAGAGTATATCTCTTCGGACGTACTGAGATCATGCATCACATCCTTCCACGAGCCATACTTTGTAGATGTGCAGAAGGAGTTGGCATCGCTCATTGCTACCATTGTGGTCTATTATAGCACAATCACATCAACGCCAACCGACGTTCTCTCGGCACTGCCCAATGTCAATCCCGCAGAACTGGAGCGCCTGAATGCCTACGTCGCCAAGCCCGGATCTCACACTCGACAGCAGAGAGCCATCGTCTTGGAATTCCTAAAGGATCTCAAAGGAGTGAGCGTCTCAGAGATGGGAAAGCTGAATAAGGGCTTCGACAGTTCGAGCCGGTCTAAGCGCCCAACTCGGAGCAAAATGGCACAGGGCTTCATGACTAGCGCTCCGGCAGCGGCTGATGCTGCAGGCCGCAAGAGGGCTGATGCCGCAGGGGGCAGGGCTACGCCTGATGGCCTGGAGGGCATTTCTAATTTATTTGAGGGTTAAAACAAAAAACTTTGGATAGCAGTTTAGGCTGCCAGAGTGCCGATAGAGGCGAACTAAAAAAGGATTTAACAATGGCGACAATGGGGCGTAACAGGAGTTTGCCTTTTCCCTATTTGTCTTATACTGTTCTATATTATAGCACATCTTTTGCTTTATTAGAGCCTGTGGTGCGAAAGCCATAGGTGGATGGATGGAAGATATAAAGAAGAAATCTGAGAAAGGGGAGGGTAGGGGATTTTTCGTGGGAAGAAGCTGAGCAGTGGTGTCATATGCCATGCAGACTGGCGTAAGAGGCATGGGATGAAGTTGTCATACCGCCTCAAGGCACCGCAGGGATTCTGGTAATTCAAGGTGGACAAAAGCCACGAAAGGGGAGGAGAAGACTCGTAGTTACTAGTAATATTAATGATATTTACTAGTAATATTAATGATATCTAGTAGCACAAGTTGGAGCTATTTGATAACTTGGACAGGCGTTTACACCCCGTCTTCCGTCCAGTCCGTCTGTGAGTGTGTGTGGCATCTGTCCTAGACCATGTCCAGAGGCGTTGCTAAGGCGGTTTGAACCCCTGCCTAGCATCCCTTGGATGATTCCTACATATCATGAGAATATTTCCGAGAGGTGCCAAGGGTGGTTGTTGTGATTGGGGCTGGGGCTTGTGTCGCCTGAGATTGTCAGTTGGACGTTGGAAGTACGAGGTCCGGAGTCCGGATTTACGGCGGTTGGGTTTGGTTCAGCTGTTTTGCAGGAGATATATTATTGAACGGTTCACCCCTTGTGTGACTTTTACGGGTGCGTATGCATGCATGTAGGCGAACTTGGTGGCATTAGCATCGTCATCATCCGCATGAGTACCTTGGTATTAGACTACAGGGGCTGCTGTCTGGAAGCATTGTGCGAGTATGTCCCTCAACTAAGGAGTGCATAGGCATACATATGTACCTAATATTGCAGGATGAACACGTGAGAAGTAAGAAGATTTGAAGCGGAAAAGAGGGAGGGAAAAGAGAGAAGGTCACACACACACAGACAGAGAGAGAGAGGCAAACATGAGTGTTGAGCTGAAGCTGGGCAGGGCCTCTGTGGGTGTGACGTGCAACGAAGGGGGGGTCGCACGTACGAGGAGGCAACGCTGTGATCCGTTCTCGCTTCGCGTGTTTGGCCTACCGGGGAGAGACGGTTCGGTAAAAGGACAGGCTTGGGATGGCGATGGTGGTTTTTTTGGCTAGGTAGGGAGGTAAGGTAGGTTTTCTTGGCGGTTGGATTGCGGGCGTTGGTGGTTGGGATGGTGAAGATGGTGAGGGTGAAGATGGTGAGGGTGAAGATGGTGAGGGTGAAGATGGTGAGGGTGAAGATGGTGAGGGTGAAGATGGTGAGGGTGAAGATGGTGAGGGTGAAGATGGTGAGGGTGAAGGTGGTGATGGTGAATGGTGGTTGTATACTGTATCTTACTTACATGGATGGGTTGGTTGCTCTATGTACGGATAAACTCTGACTGACCCCGTCGTAAAGATGCATTGACACCGAGAGTTCATCGGGATCTAGACGCCCAAGGCCTGCCAGTAGCCTCCATTCGGAACTGCACGTAGCCTCTTTTTGCGCACCCGCAGCATCCATTGGCCGGAGCTGTATCCTCCATCTCTCACCATTCTTTCCTCTGTTTTCTATTCATAGCTCAATTCTATTTTCCTACTCTTTCTCCCATCTTTTGTTTCGTTTTCTTGGCCCCCGTAACAGCGGTGCCGTGCTAGTTCACCTGGAGTAGCGGCAGATGGAACCCCCCATGACACTCGTCAAACCAAACAGAAGCGGTTCCCTTTGGACCTGTCGCAGCTAATTATAGCCCGAAGACCGAACTTTGACGGCTCGTGAGGGTTTGGTTTAGTGTAAGCGGTAGGCCTAGGTATTGACATCAATGCGTTTCGGTGAGGCTTCTCGCTAGCCGCGCTTCTCCAGTGTGCCAAAACCTGCAGCTCTGCATCTCTGCATGAGAGACTTTGGCATTAAAATGGACTGCTGGTCTAGGCCAGGGGCTTGATCAGGTTGATCAGGTCACTCCGCAGCTTGACCCCCAACAAGCATAACTAGCATGTGTCTAAGTGGCAGCTTTCTCCAAGGATGGATGAGCTTTGATCCTGCTGTTGGTGGCATCTCTTTTCTTTTTTTATATTAAAGTACGAGGCGCGGAGTCCGGACTTTGGGGAGTCCAATCTCGGCCAGCTGCTGCTTGAACGAACCATGCACAGCAAATAAGAACTGTTGGATGAGCTTTTTTGACCTGCGCAACGGTTGCACGGCTTTGTCTCCACTTTGGCAGCAAAAGAGTCTTCAGCATTTCCCGGGATCTGGGATGTCAATTTGTCATGATATTGGTTTGGTTCCGGGTGGATGTAAGAGTAAGATTCCAATACGGATGGATGGGAGATGTTGGAGATGGTATAGACACCCATGGCACGGCACTCGCAGGAAACAGACCTGTCTGGCCCCTAGTTTAGCTGCTCGGTTAGCGGTCAAAGTCTCTGTGCCCCAGTACATCATGCATGGATTTGATTGATTAGATGGATTCAATGGCGTTTACTCTACTGTAGCCCCTGGCACCTGTCAGTTCAGTTCAGTGTCTGAGGCCTGGCAGAACTGAGATCCATGGATCCGCGACACGGCAGGTTACATCTGCTAAAGTACCTAGCCCAACGGCCACCGTAGACAGGGTGCGCGTACAGGTACAGGCTCAAAGACCAGCGCCTCCACCGTGCTGCCTACACCCGTACCAATACCGACCCGTGAGCTTCGTGTCCCACGCAGGTACCGCCAAGATCTCGCTTCCAGGTTTCTTCGTCGTCTCGTGCGAAGTGCCGTTGCCATCACGCTGCTGTGACGAGACGAATTTCACCCTCCCGCGAAACCCGTCCGTTTCCTTTCTTTTTCCTTCTTTTCCTTCGTTCTTTCAACCCTCTCACTTGATACCTGGTCTTTGTGAGCCGTCTTCTGTTTGGCTGGTCTAAGTTGCTGGTACATTGCATCGAGACCGTTCTTCATCCCTGGAGCCTCCTATTCCTTGTTCCTATTTTCAGTCTTTTTCCCCCTCATTCGTCGTCATCCCGGAACTCGCGCTTCACGTGTCCCTCCTTTATTCTCTTTTTCCAACATCTCCTCTTGTTGATACCCGCGCCGGATCTACAAAGGAAATCTGAATACAAGTGAGTCCGAGTCAGTTCGAGTTAAAGAGGCTGAGCCAGAGCGAGAGCCTGGCAGGCGAGCGGCAGAGGCTCCCCGGTTGACGGTTGACACGCCTGAATCTGACCAAGATCCCGGCTCGCTAGAAATCCTGCAATCCGGATCCGGACTTCGCTTACAGCAGCACGAAGTGGACGGCATACCTCTCTCTAACTCTGCCTGCGATAGCTTCATACGCCGCAACCCTTCATCCAGCTCTTGACGCCCTGTATAATTTTCCAACTGCCCTAACCTTGGCTCCTTGGTTTCCTTGGCCCAGTCTCCAGACATCCAACTTCTTGTCCGATTCCAGATCGCTCCTCGTTGCTCTGCCGTGTATATTCGCCACCACTTTATCCGGGAGTGAACATCCAACCATTCATTAGCTACATTGCCTCGGCAAATCAGACATCCATTTCACCAAGTCGCTGCTCAACTCCTCTCTCATCGCAAGATACATCGCTTCTCGCCTACCTGCCAACACTCGGCATTTCTCGTCACTTACTGTTGCACCGTCATCCACCTGCCTGCCTTGTGACAGGTTGAGCAAACATTTCCCTTCGTGGCCTCTTGTTTACGGGCCCCCCTCCCTCTCCCCCATCACCATTGGGAGTTGCTTGGCGCCCTCGGATTCTCGTCTCTCGAATCTTTTCTCCTTCACCGTCACCTCCCGAATCCATAAGCTGGCTGCCTCGTGAGCTGGCCACTCTACAATCCCGCTGCGATTCCATTTCTAAAGACGATCCCCTCCGACTTCTCACTGCTTCTCCCCTTTTAATCCTCTTTTTCTATTCTCCGGCTCCCAGTCCCGAGATAGGGCTGCGTGGCTTTTGACTTCACACGCTATTTCCTCCTCATTCGAGCTCTCTCATCCCGATTCGGCAAGAGGGTCTGGTCCAATTTCGCCCCATATCAGCCTCAACACATTCTTCCTCTCTCCTATATATACATATACCTATATATCCACTCTCAGTGATCTGTCGTCTGTAGATTCATCTTTCGACGTTTCTGGTCACTTCTCCATGGTCCAATATCATGGTTTCGAGAATACGACATTCCAGCTCCGAACCCGATATTTTGTGATATAAGCCAGCCAGCTCCGTAAATCCATCATGGTCTACCAAGGCAAGCCTTCGAGGGGCTGTCAGATGTGCCGGACTCGTCGCATCAAGGTATGTCTCTTTGCTCCTTGTCCTGCTATGAAACCCCACGTCGAAACTCATCATCTACTAGTGTGACGAGACAAAACCTACATGCAACCAGTGTGCCAAGTCTCGCCGGCAGTGCCCCGGATACAGAGATGAGTTCGACCTAGTGTTTCGTAACGAGACCCAAGCTACGGAGAAGAGAGCGCAGCGGGCAACAAAAAAGGCTTTGGCGCAACGGATGACCAAATTCGCTCCCAGCTCTACGCCTGAACCAATGTTTTCAAACGGAGAAGATTCATCCGCTAACTCCTCCTTTGTGGCATCTCAACACTTGTCTTCAATGGCTTCATATGGCCGCAAGAATCAGCAGACCCCTTGGACCGGCCTTTACTCCTTACTGCAGAAGCCGCAGATGGACTTGGACGGCCAGGCGACTTGCCACTTCCTCTCCAATTACGTCCTCATTCCCCGGCAAGGCAACGGACGCGGGTTCCACGAGTATGTAGTGCCATTGCTGAGGGCAGAAGAGGTGGCCCCTCATTTCAAGGCCGCGTTCGACGCCTGCGCGATGGCTAGCTTCGCCAATACCCGGGGAGACCAGCTTCTAGTTGAACGAGCCCTACGTATTCATTCAAAGGCGTTGGGGGCTATAAACATAGCCTTGAACAACCCAGACACCATCAAGCAGGATTCCACACTGGCGTCAATCCTCTTGCTGGGGCTTTTCGAAAACATAACAACCAGAAACCTTGGCATGCTGGCTTGGGGACCTCACATCCGTGCCGCGATCCAGCTTGTCAGGAAACGAGGCCGCAAGCAACTGCGGACCAAAATCGGCGTCGCCTTGTTCATTGCAGTGCGAACCCAGATGGTAGGCTCTTCCTCTGTCATGCCACGTGTTTGATTCCTCGTATACTTTGATATCTTCCTGTTCTGACTGTAGTTTTCGTAGATTGTCCACACGCTCAGTACTGCCAAACCACCTCTAATGCAGGCGGAGTGGTGGCTTAATTCAGATTCTGTCCGGGATACGTATGCTTCCCAGTGTCAGAGGCTCGGCATCCGCACTGGGGAAATCAGGGCAGAGGTAAACCGGCTCATGAGCCAGCTCCCTCGAAACATGCAAAGCGTTGAAGCTATGAAAGACTTGATCAGACAAGCTCGGGAGGTGGACTTTGAGTGCATCCGATGGGCGGAGACGCTTCCAGATCATTTTAGATACCGGACAATCCTCTGGCAAGATGAAATTCCCGATGCCGACTACAGTCAGCTGGAAGTGTTCCCAGGCCGCGTCGATGCCTACCCAGACTTGTGGGTGGCCAGCATATGGGGCATGATGCGAATATCACGAATCATCCTGGCGTCAGTCGTGATTCGGTGTACAGCCTGGGTCTGCTCACCTGTCGACTACCGCACAGCCCCAGAATATGCCACAGCGAGGAGAATATGCGTGGAGAACATCACCGATATCATAGCTTCGGTACCCTACCAGCTCGGGTGGTTTAGCACACGAAAGCACCTGTTTCAGCAAGACAGCCTTTCTGGGTTTGCCTGCGGCGAAGACGATACTTACAAAAGCCTCTCTGGATACTTTTTAACTTGGCCGTTGGCTTGTATCCAGGGACAAGACTACACGACTGATATCCAGCGGACCTGGGCTCGTGGACGGCTCACCTACATCGGAAAGCATCTTGGCGTCTCGTATGCTCTCATGCTAACTCAGGTATGAAATCATCCCCCATTTCCGTTTCTGATAGCCTCTTTACGGCACGCACATGAGCAAGTATAGTTGGCTAACAGCTATAATCAACCCGCAGCTCCAATATCGGACTCCCTCTATGCTCATCAAAATGGATGGCACAATGGCCAACAGTCCGTCTGTCAACGTCGAGAAGCTTCTCTCCATGAAAGTCGCAAAACCGTCCGAGGTTTTACCCACGATGCCCATGGCACCGCAGATGTTCCGGCAGCAGATGTTCCAGGGTCAGCCGACTGTATTGGTACGTGAAGCAGCTGGAGAGCCAGCCATGGGTAGTCTGCTAACCCGAGACAACAGTTGACGCAGCACGCTATGTCGACATACGATGATACAAGTCCAGAAGGGGATTGAGATGCAAGACCATACGGACCGTTTCTTTTTTGTTATTTCGAAGGCGCATGCATCGGGCGATCAACCGAGGAAAAGGAAAGGTTAGGTCAGGCGCACAGGCTAGGAGCATGCCATACTTGCGTTTGGCAGTGTCATCATTTTGGTTTGATTTGGGAGAATTATCAGTGTGGATGCATTTAAGATAGAGTTAAATTTTAGGATATGTATGACGGCCTATTAGATGACTTGTTCAGTCAGTCAAGCGACGGCCGTGAGTTTGGCAGCCAGACGCTCCTCCGCAATACATTTCCAAAGATGTTTTATCCGTGAAAAGTAATAAAAACCAAGGCTCCCTCCCATTCAAGTCCTAATCGGCGAACTCTCATCAGTGCAAGTAATTCCTACCTATGCCATCTGTCACATGTCATCCCGACATTCGGATCCAAAGTTGACTCGTCAAGCTTATTTCTCACTTTGTTATTTCGAGCCTTTCCGCTTCCTATAATCCCAAAGAAACATTAGTTATGCATAAAAACACCTCCCCGCGACAAAGTAAATAGCTTCTCCTGGTCCCCCCATAGGTAGGTAGATATAGGTTGCAAAAGGTGGTATCGTTGTGCTCACATTTCCTCGTCCCTCTGCGCGGTCCCCAGGTTCCAGGCCTTGACGACGTAGCTCTGGGTCTTGTCGACGTATTTCTCGTTTTGCATCTGCTTGATGCCGACGCGGACGCCGTCCTTTGTGAAGACGACGTTCTTGCGGCCCATGCGCTCGGACGCGGTCTCGCGCATCTTTGTGAAGGAGAGGTAGATTTGGTAGAGGACCCAGCCGCAGCCGCTGAGGAGGGCGATGGCGATGATGAGGGGGATGATTTGGCTGGAGCAGAGCGGAAGATGCATGTTAGTACAGGTTGTCTTTTTGCTAGAGATATGTAAGGGATGGGGAAGAGTGAGAGAATGAAGGAGATCTTACCCCAAGGTTGACGCCATGATATTCAGGAGGGAGTGGCGCGAGGCGTTTAAGCGGGGGACGGGCGATGCAGTAGGCGGCTTTGTTGTAAAGTAAATCTGGGCGATCGAATATAGCCCGGGTATCAAGGTTTGTGTGTATTAAAGGCGATTTAGACGGCGAGGCGCAAACGAAGCAGGCGACTCTTGGGAAATGGACGTGGCGCGCGACCAGATGATGTCAAAGGAGCGAAAAAGAGTTAGAATGAAGAAAGTCCAAATGGTTGTAGCTGAAAGAAGAAGAAGAAAAATTGAACCCGTGACGGTTTGAGGGAGTGTGAAGAAGCAAGTGACAGCTTGGAGCGTGAAGAAGCTAGAGGGAGGGAATGGGAATGCAAAGATTAAAGAATGCGAATTGAATGCATGTGCAAGTGGAGGAGGCCTCAGCTTTGGGGATTTTTAGCTGCACTGGCGATTGGATTCTCGATTATTACTGCCCGAAATAGTAGCTGCACTACATATGTCTTTGTGCTGCGGGTTGGCAGCACTAGACCAGGTTGTTGATTAAGGCTATCAAGGAAAATACTATCTAGCGCTGGGAGTCACGCATATTCCCGTCAACCGCGCCTTTTTTGTTCTGACTGTTTGCTTGTTCCCCTTGCCGAATTCATGGTGATGCTTCCAGGGTCTTCATCTTGTTAGTTCGCGTTTGCACAAGCCAGGGGGGCCGCAGCCTGCAGTTACAGCGGCTCCCAGTGGGCTGCTGGTGACGCTAATGCGCTGGGGGCAGGTGGGCTGTGGCGGGCTAGCGAGGGGGACCTGAAAGTGGTAGTATTACTGCATCAAATCCCATGGATCTATTATTATCGCCCGTGGTCTATTTGATGTAGAGAGCATGGAGAGCAGAGCAGAGCATTGACGCAGCTACTGCGAGGAGACGTTTTGCGTCAATTGCATTGATGGTGCCTGCAGGGTTCGTCTGAAGATGGGTGACATTGGCACTAGAAGAAGCTCCTTGATATGGTATCAGGTATATGGGCAATTAATTGATGAGTCACTGGCAGCAAAGGAGTGAGCTCGAGAAGAAAAAAAGAAAAGTAAAGAGTCGGTAGCACAGCGTTGAGATGCTTCAGCTCGTGTAAGCAATTAATCGCATCAGCACAGCCGGGGAGCTTAGACGCGGTACTGCAGAGAGATTCCCCACAGCGAAAAATGTCCTAATTGGGGGTTCGCTGCAACGGCGATGATGATGATGATGATGGACAGGGGAGAGAGAGAACAGTCAGTCATAACTTATAAAGTATCAGATGTCAATTAATATTGATTACTGCATTGCACTGCATGCATCGACGGGGTGAACCACTGCGATGCCCTTGTCTGCTTGTCTACCTTGGCCGGGGGAGATTAGGGTCTGGATCAATTGCCGAATCCCGCCCGCTGTCTGCTTCAACTGCAGGTGGTGAAGAACCCATGGTTTCAACCAGCTTTTGAGGATCAACAGCTACCCTGCAGTTTGATGTATTGTGTGTGACTTTTGAGGGGAAACATGTCGTAATTAGATGCAAGATCCGAGATCACTGTTCTCGTCGCGGCAAGTCATCAGGAACCAGTCATCTGCCATCTACCCCGTGTTTAGATCTACCACGTGGCTTGATTCGAGCTTATTGCTGAGGATCAACATTATTACCTGGCCGAACATGCCTACTACCGTGGTTGATGGCATATGCCACTTTTTGGCCACCTTTCAACAAGTACCTGTACGCGTACCAATACGGCATGTATCCAGCTACGTGTTTTCAACGGCCTCACAATGTCTCGAAGCTTAACAGTGATGTGGATACCTCGTGTCCTTAGAAAATGTTTAGGTGTCCAATGCCAAAGTCGTTCTATAAAACCCACAACTGCCAATACAGCACAAACAATATTGACCTGCATTACTGGAGTCGCTGCTACCTTTACCTGTTAGTGCCTGTTAGTACCTCGTACTCCACCACGTCTCAACCTCAACGCCTCCCTAGCCACAGCGCCCCTCTTTGTGTGGCTCAGAGGCGGTGTCTAATTACCTATCCAAAAAGGACACTCTACCTATCGGCTGGACGACAAGCAGTGACGCCCACCAACGAATCTTGATCCTGCTTCCGCCTGCCAATCCACCCAGACGGCTGGCTTCGACACCGAATTGTTCGATCCTTCGACTGTCGGACTCAACCTCGGCCTTTTCACTCCCTCGACCGTCGCCCCGTGGTCAAAGGCAGAGCTTTCTCGCCTAGAGTAAACGCTCCTCTCGAGGCCCAGCCCTCCCCACCGACCGAACTCTTATCACAACATCCCTCGCCTCTGATCGCGCTCAGAGTGACGACCCCGTCCTACTCAATCTCATCATGTCGGCACCCCCCGGTGATGGCTACGGCCAGCCGCTTGACCAGCAAGCCCAGGAACAGCCATACGATGGCCAGGCCGCACATCACGCCCACGAGGCTGCTGCGGGCAAGAAGAAGAAGCGAGGATATGCGGCGCAAGCTTTCGAGGTCGGCACAGGAGCCAATGCTTTAGCTGGCGGCCAGCTACCAGTCGGACAGCAGTATGGCGTGCCGCCAGTCCAAGGCGGTGCTGCTCCTTACGGCGCCTATCCGCAGGGCGAGCCTCAACCTGCTGCTGGCGGACCCGCGGCGGCTGGATACCAGTATCCCCAAGCCGGCTATGGCGCACAGCAACCCGTGCCCGCATCGCAGCCCGCATATGGCGGCTACCAGGCTCCGGATCAGGGATACCAACCGCCGGGTGGTCAGGGTCCTGCCGCTGGCATCGCCGGCATCACCCAGGGCATGGCTGGCATGCAGATGGGAAGCCAGCCTCAGCCCCCGCAGATGGCCCAAGCAAACAGGCCCGCTGCTCTCAACCAGCTGTATCCTACAGACCTCTTGACCCAGCCTTTCAACGTCACGGAGCTGGATCTGCCCCCTCCTCCAATCATTCTCCCGCCCAATGTAAGATTGACATCCCGTCCAATATGCCATGCGCGATGACGTGTGCTAATATGAGCTGCGTTTTCTTTATAGACCAGCGTGACTGCCTCACCGGATTCCAACTGCTCTTCGCGATACATTCGCTCCACCATCAATGCCGTCCCCACATCCAACTCGTTGCTCAAGAAGTCCAAGCTGCCGTTTGCTCTCATCATCCAGCCGTACGGAGCTCTTCATGACGACGAGGATCCCATCCCTGTGGTCCAAGATCAGGTCATTTCACGTTGCCGAAGATGTAGGACGTATATCAACCCATTTGTTACCTTTTTGGACCACGGCCACCGCTGGAGGTGTAACATGTGCAACCTGAGCAACGATGTGCCCCAGGCTTTCGATTGGGATGCTGCGGCCCAGCAGGCTGCCGACAGATGGCGCCGCCACGAGCTCAACCACGCCGTCGTCGAATTTGTTGCCCCCCAGGAGTACATGGTCCGACCACCCCAACCCCTGGTGTACCTCTTCCTCTTTGACGTCAGCTATGCGGCTGTTTCCAACGGCCTCTTGGCCACAAGTGCCAGGACCATCCTGGACAGCTTGAACAGGATACCCAACGCGGATCGCCGAACTCGCCTTGGTTTCCTCGCCGTCGACTCTAGCCTTCACTACTTCTCTATCCCCAAGGATTCGGAGGAGAATGGCGAGACCAGCATGCTTGTGGTCAGCGACCTCGACGAGCCCTTCTTACCGGTGCCCCACGACCTCCTGGTTCCCTTGACCGAGAGTCGCCAGAGCATCGAAAAATTCCTCCAGAAGCTGCCGGACATGTTCCAGAACAACCAGAGCAATGGTTCGTGCATGGGCTCCGCCCTTCGTGCGGGACACAAGCTCATCTCTGCGCTTGGCGGCAAGATTGTTGTCCTCACAGCCTCACTTCCCAACACTGGCGTCGGCAAGCTGGACATGAGGGAAGACAAGAAGCTCCTGGGAACCTCCAAGGAGAGCAGCCTCCTGCAGACTTCGAACAGCTTCTATAAGAGCTTTGCCGTCGAGTGCTCCAAAAACCAGGTTTCTATTGACATGTTCTTGTTCTCATCTCAGTACCAGGACGTGGCTTCATTGAGCAACTTGCCGAGATATACGGGTGGACAGACTTGGTTCTACCCTGGCTGGCACGCTTCGCGACCGGAGGACGCACTCAAGTTCGCCTCCGAGTTCAGCGACTATCTGTCTTCCGAGATTGGATTGGAGGCCGTCCTCCGAGTTCGCGCGACCACTGGTCTGCGTATGAACGCCTTTTACGGAAACTTCTTTAACCGCAGCTCAGATCTCTGCGCATTCCCGGCCTTCCCCCGCGATCAGTGCTACGTTGTTGAAGTTGCCATTGACGAGAGTCTTACTAAGAACGTGGTATGCCTCCAGGCGGCTGTACTGCACACCACATGCAATGGAGAGCGTCGCATTAGAGTCTTGACTCTGGCCCTGCCGACAACGACGAACCTGTCGGACCTGTACGCGTCTGCAGACCAGTCCGCCATCACAGCCTACTTCAGCCATAAGGCCGTCGAGAGAGCGCTCAGCAGCGGCCTGGATGCGGCTCGAGACGCCCTGTCAGCCAAGGTTACCGAGCTTCTCCAGACCTTCAAGAAGGAGCTCGCCGGCGGCAGCATGGGTGGCGGCCTGCAGTTCCCTGCCAACCTCCGAGGACTTCCCCTCCTGTTCCTCGGCCTCACAAAGAATGTCGGCTTACGAAAGTCTGCACAAATTCCTTCCGACATTCGATCAGCCGCCTTGTGCCTCTTGTCCACACTTCCGATCCCGCTCTTGATTCGATACATTTACCCCAGGCTCTACTCTCTGCACGACATGCCCGACAATGCCGGTGTCCCGGATGAGGCCACAGGGCAGATTACCCTGCCCCCTGCACAAAACTTGTCATCGGAGAGACTGGTACCATACGGCCTCTATCTGATTGACGACGGCCAGGTGCAGTTCTTGTGGGTGGGCCGCGATGCCGTTCCTCAACTCATCGCCGATGTCTTTGGAGTGGAAGACCGCACACAGGTTCACGTCGGCAAG